ATGATTTATTTATTTCATATTCTTGAGTATGTTACAGATTATAAGTAGATATTACATACAAGTATTTCTTAGCAGTAGTTTATTTATAAAGTTAGTTTTTTTAAATTATATTTTGCTATATTTATCATTCACTTATCTTGTGTTGCGTGCTCCTCATTTCTACTGTTCTGTAACGTGTAATGCAACACTGAAATTTTGTTCTGTTATCCAAACAAAAAATAATTGCGCACGAATGAATAGCTTACAGGTCTAACAAATGTGTTTCAAGCATGTTCCGAAACACGCCGCCTTAATCTTGTTTTTAAAGTATTCTTACCTCAATCAAACCCATGTACGTTTTCCTGCGATGATGTGAATAGAATCTCCGTTATATCCTCCAGTTGTTTTAATCCGCCCAATCTGCGGCTGATGAGAATACTTTTCAAACTGTATCTAAACTCTCGTGAGGTAACCGGAGCACCCGCGGCAGCAGTGGTTCTATAATAACTGTATCAGCAGCATCAGCAACAGTAGAAGCAGCAGTAGGAGCAGCAGTAGGAGCAGCAGTAGGAGCAGCAGTAGGAGCAGGAGCGGAGTTGGTGCAGAAGTTTGCAGAGAGCGCCTGCAGATGACTTCCCACGAGACCCGCTCACCTGCTCCTGACTCCACGAGATTTCAAAATAAAACAACAACACAACTTGCAAACCAAAGAAGTACGCTTTTCATAACATACATTAAAAATATACATTTAATACATTGATATATATTCAAAAGACATCAAAAGTGCTGCTGCTTTGACTATTTATCTACCTCTCAAGATATATTTGTGTCTCTTTTATTTTGAAATGTCCCATCAGCCTTGTCCTCAATGTAAAATCTCTATATAAATTAGAACAATGGGCAGCTCCTATTGTCACATTTACATGTATTTACACTGCACTTTGAGCTCAGCAGGAGGCTCTTGTGCTCTCTGGGGTAAGGAAGTAACAGCTGACCCTCAAAATTAGTAGTCAAGAATGTTGTCAGTCACTTCAAAAAGTTTATCTGCTGTTATAGACTTGAAGCTCATCAAATGAAATAATTCAAGATTGCGTTTCTTACACTACCTTTACATCATCACAATACAGTTTATTTTATATGTGTGAGTATATTTCAAACTTTAACATTTAAAATAAAAATCTACTCTCAAATCCAAAATCAGTAAACTGCTGACCTGACACATAGCATCAGGCACCCGCTCTAAATCTGGAATCTCCCTGACAAAGTTTGCCTGCAATCTCAAAATGGCCTCCCAACTCTATTTTGTTTTGTTCCATGTTGAGTTTGTTATGAACATATAAATATAATAACTTGATGTACATAGTGCATATAGATATCTAGCGCCTCCCACTGAACTATAAGCTAATACAGTTTTCTAACCCTAACCCTAGCCCTTACCCCAACTAGCCAATCAGTTCAATAATATAGAGAATTTATTTATTAAAGAAGTGTTTTTCAAAGTAGGTCACTCAATTTGGGCATTGAGTAACCTTATTACATAGGGTTATATGATTGTAGATTGTATTTAGATTTGGTGGTACTTAGGGTTGGGGTTCAGCCTGGCTCCAGCTGATATTTAGCCCTGCCTACATAACATTTAGGCACTGAACTTTCATGGAGTCAGGCTGAACCCCAACCCTAAGTACCACCAAATCTAAATACAATCTACAATCATATAATCCTATGTAATAAGGTCACTCAATGCCCAAATTGACATGATACATCTGCACTACTTTGAAAAACACTTCTTTAATAAATAAAACTCTATATTATTGAACTGATTCCTTGCATAGACTTTGAAATGTTGCCCTCTGCCTGTTACCTTAAACACTACAGCTCCATAAGTCACTTTAGGACAATCTATTATGATCTGTCTCATTATGGGATCTTTCTCTATTCCCCGTTTGGAAAACTATGGTTTGAAAGGTTTTGAATGGAGATGATCTTTGTCGTGTGTGGTGCATTGTGGTTAGTGCTACGCTGTTTTATGTGAAGTAAGAAGTTTGTAGTTGTTCAGTCATTTGTCTTGTAAATATATCAGCGCCTGCACAAGAAATGAAACTAGAATAGAGCCTGTATGTTTCATTATAAAAGTTATGCAACAAACCTCCATGGACTTGAGTAACCAGTGATGAAGAGACGTGTTTCATAATGTTGCCTTTGTGTGTCGTGCTTATGTCCCGGAGCAAAAAAGTCAACTGTTTGCAAGTTTCTTCCAGTATCCTATGGGTTTCCTCCAGGTGTTCCGGTTTCCTTCATCACCCAAAACGCTACTACTACTACTACTACTACTACTATGTATTATTGTGTAAATCTTTTAGTTCTATAATTTACACTTTTTTCTTCATGCAGGTGTAAAAGCAGCATATCTGTTCTGTTTTTTAACACTTGCGTCATCACCCCCTAAAACACTGTCTTCACTAAATTTGACCAGAATTGAAAGTAAACCATTAATATAACCATTAAATCTTTGGATTATACAGCAATGATAAGCACTGTTAGCTGACACATTTGGCTCTGGGTTCAGATCTGGGTTAAATCTGTGATAAACTAAAGTGTGGCGTTTAAATCTCACTGTTGTTGCGCATCAGAGAAAAGAGTGGATCTGAATCTGAAATTATAATCCCTGACCTTTAACCCTGGATTATAGAACAAGTCTAATCCCAAACTCTGCCTCCAGAATTGCTGGATTTTATGCTTTTGGCAAAATGATTTTTTACTTTGCTGTTGTCCATGGGCTGTTGGATCTTTTATAAGACTTTTTGAGCAATTATGTAAAGGCATAATAGGCTTCTATAGCGAAGGTTATAGGATTGAAAAGTGAAGCAAAATGGACCATACTTTCTAACTTAGTATCATACCTTTTCAAGAGATCCGTTGTTCGTTCGGCTGTCAGACTGTACAACAAACCTGAATGGGTTTTCTGCTGGACACCTGAATTTCTCCCAAGGGGGATCAATAAAGTATCTATCTATCCATCCACCTCTTTCTTAAACATTAAATCCTTTCTGTTCATATTGTCACTCTCTTCACTGACACAAAATGTCACACCTGAGCTGGTCTTTACAACAGTCAGTGATTTTCCTCTTGATGTTTTGCTTTTCTGAAGGTCAAAGCAAACTGGGTTGACTTGGTATGAAACCTTGTGAACGCTGTGAAAATGCACTATCCCAAACCACTGTATCTTTTGTCATTTTCTTCAACTCCCCAGGATCTCGCACAGTAAACAGCTCTAAGGTGACCGGTCGGATCAGTCCTGAGTCTGACTAGCATTGATAATTAAGTAGCCCCTTGAGTCACACTGAGGTCAGACCAAAGGGATAGTGCGGGTGCAGAGGGTTCTATGAAGGTCAGGGGCAGGACACACAACATCTGAAGGATAAAGTCTTTAAGGTCATGGTGTACCTCTGTTATATTCATGTTTGTACCAGGTTTATTCTGTTTGTGTACCTTTGAATTACATACATTGTCATATTGAAAACTGAATTCTACCAAAAAAACTGAAAATTAACGACAAGTCAATTTCAATTATGCCCCGCTATTTGTACCTCTGCCTCGGCCTCATTTCTATGACAAGTGGTTGGAAACGGATGCTTCCACAATCAGGCTCCGGATGAAGCAGGAGAAAATGGATGGATCCTGCATGATTTTAACTAATTGTGATTCTTCTGACCAACATCACAATGCTATTTTGATTCACAATTCCCACAGATTTCTAACCTCTAGTGCAACCATTTATAGCTGTACCAGAGAAAAAAAAAACCAGAAAGATTTACTGCAAAAAATGTAGATATAAACATACTTTTATATCTTCTCTCACAATATTCTTATAATCCGACCTGAGTTGTGCTAAACATGTTAATAGTTTATATAAATCACAAAAACTATGATTAGGAATGAGAAAATAATGTTTTATAGATACAAGATGTTCCATTGACAAATCTTAAATTAGGATTTTGATTTGATTGCGAGTAATTGTGCAGCCCTAGTGAACTGCTCTCACATTTTTTACAGTTGCAATAACACTCCACCATTCAACTAAAAACAATAATTCTCATGTGACAATACAATGCCCACTTTTGCATAATGTCCCAGTTACCAAAGATGCAAAAATCATAGCACCAAGAAATAGATATTCACCACATTAATCTTTGCAAAGTGTATTGTCTTTTCAGAATTTCTCACCCTTCTCTCTCTATCTGTATTTATTTGTGTTTTGCAGATAAATGTAGGTCAGTGGCAGCAGCAGCAGCAGCAGCAGCAGCAGCAGAAGCAGAATCCACCCGGCAACAATGCACCAAAACCCTGTTGCCGATGCTGGATCCTGATTGGTGGAGAGCAGCAGAGTTTTAACCAATAACCTTTCAACCCCGGGGCGTTCTCTGTGTCTGCTGCAGCTTCACATCAGAGCTCATTCACAACAGTGGACTCCAAGTATTCACACAATACAGGAGCTAGATCAACGTGGGAGATTACAGACATGCTGTGATGGAGGGTTTAGAGATTTTTTCAATGGATAATCTGATCATTTTATTTTTGGTCAAATTGACGATGGACAAAAGTTATGTTTATATATTATATGCTTTTTATATTTGTATCAATAATTTCCTATAGTCCATACATCTTTTCTTTGCTCATCCTTAGTGGTATATTTGAGGGTTTAAATGACTTGTTTTCTGCACCTATAATCAAAATTGCTCTAAACATATTCTCTTTACATAAAAGTTGAAATAGTGAATAGCGAAAATAATGGAAATTGTTGAAAGAACGAACCATTACGGGAACTGGAACATTATTCTGTTGCCACTAGCTTCACGTCTCAATGATCCAGTGACCTGCAAACTTCTGGTCAGATCTGTGTCGAAGCCCCACATGAAGTGCAACTACATTTCCCAAGATTTGCAACAATAATATCCTCCAATAAAACTGCGGCAGACTCTGTTGCCGTGCAGCAAGAAGGAGGTGATTCCCAAGAAGTGTCGTTATGAAAGTTTAAAGAAGATGAAGCGCTGCGAGGAGGACACTGGGAGTCCCCTAGCAACAAACACAGCAGAGGATTGTGGGAAATGTAGTTAAAATGTTGTCGGTAAATCATGAAGTTGTAGAGTTGTAGGGAAGATAAGAGAGGAAACACACATACGCGCACATGCACACACACACACAAACACACACATCTTAGAATTCACTTTCCAACAAACAAATGTCATCACAAAAATAACTGCTACATTTGGAAAACATATATTCTGCAAAATAGTCTTTCTTGATCTGTCAACTATTCTTCAAATCAGCTCCATCCATTCAATTATCAGGAACTTCTCAATTAAACCTTCTTCCTTTTGTCTTAATGCTAATATCTCATTGCATCCGTCATATAATGCAAATTCCTTTCTTTACAATACCCTTCAATTAGACCACGCCATGTTGAATTTAGAAAATAATCCCTAGTCTACCACAAAATTACAGTGTTGGCACTTTCTAGTCATTTCTGACTTTATGAACTTGTTCATCTATGATTTTCTACTGGAATCCTTTGAAATTCTCGCTCTTGAACAAACAAATTCATGTTTAAGATTTCTACGATGAAAGATCCATCCACATACAAAAAAGTGTCCCACTCCCCAGACACTTCCTCCCAGCCTTACAGAAACATGGATACTACTTATTGTTCCGTTGCCTCCTTCTCCTCATTTTTATGCCCATGCAGGGAGGGTCAATCTAAATGCAACAAGCTGCTTGTGACCTGGGGCTCATGGTGAGATTGATTGCCACTGGTGATATTTATGTAGATCAATCAACAACTTAAGCCTGCAGCTCCACCCCTCTTCCCCATAGCAGAGATTTAAAGCTGGGGTACCTGCTTTTCAACTGGAAGCAGAAAGTAATCATTTAATTTGTTTGTAAATCATACGCAAGGACTATTTGGTTTCTGGCACTGGTTATCATAAGGAAAAGTGAAGCAGAATGGACCACGTTTACGAAAGTTCCTACCATACCTCTTTCTAAAACAACATGAAATAATTCCTTGTCAATCACTTCATTGACACAACATTTCAAACCAAATAATTTTTTGTACAGCTCAAAATCCCAACAACAATAAGTTTGAGAGCATGTATTGATTTGCCATTGTTTGTTTTTTACCTATTTTTTCACTAGGAAATCTATATAAAGTGTTAGATATGCAATAACCCATATTATCACGCTTCTAATGGAGGCTGTAGACAGAAATGTTCAAGCACCAAATAACATATTTTACTGTACAATCTACGTTGATAAAACCACATAATATTCATTTTTGCCCAAGGTCATAATGTTCTGGCTCAATATCTGTGTCAAATCCAGATGTGAGCAGTGACAGTGCAGTCTCCAGATGCAGCAAAGACGGTTTAATCCAGTGAAAAGCGAGAAAATCTGCAGTAATCTGATTACTCCAGGGATTACTCCTGATCTCAATGAGGTGGAGTGAAACATGAATGGAGTTAACGCTGGGAACTCTTCACACCAGGAGGGAAGAGAGGGGAAGGTTTGGGCAGAGTCACAAAACGAAATGAAGACTTCAGAAATGCTCATTCCCTGAAGAGGAGAACCATCTGTGTCGCAAAGACGTATAGTGGCTGTACGTCTGTAATGATAGACAAAATTGTAAATAAAAAATAGAGAGAAAACAACAGAGAATGTAAATGTTCATTATGTCACATGGGGTGAGATGAAGGAAGGACCTAAAATGCAAGAATGCAAAATAAAATATAGTCCAGGGGGAAAAAACACTCAAATGCAAACTAAGGAATATAGACAGTGAAAATGACAATGGACCCGCAACAAGAAGAGAGTAGCACAGGGTACAAACAGACACATAGAGACACAGGTGAAACACATTCGGGCGGGGCAGACAATCGACAGGGGAACAGGAAGTAAAAAAAAAAAACAGAACTGAAGTCAAAATAAAACCAAATAACAAAATAAAATAAAAATCCACACCGTGACACATAATCCATTTAAGCTCTTGTCAAAACCAACCATGGCGGCACGGTGGCTGAGTGAATAGCACTCTTGCTTCTCAGCAAGAAGGTCCTGGGTTTGAATCCCAGTCGGAACAGGGCCTTTCTGAGTGGAGTTTGCATGTTCTCCCCGTGTCTGCGGGGAGAACATTTCCCCCGGGTACTCTGGTTTCCCCTACCACTAAAAACATGTAGAATAGGTCTGCCGTGCGCCTCCTGTACTGGTCCCATCTCTGTGTGGAGTGAGAGACAAATGCCCGAAATTATAAAGCGCTTTGTGACTCTGGTTTGTGAAAGGCACTATATAAATAAAGATTAGTTACTTGCTTACTTAAGTACATGGACTTCTAGGAACATTTATTTTCCTAGAAGGTTTTAATGTATTCTTTATGAAAACTTTTTAGTCAACAAATTGGGATCAGTTTTTCAGTTGGCCTCTACCTTCACAATGCTGACATCCAGGTGGAACTGAAAACACATCTCATCCTATAAAAGCAAATGTGTCTTGTTCATTTATTGTTTTGTGAAGCCCGTATCTCTTTCAATCAGTAATTCAAAGATGTACCAGATCTAAGTGCACATTTGCTTTGTTTTCTCAGTTTTCACAATTATATGAGGAGACAAATGAACATCACTTCATGTAACTTTTGGGAACAAAAAAGAGCCATTTGCCGCTAAAACAGTATTTGAGATAAAACACAGACCATCATCATTCAAACTCTGTCCGTGTGATATAATTAGTGTTTTGGACCAAGAAAAAGGAACAACTCAAAGTAGTGTAAATCAGAACCATATTCATACAGCTATATTATTATCTTTATCCCAGTAACTAGCAACTAAAACTCTTTCTGAAATACACACGAGCAATAGGGAACAAGACTCATCACCTTTTGAAACAATTCCTGCGTGGCTCATAATCAATACTTTTACTAGTTCATTTCGACTTCAAAAACAAACCGCATAGATACTGGATAGATACCTGGATACTCAGTCCAAGATCTTTCTGACGACACAATATTTCTCATTTTAAGCCATAACTTTTGCCAATCGACCTTAGTGGAAAATCTTTATACTTCTTTATTATGTTCAAGATAGAGATTTTATACTTGTTTCTTTGATGCTAAAGTCAGAGATTTTGTTCAATTTTAATTAGTGTAGCTATTGTTCACTTATCTCCTCATTCCTATGTTCTATAACTTGTGATGCAGCACTGAAATTTCCCCGCCGTGGGACGAATAAAGGAACTCTTTATCTCACTCTTAATGCTGTACATCTTGTACTTTTTGTGATTAGTTACAAGAAATGTTTGCTTGAAATGTCTTCAAACCAGTGGAATATTCTTGGTCACATAAATGAACCGAAATATCAACTGTAAATGACCATCCATTTAAAATCTGTTTAAAGAGGTATAGAGAAACAATTGGAGAATAAAATACAGAATATTTAGCAGAGGACCTTTAAAACCAATCACAGTCAGATTTGCTATTCCAATGTCACTTTCAGTATTGATACATCTTGCAACAGTACATGATTGACGGGAAAATTGGTCAAACGCTGAGGACACATAAATGCAGAGAGCTTAACCTTGCGCTGGCATCTCCCTCTGTGGTCATAACCCCCCTCCCTTTGAAACGCGACCTTCTCTGTCAGACGCAGCCCCTCAGATGACTCCAGCTTCAAAGGCGTCTGTAACTTTGAACACTGTATCCACAGGAGGAGTCTGTGCAGTATCTTTGAGCCAATGCAACAATTCAAGCTAAGCTGCACCAGTTGATTACATAAAAACATTTATGCATGAATCACATCAACCATACATTTGTTATTTATGTAAGAAGATTAACATGGCAAGCACTCAAAACATTCTCAAGGCTAATTTTGCAATTGTTATGCAATGCGTGGAAGGGAATGGAAATAAGTGATCAAAGTGGAACTCAGTAAAGATGTGATGAGGATTGGAAAGGCAGTGAAAGAAATGTTTGTTATGTAATTGGAGATGTTACCAAATGGAAATAGGTCATAAGACAGAAAAACAAACAACAAGTTTCAAGTGAATATGTAAAAAGTCCTAACTGGCTAATTCAATATAATCTCTTGCATAAAACACATTATTCTTTTAAAGAGAAAGGGGAAAAAGAAGAGAAAGAAACATAGTGTGGGTGGGAGCAGCATGTCCCTGAAGCAACGGACAAAATGTTGCACTCACTAAAATCAGACAAAAGCACCAGAAAATAGAATGTTGCTGGGCAAAAAAAATTTGTAAGCGAAACAAAATACATGGTATAAGGCTTTTGCAAAAATAAAAGAACAGGTGTTGAAATATTGCCAAATTGTCAATTTTATGTAAATACATCCAGAAACATTCTTTTTATTTTGGGAATACATTCAACCACATTCACAGCGCTGTTTTCTTGGACACGCACTGCATGTTTGTCAATAACACGCCCTATAACAGAGTCAAGTTTATCTGATAAAAGCAAAACGCCAACCGCAATGTTATCTGACATTTTTCAACCATATATGAGGAATTATTGACCATACATACCGGAGAATACTTTTGACCAAATATGATATAAGAAAAGTGACAAACGGTTTAAATCACATTTTGCAGGAGCTCAGGCGAGCACCGGGGACTGCCGCGTGTTGCATCTCCGTGAGACCGAGCAAAGAACGCTCTTACCTGGGCAGCTCTCCCTCCTCTTCCCGCTTCAGCTCCGGCTCCCCACGTACATGACCCACCCGAACCCCGATGGTCGTGCGCGTGGTGCTTGTTGTGGTCTCGTGCGGACGCTCATTCATCCGCCTCATCAGCACCACGGGAGCGCGCAGCGTCCTTCCACGGGAGCGCGCACACATTCAACAGCTTTGTTTTCATTCCCTGTATATTATAATACAGACTTGCACCGCACTAGAACTTAACCTACAAGCACATGAGGTCTTAGGGTCAGTTATTGCAGACAAGCCTCCTTGTGTCATACACGGCCTGTGTTTTCATCCAGGCAGACTACACTCTGAGAAGGGAATGCAAGTATCTTAGGAGCACAGTGCATCTTTTATCATAACAAAAATGTTCAACAGCGTTTTTACCACTTTCGGGGTTTTAGACACAAAAAATAATGAGTTGCTTGCTTCTCCACGGATCCGACGTTGAAATCAATCATAATTGATGCTGCTCTTGGTCACATCTACTAGAGCACATGGTGATGTATAAACATGTATGCAAGTATACAAACATACGCATGCATGAATGTATGTATGCATACACACTCACATTTATACACACTTGGATGTGAAGTGTCTTGCCTATGGACACAGCAACAATAGTCCTCTGTAGGAGCTGGATATGTATGTATGTATGTATGTATGTATGTATGTATGTATGTATGTATGTATGTATGTATGTATGTATGTATGTATGTATGTGGAGCAGGTACCCTATCCAAGTTGCGTGCACTTGGCTCGGGCACCTGCTCATTCCTGAAAACAGAGGCTGCAGGACGTTATGAGTGTGAACGTGAGGCTCCATCTAGTGGCGTCATGTTGTATCACAGTTTATAACGGCAGCACTGCAATATATACACAGGGCTGCAGCAGATCACTCATTTGTACTTGCAAAAAAGGGCACTGTAAAGAAAATAAAACCAAAACTTTTAAAGCTGGGGTATCTAATCTTTTGTTACATAAATAATACATTTTGTTATTCCCAACAGAAAGAATCTCGTAAAAATGTTATCTTTTGCATACTTTTCTTCCTTCATGAGCCCCATGAGTCACAGTTTGGGCTGAGAGATGTATAAGTTTTGGGGGTGGTCCCCTTTTTTCACTTTTCTGTTTGAAAACACTTATGTAAAGACAGAGATTTAATGGCATAGGACCAACTGTTTTGAGAGCGAGGAACTATGTGAGATGGATTTTATTACAGAGTTCCATTCTTTTGTGTGAAAGTGAGCTTTAAGGTCCATGGGTTGATAGGGGCAAACGTGGGCCAAAAATGACACATTGCCTAAACCAGGTATAAACAAACATGTTGCTTACGATAACGATAAGAGTAAAGATCAAACCATGTTGAACTGTTTTAATGCTTTATTGACTTGTACCTCATAAACATTTGTCACTTATTCATACAGAGGTGCATTGTGGGTAACAGACAGCAATAGGAGGAAGGCAGTGGCCGGCCACTAACCGAAACCTGCAGTAACCGATAAACCAATATAATAATCATTCATAATAATACTCCATAAAGATAATAACAATGTCCGGAATACGGAAGCGCTGCTGGCCCGTCCACCGGAGACGGACAGAAACAGGAAGTGGTGCTGAGGCGGTCGCCGTGGTTATACGGACGCCTGTGAATGTGAGGAGGTTACCATGGAGACAGGGGATGGAGGCAGTTGCTATAGTGACGGTGTTCCAAATCAAAAGAATGAATAGACCGTGGGTCAGGGATATCTGTGAACAACCTTGGGCAAATGTTCACATTTGTCAGGCCCCAGATGACGCTTTAGGAGTGTTTGAGTATAGAACACATTCAGATGGCTACCCACAGAAATAATGAGAATTTAAAGCAGAAATATTATGCATTGTTATCAGCCATTCAAATTATAATGAGACTTTTACTCATTCCATGTTTTAGAATGTGAAGAAGAACAAATCTAGGGACAATAATGTTCAGAGCAGAACAGATTTAGCATAATATGTCTCCTTTAGAGATTTGTGCAATAGTGTGTTTAAAAATAATTTGAAAATGTCCTTGAATTTGGCACGAGGCTGGTGTATAAGGCAAAACATGAACATGGACTAAAGTGGAATGCAGGATTTGATTGTATAAATGACATGTTTCAGTTTCTAAAAGAATGTATGATGACTTTGTGCTATTATCTTGTCTCTTAGCACCAATGCGTGTAACTCTGTGTGCCGAAATTGTTTCAAAATCGAGTTGTTACCACATGAAAATTGAATGAATGATGAAAAGGAATGACAGGATGACTGGCTTCCTGACAGCAGCAGTCACAAGTAGCACCAACATTGAAGCGATAATCTTTCCGAAGAGAAATATAAAGTGGTAATGACAGTCCACTTATACCGGTCTATTAACACTCTGTTAAAGGAGTTTGCAAATATAATAACTACTGAATTCAAATATGTTTCTTTTTTTTAAATATACATTTATCCTTCAATTATCATATAGCTATAATTTACTATGAAATTTGGGAGATTGTATATATAAACAAACTGAAATCAATCAACACTTCACTGAGAAAAAGTTTTTAAAAAAAACTAAAAAAAAACAGCACAATAGGTTGCATTCATGTGACATCACAACATTCCAAAGAACCTATATTTTAACATTGTAGAGGAGGGCAGATGAAAACTCCTTCCTGGTAACTATGGTAACAGTCAAAGTCAAACTTCTAGTCATAGTTTTAAGCTAATATCTCTGTTATTCCTGGAACAATCCAAGTGAAACAAAAACTCTCACATCTTTGCACATTTCCTCTCTTTTTGCACAATCTTGAGTGTGTCTATCCATGCCAAATGTGACATGTGACATAAATAAAGCATATCTTATCTTATCTTATCTTATCTTGTTATCTGTACATATCTACCATGGTCTAATTAGTTCTAGAAGGAGGAGTCTAGAAGTGGTGAGAATATTCCAAAAAACATATGCAGGATGTTGGCCAGTAGAATAATATGGCAGTTTTATCAAATTAATGAACTGGGAAAACAATAGGGTACTTTCTTTTTTTATTGCTTCGTTCCCATAGAGTTGTATTGGCACCTGCCCTCCAGCTAAAATCCTAAAACATGAACGCAACCTATTAGTTAAAAAGTATTTGGCACTCTGAGAGAACGTGGATTGACAACTAAGATGAATCCATATGGTTATATTCACATGTTATAAAGGAGTCGAGAATACAGAACTATCTACCAGAGGATGCAGACTTTAAGAACTATTCAGACCAATGAAAAAGACCTGTACTGCATCCTAATAAAGGAGATTAAATGGCTGAGTGAACGCGTGTGTAATGTGATGGAACAGATGGCGTCGAGGTGAGTTACTGGCCATTTCCTTCCATCGAGACGAGACTGGCTTTAACATGAAGTAAACACGCCATGAACACGCTAAGAACACACCCACGAGAGCTGACACAGAGGAGCCACCGCACACGGACACAGAACGAGTCCCACTTTGGTGCCGTGTTGCCAAGGTGACGGGTTTGCACTTGTGCCAAACTTTTCTACCGAAAAGGAACTAAAAGAGCAACACACTGCATCACATTCACAACACGTGGTCTTGGTTCGGCTCAGTTTTGAGGGAGGATAAGCAGATTTTGACCACAGATTTATGGTCAAACCGGTGTCCTTGTGAATGTCCGGTCCCTCCTCGGATCCGGTTGGACCCTGTGTGTCCAGGGAAGTGTAACAGCCTTATCTTTACAAGGCCACATGACTGAGCAAGTGGCCACAGCAGAATAAATTATCATATTTACAAAAAAGTCTTTGTTTCTTCTTCTTGCATCAAGCAGAGAACACTAACAATGACCCAGAATCAAAAGAACATCTTCCACATTAAGAATAATATAATACCAATATTTCACTTGAAAAATCTTTCCAAAAGGAGGACAGAGAAGATACTGGAGAGACATGGTAAAAAAGTCTTTGATTTGTCCAAATGTTCAGTCTTTTTTTTTTTTATCCTCTTCCAAACACTCCTACACTTTGGAGAACACTTTGCTGAAACCTTGTATTTTTTATGAAAACAGTTTGTCAGTTAAATTCAAAGAGACCAGATAATATTACTTTAGTTTGAGAGAGAGCGGACAGGCCTTTAAGACCATAATAATGTGAGATTAAAGTGCTGTGAAGGTGGCGAAGGTAAATCATTGTCAATAATAATTACTGTGCAGTACTTTGAGAACTGCTTGTTTATAAATAACGTGGATTGGATGAAATAATATGTGGAGAAAGTTAAAGTTATGTCAATTATTGTAATATATTGTATCAACTTGAGTACAATGTAAGTTTTCCTTCACAAAGTTGCATAACATTTTCATTCAAGTAATTGAGAAAAAGGTTTTTTCTCTCTCAGTAACTGACAAACTATTTGGGTCAAGTCTCAGATTGATTAAAAGTTGACAGCAGCAGAATAACGGGGGCTTCTCAAATGTTGGTTTTTTTTTCCATAGATGTGACATCACAGCAGGAAGAGGACCACAAGTGCATCACAAATCTGCTTCTTTAGAAAGTGTCTTTTTTCAAATGCTTTAAAATGATAAAAAAAATCTCACACATCTTCATTCCATTTCAGAAACAGCAGCATTTATGGTTCCAACTTTCTGGTTAATAAATCTATATTTGGCTTTTTAAATTTGTGCTTTTGTTTTGAAGCACCCTATAATAATTGTCATAATAAATAGACAATTTACTCTGTGTATAACTTTCAGCCAATCAGACCGCTCCAAGCATCAGTTGCCGGGACGATTATGGCACGGGGAAGTTTTCAAACGTTTGGAATATTTTACAAAATCAAAGGTGTCTTCTCACGGGCTACAATAATGTCTGCAGTGACTGATGACAAGGCTAACATAGTATTTAGAGTCACTTTTGAACCAGACTCGTGAATGGAAGCTTTTGTAAATATTTGAAAATGGGAAGATTTTTTTAAGCCCTGTGCATTTCCGCGACATCGGGCTGTTGTGTAAATCATGCAAGTGAACCAACATCGTTTATGCGCACAGCCCAGCTCGCCTTCTTAAGTTTAACCCTTCACTTCCTGTCCCCTCAGAGTCACGTGTTGTCTATGAGTGGGGCTGGCTCCTCCCCCTCCTCCTCCAGGCTCTCTGTGATCGACTGGTGCACCTGTAGCTCCTCCCCTCGACCGGCGCGGGACAGGGCGTCCATCCACCGGCGCTGGAGCTCGTCTCCGTCCGCGCTGAAGTACAGGGTGAGGTGGCTCTGCGAGATCTTGAAGGAGAAGCGGCGGTCCAGACGGTCGCTCGCCTCCGGGAGAGAAACCTCAAAGCCTATGAGCGGGATGCTGCGCTGGGCCTTCACGTCCTGCAGCAGAGCGGACGTCACATGACATTAGCAACAACAATATTCACCCGAATTATGTTTACTTTCCTGGTGACACATGTTGCAAATCAGACCACAACATTTTATCTTTTGCATACTGTGTATCATTTTTGGGCTGAGAGCTGATTGGCTGAGAGAACTACTAGATGGATTTAAATTATTTTGTTGTGGTTTGAAAGTTTGGTACCCTAGCTTTAAACATGATTATTCTGGCCTTTCATGAGTAAAAATGTATGTATGTAGGAATACTCTTTAGTTGAAAATATAAAATTACAGAACATACTGTAACTTTATTAGTAAAACTTCACCATCTAGTGGTTGGAGTGGGGCATTACATCTAGCTTTTTTAATTAGTTTTTCCTTGTTGATGCAGGAGGGTCTTGTTGGACAGTTCGTGTCCAACAGAAAGGATTGGTGATGATCAGGACACTGTGTTTTAACTGTTGATTCTCCGATCTGTGTTGGTGATTTCAATGGTTTTGTTAGGTCCTCTGAGATGACTTCTGTTGTGACCTAGGGCTATACAAGAATAAATTGTATTGTATTGTATTGTATTAAAACAAAGACCATACAGTAGAACAAGTCACCAGGTAAAAGGAGGTATGAGATCATGTTTACATATTATTTATGCTTTATATTTGCTACCTAAAAAGTTAAGTATACTGGCTTTAATCTTTTTAAGGTTAAAGTATACTTTATTGTCCCCGTAGGGAAATTTAAAGCCACTATTTATCTGAACCTGGGTGGAGGGGAAGAAGACAACGATTATGCATTTTTTGGTAATGATTAAAGACATAGATATTTTTATGACCTGATCAATTTCACAGCCCATTCCAACCCTACTCACACAAAAATAAGATAATTAAGAATAATAGATCAATCTGACATTTTCACAACTTTGATTCTAAAACAAAAATCTATCTTTGTCAAATGAATAAATGCTTTATCATAGCCACTAATATCAATTAGTCACAGAAATTGTAAGCAATGACGGCCACTTTTTGAAGTAATTGGCAGGACGTGTTTGTCAGGAGGGGATTCGCCCACAGCACCTATTGGCACAACATCACAGAGCTGCAGCCTGCACCTGGTCACTGCTCTCACAGGAATATTCACCAAATGCACAGAACACTATAGAGACATCTTTACTGTCAGGGTCTAAAAAGAGAAACTTATCTTTGCCTTTGATTGTTCTTGTATTCGGTGATGGGAGAATAAAGGAAAGTCAAAGAAATTCTGACAACCTTTATAATATGCTTTGGATTTGCGATGTTGGGGTATGTGCACAAGCCAAAATTAGTGCATCAAAACTATTATTTATTAGCATGCAGAACGCCTGACATAATTAATATTGTGTTTTTTTTAATTGTGTCGCAGAAGCCACTCAAATTGTAACGTCAAATTTCAGCAACCCTTCGCCAGTCAAATTAAATTCATTAGAGGGTATAGTTGGGACGCCGCTGCATTAGACCCATAATTGTGCGTAACTTGTTCCACACCAACAAATGGACAAATGTCTATAATACAAAACTATTATAGTATGAATATTCTTTCCAGAACTAAAGTTAATTTTAGTGGTTGGGGAAACTGGAGCATTTGGAGGAAACCTACAAAGCGAGAGTGCTGAATAACTCTGACTAAATGAATAGCATAAACACATTTTGCAGTCTTCCCTTCACAGAAACGCATTGTCCCGCTGGTCACCTCTCATTCTGTTGCCTAGAGACAGCAGCAGCACCACTGACAGTTTGATTAAAGAGAAGCATTTTTCTGCCATTACTGCAGCATTTACCATAAAAGGTTATAATTTCCTTCTCAAAAGCATGTAACTAGTTTCTTAAAATGTTTTAGTTCATCACTAGTTTTCCATAGAAATCTTGTGTCAACCTCTATCACATCTATAGAACGGTTATCATTAGGAGCAGAGTGAAAACAGAGGAAAAGGTCAAAAATCTGACTTTATTCATAGTTTGGGTCGGGATTATGCTCAGGTACGACATAAACAAGAACAAATGTTTCAATTTCCCATGTTGTTACACTGACAGCCATGAGAGGGCGCTGTAGGGCACTATAAGCTTGTCTTCTACTATCTCCTGTATCACTAGAAATGTGCATGTTTGTTGTATTAACACTGATTTCTTTATTTATTTATTTATTTAGATCAGCCATTCCCAAACTCAGTAACACCGAGGCTCCCTTAAAAATCTGACGGGTCTGCGTGGCCCCCCCAAAATACAACATTAAAAATAGGCTCTTCTGGTTATTTTATTTTGGGGAAATAGCCTCTGCTACAAACATTGTAATACAAAAATGATTACAGTGGATTATTCAAGTCAAATAATGAACACAAATATTTTAATATTACAAACAAAAGATTATAAATTTAACATTAAATAATAATTTTTTTTTTTTTTTTTTTTATGACCTCCCGCGGCCCCCCTGCAGTACCCTCGCGGCCCACCAGGGGGCCGCGGACCCCACTTTGGGAGACACTGATTTAGATGATAAGCCCCTTGAGATGAATCATCTCGTTTTCGAGGGGGTCCTCAAGATTGACAGATACAGCAAAACAGATGCAAACAAAACGAAAATACAGGAAAATCATAAAAATAAAAAAGCAACCAAAAAAAATACACACACACACACACACACACACACATACACACACACACACATACGCCATGACTGTACTGTAATTACACTGAACAAGGATAATACTATTAATAGTAATAATAATAATTGGGAGACAGTAAAGACAAGTTTAGGTCTCATAACCTAAGATCAAAGACATTGACATGAATTCTGGGGATATTGTACAAGAGCAGTTTTAAACAGAGGCAGAGAAGTTATAGAGCGAATAGACAACTGATGCAACTTAGAACTGCAAATACGGTAAGTGTGCTGTTGTTTTTCACCTGTGGCGCTCCGTAGACGTAGAGTACCATCGGCTCGTTCTCTGGAATGACAAACCAGGCCTTCTGCCAGCCGCGGCCGGAGCCCTTCTCCATCAGATGGAGGAAGCTGCACATCACACTGTTCTCAGCAGCTAAAGACGCCTGCTTCTGTACAACACAAACACACACACACACACTGGTGAGTTCCTGTTATCCATGTCGCCTGCCAGGTCTATTTTTACCTCTGAGATCTTCAACCACTCAAACAATGCAGTTATATATAAAGCCCAAGCATCAAAGTCAATATCAGATCTAAAGAAGCTAAATCGGTGTATGTAAATCAGCTGCAGTATATTCAAAACACTGCAGCTCGAGTCCAGACAATCCTTGTTCTCCTCCTGCTGGGACTCTGAGGAGCACAATGATTTGACTCCTACTGGGGGCCAGAGTCAGGACTTAAAATGGAGAGGCAAAATCTGGAACAGTCTTCCTAAGAATGTCAGTCAGGCTTCTACTACTTCTGACATTGACAATGTTCAAATCCAGGTTAAGCTGTGCATACACCTGAAGGATTTTAAAGGAACAAAAGTATGCATGTCTGTAATAGCACTAATGTATCGCCTTTACCTCCAATATAGAGCGCCTCCTGCTGGAGCTACTGCTCACCGCAGCGGTCGGACAAACCCCCACCAAAGTGCAGTAACAGTCCACACACACACGGTTGGTTCTGTTGTTGTCGTAAGAGAGACGTGCTCTGAACTCTGAGCATTTCCCACACACCACCTGGAAACACAACACAAAACAGATGGCTTTATTTATTTATTTTCACTGTATTAATAGTAGCAGTAGTTTGAGTCGAGTAGTAATTGTAATAGTAGTAGTTGTAGTTTTAGTAGTAGTGGTATTAGTAGCAGAAGTAGTAGTAGTAGTTCTATTAGTTGCAGCTGTGGTATTATTAGTAGCAGTAGCAGCAGCAGCAGCAGTAGTAGTAACTTATATTGAAACCTGCTGCTGCGTGAACTGTGAGGCCTGACTCACTGTGTATTTTGTGTAAAGTCTGTGTGTTCTGCTTTGAGATTCTGCTGCAAATTAATTTGTCTTTGGGATCAATAAAGTTTTCTGATTCTGAATCTGTGTAGTAGTAGCTGCAACAAAATCCTGCTAGATTAAGGCACAGCTTTTTATCACGCCTCTGTAACTCTGGGCTAGGATGGAAAAAAATGTAGTAGCAGTAGTGGTAGAAGCAGCAGTAGTAGTAGTAGTAGTAGTAGTAGTTGTAGTAGTAGTATTAGTACCTGCAGCAGTAGTAGCAGCAATAGTAATAGTACTCACATGTCCACATGCTTTGCAGTGGTGGCGTCTCTTGGTGATGGAGTTGAAGGGTTCCTGACACTTCATGCACAGAGTCACCTCCTTCTCTCTGATGGGAGTGGGGGCACGCTTACCCAGCTCCACACAGCTCTGAGAAAATCACCAGAATGAATAATAACAAAATGACTAATTCTAATAAATCAGGACGAATGTATTAGAGGGACATTACAGGTGAATGTGGAGGGGTGGACTCCTCATCCCTAAGTGGACACGTGAGCCTGTAGTTTTCCATAGTTTGTTCATATCTTAGGATTGTCGCTTGAATTGCCTGAAAAATAAAGAAAATAGTTATAGGTAAATTTAAAGTGAATGCGGGATAAAGAAAATATGTAGTAGTCGTTGGATACATAGGGCCTACAACAGTTTTAACAGAATATGGAAATATATGAAAATATAAAAACGGAGTCACATTGTTAAAAGTTGCGTAACTATGAATACCCAAATGTCTTATATTGCAGCAAAAGTAACAAGAAGGAAAACAAAATGTTATTATTATGTCACTATTTTTTTTTTTTTGTTACCTGTATCCAGTCCCTTTTCTCCTCCTCTGTCCTGAAATCAGACAGGACTCAGTCTGAGCATGTTTATCACAACATCACAGACAACACATATTCTTTATCTGGATTGTAGAATAGATTCTAGACAGGAAGTAAATCTACCACCACATACTGTATTTGCCAGACTTCCTACTTTAACTGTGCATCATGCAGTTGAGACACTTGGTATGCAGTCCCTGTGATATTTTAGAGGTATAGAATGTACAGTGTTGGTGGATAATCATGGTAATAGTATTATTGTTGTACCTGGCCTGTAGCTCCAAAGACCTCTGTTTCCCTGAAATGAGAAATGTCCGAGGAACCGCAATACTACTGGCTTCCTTCAACTGGAAACAAAAATACAGGAATCAGATATAAGATTACCATTTTATAATTTTTAAAAACATAGTATAGATTTGCTTTTGTCGGAAGTTTAGTTCAAGTATAATTCAGGCTTATATCTGTTTAGTCAGTGCATAAGTGTGTATAAAATGAACTGGTCCCACCTCCATTCCATCCACGTCGATCCTGGCCCGGACACCATACTTTTGACCAATCAGCCGCAGTTTTGGGACGCAGTACAAAAGCCTGTCGTTGAACTGAAGAGATATACACAATACAACAAAATTAAAATGTATTCACTGAAAAAACACCTTTTAAATGACTACAAATGTAACTATTTCAGCCAAAACCTATAGCTCGGATTGAACTCTCACCAGGATGAGGTATCGGTCCTGTGTGGTCCCGTTCTTGTTGGACAGCTTCAGCATGTGGCCCTCTTTAATCAGTTCATTTGTTGGATTTACGATGTCTTCTTCCCCTCCCAGTAATTCGTACACCTTTAATAATTTCCTCATGCGCTCCTGGAACAATACCAAAAGAAAAGGTACTTACTATACTTTCAGAAACAAGGCAACCAGTTTATGCCACCAGCTCCTCTGACCACCACCGATCATTCAGTCACACACCAGACCCATACAAGGCAATAAGGGTGAAGTGTCTTGCATAAGGACACACCAACAGTCTAGCACTTCACAGCCGTAGCTAGTCCACTGTTGTAGCTGGTGTTCTCAGATCAGGTCTCCCATCCAAGTACTAAGCAGGCCCTACTCTGCTTAGCTTCTGAGTTCTGCTGGGATGAGGCTTTTGTAGTAATAGTAGTAGTAGTAGTAGTAGTAGTAGTAGTAGTAGTAGCAGTAGTAGTAGTATTAGTAGCAGCAGAAGTAGCAGTGGTAGTTTTAGAAGTATTAAAAGTAGTAGCAGTAGTAGCAGCAGCAGTAGTAGTAGTAGTAGTAGCAGTAGTAGCAGCAGTAGTAGCAGCAGCAGTAGTAGTAGTAGTAGCAGCAGCATTAGTAAGCTACAGTAGTAGTAGTAGCAGCAGCAGCAGCAGTAGTAGTAACAACAGCAGTAGAAGTAGTAGCAGCAGCAGCAGTAGTAGTAGTAGAAGCAGCATTAGCAGTAGTAGCAGCAGCAGTAGTACAAGTAGTAGCAGCAGTAGCAGTGGCAGCACCGGCAGCAGTAGCAATGGTAGTTTTAGAAGTATTAAAAGTAGTAGCAGTAGCAGCAGCAGTAGTAGCAGCCATATTTCCAATAAATGTATAAGTAATCTCCAGCCTCCAGCTTGCTCCTTATAATTCAGGATTTGACTGTAATTTCCCACGTTTGGTTGTAAAGCGTGCGGCTGCTGCTGCTGCTGCTGCTGCACTGAGGCCTGTCTTTAATTAGTGAGTGTTAATTACAGAGAAAAGTGAACGCCTCGCTGTGAAAGGAGGTGGGGCTTAATTACACCCATAATAAACAGAGTGGAGTTTGTACCATTTTCTTGATGGCAGCGTTGGAGTGTTCTGCAGCTGTGGCAATCAGCTCCAGAGACTCTGCAGACAGACAGCAATACATTAGAGGTTCACAACATGAGGTGGAAGGCCTGGACCAGAGGTGGAAGGGGGTCAACACACACACACATTCTTTCTGCAACTTTTAACAGTAAGAATGATGCAATAGGAACAAATGTTGTCACAAGTGTTGCATATTTTTCATTGTTTATGAGCATTATTCAGACAAACCATTCACAAATACTGCCTAGATTACATTTCCCTTGCAGACGCATCACATTTTAGTCAAAACTACTTGTGTGTATACTCTATGTTGTTTGACTACATATGAATCTTACAGACACATGGGTAGAAAAAGGTGTGTTGTATTACAGTGGCAATTTACGCAATTTTCCCCCTGTTTGTGCTCTACATATTTGAGGCTGATCTGCAAAAACCAAAGATAAAGAGTAAAGCTTACGATGCAGAAGACATTTATTAAGTGAGTAAGTAAGTCTTTATTCAGCACTTTTTGCTCTTAATGGGAGAGAAATCAGGTCCATACGCCTGTGAGTGAGGCAGTGTGAGCAAGACATTTGTTTAAGCCAAACTAGACTCGATTTAATTAGCATTTTACCTTTGGATGCATTTTAATTGTCATGAAGTGCTATGTTTCTATGTCCTAATCCAGGGGTGTCATACCGGTCCTAAAAGGCCAGTGTGGCTGCAGGTTTCAGTCCCAACCTGAGCAGGAGCACACCAGACTCCACCTATTCCTCAAGTGAGTCCAGTTTTAACCAAAGATTGGAGGAAATGGGTGGAGTCTAGTGGGCCCCTGCTTGGTTAGAATTAAAATCTGCAGCCACACTGGCCTATTTTGGCACCGGTTAGACACCCCATTCCTAATCTAACTGTCCTTTTTCAAATATATAGCACTTGATAAAAATATATTATTATAATTGTTATTATTATTTATTCATTTGTATTAAGAAATTCTTCCTAAAGGAGTTTTTAGGTATCCAAAATGAGGACATCACCGTCAGCATAAGTAAAATTGATATTAAATCTACAAAGCTTCAACTACTCTTGATCCTCTCTATGGCACTCTTCAAAACCCTAATCTCTAATCCCTGCCATGTGCCTGTCCATAGCATCCACATCAGTCTGGCCACACGTGACTTTATCTGCAGCATGAGTGCGTTCTGTCTAACCCATGGAGGTGCGTCTTACTCTGGGCATCGCTGTGGTCAGGGGCGTCCTGGGGCAGCCGGTGCAGATAGTCCTTCAGCAGCAGCTCATAGCGGGGGATTCTCTGAACGGGCTCCAACATGTGGTGCTGAAGGGTCAGGTTTCCACAGCGCTCCTCTCTCTAACACATCAAAAAACAGAGCAATGTTACATGTCGCTGTAATCATTGTGTTTGAGTTGTGTCCACACACACAAAATAACTACGAAAATTGTGGATGTGTGGAGAGGGAGGTCTGGGTGGTTCTGCCTCTGTAACCCGGAGACAGATGGAATAAGAAAACAAAGTGCACAAGCGTAGTTAGGCGCCAGAGCTTTTACAGAAATTTGATGTGAAACAGAAAAAAGGTGGATCCCTGAAACTGAGAGAGAGGACTACGGTAATCAATGACAGAAACAAAACAGAAACAAAAGAAAAATAGGTCAGAAAAATTTAGGGACATTTTTGTGGGAAGCCAAGTTGCTACATAGCAGGGATGTCAAAGTCAAATACATCAGAGGGCCAAAAAAACACATCTGCTACAAGCTGAGGGCAGAACTGGTTCAATACTTATTAAAACATATTACAATTATTGCATTAAACCTATTGAACCAAGACCTAACACAGTGTACCATATTTTATTCAGTGATTAAGTGAATAATCCAATATTTTTGTATGGCTCTGTGCGGGCCGGTTCTAATTCTAACCAAATGTCATCCTGGCCCAAGATAATTCATTTGGGGGCCGGACCTGATCCCCGGGCCTTGACTTTGACACTCATCCTAGAGTGTAGAGAGTATCCTGGATTCAGAAGCGTACGTAGCAATACTACTTCTATTGCTTTCCGATTATATACTTTTTTTTACAAACATCTCCTTTACATACATCACCTCTTTCTACACATATGAATGGTATGGTCTTGTGAAGATGTTATAAACTAATAAAATGCTTGTGTTTTGAGTGGTCACTACTTAACATATAAATGGATAATTGAATGTTTTGGACCCTCCTAAAACTACGTAGAGCAGCTTTAAATGCATGCACCCACCTGTATGTCCTGGATAATGGCCTTGAAGGGAGCAGAGCGTTCCATCCAGGTGTTGACCAGTTCCATGGCTCGGTCAAAGTTCTTCACATATTCTCCGTACATCTTTAAGAACGGGGCCAGTTTCTGCAGGATGTCTCCAATACGAGGATTCTGGTCCCTAAAGTTAAAACACACACATTGCTGAGACTAACTACAGGGGGCGCCACTGTGAGGCAATAGGACATCTATATTGTGCGGAAATAGTACAACTGTTTCAATATATCAATTTGATATGCTTTGAATTAGCAATGATGGCGACCAAGCTCCTCATTATCTTGAAACCCATGGATACTAGGAGGTTTGCTAAAATATGGATGGATAAATATGAATATTTTTGTACTATGAGCCATACATTGCAAACGTAAGTCTTCAATCTTCAAAAAGTGAAATAAGGAATTGCATAGAAATATACTGTATGGAATGGAGAGTCTTGAATTGGCCTGCTCTGAAAGATACCCAGCCCTAATGGATACTCTTGCAAGCTCACTGTTTTCAAAGACATAAAATAATAATGAGGTATGTGCACTGACCACTCCCCCATGCGCTTTTGCAGTGCGGGCAGCAAGAACTGTTGGTGGAAGCAGTAGATAGAGCAGATGTTGGAGAAGACCCCCTGGACCACATCACAGGGAAACGAGGAGCGCGACCGGGACTCTTCCATGAGGCGAGCGCAGAACACCTACAACGAGAAAGAGGCTAGAGCTACGACATGCCGTGGTTTCACTGTTTAACTAGGTACATTATCTTATGGCAGCACACATCAAAAACTGTGCATTGGTTCACACTATCTAGTTATGTGAGATAGTCATCACTAGATTCTGGCCCATTGCAATCATCACTTTGTACTTCTGTCACTTCATAATCTTATAATCTGCACTGTTACTGTAACTCTCCCTGACGTCATAGTCTAAGGAATCGTTAATAATAACAGCTAACAACAACATGTTTTTGTCGACGGACTATTGTCGTGTCATGGTTAAAAAAGATGATTTTCCAGTGTACTTTTGTGATGTTATGTTTGCTGTTGGTCATGTGTTAGAGATAGATTTCCCAGTCTCGCTATAAGACAAACAAGTGGCTGTAGTATGAGTGGGGTATAATTTACCTGGTCGAGGAGGTAGAGTTTGGAGACATAGGCGATCTCGGTGTGCAGCAGTTCATTGGCGATGTTGAATACTCTCTGATGAACAGACAACTGTGTAAGAAAACAGCAGGTAAGGTCATTTTTATATTATGACTGCGTTACCAATTCTTGCCTCCAGAAGACATGCTTTTGTGAAGTATGCATTCGAAACCAGGGGTAACAGAGACATTTTTGCTGGAAATCCTCTATACAACTGTAAAAGGATTAGCTCTATCTCTCCAAAGTTCATTTGAATATGAGAGCCTGGGGGCTACTGGGAGTATTAGCTCTCATTATAGTCAGTCAGACAGGGATAGACAGAGGCGGCCTCCGGGGAAGCCAGGGACAGCTGGAGGCAGAATGGGTATATATATAAGCAGAAATCCCCTCATTTGCTTAAATTCAACAAAACCTTCCACAGGTCTACCTTTAGAAAATGCTGTAGTATATCTGACATCTTCTTAAAAAGTTTGACATTGGTTTGATATATGTGATAAGTTATAACAGTTAAGGAAGAGCATTTCTCTACCGTTTTGTGCCTTATTGAATACTTGCAGTGGCCATCACTTTTTAAAACGGTGCAAACTAACCATGTAAGTTACAAAAGTCGCTCTCACCTCGACAGAATCCTGACGGTCAGCCTGAGGTGCGGGCAGCACAAGTGTAAGCTCCGCCTCTTCCTCCAGGTCACTGTCCCCCTCTTCAGATAAATCTCGTCTCCTCCTGACCACACCCCCTTCTTCTCTGATGTGGGCGGGGCTACAGGAATAAGCCACGCCGCCTTCATCCACGCCAGCAAAACAGAGCTCCTCGCTGTGAGACGGTGAGCTGATGCTGTCGATGCCACTGTCCCGATTGGCTATCTTCCCATCTGTCTGTGAGGAGGGGAGGGATAAGCGCTCGTTCAGCAGTTCTGATTGGCCCATGACCTGCGGGGGTGGATCCCTCAGCTCCACAATGTCTTCCAGGTGTTTTTCCGAGGCGCTGTATCCAGATTCTAAAGACAATCGTTTGTTTATATCGGCACAGGCACCTAAGTCCTCTTCCTCGTCATAATTTTTGGCACTTTGCTCTCGTTCGATCGGTTGAATATCTTGTTGTACTGTTTCTGATTCAGGCAGTTTGTTGTTTGGGTCTAAATGTGGCACTGGAGATGAAGGAGGAGAGGGAGAGGAGCAGGTGGAGGAGGAAGAGGAGCATGGGTGACACGAGATGTCACTGAGAGGGAGGCGGGGACACATGGCACCGCCGGTGATGTCCGGAACCATAATTAGCTGCTCGCTGTAGGAACAAAGAGGGTTCAATGTGAGTAACTTCAGGTAAATGGATGATTATAGAAGACATGCCAGGAAATTACAGACTATGACACTCAAAGATCACTGTTGAACATTTAACACATAAATGAACATCGAAATCCATTTAAAATTGACTTCTGTGTTGAAAGTATAAATTATTTAAACATGCACAAACTCTTACAAACATCTTTTAATAAATGAGAAGGAAATCTATAAACTCTTAAAAGCTACACAATTTCAGTGCTTTTGTATTATGTCATTAATACTTAATTACTCTAAAGACTGAGTAATAGTTTATGAATAATCTACTTAAATAAATATATATAATCTATAATCTACGAAGTAACCTCCTGAAATTGTAGTGGATGTACCGTTCAAACTTCTCGATGAGCGACAGCACGGAGGTGGGGGAGGCCGTGGCCTCTCGGGGCAGGGGCCTAAGGCTGCGGGGGTCAGAGGGCAGAGGCCTGCATGGCGCTGGTGGGAGGGCCTTCTCTGGAGCTCTGGGGCGAAGCCTGGGCGTGGACACTTGCTGCAGGTGAGGAGGCTTCGGAGGAACTGCAGGGAAACAACAAATGTGTGGGCATTCAGGTTTAAAAGTGATGTTGCAAAATTTATCCCACTGAAAATCCACGTAAGTCATAAACAACGTGGTCCAAGCCATAAACTATTGAAGGAGCATGATAGCAACATCTTAGAAACCAAAGAGCCAAACAGATTCGGCAATGATCTCTTAATGCATCCAATGCTCGCAAGCTGAAAAGCCAAATTTGGGGAAGAAGTCGCTTGATTGGTCAGTTGTTAGGGCTCATAACTGGATTTAAAAACTCATGATCCAAATCCAAACACTGTTGAACCCTGGATTATTAATGTTGAATGTGACACAAAGAGTAAGAGGGTTGTTCCTCTTATCAACCCTCGGCCTATGGTCCAAACCGAGGCTGAATGTTGATAAAAAGTCTTACTCTGTGGTTTAGGCCCCAGTGGCAGTCGTTTCCTGGCTGAGGGAGTTAGAGCGCCCCCTGGCAGCTCGGGAGGCCCAGTGTCGTTCACTGACAGACCACACTCTGCCGATCCTTCGTCCATCTGCCCCGCCCCCTCGTCCATAGAGGCGGGGCCAGAGCAAGATGCAGCGGTGTCAGAGGCATCCAGAGGTCCCTGGAGTCCACACGGGGAACAGGAAGTGGGGTCCAGCGGGCCGGGCTTCAACGCACTGGGACTGGAGGAGGATGGACCTGAAACAAAACAATATCACACTGTTTATTTTCTTCATAAATTTCTGCTTTTTTTTAAATGAATTTATTGTGTGCAAATATTAGTTTGAGACTGGACTTTTCCACAGTCAAGCTCAACATTCTGCTCTTCAAATGTGTTACTTTCCCTTTTTTTGCAAGGTTTTTTTTACAAACACCTGCTCCATGTGTTGTTGTTTTCTTGTTTTAATATGGAGTCATGTTTCAAAATGATCAGAAAAAAGTCTCCAGCCATCACAAACTGGCTTTGTGTCCTTCTAAGGTCTTTGAACAATAATCGTCATCACAACAACAATCCAAAACAAAGCAGCAAATCAAAGTAAAGATACGTTGTTGTTTTTTTATTTTTGTTTTTTTACCTATAAGCACCAAGTATGTAGTAGAATTGTTACATGAGCTCCTGAATCCTGGACACTTTCTATACAACGACCTGCAGAAACGTTTCCCTGCATTTTCTCACACATTTTTATTTTTTTAATATCTGTTAGCTGATTTTAGTAGTCTTCTATCTTGTAAAGAAAACATGTGATGGTGTTCATCCAGAATTAGGAAAAGAAATAAAATATATAACTGTGATGGGGATAATGCGAAGGAGCAGTGGCATCACGAAGACATGGGAGTAAATATTCTTGAAAGAAGCTAGAACATGGTTGAAATCTCTTTATCCTGCTCTATGTATTCTGCACAATGGTGGCTGTATATAGTTGATGAGGTATACAGGACTTAAGGCCCCCCACTATACTGTGTCAAATTGTGATTAGTTACAGAACTTCACCCTGAGGTCTCCTTCATTACACTTTGACCCTATCATCTGCTATTTACCCACAATGCCCTGCAGCAGGTGGAGAGCCTGAGTATTCTACAGATGTGTGCAGATGTGAGACCAGTCATGCGTGAGCCATGTGGGAATGTTCAGACACAGTTTTAAATCAGCTGATCCTCAACAACCGCTGTTTCCATGTGGAGTTACAGTATTGTGACTGAAATCAAGTTGTAACTGTCTTTCCTCATCTGCTTTCAGTATATTTACGCCTGTTGTTCATTTGAGCTGTTTTGCTTGACTGACAGCATCAATACAGCATTATTCCATTTCACTCTCGAGAGCTGTTCACAACTGCCAACTCAGCAAGAATCAAACCAGAATCCTCAGTTTTATAGATTAACATTTAGAGAGACGTCCACAGCCAATATGTGAGGTCGAAGACGGTCACACCGATTCTGGTTTAGGCTTCAGTCCTGTATAGCTCTTTTTATTCCAAATGTCTTCATCATAAATCTATAATATTTGTCACAGAGATAAAAGGCACCTGGTGTAACCTTTGGACCCTCACTCTTCACCTCTGATCCATTCTTCTGGAAAATTCTTAGTTTTGTGAGAACTCGTCACAGTCCATCCCTAAAGAAAACAGACCAGACTCAAAGCAACAGGATTTTAACAGCGGCTCAAGAAGTTTAAAGAAGAGTATTTTTTAGCTCTGCTTGTACAGGCGTTTAAGCTGCTTGATGGCGGCTTGGCTTTGACTCAATTGAAACTCTATTAATGGATTTCACAAGCAGTTGAAAACATCATAGTAACAAAAGTAGGGAAAGTAAGGAAAACTGGGGTAAGCCACTATTTGCATAAGACAATAAAGAGTTATAACGGGAGCCGGACAGTATGAAGTACAACCATTTTTGATATTCAATCAATCAACTTTATTTGTATGGCGCCTTTCCAACACAAGGCCACTCAAAGCGCCTCACAACCCACATAATATCAGACAAATCAGAAACATCAAAAACTACATATACAAACAATAAATACATTAAAAACAGAATAAAATCACAAGTAATGAAAAAAACCTTAAAATATTAAAAGCACACACGGGATTAAAATAATAAATAACCACAATGCATTAAAAAAAAGAGTATGTATCAATAAAATCCTTCAGCCGTATGCACAGCTAAAAAGAACAGTTTTTAGCCCTGATTTGAAAATTGCCAGAGTAGATGCTAGCCTTACATCCTCAGGAAGATTGTTCCAGATTTTAGCTCCATAAATCTCAAACGCTGCCTCCCCATGTTTAGTTCTGACTCTTGGAACCAGTAAGAGGCTACCTCCTGTGCTCCTCAGAGTCCGGGCCGGTTCATATGGCACTAACAAGTTGCTTAAGTACTTTGGTGCGAGGCCATGGAGAGACTTGTACACAAGCAGTGCTGCTTTGAAGTCTATTCTCTGAGCCACAGGAAGCCAGTGCAGAGACCTGAGAACTGGACTAATGTGGTCATATTTCCTGGTCCTGGTCAGGACTCGAGCTGCAGCATTTTGGACATACTGCAGTTGTTTTACAGCCTGTTTGGAGAGACCTGTGAGCAGGCCATTGCAGTAGTCTAACCTACTGGAGACAAATGCATGGATGAGAATCTCCAGATCTGATTTAGACACTATGTTTCTAATTTTGGCAATGTTTTTCAGATGGTAAAATGCTGCTGATGTTACTGATTTGATATGACTGTTAAAATTTAAGTCTGAGTCCATTATAACTCCTAGGTTTCTGACCTTGCCTACAGGTTCCAGGGAGAGAGACCGGAGGTGACGAATAACGCTCTCTCTTTGTTTCTGGGGACCAAAGACAATCAATTCTGTTTTGTCTGCGTTTAGCTGAAGGAAGTTATTTTGCATCCAATCACTAATCTGTTGAGTACAGTGAAGGAGTGATTCCACTGGTCCATGTTCTCCTGCAGTAAGTGAGACATAAATTTGAGTGTCATCAGCGTAATTGTGGTAGGATACATTGTTGGAGCGTATTAACTGACCTAATGGCAGCATGTAAATATTGAACAGAAGAGGCCCCAGAATTGATCCCTGTGGCACTCCGCAGGTCAGAGCCATATCATCTGAGACACAGTTTCCTATCTGAACCAAGTATTTCCTGTCTTCTAGGTAAGACCTAAACCAACTTAGGGCAGTCCCAGTGACACCCACCCAGTGCTCTAGTCTCTGCATGAGGATCTCGTGGTCGACTGTGTCAAACGCAGCACTCAGATCCAACATTACTAAAACTGTGACTTTTCCTGTGTCGGTGTTAAGTCGGATGTCATTTGTAACCTTCACTAGTGCAGTCTCAGTGCTGTGATTGGCTCTAAAGCCGGACTGGAGCGCATCAAAGGAACTATTAGTTACTAAGAATTCTGTAAGTTGTTGGTAAGCAACTTTTTCCAGAATTTTTCCCATAAACGGCAGATTTGAAATTGAAATATTGTGTTTGTAACTCTCTCAAAGCCCAACTTTTAATAATCAAACTTCATTGCATGTTTGTTTTTCAACTGGCTTCCGGCTTGTGGTAACTTTAGCTAGAGATGTGATTTTCTTTCTATTATATTAGCAAATGAAAAGCAGTTCCCCCATATTTCATTATTAGCTCCCAGACGCATGCACACGCACACGCACACACACACACACACACACACACACTGAACCAAACTCCATTCACAAACAAACTATTTTATTTATAACCTCCTTTCTGGAAACCACCCAACATTCTCCACACATCTGACCCAATTCGACTTCCACTGAAATTGATCAAGTCACCAAAAACATCTCAAACCCCCCTTTATTCCAGTCAGTCCTCCTGGTTTAAACAGTCACTTATGTCCAGCGGTTTAAGCTCCTCATGTTCTGTGTTTGTGTATGATATAAATAAAGTTTTGTTGTAGAGGAAGTGGTCAGGGCAGATGGAGGTCACGAGAAAACACTGCCGTCTAACGAGGACCAGACGCAGGCTTAGGACAGACACAGCTTATAGTATCATATGTTCGTGTACCAGTGTGTATTTGCTGAAGCCAGAGTCGTATAGTTTCAGCTGCAGATGTAGTAGCAGTAATATACTTGGTTCTTTAAAAAGGGATGGGAAATAGGATGTAAAGTTTGTAGGTTTAAAAACAATAATTCTGACATTTTTAGAAGCAAGATTGAAGGTTAAACTGTCCGGGTGGTGACACGATTTTTGTGAAGGGGTCCTGCCACCTGGTTCTGTCCATATACAGTAGATATGTTCTAGTCTTGAAATGTCTCTCATTTTGGTTTAAAGCATGTACATTCCTAAATTATGAATGAGTTAGTTAGTGCTTAAAAAAGCTTTGGTGCTTTACAGTGAGAAGACGTCCCAGTCTCTCCAGTCTCCACTTAGCCGAGTGAAGTCAAGTGCCTGTTTCCAATGAAAAAATAATGTTTCATGACAAACTGTGTGAATATTCAGGCAAAACAACAACATTTAGATGAACACACGCAATTCATTACCATTGGATCTATTGCTTTTAAATTGTTTTTTTATATATTGCATTAACTTCTCTTTATCAAGCACAAAGTTGACTTTCATAACGTTATTCACAATAATAATCAAAATATGTTATTGAGTTGAATAAAGTTGTATGGATTTCAGCACTTTTCAACTAACATTTTGGGTATTTTTCAGCGTAGTAAAGGAAATGTAGTATGTTCATTACATTTCAATGTGTTATTGTACAGGCTAACATGGGAACTCTTAACTTCTGGGAATACAATAGGGTCAATAGCCAGTAAAATGTGCGTAATATAGTTAGAAGAGTCTGCAGTGTTTCCTGTGGATTTGAATGAGTCTAATATGAGTCAGGAGACAGTTATGAGACACGAAGGAAAAGGAACAGCGCACATCCTGCTGTGGACTCAAGTAATTTGGATATAGGCAGTATTTCCAGTGTGCAGGTTCTTTCATATAAAACAAACATGGGGTGTTTATCTTCCTATGGTTTTAAGAATAGAGCCGGTCATTCAGACCTTAACAGATGTCAGCACTGGTCACTGTGGTAAATGATGTTCTGTTTCAGTGAATAACCACTGCTCTGGGGCTCTGATAGTGATGTACTGCTAAATCAACAACAAGGAAAGTACGGGACAATGATGGTATTAAGCCCTGAGTCTATGGATTTACATACCTCCTTTGGAAAGATTGAAGACAGTACAGAGAAGGCATGGAGAGGATTTCAGATTGGATATTGCGCCACAGTATAAATATTAAAATACAGAAAGAACAATCAGATTCACACAAAAATCACACAAAATATGGTAACAGGTGACTATAGCAGGTGAGACATGATGTGCCCTCGTACAGCAAAAACAAATGATCTTTTAGCCTGTTGCTATGTTTACCCCATTGAAACACATCGGTCAGAAAAAGAGACTGACCAGTGAAGGTCTGATCCTATCATGTATCAGAAGTTAAGTGGAGCAGTGCCTGGTTAGTACAATGATGGGAGACCTGTGGGAATATCAAGTGCTGCAGCTGTGGCTGTAGTGCCAACCTATTGTTGTGTCCTTAGGCAAGACACTTGACTCACGCATACATGAGTATAGTGTGTGCGTGAATGATTGATGGTTGGTTGCCTCACTTCCATGTGCCCCATGGCATCTATAGCTACAGTATAGTAGTTTATCACAACCACGTACGGAGCGAAAGAATAATGCATGTGGAGCATCTTTGAAAAAAGAGCTTTATAAATCAGTGCATTATTATAATAATGTTTTCATGAGTGTTATAACTTTGAGTTATCTGGGACAGTCGGACCACAGTTTTGAAAGTATATAGATTTCATTTTACTGATAACATTCAAGACCTTTCAAGCCTTATACAACATCTTACAACAAACTGAATTAAAATGACTCTGATGTCAGTCCTCACTCTCGAAAGTGAGAATGCTCTCTGCAGCAACACAACAGAAGTTCAGCTGTGTTTGAATTAAAATGTTAAGATAAAGGCCCAAAGTAATCACCTAAATTTCACATTTCATGTTATAATTTCTCAGTGGATTTTTCTATTCTTTTTAAATCCACACATTGGTGAGATTGGTGGCACAAACTATTCTCTTTTGATTTATAAAGTGACAGATTTGGAGTACTTCTGCATCACAGCTGGATTCTGTATATGTCAGACAGCCTAAATTCATGAATATTTAAAGTGTCCTCGAAGTAAATCCTTATCCTCGAAAACACGTCGATCTGAAACGGAGCCCTGTCTGAGAAAAGAGGATTATGGGAAATATGAGTGATAAATCCTGTCTGTCACTAAAAGGAGAAGGCTTACTGTCCGATATAAACAATATGTAACAATTGACTATGATTTCATTTCACTCAATTGTTGCATGCTTTTTTCTACAAAACACACAAGCACATGTATACTTGAACAAATGCTGTTTGATGGATTTGATGCAGAGAAACAGGTCAAAAAGCAATATTCTATTCTAGTGAGATCAATAAAAAATTTAAAAAAACATTCTCCTCTATGATATAATCCTGATTGACAGAAACACCTTACACAATTGTAAATGTATTTATTCAGTTCACGGATCGTTCTGTTCTGCTGGATGCTTTTTGGCAAACCTCAGCAGTCTTAAACCTATTCCTTAAAATGGATGACAAATACACTATGGCATAAATGGAGAGAAGACAATTAGCTACAAAAACCGACTGAGCATGTATAAATGACACCAAACAGTGTCTAGTACAACTAAATCACATAACCCGTTTACCCTCTGTAATAATTGTAAGTATAACATTATCTCTGCTGCTGTATAGCTCTGTGCACGTTCACGTGGATGAGGGGGGTGTGTCCGCGTCTGCTGCACATTCGACCCTTTCCCTTCGCTGCTGCTTCTCAAACAGCCATAAAACCAGCTACAGTCTCACTTCGCTGATTAAACGTGTCCGCTTCGATCCAACAACAGCGCTGCCAATGCACGGATCGATAACCTCACGTGAGCGCGACCAATCTGGGTCATAAGTCTCCCAATTGAGCAGAAAAAACCGCTTTTATTATCCGGTTACAACGACAGCGCATGTTCAGATACTATCACAAGATTTGTCAAAAAGAAAAAAAAAAAACCTGCTCGCGTTTGGTGCATTTTTATTTTATTTTTTTACGTGCGTTTCCCGTGCGTAAAGAGGCGCTTGAAGGACGCGCAGATGTTGCCAGCCTCTGTAGCCTACATTCACTGCGGCGAGATGTCGGTCAGTGTGTGCGCGTGCTTGTGTGTGGGCGCGCGTGCGTGTCCGGGAGCGCGCAACACGGTGAATCCTCTGTCCCAGCCCCCACCGCGTTCACGAGCACCCCCATCCACACGGCTGTCTATGCTCCACATGCATCCAGCCGGGAGAGCCAGATGCACAAGGATTATATTCTGGTTACAATAGAAATACTATATATAGCGTTTGGCACGTGCTATAGTGGCGGGGAAGGGGGTATGAGCTATACAAATAAAATGGGTGTGTTGTAAATTGCAGTGCTGGTCGCAGTAAATGGTTATTGGACTATTTTGGACCAATGCAAAACATATTAATGCCAACAGAAAAATAATAGCTTTTTTAAATGCATAGTCACTCATATAACACTTTTCAGATATAAGGGTGTGTCAGAAGTATTCGATTTTAAAACTGTTATAGACATAGTTTGAGTGAATATTGATATAAAATGCATATGGGGTTAAGGAGTTTACTATAACTGTAGTTCTAAGCATGGGTGATAAATTGATGATTAGTGAGTCGGGAATAGAGCTCAGATAATGAGAAGAAAAAACTGCCTCAAAAATGTGTCAATGCTGATTGTGGAGTGGGGGTCCAGTGTGAGTTTGCACGTTCTCCTTGTACTCCTGGCTCTCACAAGTTTCCTTCAAGATGCATTTACTTTCCCTATAGGTGTCCGTATAGAAGTCCAGCACCTCACCACATATCAGCATCTGATATGTGACACACAGCATCACAAACACAACATTATGTTTATCATCATTGCAGCCCTACTGCTCATGATGGAGGGGGTGTTATTCTCTTTTAAATACTGAGCTGACATTTATAATAATCACTTCAATCACTCAAAACACTGAAGCCCTCTCAAAACACAGTGAAAACATGTGGAGTATAAAAGCCAGATGAAGAATATTACCAGGATAATTAAAATCACAATCAAGTCATTTCAGATACATAGTTTGTACCTCATACAAATACATGATTTAACGCCAACAAGTATGTTCAGATCAAAATGACTTGATTTACAACGTGATGTTTGTCAGAAAGAAGCTTAGTTCTGACTACCGGGCCAATCTGTGTGAAGTTTGCACATTAATCCAGTGTCTGATGGGTTAGTTACAGTTTACTATTGACCCAAAACCTCGAGGTTTCAAGTATCTGAGAACCTCAAGGTTCAAAGGGCAATTTTTCTTTCATATCAAAGTCAGCTGCATCTTTGTCATGGTTCTGAACAAAATAATAATTTGACACATTTTAACATTCAAAGAAAAGTACATGCAGCAATTAGGTTTTACAAAAATATATCCCAATGCAATGCATCATGATTTAAATGTCTTGCTCAATAGAATTATGAACATAGAAGAAGGATGTAGGCGGACCCAAGTGAAATGGCCAACTCTTTTGAATAGTAATAAGCATGAAGGTGAACTTGCTCTGAAGTGATGATGTGGTTGATTCAAATCAAACCTAAAAATACCAAACCCAAATTATTCTCAGGTTGTATTGTTGTTTTTGGCTGAAAGGACTGGCACGGGACTAAATGAACATGCTCTGCGCAAAGCTTCATGGAGTATTTGGATGTGTGACTGAATAGAAGTAGGTTAAATGAAATTGCACGGGATTACGAGTGCACGTGAGCAGTATGCATATTTACTTCCAGCAGCTGTGATGTGAAGTATAGCACAAGTTTAAATTGGGCTTGTGTCTCCGCAGCAGCGTTGCCTCTGTGCAAAATATGTGTCAAGGCGCGTGCGTGTGCGCGTGAAGAGGCGGTGCAGAAATGCGCGTGCGGGTGGTGGAAAATGGTATGGTGTCTGTGTCACACACACGCGTTTAATCTCATGACAATGACATGATACGCCAAGGTTAGATTAGATGAGATTAGTCCGAGCTGGAGCTGCAGATGTGGATGCTTGGGCACGTGCACATTAGAGGGGGATGCATGCGCGTGACAGTGCGCGTGACAGGTGGTTTGCCCTTTACGATACCGCGGCGGGAGCTCAGGAGATGAAGGTTTGGGGAACGCGTTTGGACAAATGGGACAAGGATAGGTGTACAGTAACGTGTATAAATGTGTGCGCGTGCGCGTGGTGCAGTCCGCGCGTGCACTCACTCACCCCTGGTCAGGCTGCTTCTGTCCATGTACATCGCGCAGCAAAGCACAAATCCGGTCATGAAAGGCGTCGGTGCGGGGAGACAGCGGCTCTCCCGGCTCCAGAGCAGTGAACGCGGTAAAGCGCGCAGGTGCGGCACGGTGGTGCTGGCTGAGCTCAAGCCCGGGGAGTGCGCTCGGTGCTGGGCTCTGCTGCCGCTGCTGCCGGTGTCTGTGGGCGGAGCCTGTCTCCTTCGAGCGTTTCCAAGGCGACGCACTCAGCCATCGATTTTTCCTCTATTTAGGCATTAGACTGCATACTTCTGCTATTTAGTGTGGGGATATTGTCTCCTCTTTCACTGCATCACTTATTGATTTAATTCACTGTGAGGTGTGGGGTCTTTTTCCACTAATTATCCATCCCTTAGAAAGTTTTTGCCCTAAATCTTGTCTGGTTGAGATGGGTGGCGTGAGGTGGTGTGAACTGTACTTCGGTTTTGGTTTAAGGTAGGTTAAGGTATACTCCATTTATCACCCTACAGAGAAATTTGATCACTGCCTTTGACCTATCCTACAAAGGCGATATAGCATCTGCAGACCCATCTCCAGATATTGATAGTTGGCTTAGTAGCACAAACACTCAGAGAACATGTATACTCCACTCAGGAAGGCCCAATCCCAATTCGAAGCCAAGACCTTCTTGCTGAGAAGTGAGAATGCAAACCACTCGGGCCACAGCGGTTTGGTTTGGTTTTTGTCTTCCTTGTTCCGCACATAAATGCATCATTGCAAACACAGTGATGGACACAGAACATTTGACACTGTGAACTCTGCGGTCTCTCTCTGGAGGACACTGCCCCTTCTAAGGTCAGAGGTGAGAGAGTCAACATCACGACCCGACCGCTTCCCCTCTCCTCTAGCACTCAGACTATGAAGCAGACTATGGTTGACAAGAATAAGAACAGCTGGACATCCCCACAAAATAAATCCACTTTAATCCACTTGGTGAATACATTTTTTTTTAAATAACGTGTGAGTTAAATGTAACAACAACTAAAATATCCTCCCTTGACCCCTGCGTCAAGGGTCTGTAATGGGAAAGACAAATGTTTAAATAAAAAATCAGGGGCCACACACTGTGAAATGTGTGGCCTCTGATGATTATCCTTTAGCCCACGTTGTATCTTCAGTCCTCATGGTTTTTAGGCAGTCTTGGTTTAGTACTAACCAAGGTTTAATACTGTCCATCCATCCATCGATTTTCTACCCTTTAATCCATTTCTGGGTCAGGGGGGTGGCAATCAGAGATGCCACCCAAGTCTCATAGCACCAGCCCCTCACTGACCCTCTGCAGGTGGTGAGTCCACAGTGAGTGTGAGCATAGCCTTGATCTTTCAGTGGGGGCTTTGGGCAAAGTGGGGTTAAGTATCTTGCCCAAGGACACAACGACAGCAGTCATCAGTGGGAGTCGGTGGAGAATGTGTAGAGGTGGTTTAATACTGGTTTAGCTTAATCCTGGATCAGTAAAGGTTTTTTCCAGGTTCAGTCCTGGTTTAGTCCAGGATGTGTGGAGGTGCAGACACCGTTTAGTCAAACCCTGGGTGTGAAACAGCTGAGTCTATTTTTACCAAGACTCTTCATTCATATCTCTGGACAGGGCAGAGCAGAGCAGAGCATTGTGGGAAGTCTGACTTGATGTATAGCACTATTTATAAAACAAAATGATAACTTCCTGTTTCTGTGAGGAAACAATTGTCATAAAGCGGCAAAACATCAACAATGTTAACAAACTACAACAAATATCCTCAGTTACATTAGGTGGGATAGGGTTAGGGTCCTTTATTGCACCCTTTTGGGGAATGTGTCCTGTGCATCTGAATTAATCTCTAGGGAAACTTTGTTAGTGGTGTGCAAGGTCACGAAGTCTGCGCAGACATCCTCGTTATAGAAAAAAACAAACTGAAAAATAAAAGAAGAGCACTCCGGAAAAGCCTAAAATGAACCCTGGACTCACGTCGGCCTGAGCAATTCTTTCTCTCTCCTTATCGGAGCGCTCCGGTTACCAATCCCAATCACCGAAAATGCTCCTGACAGATAGAAACATTGGAAGGTTGGGTCAAATGCAGAAGACAACGTTTCCTACGAGGTCAATTAAAATGCGTCTCAACCATAATGTTTCCAAGTGTCACTGGCTCCTGTCCCTGGCCAGTCTTCTCGGCACCAGACCCCAATAAAAATGCCCAGCGGGTGACATGCTTATTCAATCAATTGAAAAATATTAGTCAAAGTAGCCAAAAAAGCTACTCTGCAAAACACAAACAAAAATTGTATTAAATAATAATTTATTAGCCCTGCATTGATTATTTTTGATTGTGTATGTGTGTACGTGTGAAATATACATTTAATTGCTCTTGTATTTTCTCATACATTTACCTTCAGGTCCAACATGCATTTCTCAACTTACAATAAATTATGACTTCGTACATAGCATTGAGTATCAAAACAAAAACCTTCCTCTTTTGGTCTATTGTCACAGTAACTTTTATGCTTGGCTTGTTGTGCATGAGTTTGTTGGTTGACGGAGCGCAGAGAGCCAGTGCCACGTTGTACCTGTGGTTAACTCTGAATTCTGTATTAAACCACAAACTCTCTCCATTCTACAGGCAAGTGTGCAGAGACTTCCAAACCACTGTTCGGGATATTTGCACCTCACATGTACGAGTCACGGCCATGATAAGGAGGGAGAAGTGTTCGGGGAAAAACAGAAGTAGATGTCTCACTGTGATTGTGTCTAATACGGAAACAAATAAATCTAAAAATGTTTTACGTATTAAAGAAAGATTTACACAATCTGGTTTTAAGATTGTCCTGATGATACCAATTGCAGGTATGTCACAGAAAGTATAGTGTGTAAATTGTTCACCACTAGGCCATGGTGCACACTATATGACACACAGTCTGCCACCAGGTGATGAGATATCTGGAGACTGAGAATCTTGTCACAGACACAGATTTTTGTTTACCTAATATTTTATTTCATATTTTAATTCAAAGTCCCTCATATAAATGTATTTTATAGAATAAGTGCAATATAGCATTCTGGACAAAGTTATCTGCCTCTGAATTTGTATAAAGTTACATATTTCACATTCAAATGATCAATTTGATTACTTGTTAGATATTTTTAGACCATAAAATCACCATGCTGATCTCCGCTAACTGATTCACACATGAACACATTCATTCTGGTGCCTTGCCCAAGGATGAAAGGAGTGCAAAGCCAGTGGCGGTAAAAGAAGCATCCACCAAAGAAGCGCCTTTGTGAGTCAGAAACTTTTCACTTATTCATTTTGACTTGTTCAAATCATCAGTCATCAGCAGCCGCAGGCCACATACAAAGTGCAGCGTTATACTTTCTGCAGTTGTTTTCCCTGAAGAGCAACACATTGCACATCACCTCCTCCTCGTGTCAAAGCGACCTTCGCAATCTCCTCTTTGACCTGATTCCAGTTTGTTTATGCATCATAAGACCCCCCCCTCCCCTCACTGTGCCATGTGACCAACTCCAAGTCCAAATTAGATTCACTTTAATGAAACAGAGTGGTGTGACCTGTATTTGTATTTCTTTTTTTTCTTCAGGGCATGCCCTGTACTAGCCAGGCCTTAGCCATCCGTACACTCCGCTCAATTATCATTTCCCTGCATGTAGCAATGTAATTTATACTATGGTGTGGTACGACCAGGCTAGCCCTGTACTAAATTTGTAAATTTCTCCATTAAAGTACAATAAAGTTTAACTTATCTAAAGATCTAAAGACTATTGTTAGTCCGGTAGATGTTATGACAAATGTTACTACAGGACTTGATAAACATGGGTTTAACTGCTGCACCACCATGCCACCAAGTGAGAATGTAATAGTTCTCATTTGAATGACTTGCATCCGATCAAGTTGAGATTTTCCAAATCAGAGCCAGGATCCTATTCAAAATCAAACATGATTTTTGAAAGAGAAAGAGTTATGTACAATTCAATAACTTAAACCCTGACCCTGCTTTGCCAGTCGTCGCTGTAGAGCACCACCCCAGCTTTTTGGGATTTAGAACAAGCAAGTTTGTCCTTACCACAGAAGAACGGTCTAAGGGGGATGATCAGATATCACGATTGATCCTTCACTATTAAGTAATTAATAGTGCAGGCTCAATGTTTCTTTGGGATAGGGATAAAGTAGGGTTTGGGTTTAGGGTCAAGGTTAGGGCTAGAGTTCACAATAGTTAAGGTTAAACTAGGGTTTGGTTTAGGTTAAGAATAGGGTCAAGGTTGGGGTTAAATGTAACAGACATCACGGACTGTACTTTGTGACATCAGTACAGTCGAAGGACATGGTATGCACTGGGTCATTCATTTATATCACTTCAGATTTCTGTGAACATTGGTTCTTTCGTTCTGCTTTGACCAAAAATTCAGGAATGTATTAATTAAATTGTATATCTACCAATATACAATTTAATTAATACATTCCTTGGACACAATTATTGTTGTGATTGTGGGCTTTACAAAAATGAATGGATTTACGTGGCTACGTGGTAGGGCTCACTTGTGAGTGTGGCAGGGCTCACCTGTGGGTGTGGCTACGTGGTAGGGCTCACCTGTGGGTGTGGCTACGTGGTAGGGCTCACCTGTGGGCGTGGCTAAGTGGTAGGGCTCACCTGTGGGTGTGGCTACGTGGTAGGGCTCACTTCTGGGCGTGGCTAAGTGGTAGGAGAAGCGCATGGTGCTGAATCGGCAGGAGAAGGACTGAGGAGACGCAGAAGGGTCCGGTCTGTTCAGCCTCATTCTACTGAGCTACAGGACTGCAATTCCCATGATGCTTCAGTCCTCCAGCCAACTGCATGTCAACAGGAAACTCAAATGATCCATTCTCTGGTCTTTATCCAAGTTGCTCAAAGTTCTCAGAGCATTTTAACAGAAGTTCCTCCCAAAGCTTGGCGAAAAACAAAATTCCATTTGGATTCATGATTTGGAGATGTATAAAAAAAAGTATTCAGTGTTTATCCATAAAATAGAATACATAGATTTCATTCAAATGGGCAAAAAGGAAACAGTCTCTTTATAATTCACTATTCTTTATCTTCTCTTTTAGTAAATCCTTTAGTAAACTGTCCATAGACAGATTCATGTCCACATTTGTTATTCTATTTTTCTGTTCCAATGAACAGAGCAAAGAAATATGGGAATATATGCACATGTAATCTACCAGATTAGATGTGCATGAAAAACAAATATGTCTGAAAATCGGTCTTTTGTCCCATAAGTGCAGTTTTTAAATTCCATAAGGTGAAACTCAAATCCATTCCGATCCATTGCATTTCAATATACTCCGGACTTCAAAACAACTGCTGCCCTCGTCTTGTCCTCATAAAACAAATAATCCCCATCTCCACAAACAAGTCTTCTGTGAAAAATAAAAACAATATTTCAACCTCTTGTTATTCTCAGCAAAAAATCCATGGGACTCAGGAATAAAAATATCTCATTTGAAGATTTCCTTCAAAGAGATGCACATTCCTCTGTCGGGTTTCCAGCGGCAAAAGCTTTCAAAATAAAAGTGTGTTCCAGTAATAGTTACAATTCAAAAGGTCTTTTAAGTCGTTTCATTAAAGTTTGTAGAATGTCTTGCCTCCACTACTCTCACTCTTGTGGCTCTAAATCTTTTGTGCTCGGGCCGTTCCTTCACTCCTCCCTCATCTCCTTTCCTCCCTCCTGTCTCCTAACCCCTAACTCCTTAGATCCTCCCTCTGTCTCGGCTCCACGTCTGCTATTCATTTACAATACTTTGGTGAAATCTGAACCGAAAGGAAAACGACTGCTGGTCTGCACAGAAATTCCAGAAATTCACCCACTCCCCATTCCTCCAGATTTAACCCCAAAACAAACTTGGCTTCAGGAAAAGACCTTGAATGACTTTAACCGCTTCCTGTTTGGACCCTAGTAAGAAAAGAGACTTCTAGTTTTGGTTAAGAATAGATTGAAGGTTAGTCCATTGTTTTATATTTATGTTGAAAGAAAAAGGATCTGACGTTGACCCAGTTTGATTTGGATCATTTATGGGAACCACATTTTTCCAACTAAATTTCTGTCACGCGCTTCAGTCATTGAACCATGTCATCTTTGCTGAATGTGCAAAGAGTTCAAGCAGCTGTGGTTTAAGCCAATTTCTACTCATGGCGTCCCAAAAGTAAACAAATGAGTGCATAGCTTTTAACAAAACACATTTAAATAGTGATGATTCAAGAAGTTTATTTGTCATTCGAATATTTGTCACAAGGCTCTTGGTTTAATTTAAAAGCATATCAAAAGTTATATAAAAACACATCATCAGTTGAAGTATTTGGGCGTCTCCGATCGACGACTTCTCAAACTGTAGCGGGTCTAGAACAAGGAAATACGTTTATTTCATTCACAGAACAGATTTTCACATCGCCATTAAAGGGAAGGTCTCACAAACTACACGACCCCCAGCTTCACCTTGTGACTTACCCTTCTATTAACATTTAAAGCCGCAATAATTGAAGAGTCAGAACACACCAAATCCATTAGAAATTATGTTTGAGTGTGCTATTGCAATGTATTGTTTGACCTAATTTAGTTTAGATGGTTGTATTTTATGTCAAATATTAGAAATTAATATGGGCATATGTCTTTCTAATTGCAATTTATGGTGAATTAATTGATTTATTTAAGCAGACACAGGGAAAGGCCCTTTTCCGACTAATTCAAACGCAGGACTTTCTTGTTGAGAAGTGAGAATGCTAACCACTCCATGCTAACCACCGTGCCACCAAATACTTTTTTTTTCTTTCAAAGGAAATGGTCAACCCAATTCCAATATCAGTCACAAATCTTACGGATTTGTCCTCCACCAAGATGCTGTAGACCAAAGGAGAACCAGACGAGCACCGCCTGGATGTGGAGGACCTTCTCTGGCGCCTGCTCGGAGTCACAGCAAGGGCCTTCACTGGGGCATCATGGGTAATTGTGTCCTCATCTTGGGAGATGTTTTCCAGGACCGTGATGTGAGAAGAACAGAGCGTGCTGCTCAGGAGGCTTTCTGAACTCCAACCTGCCACAAAAACACAGGAACGAATAATTTCCATTATCTTCATACAAATTTGACACTGTTTAAAAGAGTACATACAAGTTGATATGATTATAAAAGTTATTTTATAGTCCTTCGTGTGGCAGGACTATAAAACTGTGCATAGTTTTTTCTGACATTTACAAAAAGCGAAAAAAAGTGTATTTTAATGTGCCGACAATAATTGCACTGATAATACACCTATTTTATACTTTATTTTAAGTGTTTTTCTCCTTGTGTCCTAATTTTACAACCAGGAAAAGGTTTGTCAAATTTCTTACAAAGTCTGAAATTAAAATAACCACAACTTTAAGATAAACGATAATAAACTCACCAATGTGTGAGAGCTGGGATACTTCCAATGGATCCTCCATTTTCCCCTCAGACTTCTGAAACATGTTAAAAGAGATTTTTTTTTTTTTTAAATAACTAAAATTAATACACTAGAGTACTCACCTCTTCTTGTTTGATCCTCTCCCATTTTCTTATTTGAGAACATGTTTTTATTTCTTGCTCCAATACCTCTGATTTCTTTTGTTTTTCTCCCAAGTTCTCTAAAAAATAAAATTGTTAACAACTTGAGAGGCTGTTCTTCTACAGTCCACCAGAGGGAACCAATGTATACATTTTACGAGTTTACCAGCACATAGCTGTCAAAATGAACAGTCACAATTTTCCCATTTTCCTTAATATTTTACACGTTCTAAAAAAAGATAGAGTTATTTTCAAGGTCGAAAGGTCACCTTGGTTACCTGCAAACTGTAGCGCCACCTGGAGGCTGCGCTGGGTCTCCTGCAGCTGTTGTAGAACAAACAGACTCTGCTGCAGCGGGTCTTTGTATCTCCAGATCACAATTATTAAAACAAACACCGACAGGCAGAGGACCACGCGCCGCAGAACACTGATGTATGAAGCCACCACCTCCTACGGAAACAAGGAGGGCTCGCGATTTTAAACATAAAAAATTTTAGTGCAAAAATCAGACATTAATCTGTAGGACTTTCCAGGTTTTCCTGGAAATGTTAGATGCAATATAAATAAAATGTATTATTATTATTATTATTATTACAGTTCAGTATTTTATGACAGTTTCTATAATCTAGCTTTCTATAATTATCTATAATATAATCGCGCCGTATGGTGTCATCGTATCAATGTTGTTAAAACTGAGATGAAGACCGTTTTATATTTGTGAGCTAGGACACCTTTCCACAGACGTGACCTGTAACTTGACCTGGTGCAATCACCCTTTTAAGCTGTGGCACACCAACTTCCTTGAAAACAATCACATGACACACCGCCAGCTGCAGCCTTTAGTAGCAAAGTCATTCTCTTTAAAGTGTTTTACATAGAAAATAAAACAGCACAAAACATCTTCTAATCTTTTCTTTTCATATGACCATGACTAATGAGGTGATATTGGATCATTTCCAAAGGCACACCAAACAACGTCAAGACATTCTTATTGAAAATCACTGATGTAGATGGATCTGTGCCAACTTTCTGAAGCATTATTGTAAATATCAGTTGCATCTCAATTGTGAAGAGACTTTACACAAATCACCCGTTCGTCCCACTCCACTCCTTGATCTTACTGGCAGTGGTTAGGTCATTTAAAGAGCATACTTGCATACTTGTAAGAAAGAGCACCGAGTCATTATTTGACGCTTTGGGCTGATTTAATCGCCTGAGGGTGGGGTCCCATCTCTCACTTTTTTGTTTGAAAAAGTTGATCAAGGTGTGGCCAAATATACATGCATGTGAACAACTTATAATTGGTTTTATGTCAGAGTTCCGTTATTGTGGGTTAACGCCAGCTTTAAATATTTAATATAATAAAAAGATCAGAAATGGGCAGAAATAGTGCATTTGATGTTATTGACATTCCCACTAAACATCTCATTGAAAATATAAATAAAGTTGTTTAGTGAACCAACAGATCGATGAAAGAATGGAGCAGTGAACAGTAAAGTACACCGGCCTGCATTAGAAAAGTATGTTTATCATTACTCGAAAATAAATGCATCAAGTTGAGGGCAAAAAGCTGTTTCATGTTGTTTTCATATAAGATAAACTTTAGTGATCTCACACAGGAGAAATTTACAGATCATACACTACACTGATACATACACTCTGTTACATCCATTTTATTTGGCAGCAATTATACCAATGCCATTTGAAACTGCTCAGAGGTACTTATCACCTGTATATCCATTCCCAATTGGGCAAAAATGGTGTACATTTGACTTAAAGTAGAGTCATGTGTACGATTTGTTGGTTTTCTCACCATTTGCTGGTGCTCTGGGCAATCTGAGCTGGTCACAAACTGATAGATCTTTCTCTCCAGGTAAAAATTAACACACACCAGAGCCATCAGCAGCAGCCTAAAGAGAAAAAAAAGAAAAAAACTGAAAGAAGATAAGAGGATTGACACATTATTTTTGGTACTTCAATAAGTCCAAAAAGTATTGTGTTTACTCTTTTCTCTTTTTTTCTGTACTTTTACAGAGAATATGTCCACTGTATAAATATCAAGGTAATTTTAAGAATGTCTATTTACTACAAAAGGGACCCCCAAACGCATAAAACCGACTCGCAAACCCCCACTGCATAAAAAGATGCAAAGATGCAATAATTTGAAGCATCAAAACCTGTTAACCGTATTTTTGCTCGTACTCCTCAGGCAATATTGTCCTCTGCATATGACCCAACAGTACAATACAATACAGCACTAGGACCTCCTCAGGGTCAAGTCATGTACTGTGTTACATGACCCATTTCATAGTCTTTATTCATTAAATAATTAATTGAAATGAATTACATAAATGGTAATATTGCAACTAAAAATCATCTTGCGACCCTTGTAAAAGCCCAGCGAAACCCTTTGGGAACCACTATTCTCAACAAACAACTAAATAAAGACACATTAAATACTTCTATAGTACTTCAAGATAATTTCATGAGATCATTTTTAACTTTTAGGTCAGGTAAAGCATCTGTACTGTATACTTACAAGTAACAATTGAATTATTTTGAAGTACTTTCAACTCTTAAAAAAAGAACAGAGCAAATCTTGCTTAGCCAATTTAAATTGAATAAATTCAATTGTAACAGTAAGTCCACTATAGAACAAACCTGTTGGTAACACATGTTTGCGTTACCTGGCCCTGGAGGTGCGGGAGGTGGCTGTGAGTAGAAAGACCGCCCCCAGAGCTGCAGCGTTGTACAGACATGAGCTCATGCTGTGGGCCTCCATCATCAAGAAACTCTGCAGAAAACTCACACGGTTGAAGAGCTCCGAGAGGGCAAGCTGCTGCTGCTGAGAGACCACCGAAAGCTCCGAGAACACTGACTGGAGACCTGCAGCAGAGGATATGATGTATGTGTACGTAGGATTGCCATGCTGTTCAAATTATGTGGTAAATAACAACTTAAACATGTCTGGGTTTTATTTATTTTCACGTATCATGCATACTATATGAATGACTGGTAGGACATCTCTAGTTCTTTTGAGTCTTGTCAATTGCTTTTGTTTAATTATAGGGTAACCCAATAGACTTCAGAGGGTCAAATAAAACCAGAAATGTGGCAAGGGAACAGTAGAGTTTGATCAAAGCTAGTGGAAAAAGGAGAAAAGTGGAAAACAGTTAAAGCCAATAGATTTTTTATGATGGTTTTAGTAAATTCAGTAAACTTCCATTATTAGCTAAAGAAATGCTGAACTATTGATTGAATGCATTGAAAAAGTGAGATGCACCATAAGTTGAAGTACGGAGGTGAAGAATGTGTGGTCACCCTTGTTCATGGTTCACCTTGTGTGGAGTCTCTCAGCGTAGCTCTCAGTTCCTCCCCATTGCTCAGGATTTCCTGCTGAGCCTGGAGTGCAGCACTCTGGGCTTCAATCAGTTCCTCAGCCATTTGTTTAGTGGACAGCAGCTGCTCTGCTACACCGGCTGAACTCTCAGTTAACCTGAAATTTAGAAAATTAAGTTTGAAGTATGTTTATTCAAGTATTTGTCCTCAATGGGTGTCTGCTTTGGTAATGTCACAGTTACCTGTGGATGGTGTTTTCAGCTGTACTCTGCCAGACCTCAGACTGTAGATAGTGACACATGGAGTGTGTGTGAGTGAAGAACTCTGTGTATGTGTTGAAGGCCACGGCGTCCATGTGAGCTGTGCAAAGACTGACCTCGGACCCCTCTGGGCAAGCAGGGAAGTCACGACCTGAGCTGGAAGACATTACCATCCAATTAGAAACACATTCCAAATATCATCATCAGCAGTGTTTAGGGAAATTTATCTGATGAGCAGGATTAACAAATAATAGTACTTTTTTAATGTTTTCCATAGTGGTTCTTTGCAAGCCCAAAGATGCTTCACATGACATTACTCTTTTATTCTGTACAGAGAGCGGTAAACTATTAGCCACAGCTAGCATAGGGACTGACTGACAGAAGCGAGGCAACCAGTCTATGCCATCACCAATCATCACTCACCAGACTCATAGGGCAATGTGGCTGAAGTAAGTAAGATAAGTAAGGTTTATTCATATAGCACAGTTTACAGACCAAAGTCACCCTAAGCGCTTTACAATTGTTCAAAGTTCAAATATTGTTCCAATCATTCCACACAGTGATGACGGAAGCGAGTCGCCGAACACACTGATGCATCAAAGCCCCAACCAACATCATCCATTCACTCACTAACTGAAGTGTCTTGCCAAAGAACACAAAGTCCATAATTCAACATTTCTTATGGCCTGACAGATGCCATCCGTCCACTATCACCTATATTACACACAAATATAAAGCGTCCCTGCGCGCTCACCTGAGCAGGTGACAGTGCGTAAACTTGAGCGCCAGTCGCCTCTGATTCTCTGACGTCATGTCTCTACAGCGCGTGTCCAGCTGCAGGAGCGCACGAGTCCAGCAGTCTCCATAGCGTGAGGAAGTCGCATAGCTGCGCATGCGCTGCAGCTCCGCACGGCCGCGAGCTGAATCTGCGTCCAGTACCGAGCCCGAGGACAAACCGGAGAGCAACAGCACGAGGAGCACGGCTGGTGTCCTCCCGGTTGCATCAGCTAAAGAGGCCACCAGGACCATCGGGAAACAGCCAGCCGCCATCTTGGCCCTGTCACAGGTGTGCTCAGGTGTTTCATCCAATCAGCGCGCGATATATCGCGGGAGGAGAGGTCACGCAGATAATGTGATGATCTGAAATCTGTAAATTCCCAGGAGAATATGGCATGGCTTAGGCCTGTTTCCAGGTATGTTGTGGTTATAACACTGTTTCATAAACCTAATATTGTTGTAATGCTGATGACTATTACATAAATAACTTGAACAACCTGCTTCTGAGTTTATATAAATCTGTATCTTACAAAACATTTATTGGTTCAAAAACATCTTACAGAGTGTCTAAACCAAAAGATCAGATTCATTTATTTGCCATTTGCAGTAAAACCACATTGGAAAACTGTGCAAGACTACCCCGGTGTGCGCCAGAAGACGACACATACCAGAGCTCTTGCCACGGCGCCATCTTTACGGCGCCATGCGAAAAGAGCGTGCATGTTAATATTTTGGCTAAGCATTAAATCAATGAGACAATTAACTGTATAAATTACAAATTACAGTATAGAATAAAACAGACACAGAAACACATTCAGTGTTTTAATGCTAAAGTGCTAATGTCATAACTTACATTAAATAAAAGGTTAATAGGCTATGTAGACAGTGAGACAAAGTTCACAAAGCCAAGTATACAAAACCTTTACAAGATTTACTTTTCAGGACCACAACCAAATTAAGTGTTAAGGATTCGTGGGAATTCATTTCATGAGCAGGATCTATTAACACAAAGCCAGTTTCTGATGACATTATTTTTTGTCAACATGATAGAGATACATGTTGAATTGCATACTATTTATCAGTATATAATTTTTTTTTGGTTTGAAACAAGAATATAAAAGTAGAAGACCAATTCTCTTTCTGGATTTGCTTTCCAATAATATTGACATAACTCATTATTCATTATGCTGCAGTATTAAAAACACTGTTTATATTTGGACAGCCACTTTTAATTCATAATGAAATGTATTACTTTTTAAGAGGTTTTAGAGGCAGCCTTCTTCAAATGACCACATCAAACCATTCAGCCTTTTAGTATCTCAAAATATTCATGGCCTAATAGCATAACTGTTAAAAACATATGTAAAAAAAAAACCATCCTCTAATTGATAATTATGGTCAAATAGTGTTTTTGTAAAGAAATAAGGGTCTCGAGCTTATATCAGTCATAAAGTGCTACAGAAGGTGCTTCAGTGCTTTCATTCAAACCTAGTCAGCCTCAGATTAATGTTTGTGTTCTATGCAGGCACTAATACTTGGCCATAAGTAAAACGCATAAATAATAAACATATCATTCTTTTTGTTTGAGAATAAACTTGTTTTAGTAAATTAATCATTAATCATACTGATAAGTTAGTACTTATCAGTATTCATTCAATCATTGTTCATATTGGGGTTGTGTATTCCTTTGTGTCCATAAACAACCACAGACATCATAATATTATTTGAAATGGCACGTAAATAAATAACAAGATAAAAGAGAATATAAAAAGATAGAAAATAGCTTTCAATAACATTTCTCTGGCACTTTTTAATAGGGCTAAAGCACTTTACAGACTTTGAAAGGGAATTACATGTTTCTGCTTGGTATTAGTCCACTGAAACATAAGAAACAGGAGCTTCAAACATCTGAATAAATGGATATTTTGAGTTGACGCTGTAACTACAGACAGGCAGGGGCAGTGGTAGAAGTGCTCATGGGAAAAGGAAACTTGACCAAAAACTTCCAAAAACTTCCAAATATTTGTCATTTGTTAATATTTCCATATTGCAAATATAATTTATGATAAACACATGACTTATTACTGTGAATGAAGTCTGATCAATTGGAAGTCATTCTATCAAGTTCCATGTTCCATAAACACAGAACTAGATCTTTAGTACACTTTAGGTCCTGTGTACACATACTATATAGAGATTTTATGAAAAATTAAACCAGTTATTACAGTTCAACGTGCAAACCTCCCCTTGTGTCAACAGACTGTGAACAGGGGTGCTCAGTCAGTAAAGTCTAATATTATTATTGAGAAAAGCCATATTAAAGGTGCAACACTTAAAATATCACTAGCAGCGCGGACAATGCACCCCTAAAGCAGAACTCTGCAACTTTATCTGCCTAAAAAACTTCAGTGAAAAATCTTGCCAATGGCTTGCCCAATGGCTCCCTCTACTGGTTGTTGATTGAAACACAAAAGATCATTGACAATTCAGTTATTGGAGTCTCATAAAGAATTCAAAATTCATGATTCATTTTTGTTTGAATGGCCAATTGCTGTAAACAAAAAGTGCATTGAAAAATAAGAAAATATATGTCAACTTGACTTCTTTATTCACAGGGTTGTCACTGAGTTCTGCTTTAAAGCTGTAAAAGTGATAAAAATACAAAATGAAAACATAATGTTATAATCCGGAAGCCGAGTATTGTTTTTTCACTACACCCCCCACACCCACAGAGACTAGCGGAAAATAACAGCTGCCTTATGAGTATTTACATCGTTTTCAAAGTTCTGTTTTCCTTAAAAAAATCTTCCATAGTCATTGTCGAAAGCACTTCCATATTTGAACTCAGTCTTTTTGATTCAACTGTTGCCAAAGAAGCGGTGACAATTGTGCCACTTTGTGCAATTAACATTTACATTCCATAAACAGTGTAAAACAGTAAACCTTCTTATGACAATTGCTCAGAGCTGAAAACCACAAAAAAAGAATATCTTTGTTTGCAAAATGACTTGATTTGGGCAGTTTTGACTTGAATAGCACTATACTTTTTAATACATGTACACATATACAGTACCATCAATTTTGATTAGTTTTTCATCAAATAATAAGCTGTACATTTAATGACATAATAACAATTTGGTATAATTTATGCTTTATTTATTATACAATTTCTTAAGTTTCTGTAGATACAAATCCAAATATATATTATGGATATGTCTTCAAATTAGATTCGATACTAGTTTTAATGCATCTGATTTTCAATACTTTTGACAAATGTGGGGCGCCAAAGTATGTTCTATTAATGTGAATGAAGCAAAGAATGATGAAATGATGATCTCTTAAAGATATAAAAAGTACAATATGTTTCCATGCGTTTAAGGCTGAGACAGTTCTTTTGAATGTAAAAATGTAAATGTGCAATTTGTTTGTAGGTAAATTTTTCCTCTGCTCCAGATGTTGATACTCGGCTGGGTCAGGACTACCAGAGCTGGACGAGTTACCTATTCTGCATATATTTAGTGGTAGGGGAAACCGGAGAACCCGGAGGAAACCTACGCAGACATTGTGAGAATATACAGACTCCACTCAAAAAGGCCCTGTTCCAACTGAGATTCGAACCCTGGACCTTCTTGCTGAGAAGCGGGAATGCTATCTAGACAAAGTTTAAAGAAGCAACGTTGTCTTTTTAAAATAATCATCTAAGCTGTGATCTCTTAAAAGGTTTGAACTTTCAAAGAATGTTCCTATAATATCCTATACACAATCCTGGCAATTCTTAAATAATATCAAAAGAAAAATGTACATAACTGCCCTCTGACATTGCCCGAAGCCTCTAAGGCTCCTCTAAGCAGTTGCCTAGGACCCTGGTAAAAAATATGATTAATAATCACAAAGAAGAAAGCTACAAAAAATATAAATGTATTTTCATGTACCAATTATCTTTGTTTGGAATGTAAATAAGAGATAGGACTTAACAGAAACAGAGGATGTCAAAAGAAGGTGGGAAAGACAAAAATACGAGATAACAATTTAGGATTGCAAGAAAAACAAGTTAGGACCTCTATTTGAACGCAACATCCATGACTCAGCCACGATCTCAGGAAGCAACAAGCAATACCTCAAAGGACGAGTCATCAGAAGAAAAGTTCCATCCCATTTCACTACAAAAATCAGCATTTCAAGTTTTGATAAACCAGAGGCACTTTGGAAGTAAGTCCTGTAGAAGAAGAAACTGCATATACCTAACCTTTTGCAAACAAAACCTAATTATTTTAACAAGCATTATTTCTAATTAGCTAGATGCCACTGTACCAATGAAGGTCATTTTGCCGGCCTAACCCCGGACTAAATATCACATGTATATGTTATGTTATGCAGGAAAAAGGGGAAAAAAATTACTTTCAGTTGTCTGGGGGTGGAAACGTCCTTCTTGGGGTTTGCTACAGCCAATGGCACAGCGAGCATTTCAAAGGAAGGAAATGGATTTAATTATAGAACATAGGATGGCATCTAAATAAAAATATAAACGTTGCATAAGGCTTTCATTAATTTGTTTCATTCCATTTACAGTTATCAGGGGTAAAAATAAATGTTTATATTTAGTCAAAACTACTGAATTCAGAATATTCAATAATTCAAGTCATGCACATTGTAGACATTCCTTTTTTGTTATAATCATCTTTGCTGTCATGTGAAATCAGCTGACTCTTTCACTAACCACAGTTCGGGTCTCCACAGTCTCCTCTCGGCTGGGGCAAGGCACTCCCGACTGCGTCACAATGTCTTTGAGCTCCCTGCCCTCCCCAGCTGCTTCTGGTTCGGCGCGTATCCTGTTGCTAATGCTAGGTCCAGCAGTATTATTCGCTCCCCTTGCTCCTCCTGAACTCTCTTCCGCCTCCAACTTCAGACTTTCATCTTGATTTCTTGGCCGTGTGGTGCTCAAATCTTGTGGTTGATCACTTGGATTAATCTGCACTTGTGTCAAATTTGAACTCACAATATTTCGTGATGATCTGTTTGGCGCTAACTGTTGTATGGGGGATCTTGTGATTTGCATTTGGACTTGTGTTGCTCTCTGAAATTGCATTTGTGGATTCAAATATTGGGACTGAGATGCTGACATGCTGCTTTGAGATATAATTTGTTGTTGAAGATTCAACGGCGAAGTCCTAGACTGTGACAATGTTTGGGGTAATGTCCTTGCCATAATTTGAGTTTGAGATGGATGACTTTCTTTTGGTACTCTGGACAATTGTGCTGGCAACTGAGATGGTATTCTTTTTTGGGAATCCAAGTGAGTAGGTGTCTTAGCTTGGGATTGTTGAGAAGATGGGGGAGCACATCTGGATGAAGCTTGTTGGGGTGGCTGAAGTTGTGATTGGGAACTTTCTCTGGTTTGGGATTGCGTTTGTTGTCTAGAATCCAACTGGTGACTTTTTGAAGGCATACTTTGCTGTTGAAACTGGAAAGACAGTTTTGTTGGCTGTGAAAATACTTTTGGTTGAACTTGTGAAACTGTCTGACTTGCTGGATCTCCTGGTGGTTTTGTGGGAATTCTCACTTGAATTTGTGCCGGACGTGACCTTTCTTGTAATTCTGATTTCCCTTGTTGAGTTAGTGGCTGTATTGATGACCTTTGTTGAATCTGGGATTGGTTTTGAGATCTATCCTGTTGATTGAAAGGTCTTGATGGAAGTTGAGAGTGTGTCATTGGTCTACTTTGAGTTGGTGAATGTGCTACTGGTGACTTGAGTTGAGTTTTTTGCAACTGAGAAATTGAACTTTGTGGTACTCCAGTAGATTTACTTGGAATTGTTGCAAGTCTTTTCTGAGATGGTGAAACATGCAACGAAGAGGAAGCTTGAGATTGAAACATAGTCTTCTGCTGGATTGGCGTGGGTTTTTGGGCAGAACATGTAACGTGACTTGAACTTTGTGACTGCTGAGATAATCTGGGCTGTATGGGAACATGCCTGCTTTGAGGAGATTGAGAACTTGGATGCATAGGGGGATTTTGGGAAAAGCTCTTATAATATGGTTGTACTTTGGGTTGGATAGATGTTTGCTTGGTAGGAGGTGATAGCAGCTTGGATGAAATTTGACTTTGAGGTTTTTGTAAAGGTGATACATGCTTACAAGAAGAACCTGGATGCACTGACTGAACATGTGTTTGGCCAAGAAGTTGAGATTGCATTGGGACATTTTTAATAGATTTTGGATACGTAGAATGGACTTGAGGTTGCTGTCTTGCTTGAGTTTGGATTTGGATTTGTTTACTGGCAGTTGAGTGAGTAGAATGTACTTGCAAATGACTAAAGCTTTGAGAATGAATATGCTGTGGTGGGCGTTGATGGGATAATGCATGCCTACTCTGGGCTGATGGTGAGGGCAAATTTGGATGAGATTCTAATTTTATTTGAGGTTGTTGACTGGTGGAAGAAAGAGAAGTCGAGTAAGCAATTTGGGTTGGTAACTGGCCTGTTGATTGGCTCGACCTTGCTGGAATTGTTTGCTTGACCAAAATTGGCTGACATGTCGTCGACTGAATCTTTTGTTGCTCTGAGTGAGTTGTAGTTTGTCTAGCTGATGATGATTGGATACCTGGAGAGATTGACTGTGTTGGAGGTTGACCAGTGGACTGACATTGCGGCCTTGTTTGAGGTGTACTTTCCTGGGAGATTGTAGACTCAACTTGAATTGAGCTTTGTTGTTTTGATTGTCCTGAATCAGTGCGATTGGATGTTTGGCTACTTGAACAGATATTAGATTCAGAAGTAGGCTGATCAATGGGTTGACTTGACTGTTGTCTTGATTGTAATATTTTAGGCTTAGAAAGTGATAATTGGGTTTTGTTATATTCTTGTGAAAGTTGAGGTTGTGGAGGACTTAAGGGTTTCATTTTATCTTGTATTTGAACATGTCTGGTGGAAGATGGAGGGCTTGAATCAGAAGACGGAAGTTGATGGCTAGGTTTTTGCGGTGGATGTTTAGTTTGCAGCTGAACGTGTTTTCCAGGAGGACATGGAAAGTCTTGGCTTGGACTTTGAGGTTGAGATTTAGTAGACAAGACTTGAGACGCACTAGAATTCTGTGGTTTTGCCTGGGTCAGAGCATGCTTAAGAGGAGGAAACAAGGAAGTTGTATGTGTACCCTGGACTTGGTTTGCACTCTGGGTCTCAACTATCTCACTTGGCATTGAACAAGACGACAGTTGGAGCTTGAAACTTTGAGATTGTGTTTGAATTGTTGTCTGCTTAGAAGATGGTGACTGTTCTTTTAGCTGTTCTAATTCCTTTGTAACATATGTCGGGGATTTCTTTCTTTCTTGCAAACTGGATACTGGAGGGTCTACCTGGCTTACACTCTGTGATCTTGGATATTTAGATGGCACTTGGGATTGACGTTTGGATTGGTGTTTTTCCTGACTTGAAGATTCTTGCTCTTGTTTGGATCTGGGTTGAGTGGCTGGAAGGTGTTGTGTTTCCGGTTTTGAATGAGGCATTGTATTTGCTTCAATTTTTAAACTTTCCAATTTGCATGACTGATTGGCCACAGTAGTAGACGCAGTTGAAGCTTTCTCAAATTTAGCAGAATCTTGTTTATGCCTATGATGATGATGGTGGTGGTGGTGATGATGGTGATGCTTGTGTGGGTTTTTGTCTTTGTGTTTATGTCTTTTAATTTTTTTAATGCTACCGCTACTACTGCTACTTTTTTGATCATAATTTGTCTTATTGATGTCTTCCACTGTCTCTGTTTTGTCTTTGCGCTTTCTACATTTATGGGGTTTATGTTTATGGCAGTGGCTTGTCTCTGGACTCGATGACTGTTTTTGCAATTGGTTTAGCCCTAACGACTGGACTGACGATGTAGCTTCAGTAGTACATGTTGTAGGCAAAGCGGATGTGTTCTCTCTTTCTGTATTAGTTTCCAAACTAGACACTCTCTCCATTTCCCTGGTTTTGCGTTTTTTAATTGGTAGTACAGTTTCTTGGATGGCCGGCTCTAGGGAAGACTCTTTAGTTACTGTGCGTTTGGCCTCAGCAACAAAGATGGTAGCTGTTGTATAGCTTTCAGAGGAAGAAATGCTGGAGGTAGGTCCAGTGGAGGTGGGGGTTGTGGCAACTGTTACTGTGGCCATTGTAGCAGATGGTTTTCTGCCTCGTTTTTTAGGAGCTGGAGGAGGAAGATCCTGTTCGGCTTTTCGCTTTCTGCCAGGTACTTTTTTAACAAGTTCATGTTTGACCTAGAGGACGAGAAGCCGAAAGATCAAAATATTACTACCTCATTATAATACATTATTTGGAGATAATTTCTTCTTTCCAATGCTTCATTGTTCACAATAATATAATAGAAACCTCAATATCTTTTTTAATTGTAAACCCAACCCATTTTAGTTGAGAATGACAGATATTTTGTTTTACCATTTTTGATGTTACACCTAATTGTGAAAGCTTAGACTGTACAGAATTCACTTGTTGTATTACAATCCATGCTTATCTTTTTATGACTGCTACTTTGGATCTTTTGTCAAATTCGTAATTATTGATTTTACTAAAAATGATTTTGGTTGTGCATTAGATTTGCTATAAATATCTTCTTCTAATAATTTTAATTGTCTCACCTTTGACGCTGAAGTGCTTGGTGTCAGTGGATCTTTTTCAAACGGCATCTTCACCAAGAGTTTGCCTGGAGTTTTCTCCACTACACGCTTCATGGCCACACCTTCTGTGGCCTGACGCATTTTTCCACTTCCTAAACAACAGACAAATTCAAATCTTGGCATGCCTCACCCTAACACACCATTGTCAGTACTTAACATGGGTTTAAGTATTATATACTTGCATTAGGTTACATGTTAAACATATTTAGCTGGATTGTGCCAGGATTAACAAAAGAAAATGTTTTTTGTTAACCCTAAAAAAAAAAGACTTCTTCAAAGTGATTTTGGTACCTTTAGGCCTGCCTCTGCCTCTCCCAGTTGGTTTGACTGCTTTAGGTTTCTTTGGAGGTCTTTTCTCTCTCCGTGATGGACTTCCTCTTCCTGTTACTGTAAAGTCAAAGTCATTTGGGTCTGTAGTTGTATCTCCCACTTTTTGGAAGTAAGCCAAAAGCTCCACTTTAGATCGAAAGGCTTTTCCCTGTGCACTGATAAAATCAAAGAAATATACAAATACATGGTTTAAAAGCATTAGGACTTGATCCAATGCAGCTTGTATAATGCTGTCTGTCTTACTTGATCAGGTAGACATCAAATTTCCCTGCAGAGCGGCCAGACTTCCTTTGTTTGAGTTTGCGTGTCCATCCTTCTGGAAGTGTTGGATCATCGTACAGTGGTCCTCGATCCCTGATGGCAGAGCGTCTCTGTCGAGGAGAGGCTGCTGAGCTGGGGCTCGCCTCCTGAGGGGTATTAAAAGGTAAGGTTCAATGTGTAGGAATAAACACTGTGAAATAAGGATGTGAAAAAACAAAACAGTGTACACTTTTCCAGTAGTCACTTAAGTCATGTTTGTGATTTCACTTTCCCAGAAATTAAGTATTTAATGGGTTTACTAAGGCCCTGTTTATACTGAGACACTGTAGACGCAGACGTTTCCAGGCTATTAACAGAAACGATCAGGCTCCTAATGCAAATTTCTCAGCGTTCACATGAGGTTGAAAAACTATGTAGTTCTATCGCCCGGCCAGTAGTGGGCTGAGAAACTTTACAACACGAAACACGACCCCCAGACCCGTGCCCAGCCCCCCTCCCGGCAGTATATTCACTTCTTGTGCCAGACCCTCAGACAGTACCAACATCATTCTGCATTTTAACAGCAGCTGTGAACATGGAAACTGAACCTAGAGCTTTGCGTGGTCTCGTTTGGACGAACGAAGGAGTTGAATTATCCTCTGTGCAGCGCTGAAAGCCCACGAAGCTAGTTAGTGCGCGCGGCGCCATTGTTGTTTTTGTTTGTTCTCCGCTACTGCGCATGTCCAAATTTACGTGCGGGGAGCAGCGCGGAGTTGGGGGTCAGAGCAGAGGGGGATTTCACACCTTTTCCCCTCTCGCGGGTGTGAAAGAGAGCCCCTGCTGTGCAGCGTTTCTGAGTTGTCCCACTCTGCAGGCTGGATCTGAACACTTATGTTTTGACCCCCCTGCCCAGAAATTTGCATTAGGAGCCTGGTCGTTTCTGTTAATAGCCTGGAAACGTCTGCGCAGCATCTCAGTATAAACAGGGCCTCAGAGAGTTTGCTGGAGTTTGGGTGCAGATTGGCAAGGATGGATAAAATGGAGAATTTTTTTTTATGGATGATAAGCAGCTTGCATTGGTCATGAAAACTGTAGTCTATGTTTACGTATGTCGGAAGTGCTTAATCGTAAGTAAATCCATGAATTAAATAGCATTTCTAACTCGTTATACAATTATTGTACTGTATATTCTTTTTTTCAATAAGTAAACCTAAATCCAAAAAAATTTATTTCATTTCTTCAGTCAACTCTTAATACAAAACACACCACACCATTCCCTTCTGACCTCATAACTCTGCGGCTCTCCTGCTGCTGTAGTCACTGTTGTAGAAGATGTAGTTGATGAAGTTTGACTAGTGGGAGCAGGAGGGGCTGGTCCACTCTCATGTCGTTCTTTTCGTTTTTTCTTGGTACTGCTGTGGGACTTGGGTTTCTCTTTGGAAGTAAGCGATGGCTGTGGGGATTCCTCTGCTTCGACATCTTCCTCACTAAAAGAAACAACCAAACTTTCTTTTAACATGTGATGAGCCTTTTATGTATATCGAGTGGCTCTGAAGCCAGTCACTATAAGTTTTCATAAAGTTTGTTCTTCTACTAAATTAAAGCACTTTTCAACTCTTTCATTGATTTATACATACCATTATACCTTGTTACATTTGGTTTTCTGTTTCCATTGATTTTGATTAACTTTTTTTTCCGTATCCATATTTGGTATATTTTCTGCAGTTACATTATTGACATTATTATTGCAGTATTTACTTGGTACTGCAGAATAAACCCACAAATGTCAGGTCTTTTTACGAAAGACTATTTCAATGGATTAATGTTTCAAAACTGTAGAACTTTTAAACAGGAAATAGTCCTACTGAGATTTATTAGCTATATGGTCCACTAAGATGCAAATTCAACAAAAATTGTATATAGCTTTGCAAAATAATCATATTAGTGTTTTAAAATAGTATAAGATAATAGCTGTACAGGTGTACAGTGTAAAATCAAAACGTTTAGGTTAATGTAGCAATTAATATTAAGACCACACCCTCCCATTTTATCACATAAACACATGTGATAATAACTACTTAGTATAAACTTCCGTCCATCCATTTTCTTCCCCTTAATCCATTTCTGGGTCGGGGGGTGGCAGTCAGAGCTGCACCCAGTACACATAGCACTATAAACTTTCAAACACATTTTCACTACACCACTGTTTATAACTTTCCAGTCTGTACTCCAAAACTTCCTATCCATTTTATCATTTTTATTACTGATCAGAGCAGACTCATGTAACAGCAGAGAGGCTGTTTGCACCTGTTTGTCTTGGTTCAATTTGACTTCACACATTAACACCTACATGACATTTCAAACAAGTTGAACCAAAGCACAAGAAGACAGAGGAAGTCTTGAGAATGACATAAGACATATTAATAACATTTTAGTATAAACTGTGAGGTAGTACTCACGATTATCTATTTCTACTTCTCATGATATGTGAATGACTGATCAGAAGAAATAGAAATAGAAATTCAAAACATTGTCCTACACTTCCACTGCTACTACTAAAGCCACCATCAGAAGAATGGAGAAGAGGTAATTGGAAGAAAACGCGCGTTGTCTGTACGTAGTTTTTACATTGAAAGTTATTTATATGTTCGGATTCTCTACTGTTTACCATCACAATAGTGCTACATCATTGATGACTCTCACACTATCAGAGCTGCGCCCCTGGTGCTCTATGGCTGTTGGAGCCTGTGTCGTAACACTTTTATAAAGATGCCACCTGCTAAAGCTCTGTTAGCAGTGATCTGGAGGGGCGGAGGTCGGCCTGCTGCAGCTCAACAGAGCTCCCCCCGGGGCTCTGCGGAGGTCAGGCCGTCCAGAGCGCGCAGAGAGCGGCTGCAGCCTCAGCTCTGGTCCGCCCCTCTCCGGTCACAGCAGTAGCGCTAAAGTACGAAGTCTACGGATAGAGCTCAAGTTAGTGACGTATTGGCGATAACCCTGCGCTGCTGAGGCTGGCTGCGCCCAAAAACAACGCACTGTGATAAGAATAAACCGCATGAAACGCAGAGATGCACCGCATTAAAGAACGAGAGCAACATTAGCGTAAAATACATGAAAACACTTACATCCTGTCCTCTCCGCTCTCCATGGCGGCCATTTTTATTTAAATAAATAATTTTGTATAAAAAGCCAAACATCTCAGCTCGCTTCTGCTGCACCACGCCCCCTTACTCTATTCTGACTCGAGCATCGCGAGATCAATCCAGGATCGCACAGAACTAATGTTTACAGTTTATGACAGAAACACATGTCATTGGAAAGAGATTTTTCACGAGATAAGGTTGCATCTGTCAGGAAATATTTAGTCTATGGGAAATAACTATTATTATTTACTGGTTTTGTTGCGTATGAAGGGGAAAGTAATTATTACCTTATTGACAGGGTTTTAATGTGTTTTAGATGTAATCCAGCGAAGGTTTAACTTATGTTTTGTGGTGAAACGTTTACAGTCTACGGGTGAAACGTCATACCAAAGGGTACAAAGTCAGTCTCCACTCGAATAGATGATCCAACATTGAAAATAAGATATCCCACCCATGCCACCAAGTACACATAGCACAGTCTTGATTGTTCAGTGGGGGCTTCAGGCAAAGTGGGATTAAGTGTCTTGCCCAAGGACACAACAACAGCAGACATCAGTGGGAGTTGGTGGAGAAGGTCTCGTGGTAGGCTCGAACTCACAACCTTCAGGCTAAAAGGCCAATGATCTATGGAGCCTGTATTCTACTGTATGTGAGATGGTACCACAGCCATGGTGACTAATGTGAAGACAACCAGATGTAATTATGTCCAATTAGGTATTTAATGATTTTACTGTTTATGTTTGCATTCGGTTTTTCTTGTTTGGACAGAAGTTCGAGATAAATGAAAATGAAAAATAGAACCTGAATGTTGCTAACCTCTGTATTCTCCACTAAATGTTTAAATGTTTTCTCCACCTAAAGAAAAACATCTCCTGACTAAATTATTTGATTCACTGAGGTCATTGAGCTTAATTGAACTAACAGATGAAGCAGAGGACCTTTTATTGTGGTTGGCTTAATGTCTTTTGCATTAACTGCCTATTGAATATTTGATTTAGTTGTAAACTGTCAGTCAATGTGCACCGGTCTCTGACCTGTGATTTGATAGAGGGAGTGACATACAGGTGACACCTGTTTAGACAATGATAATATCCAAGACATAGTAGTAGTCAGTCCTATATTTTGCAATATGTAAGTCAGAGAATGTTTTTACAGATACTTACTTTTCTGACTGACATTTCTCACTTCCCTTTAAAATATTTCACTATGACTAAAGGATCAAGAGTTATGACTATTTTTGGGAGTCCTGATAACACCTTATCTGACAGAGGCATCCTTTGATATTTAGTTCAATATTTCTGCATAGTATTATACTATATTTTGATAGAATAAAACCATCAAACCTGGGAGTGTGACACATAAAAACAAAGCTGCATCCCTCTTTTTCCAGAAAAATCAAATTTGAACTCCTAACTCAAAAATAATAAAACAAAACTGCTTTGGGATTTCTGCAGAATGTATTCTGCTGTCTTTCAGAGCTGCCCCCAAGAATCCGCTTTACTCACCTTTATTTTTTACCATATTATCAGCGGGGCGACAGTGGCTCAGTTGGTAGAGCACTGGTCTTTGGACATATTCAGTAAATTTCTAAAAAAAAATCTAGGAATTCACATTGTAGGATTTTTAAAGAATTTATTTGTAAATTATTATGGAAAATAAGTATTTGGTCACTTCAAACAAGGAAGATCTCTGGCTCTCACAGACCTGTAACTTCTTCTTTAAGAAGCTCTTCTGTCCTCCACTCGTTACCTGTATTAATGGCACCTGTTTGAACTCCTTATCTGTATAAAAGACACCTGTCCACAGCATCAAACAGTCAGACTCCAAACTCCACTATGGCCAAGACCAAAGAGCTGTCGAAGGACACCAGGAAAAGAAATGTAGACCTGCACCAGACTGGGAAGAGTGAATCTACAACAGGCAAGCAGCTTGGTGTGAACAAATCAACTGTGGGAGCAATTATCAGAAAATGGAAGACATACAAGACCACTGATAATCTCCCTCAATCTGGGGCTCCATGCAAGATCTCATCCCGTGGGGTCAAAATGATCATGAGAACGGTGATCAAAAATCCCAGAACCACACGGGGGGACCTGGTGAATGACCTGCAGAGAGCTGGGACCAAAGTAACTAAAGTTACCATCAGTAACACACTACGACGACAGGGAATAAAATCCTGCAGTGCCAGACGTGTCCCCCTGCTGAAGCCAGTGCATGTCCAGGCCTGTCTGAAGTTTGCCAGAGAGCACATGGATGATACAGCAGAGGATTAAGAGAATGTCATGTGGTCAGATGAAACCAAAGTAGAATTGTTTGGTATAAACTCAACTCGTCGTGTTTGGAGAAAGAGTTGCATCCCAAGAACACCATGCCTACTGTGAAGCATGGGGGTGGAAACGTCATGCTTTGGGGCTGTTTTTCTGCTAAGGGGACAGGACGACTGATCTGTGTTAAGGAAAGAATGAATGGGGCCATGTATCGTGAGATTTTGAGCCAAAACCTCCTTTCATCAGTGAGAGCTTTGAAGATGAAACGTGGCTGGGTCTTCCAGCATGACAATGAAAAAGGTAATGCTATAGCTAACAGCGCAGTAAGTTTATATTCATTTACACTTCATTTAAGAATAATAACAACAAATTAACAGTTTTTCCCCGGTCTTTATGTGTAAACCGTGAGCTTTTTTACTGTTATATAGTTAATCAACTTGGTACCACTGTCTTAGAATTTACGGAAAGGTGGGAACATACGTTTGTACAGGTATCCGATTTCAAGTTGGAAGAAGTTTGTTTACCCACACTACCTAGAGCTTGAACGATATATATTACATTATTATATTATTTTCAAGAAATCCTAGTGATTTCTTATGGAAGCAAATACAGTGCCTTGCGAAAGTATTTGCCCCCCTTGAACCTTTCAACATTTCGCCACATTTCAGGCTTCAAACATAAAGATATAAAAATTACATTTTTTGTCAAGAATCAACAAGTGGGACACAATCGTGAAGTGGAACAAAATTTATTGGATAATGTAAACTTTTTTAACAAATAAAAAACTGAAAAGTGGGACGTGCAATATTATTCGGCCCCCTTGCGCTAATACTTTCTAGCGCCACCTTTTGCTGCAACTACAGCTGCAAGTCGCTTGGGGTATGTCTCTATCAGTTTTGCACATTGAGAGACTGGAATTCTTACCCATTCTTCCTTGCAAAACTGCTCGAGCTCAGTGAGGTTGGATGGAGAGCGTTTGTGAACAGCAGTCTTCAGCTCTTTCCACAGATTCTCGATTGGATTCAGGTCTGGACTTTGACTTGGCCATTCTAACACCTGGATACGTCTATTTGTGAACCATTCCATTGTAGATTTGGCTTTATGTTTTGGATCATTGTCCCGTTGGAAGATAAATCTCCATCCCAGTCTCAGGTCTTTTGCAGACTCCAACAGGTTTTCTTCCAGAATGGTCCTGTATTTGGCTCCATCCATCTTCCCATCAATTTTAGCCATCTTCCCTGTCCCTGCTGAAGAAAAGCAGGCCCAAACCATGATGCTGCCACCACCATGTTTGACAGTGGGGATGGTGTGTTCAGGGTGATGAGCTGTGTTGCTTTCACGCCAAACATATTGTTTTGCATTGTGGCCAAAAAGTTCGATTTTGGTTTCATCTGACCAGAGCACCTTCTTCCACATGTTTGGTGTGTCTCCCAGGTGGCTTGTGGAGACTTTCTTTGGATGGAAATGGCTTTCATCTTGCCACTCTTCCATAAAGGCCAGATTTGTGCAGTGCACGACTGATTGTTGTCCTATGGACAGACTCTCCCACCTCAGCTGTAGTTATCTGCAGTTCATCCAGAGTGATCATGGGCCTCTTGGCTGCATCTCTGATCAGTCTTCTCCTTGTTTGAGATGAAAGTTTGGAGGGACGGCCGGGTCTTGGTAGATTTGCAGTGGTCTGATACTCTTTCCATTTCAATATAATTGCTTGCACAGTGCTCCTTGAGATGTTTAAAGCTTGGGAAATCTTTTTGTATCCAAATCCGGCTTTAAACTTCTCCACAACAGTATCTCGGACCTGCCTGGTGTGTTCCTTTGTCTTCATGGTTCTCTCTGCGCTTTAAACAGAACCCTGAGACTATCAAAGAGCAGGTGCATTTATACGGAGACTTGATTACACACAGGTGCATTCTATTTATCATCATCAGTCATTTAGGACAACATTGGATCATTCAAAGATCCTCACTGAACTTCTGGAGTGAGTTTGCTGCACTGAAAGTAAAGGGGCCGAATAATATTGCACGCCCCACTTTTCAGTTTTTTATTTGTTAAAAAAGTTTAAATTATCCAATCAATTTCGTTCCACTTCACGATTGTGTCCTACTTGTTGTTGATTCATGACAAAAAAAAATATTTTTTATATCTTTATGTTTGAAGCCTGAAATGTGGCGAAATGTTGAAAGGTTCAAGGGGGCCGAATACTACCATCGGTATTAATAGTATCTATTTTATTATTTATATATGATGCTTTTGCTGCGGCAAAAACTGCACATGCGAAAATTACGACTTTAAATCTCGAAATCTTTTAAACTCGTAATTTTGAGTTTTTAAATTGTAATTTTGAGCTTAAAACTCAAAATTACGACTTTCTGTAGGTTTTTTTTATTGGGGGAAACGGGCTTCCATACACTTGAATATGAACTAATTTGAGAGATTTATTAGCCGTATAATGTCACAAATATTGGAAGTCATTATAAGTAACAAATCGTTAAAAGGAACAGTATGCAAAAAATCTGGCCAAAAGTGGTACTGCCCCCACTCTCCCTGACTCAGGTTTCCAGATATGCAGACAAATCCAGCTGGGACCATAATGATGATAACTGACTTTCAAAAAAGGCCCCGATAGAAATGCTTGTTTTATTCCTTGTTTTGTCATTAATGATTTGAGGATCTTTTTAATAATGTAGCCCCGGCACCACATCCCAGCTCCGGTCCCTGCATGCCCTCATATGCCCTCAGTGTCTTGTTAGTCTTTAAGCCCTGTGTGTTCTTTCACTCCCTGTCCCGTCATTGCCATTCCCACGTCTGTTTCAGTTCTGTCCTCAGTCCTTGTGTTTTCTCTGGATTTTGATTTATACTTTTTATTAAATCTGTTATTTTGCAGTTCTGCGTTTTGGGCTCATTTAATTTTACCCACGTGACATTGGTCCTTTAAAAAGGTTGCTTTTGTGTGTACGAATTATTGATGAAATGCTTCCTCTTTTTGTTTAGCAATGATTAGTCACGGATATTTTGGTCTGGTATTATTTCATCAGAGCAGTTCAAGATGTAGTAGTGATAAGAGAAGCATGAAACATTAAGCCAATTACACTCACAACATTGATGCTTACCATTTCATGACAAATGTGAGAATAGTTTATTTATGCAGAACAGGATCAATTCACAGACTGGACCGGACCTTGTTCTATCTTGTGAAACTCGAAAAAACTAGATTATAATTTGAAAGTCAAGAAACCAGACTCATAACACGCATAGTGAGATATCAGGCCTTTTTTAGTTGTAATGCTAATAATTGGCTCACAGCCTGTATCCATCCATTTTCCCAACCATCTGCGGAGGAAGCTGAACTTGTCCTTTCGGTCATATATCAAAGGTCATGACCATAGGTGAGGGAGGGAATGTAGATTGACCGGTAAATCAATCTACATTCGTGTGGCTCTCGCGCACGTGCACAGAGGGGCTCAGCTGCACTCTGACCAATCAGGCTCTGCTGATCAGAGTGGAGTTAGAGCGGGAGACAATTGAGCAGAGTTTGTGGCCCTAAAGTGTGGATTTAAAAACATCCAAAGGATTTAAGAAGAAAACATGTTCAGGATGTCAAGGGACACTGAAATCCCCACAAAATCCAACCTTTAAGAAAGCTGTAGGTTCTCTGTCAGCTGAGGTCGAGCTGTTTTAGTTTACCTTGAGTTCTATGGGGAATTTACTCTTGTTTAGTCTGCAGTACCGTGAGAATTCCCCGAGCATGTGGGTCCTTCAGCTACAAGCTAGTAATACCCTATCCAGATATTATAATACATCCATTCTCCAGATCCACATAGCACATGTGGACCGGTTGGGCAAATTCCCATGAGTAGTCCTATGTTCCGTGGCCGGGATGAAAACCACACTGTTCCACGAGCTCACGGACTGTAAAAAGCCCCAAAATAACTAGTCTGTAAGCCTGTAGTGTATAATCACTAACATTATAACAAACAGAGGACAAAATAAGTAACTTTTCATGAATACGTTTTTTAATTGGTTTAGTTCTTGACACATGTCAAGTATACTTGACAGAGGTCTACAGTATATGCTCCTTGTGCAGTCCTCTTCCCTGAAAGAGGAATGTGGGAAAACTTGTGCTGAGACACACGTCACTGAACCTCAAACATTGTTTAACCAATATACAGCCAGAGATAGATATACAAATTTAACAACACTGCCAAAGTTGAAAGCCTTGTGGTAACAGCAACTACTCTTTTCCCTGACAATAATTACAGAAAGAAAACAAACTTCCTTGTTTATATGTGTGCAGCAGCTCAGGGTAGTTCCTTTTTCACTTTCATTTCCACTTCATTGTGTAAGTTGTGTGATATTCATATTAGATTTAGTTTATATAACTAAATGTGAAAGTGTAGTCAGAAGGGACACAACATTCCTCAATGATCCATGATCATAAATAGCCTTCAACTTTATTTACACAAAGGGTTTATTAATGGAATGCCCCTTGAGTGCCATCTCTTTTTCGACTGGGTCCATACAATCAAAGTTAATAGTGGGAATGTTACCAGTAAATATTTTTGTTATTTTATCGGTATCTGCTATATGTGAACTAGCCACAATTCTTGACCAACTTTTTACAGCCAGAGATTAGATGGGACAATGGATCAAACAGCTTTTACAAGCTGTACTAGCTTTCTCATTATCCATTGGGTTCAAGCAATAACATAAAGTTGTTTTTTTTCCTGAGAGACTTAGCTGTAAGATTATGTTCAAATGTCATGGTAGTCCATGCAAACCTCAGGTTGGGAAACACTTCGGTACTTCATTCATTAATTATAAATCTCAGATTTTAGGTAAAATGTACATGTTACAGAGACTCACTTTTGTTTTAGTTTTAGTTTTAATTTCGGTTTAAAAATAAAAACCCCCAAATGTTTTGGTTTTATTTTGAAGAAAATCCACCGGAAGCAAGTGACATCTTGGTCTATGCGCGTGGGTCACGGAAGTAAAGTTTGTCACGGGCCGGAGTTTGTCTCTCCGTGAACAGGTGGCCTCTAGACTCCTCTCCTTCTGTCCCGACAGGTCCTGACGGGTCCCGACCAAAGAGTCCCGACATCAGTCCTTTTGGAGGTCCGTGAACCATGCCAACAGCCCGGGCGGACCTCAGAGCCCTTCCGCTGTACGAAGTGCCGGCTGAGGTCCAGGGTGAGTTCTGTCGGGTCATGGATGCGTTGCCGGACCGGGACTGGAATAAGTTTGGTGAGACTGAACATGAATTTGAGTTTGTTAGAATTGATTATTTTCAGTTGTTCATGTAAACTTTCTGATTTACAACAAATGTCACTGTGGGACGAATAAAGGATCTTAATCAAAAAAGGCATCTTGAGATGAGAAATTATGATTTCATAAATAACCACATATTACAACCAAATGTGAGATTGTCGTATACACTAATACTTATTACCATATCTGTTTTTCATACAGATCTCTAAGATTACTTGAATTCACAGATTGTGTTTACTTTGTCCCAAGAGAAAGAGTCTTGGAAACATGAATAGAAAAAAATCAGAGCACAACATACCGCCTCTCTCTTATTAAAGAGCCTCATAAAGCACTTTGAATGAATGATACATTTACTTTAACAGTGGAGAAATTACAAATGACATGCTGGGCTGAGAATTAATTGGTGGAGCAGGAGTGGCCTCTCTTTTTTAACGTTTGTGTGTAAAGATTTGACTGAGGCTACAAGTGCCAAAATAGAGATCGTATTAGTAAGAGTTAAAGGAACTTGTTGGTGAAATAGATTTGATTGGTGATGATAACATAAAGCCTTTTGAAGCAGTGAGGCCCACTGCTTAACACAGACAGACGCACTCTCTGAAGACATACAGAGAACATGCAGTAATAGCCATTGCATTAGATGCATACACATTTTACCATCACCAAAAAGATGAAACTTAGTATTGGTGAATTCTCTCATTATCTCTGCTTTAGCATCAAAAGTACTTGAGGACATAACTTCTGTGCGATTGGCTGAAAAGAAGGAGCGGCGTACTGATTGGGTGATGTCACGATGGCAGAACAGGAATGGATCGGTGGGAGAACTACTAGACCTGCTCCACCGACTGGAGCTTCTGTGGCCATGGGACATTATCAACAACTGTGAGATATACTACTACTACTACTCAAAACAACTGCATTGTATCCCATAAACATTTAGCATTTTTTTAAAGAATAATATTACAATTAGTGCTTTATTTTAACCCTATATGACCGCGTGCATCGGCGCCGATGCACGCGGTCATGTTTTACAAATCATCACTTTACTCGCGAACGGTATATCATAGCCACTTACTCTTTTTTTCCCCGTGAAGTAAACACTTCAGGCTCCATGAAACTAGTTCCGGATTGTCCGTGTGACGCACAGAGGATATTCTATGTCTATTGGAAAGTCAGTGTCCAATCAGATCTTTGAGCGATGTCATGTGAGATGAAAAATCCAATCGTAACGCTGTTTTTGCTCATGCCGGTGACAAAGATCAGCAGGGAGAGTGATAATTATACCTCCGCATATACAGGTTCGTCTCTATGGTCGAAACTACGGCTGTGATAGTAATTACTGATGCGTAAAAGACTTATTTTATCGGGATTGTGAAAAATGTGAACTCTACTGTTATTCATGTTACTGTAAGCCCTATTACCCGTTGTTGTTGATTTTTTTATTTCACAAAAAGAACCGGAAATGGTCACTTGTGCTCTCGGTCACTTGTGCTCTCAGTCACACAGAGGTGAGAAGTCGCGTCTCCTCTATTTACAGCAGACGCGCACCAGAGACAGACGCACCTAAATCCTCTGTTTCTTTTCGCAAAAGAGTTGTTCAAAATGGCAAAGAAATTCTTTACAACTGAAGAAGCTCTTGATCTAATCTGCGCCAGTGATGAAGATTCAGGGTCTGAGCCAGAAAGTTTTTACACTGATGAAGAGTTTGATTATTGTGATCGCCAGGATCCGGCTGAAGAGTAAGTGTTTTGTTTGTTTTACTTAGTTTCTATTGTTTTACATATTTTACAGCTATGAAGTGTTGATTATTTATATTGACAATGATAGATAAAGTAAAATGATATGATGTATGTACCACATGTTTTTTTTTCATTTGTTTTACTTAGTTTCTATTGTTTTACATATTTTACAGCTATGAAGTGTTGATTATTTATATTGACAATGATAGATAAAGTGAAATATGATGTATGTACCACATGTTTTTTTATTTCATTTGTTTTACTTAGTTTCTGTTTTACTTATTTTTCAGCTGTGAAGAGTTTCCACTTCCGTCCACTTCTTCGGCTAGCACCTCCACTGCCTTTGTTCCCCACTTCACACCTCCAACACCTTCACTGCTCCCCTCCCCCACTTCCTCTTCAACAAGGGGCCAAACGACACGTAGAAGCGCATCTACAGGCCGCAGCAGATCTACAGGCCGCAGCAGATCTACAGGCCGCAGCAGATCTGCAGCCGCAGCAGATCTGCAGGCCGCAGCAGATCTGCAGGCCGCAGCAGATCTGCTGGCCGCAGCAGATCTGCAGGCCGCAGCAGATCTGCAGGCCGCAGCAGATCTCCACCACGGCCCGGGCCTGCACTTGATCAAGCCAGGTGGAACAGTGAACAGGATCCCGACACCAATTGTCAGCCTAAAAAGTTCACACCCAAAAGGAAACCAGGACACCAGCTCCTTACTACCACGCCATATAGTCCATTGGATTTGTTTTCATTGTTTGTGGACAAAAGTGCTGTAGCCAATATCGTCACAAACACAAACAAACAGGCTGCAAAAAACATTGCAAATGGGAAAAAATACAAATGGACGACACTGGATGAAACAGAGCTATTCAAATTTATTGGACTTGTTTTATTTTTCTCTACTAAAGCTCTGTAAAGTCAGGGATTATTGGAGACAAAATTCCATCTTCAGTGTAGGTTTTCCTGCCAAAGTTATGTTTCGAGACCGGTACCAGATCATCTCCTGGAACATCCACATTAGCGACCCGGAGCAGGATGTTGAAAATGACCTGAAGAAAGGAACTCCCCAGCATGATAAACTATTCAGACTAAAACCACTTCTGGGCACCATCCTGACAGCATGCAAAACAAACTTCCACCCAAGACAGCACATTGCCATTGATGAAAGGATGGTGGCAACAAAGGCCCACACAGGGATGACGCAATATATGAAGGCCAAGCCGACAAAGTGGGGTTTCAAACTCTTTGTCTTGGCAGACAGCAGCAATGGCTATACAGTGGACTTTGCTATTTACACGGGGAAGTCCCAGTTTTCCTCCGGTGTGGGACTTGCATACGATGCTGTCATTTCACTTGTAAATTCCTCATTCCTGGGCGGCGGATACGAATTGTATGTGGACAATTTCTACACAAGCCCAAAACTGTTCATGGACTTGTTCAGTATGAACATCGGTGCTTGTGGCACATACAGGGAGAACAGGAGAGGATGTCCCCGCGTTGAAAATAACTCTTTGAAAAAGAAAGAACAAAGGGGCACAATGAGGTGGATCAGAGAGGGCCCTCTGGTTTTTGTGAAGTGGATGGACTCCCGTGAAGTTTCCATCTGCTCCACCATCCATTCGGCTTTCGAAGGTGAAACGGTAAGACGGCGCTTCAAAGACAATGACGGCAAATGGGTCACCCGGGATGTTACATGCCCTCGGCCAGTTGTTGAGTACAATAAGCATATGGGAGGAGTTGATCTGTCAGATCAACTCATCCAGTACTACACCATTCGCCACTCCACCAAACGCTGGTACCGGACCTTATTTTTTCATTTCATGGATATAGCGTCCACAAATTCATTCATTTTACACAAAGAGTTGTGTAAGGAAAAAGCAGAAACCCCGATGTCTCATCTATGTTTTCTGGAGGAGCTGACAGCCCAGCTGTGTGGTGTGTCGGCGACTGTGCCTCCTGTGAAAGCCCCAGCAGAACACTTGCCAGTCCCAATATCACAGCAGGAAGACCCAAGCAGGCGGGCCTCATATGGGAGAAGAAGCTGTATTCACTGTAGAACCACTCGAGACAAAAGGCAATGCACCCCCTGGAAGTGTAAAAGCTGTGATGTACCTCTCTGCCTTGTCACAGAAAGAAACTGCTTTCATGATTGGCATCTGGCATAAAAAACGTCTGGGTTTTTTGCACAAATTTTGGAATTTTGTGAATATGTATATAGTTACAAGTTCAATTTTTTTACACATTTTCCCCAAGACCCCAAAGAAAATGTCTATATGGTGAAAAAAGTTGTTTATTGAAGTTCATTGTGTTTTTTCAATAAATGTTTGAAAACTTTATTTTCCGTTTAAATTTTTTCCATGTCTTTATGACTTCATAACTTTTCTTACATGCATAGGAAACTAGTACAGTGTGAATATTCTAAAAGCCCAGGTTGTCCTGAAAAAAACAAAATAAAAAGCTTGACTGTGCATCACTAGATGACTGTTTTATGAGCAATTATACACAAAGAAAACCAGGCGAGGAAAATTCCCCAAAATGACCCTAGGGCATAGAGGGTTAATACATGATACAATTTCAAACCAAGAAACAACAGAACAGAATCTGTTCTGCTCAATCGGAGAACAACAGGTGAACCTTGAGTGACTGCAGCTGTCCATAAACACACACACAATAACTAGCAAATGGCTTTGTGACTCTGGTCTGTGGGGCGACAGTAGCTCAGTTGGTAGAGCACTGGTCTTTGGACCTAAAAGGTGTAGGTTTGATCCCTCCCCAACCCATGTCATCTGCTCCCTCTGATGTCTGCTGTCGTTGTGTCCACAAGACACTTAACCCCACATTGCCTGAAGCAAAAGACCAAGGCCATGTCTTTGATGATGGAGAAGCCATCATCTTGTGCACCCACCAACTGAAAGAGGATAAGCAAGGGAGACCCCTAACCAGAGATTATTGTAATGGAAATGACAATTATTTCTGGTTAGGGGACCTGGTGGCATACTGTTAGGTTTACAGTAGCATGGATAATACTATAGTTAGAAAATCAGCAAATATTTGTTCCAAGATGTCTCTGTCTGTTTAAATACATAACTTCCCCTTTCAAGGATATGATGCATGATTAGATGTCTTGTCACTATTATCATCATAAAGTTTTTTGTTCTTTCCAGGGGCATCTACTGTTCCTCCCAGAGTGGAATCTCCACTCCCCTTACTGTCTCCAGGATTCACCCCGCATCACAGAGCCCCAGTCTCTGACCAACCCACATGTTCCCTCAGCCAATCAAGAATGGCCACGCTCTTGCCAAAACCTGAACCTCCAGAACTCTCCTCTGTGATACAGTATGAGCAGATGTTGCCTCAAGTAAGAACGAGTCCCCCACTCATGTAGAGTCATCTAGAGTCAGCTAAACCAGCTGAAGTATGTCCTGTTTCACAAATGGTGAGATTGAATACTAAAGGGTGCAGAGTCAACACGGCATAAGAATATTTATTACATATGAATTATTTAACATGAATTAGTTACATGCCCTTTGTTGACAATGACAGAGCTCAATCGTTTTCTGTAATGGGACGTTCAGACCGCCGACGCTTGAACGCAACTTCCATGTGCACTGGATGCAAAATCATGAAATTTCAGACGCAGAATGAAGTGCTGCCCTTCTTTTGCGCATGGAGGAAGTGGTGGAAGCAGGACTGAAGTGGCGGGTGGGCTTTGATGCTAACAGGGTTAAGCTAGCGGCTTTTTGTGTAAAGTTCTTCTCCAAGAATGCAGTTCTGCAGCGTCTCTGTCCAGAGATTTTATATAAAAGTAGTTTGTTCACTGCATCATAAGTTTATTTTATTATTACACGGTACTTCCGCATCGGCAAACACGTTAGCAGCACTTTTTTATAGGCACGGGAGAATGAGAACTCGGGCAGGAAGCATATGTCCACAAGCACTGTGTCCCCCGTTGTCAGTCCTGGTTTAGTCCTGGTTTTTAGCTCCTGTTTTTTGGCTGTTTACAAGTATTTTCAGTCTGCTCACTCAGACCGTTAGTGACCCCGTGACCACTTTGTGGCTCTCTGCTTGGTTGCTGCACATGCGGCCGGCAGAAAAAGTTAATCTCCTGCCTGCGTTGAGTTGCCGCAAAGCCGCCTCTGCCACGCAGTTTGTGTGTGTGCCGTGACGCACATGCAGTTCCACACTCAAACAGATGCCACCATTGACTTTGCGTTGAAAGTCGCTGCAACACATGATCCGGTCTTAACGCCCCATAAGTCTTAAAGGTTTTCAGACACTGTTGCTGGTATTTTGGCCCCTTCCTCCATGCAGATCTCCTCTAGAGCAGTGATATTATGGGGTTGTCGCTGGACAACACTGACATTCAATCCCTCCAAAGATTTTCCATGAAATTTAGATCTGGAAACTGTAATGGACCTTGAATTGCTTCTTACAAAGCCACTTCTTCGTTGCCAGTGCGGTGTGTTTGGGATATTTGTCATTCAAAATCTCACGTTACATGGCCCCATTCATTCTTTCTGCAGGTCAGGTAATTGCTCCCACAGTTGATTTCGTCACACCAAGCTGCTTACTTATTGCAGATTCAGTCTTCCCAGCCTAGCCTGGCCTTAGCCATCCGTACACTCCGGTCAATCATCATTTTCCTGCATGTAACGTCTGGGTCTGGTCCCTGTGTTAGCGATTACAATCGCTTGAATTTTGACCGACCAATCAGAGAGCGCGGAAGGCGGGTGTTGTTTAGATGTGGGTGATGTCAAGAGTTTGCGTCGAACGGGCAGGTTGTAGTTTGGCAATGGCGAAGAATGCGATAGTAAAGTAATCCAGTCTGGTTCTATCAAGAAATTGAAGCCGGAGCAAGAAGAATGTTTAGCAAATGTAATTGCTGGCAAAGATTGTGGCGCTACTCCCCACGAGCTCCGTTAGTGGCAAAGGAGATGGCTAAAGCTAGGCTAAATGCTAACGACTCACTCGGGCGCACTACATACGTCACAGTAAACTCGGATCCAATCGTTTCAATCTGCAAAAGGAGTTCACCCCCACCTGTTAACGGAGCTCAATGGAGGACCTCCAGACCTTTTTACAATATGTAATTTGTACTCTGGAGTGGTACGACCAGGCTATTCCCAGCCTGGTGCACACAATTTTGTTTCTGGTGTCCTTTGACTACTCTTTGGTCTTGGCCATGGTGGAGTTTGGAGTGTCACTGTTTAAGGTTCAAACAAGTGCCAAGACAGAGGAGCCATGTGATTTTCTGGATTTTTTTTCTCTTCTGTCTCTTAGTTGAGGTATACCTATGATAAAAATTACAGGCATCCCTAATCTTTTTAAGTCAGAGAAATTGCACAATTGGTGGCTGACGAAACACTTTATCTCCACTATTCATTTGATCTACTTCACATTTATTTTGAACTATTTACACATCTATGTTTTTACATGACTTGGGGAAGACTTTAATTTAACTTTCCTTCTCTCTAAAGCCTCTCCATGAATCGGAAGCAGCAGCATCTCTTGGAGTCATGGCTTGGACTTATGAAGAGGTGTATAATGGGACTTCTGGTTTCAGTGCTTCATTGAAGCTTGGTGAAGGGGGCTTCGGAGAAGTCTTCAAAGCCACCCTCCGGAACACAATCTTTGCTGTGAAAAAAATCAAACGGGTATGAAACTCGCATGAGATAAGAGAAAAATGTGTGTTTGATTGTGGAGATAGGGGTATTACTAGCTTGGAGATGAAGGACTAATGTGCCCAGGGGATTCTCGTGGTACTTCAGACTAAACTAGACTAAATTCACGTGAGCTACCCAGAAATGTTCCCCATAGAACTCATTATAAACTAAAACGGCTCGACCTCAGCTGACAGAGAACCTACAGCTTTCATAATGGCCGGATTTTGTGGAGATTTTAGTGTCCCTTGTTATCCTGAATTTTTTTTCTTTCTATAAATACACACTTAAGTGCCATAAACTCTGCTCGATTGTCCCTGGTCCACTCTAATCAGCAGTGTCTGGTCAGGACGCGCGATGCCCCTCTGTGCACATGCTTGAGAGCCACACACGTATTTGCGCCAAATACGCGTGCGGCTGGTCCTCCAGGGAACTGCCACATACCAGAGTACCGACTAAATATGGGCAAATTCCGCTTGTCTTTTGGTGCCCATGGTGGCACATGCGCTACTGAGCACAAGTCATTGATTTGAATAGGGCGCCGTCTTGGATTGCCGGGGCTTGGTGGAAGCTCAATAAACACAGCAAATATGTTAAATGTCTTCATGATTATACCCGGCAGACGTACGATATGTATGGATTTTGATGGAGATTTTGAGAGGGCAATCCCCCAGGTCTAGTAAGAACGCCTTGATAATGTATGTTTTGTTTACAAATTTTCTTTGTATTCCAGGACAGTTCACTAGACTGGAACAGTCTTAGAGACAGCTTTAAGGCGGAAGTGGAACAACTCTCAAAGTGAGTCACTTTTGTTTGTCAACACTGATCAGGCACCCTCAGCTGTCTCTAAAAAGATAGACCAACAAGACTAACACCACAGGGTTTGTGGGATTCATGAAGTGGTGTGTACCTGTCCATTTCCAGGCAAGATGCACGCCCCCAAATATTAATGTTGGGCCGCTCAAACCCAAGGATTGTACCACAGACAAAAGCAGAATCTGAACCAGAAATATTAGGGTAAATGCAGTGGCGTTCCAAGGGTACCCCGGGGCCCCAGGCAACAGAGTCCTTGGGGGCCCCGATACCGACCACATAACCACATAAAAAGGTTTATATTACAGAAGGTATAAATATATATTTAATAATAATGTAAACCGAGGGCCAAATGAAAGATAAGGCTCTTATCTTTAATCTGCATAAAACGGCTTGTTTTTACCTTTCTTGATCAATCTGTCATAGAATATAACATATAGTTAAATTGAAAAACTTAAGAATCTACCCGGATTTGAACCTGGGTCATCGTGGTACAAGTGCTACAACTTAACCACTAGACCACTGTTACACACAACACATAGTTGTCCCAAGGCCGGGTTTTCAACTCTTAATGAAGAATGTGGCAAGTTTTGCATCAGACAAAAAGTGACGCCAACTCGTCACTGCAGGTAGCTGTTGTAGCCTGTACAAGTCTGCTTGTGTCAAATCAGTTGGCCCTCGGGGCCCCCTGCCGGTTTGGGGGCCCCAGGCAGCTGCCTACCTTGCCCCTGGCCTCTGGGTAAATGTTATAATTGTTTACCATTGAAAACACAATAAATGTTATAGTTACAATAGTTATTCATAGAAAGTAGTTCATTAAACCTTTGGTATAAAATAACAAATGCAATTAAAGCCGCAAGCGGCATTGAACGGCCCTCGCCGCACCACGCGCACCACCCCGCACTGCGCGCACCACCCCGCACTGCGCGCACCACCCTGCACCAAGCCGCCCTGCATCAAGCAGGGGGTGAAATTAAGGCTCAAAGTGCAGAATTTGACATCTCTCGAGCAAAAACAATAGGCCCTTTCCCCGTTCGGGGCTCGGGCCTAATAGTTACAATTTTAAATATAGGCTATGGTAATGAGGCGGTAATAAATGGGGCAGACCAGTCTAGGCCTTGATCATCAGACCAGACTATACCTGGTTCAGACTAGAGGGGAGGGACATGAGCTGACTGTACTACACAAACATGTTGAGGATGAGCATTTGTTCACTCACTCATTACTTTCAGACCGATTGTACATCTTTTTTAGTGGGAGGGAAAGCCAGAGCATCTGGAAGAAACCTACGCAGATATGGGGAGAATATGCAAACACCACACAGAAAGGCCCTGTCTAGAGGTGAATTGCTACCGTGCCGCCCAATAATGCAATAGTGCAATAATTCCTTCAGGCCATTTAGGCATTGGGACCAAAAAAATGAATTTTCAAAGGAAATTACGATGTGTTTCAATGAAAAGATAATCAGGTATTGTTTGTTTTTTGTTTGCAGGTTCCGACACCCAAATATTGTTGAGCTTTTGGGCTACAGTGTTGGAGAAGGAACTTTGTGTCTCATCTACAACTTCATGGAGAACAGATCTCTGGATGATCAGCTCCACTCAGTGAGTCACACTATCTGGAGACTCAGTAGAGACATAGATCCATCTATTCTCATTTTTAGATCTGGCTGTTAAATAATCATTAATATGCATCATTCCTACCTATCATCCTAAAAAAATGGAGGTACGATATAGCTTTTTAAAACCCCCAAAAAAATATTACCTCTTGGCAACAGAAAAATCTGTGACATTAAAAGTAAAGTTTAAAATAAAGAACAAAATTAGGCTCTTCCACACCAAGTTCCAAAACTAAACCTCTGTTCATGAATTATTCATGAATTTATTCAACAGCATTATTTTACAGTGCACTTATTCATTCAAAAAAGCTGCTGCTAGTGTGTGTCCACTTTGTTGTGATGAAATGTTCATGTGGTGTTGAAGCATAATATTTTTTCACTGTCTAGCAGACCAAAGCATGATATCTTCTTTAATTCAAGGGGCATTGTTAGTGTACTAATATTGTGTTTTGTTTCATAGAATGGTTTTGGTCTGTCTTGGTGTCAAAGAGTTTCCATTGTTAAAGGAGCTGCCAGTGCCTTGCAGTATCTCCACTGCCCTCCTCAGGGACAGCCACTAGTGCATGGAGATGTCAAGAGGTAAGTCACACTGCCAAACACTCTGGATAATCATGCACAGCTCACACACAACTCTTTTTCACTCTGTCGCAGCTCTAACATTCTGCTGGACCACCACTTGGAGGCAAAGTTGTCAGATTTGGGTTTAGCCAGGTTTTCATCTAGTCCCTCCAGTCACACTGGGAGTCACACCCGTACCATTGGTAAAACAAAGTGTGTGACTGAGACTCTGGCTTATCTGCCTGAGGAGTACCTCCGAGATTATAAAATGAAAACTGAGGTCGACGTGTATGGTTTTGGAGTGGTGAGGCCTCATGCACATCTGGTTTATGAGATGAGATATGTATGGATATTAATGAGTTTGTTTTTAGGTTTTGTTAGAGATTGTAACTGGTCGCAGAGCTTTGGAGAAGGACAAGACAACGGGGAAAGACATTTACCTGGTAACGTTTATAGAATATTCATTTAAACTCTTTCTATGTAGACTTTTTTTGATTCCAAAGGAAATTCAAATTCAAAATTAGCTCAAACTTTGCAATGATAGCTACCACAACCATACAATATACAAAGCCCCGATCACGTTGGCTCAGCAGATCCAGATGCCTTTTGATTTGATTTTCATTTTGAATGTCGTATTGTAATCTGCATTTAAACTAATATTCTTTGTCTGTGGTTGTAGAAGTTGTTAGTAAATGACGTTGAGAATACGGAAGAACACTGGAGGAAACAACTAGACAAGCGGCTCATCTCCTGTCAGTGTTGTTTTCAAAGTTAGACGTCCTATGCAGTCAGTCATTATGTTATTATGTGTAATGAATATTTCTGTTTGTAGGTGAGGATTCTGAGCCTTCAGGCTTTATGCAGGTTGTGTCGTTGGCTCAAAGTTGTTTAGACAAATTGAAGAAGAGACGACCCATGAAAGAGGTATGATAATGCTTTGCTTTTGTAAGGCTCATTACATTGGTATTTATTTATTATACTATTATCTTATATATTCATTTATTTTTTTCGAACCTGCACTATACATATTTTTACATTTATTGGTATAATAGACAAATAACTTGCACCTGGCTCAAAAAGAGGTTGACACAATTATTATGGCTGCAACAAGTCAATAGATCAATTACAACTACTGGTAAAGAATAATTAATTAATTACAGCCCTGAATTTACATCCTTTCTCTTCTGCTTTATCTGGGGCCGGGTAGCAAAGCCAGCAAACATGCGCCCAAGCCTTAGCTGGCTGCTCTTGAAGCAGTGGCTCTACTCTAAGGCAGTGTTTGTCAACCAGTGTGTGATGTTGTGTGTGAAATTGATCAGACGATAAGGATAACTTGACTTTGCGGTGTTAATAAAGGCTGCAGAGTTTCATGTTTGTATCAGTTTGTGACGTGAAGTCAAAAGGGTGAGCCACGACTTTAAAATGTTGGGGAACACTACTCTAAGAAGGGCTCCTTAGACTGGGTCATTTCAACAACCACTAGGATCTAATTTTTTTAGTCATCAAGTTTTGCTCCAGCTCGCCTTGGCTCCATTCACTTAATTGAAAAGTGAACTCCTCTTATGATCGTTTGTGTCACATTCAACATTTTGCGCTAAAAAACGTCCTTGTGTTTATGTTTTTATAATGTCTTTGTAAATCCAGATACAGTATGTCCCCCAACAACTTGCCAACGGGCCTTCTATCCCCGAATTTGGCTTTGGCTAACGAGTAGCTAGTCAGTTTACTAGTTTCCTTCTATGGTTATCACCTAAACTTGTGACCATAGGTTGAATTTTAGTATTATCATTTACAAAAAAACGTGTATAAACAGTTTTTACTCTGATGTAGAGTAACTTCCTTGTTGTTAAGTGTATATTTCACTTTTTCACAGGTGTATAAGGCCCTTGACAGTATCCATAACACCTCTCCTTCATCTTTGCCCTCTGTCCTCTACTCATCTTCAGTCCCTCATCCAGGACCAGCCCGTTCACTGGACTCCTGCTTCTCTGCTCTGTCCTTCAAAACTTCTGACCCATCTAAACATGCGTATAGCCACAAACGGAGCTCTCTGTCCCCACCACAGACACTCTCCTCCACAGTGACCCCTACACCCCCTCGTCACAGCTCCCCCTCTTCATCCTTGATAAGCTCATCATTCAGTGGGCCATGTGAGACCGACGAAAGCCGAGGGTTTTCACAGTACAATATAAGTCCAACTAAATCTGGCCTAGATCTGGTTCCCCAACCCTCAGTGCCTGTTGAAGACCAGTACAACTTTCCTCCATACTCCGAAGTTATGGATTCAACAGAGAACCAGGCAGTAGCGCTCTTGGAATGTTCCCCTCAGGCTAGACCATTGCAGTCCCTATCGCCAGGTATGTTGACTTTTGGTTTGCTGCTAGAGATTGTCTAATGTGGATTTTTAACTTTATCTAACTATCTCTTCTTCTGGGGCTGATCTTCACTAGTCTTATTTCAATAATATTTTACAAACATAATAAGCCTTGGTGAGCCTTGTTGTGTTTTTTGTTCCAATATCCTCACACTCTTTTTAAGAATATAAAACATAATGTCTTACTGCTTCCAATCATAGCTGCAATTGCATGTGCGCTTTGGTTTTAGCAATCAAAAAGTGTAAAAAATTACACTGAATGTACTTTGCTTACAGATTTTGTCTCTTTAACTTTTGATCAACATGAAACGTACAACTTTTGTAAACCATCATAAAATTCCATTTGAGTTTTTATGGCAAGAAATCTTGTATCTCAGAAGTGCAACATATTTCTGTAAAAGTTCCATAGATTATGAATCAATCTTATGCTTCTTTGTCACAGTTGTGTCCAACTCCAGTAAACAGCAAGTGTTTGAAAACCGGGCAGTAAGCCAGTCACCTGAACTGCTCTCCTCTGAGGACCTATGTAAGAATCTTCTATTTCCATGTATAATTTGACATTCTACGTCATGGTGCTACGTCCCTTAGCGCAGGGGTTCCCAAAGTTTTTAGCCCGCGACCCCCATTATAAATGCCCTGCTAACCCGCGACCCCCCCCCCCCCCCCCCCCCAACATCCCTTCCGTCACATGAAATGAGCTTGTATTTCCTTGATACGGAGTAACGCTTTCTAGAGACTCACGCCACTACCGAGCTGCACTGTCCAGCCCAAAAAAGGAGGCTTGCATATTTTTACTCATGTAGTGACACAGTGATGGGCTTGGTGGGCTCCCTCCTCAGCAGAAGTCGAGCGCATTTCTTGCGGCTCGCCCTCACTGTTCTCCTACCGCGGTAAAGTGGGCCGGCTTTCCGGAGTCAGCGGTGAAGAGGTCCGCACATTAAAAGCGGGTGGCCGCTTTCTGCTGTTACTTTATGCGGTTCATCCCCGCGGCTTCTCTTTCCAAAGTTACTGTCAGTAAAGGCATAAAACGGCCACCCGCTTTTAATGTGCGGACCTCTTTACCTTTGACTCCGAAAAGCCGGGCCTCTTTAACGCGCTGTTCTACCGCTGTCCTCCCTCCCTCCGCTGCCCTCTCTCCCTCCGCTGCCCTCTCTCCCTCTCTTCGCACCATCAGCCTGAACCCTGATACAAGTGACTTTTCTCCCCCTCCGGGTTTTTCTGTTGTGGATTTTAACCACGTTTCATTTTAAAGCAGGTATTATTTATTTGTAGCCTCCAAACACCTTTAGTTTTAGCAAACAACAGCAGGACACGCTTTGTCGCTGCGCATGATGTGAGCTGTGTTACGTGATGATTTTGATTGACGCTGCAATGACTGGGACAAAATTACTAACGTTATTAAAATATATTATAGTCTCCAAACACAATTTAACAAGTAGTCCTTTTGAATCAAATCAAATGCTAAATAAATATCAAAAAACCTTCTTACCTTATCAAAAAAAAAAAATCTTTTTTTTTTGTTTGTGTAGAAATCATCTTGCGACCCCCCCAGGGGTTCCCGCGACCCCCCGGGGGGTCGGGACCCCCACTTTGGGAACCACTGCCTTAGCGGACTTCGCTAATGGGATATCACGTGACCCCCAGGTCACAGACGCCAGAGAGATCAAACAAAAAATGCTCCAATCACTAGCGACCCTCCTCTATAAAGGCCCCTGCTCCATAGCCGCGCCCCCTCTTTCACTCTGGCGCCGATTGAGATCTACCACAGTACTTACTTCGTTCTGAGATGTCTTCCATTGTTCGTCCGAGTTCCCCTTTGCCCTCCGGCGTCGGACGCCGTCGCTGCTCTACGTGTCGGGTCAGGCTCCAGCGCACGGACCAGCATGCCAGCTGCTTCATGTGCCTGGGTTCGGGCCATGCGGCGTTGAGCGCTAGCTGCGCCTCGTGTCTCGCTCTCCCCAGGGAGGAGAGCGAACGCAGGCGCGCGTTCTTCGCCGCTGCAGCGCCCCCTCCGGACTCCTCTCAGGACGAGGAGTCTGAGATTGACTGGGCCCCACTCGACCTTCCGCCCGTGTCCGCGGAATGGGGTGACTGCGAGGTTGGAGAGGCTTCGGAGGACGGCTCTCTCCTCACTCTGGACGAGGTGGTGTCGAACCCGGAGTTGGACCGCTTTCCGCTGGACCACATGCCTGGTCTCTACTTCTCCGCGGCGGCCATCATGGATGCTCCTCTACCACCGCAGCCGGTCCAGACGGTGGAGGACTTCACCTCGGTGGGCGCCACCACTCGAGGGAGGAGGAGGAAACAACCCACGTTGTGCCCACGGATGGACCCGATCCTCCATTACGCGACACGTGAGTGGCCAAAGCCCCTAGCAGCCAAGAGGCCTGCTCTGGGGTACGGCATGTACTGCAGCGTGCAGGACTGGTCCTGGACCGGTGGTGTCCCGGACATAGAGGACTCAGTCCGCATGGCCCTGCAGCCCTCCGCATCCGTGTGGCCCGGCGCCAGACCTCTCCTTCCCTCCGAGCGGGACAGGATGTCTTTGGCGATGCTGGACAGGTGTTATGCCAATGCGGCTCAGGTCGTCGCATTGGCTAACAACATGGCGTTCATCACGGGGGCCCTGGATAGGTCGCTCTCCTCTGGCCAGGCGCTCAGTGGAGACCTCCTGTCAGAGGCTAGGACCACCTCCGCGGCGATCCTGCGCATGTGCTAGGCGTTGGCCGTGGATGGTGGCCGCTCCATGGCTGCAGCCCAAGTCGGGGCCAGGCACCTTTGGCTTGGGCTGGCTAACATCAGGGAGGCGGAGAAGAGGCAGTTGCTGGACCTGCCCATCTCCCAGACGTCCCTCTTCGGCCCGGATATGCAGGCCCTGGTGGAGAGAGTGGAGGCTGCAGCTAAGGACTCGGCTAGGCTAACCCCGCACCTAGCACCGAGGCGCGAGGCCCACCAGCCATCACGGAGCCGGGGCAGAGGCAGAGAGCGTTCGCCCAGGAGGCGTCCTGACCGTATCCTCGCTCCGTCATCCATCGTCCCCCCTCGACGAGGCCCCCGGGTCCAGACAGACCCACGGGAGGCTCGCGGGAACAACGCTCCCACCGCCGGCCTCCCTATGGTAGAGGAGACCGGGGTGGTAAGAATTCTTTCAATAAAGGCCGACCGGCATTTCATCAGTACTCGTTGTCTGAGTCTCATTTGGGGGTACGTAACATGTCTAATGTGTCTGATTGTGTTACTTCCCGGGCCCATAACATTGCTTCGCTAGGCCTGCAGCCCCCAGAGCAGGGTGTGCAGTGCGCTACGCGAGCTACGAGCTCCGGTCCTCTGATCCATGCTATAACCTCCCAGAGAGAGGTCAGGCGGAGGGATCTGGTGAGTAGTGATGTGTGTGCTTCGGCCGAACACGTGTTAGCCCCTCTGAGCTACCAGGCTAAGCACGGGGTTTCCCACTCCAAGGGCTCGCCCCCCCCTCCATGAGGCAAGAGCCAGGGGGGGAGCAATCGAGTCACATGGCATGAGCAGGTCCGTACTTATGACGTTGGGCCTGCAGGACACGTGACCGCCCCGGCGCACACGGTATGACGCAGGGGGCCCCCCTGCCCTTTCGTCCACCGCCCCCCCCCCCCCTCCCTGCATGGAACACCAGGAGAGGGCGGGGCTGTGACGTCTCGTGTTCCAGCTCCCGTTCCGCCCCTCACAGACTTCTACAGCATCTGGAGGGAGCAGGGATTACTGGCGGATCCGTGGCTGGAGAAGACATTGCGCAGGGGTTACGCACTGCAATTCTCCCGAAAGCCACCACCATTCCGAGGCGTACGGGCAGCACGCTCTCAGGTACGGGGATCGCTAGTGGCACTACAAGCGGAGGTCTCCTCTCTGCTAAGTCGAGGCGCAGCAGAAGAGGTGGACCCACAGGACGCCGCCAGGGGGCTCTACTCCCCTTACTTCTTAGTGCCAAAGAAGTCAGGAGGGGTGCGTCCCATTTTGGATCTGCGCACTTTGAACGAGTGCATTTCCAATCGGCAGTTTCGGATGCTGTCCACAAAACAGCTCCTCGAGTGTGTCAGGCAGGGAGATTGGATGTCCTCCATAGACCTGACAGACGCTTACTTTCACGTGCCGATAGTTCCGGAACACAGGAAATTTCTGCGCTTCGCAGTGGGAGAGAGGAGTTACGAGTACTGCCGTCTCCCCTTCGGCTACACGCTCGCACCTCGGACCTTCTCAAAATGCGTGGAGGCGGCACTGGAGCCGCTCAAACGCGCGGGGGTAAGGATATTCACCCATATAGACGATTGGTTAATACTGGCCTCATCCAGGGAAGTGGCCGTGAGTCACACGCACTGGGTCCTTTCCCACATACAGCGTTTGGGCTTTGTGGTGAACAGGAAGAGAAGAGCAGGCTGCAACCGGCTCAGCGCATGATCTATCTCGGCCTGCAGCTAGACTCTGTGTCTAGCTGCAGGCCGTGCTGCATTGTCCGAGGACAGACGGAGGAAGCCAGGGAGGTTCTGGCGGGCCCCAGGATCCCCGCTCGGCGCCTCAGGTCCCTGCTGGGGATGATGGTGGCGGCTCATGCGGTGGTGCGGCTAGGCCTTCTCCACATGAGGAATTTTCAGAGATGGTTCTCACGCCTCAGGCTTCACCCCTCCCGGGACGGGGGGAGGCTGATCTGGGTTCCCCAAATGGCAGCATCGGACATCAGGTTCTGGCTCACTCCGGGTCTATTGCGGGACGGAGTGACTCTGGCCTGCGCCGTGTCTCACGTGGAGGTGTTCACGGACGCGTCACTTGAGGGTTGGGGCGGGGTCCTCGGCCAGAGCTCTGTAGGAGGCTGCTGGTCGGACTCAGCCCGCCACATCAACCTTCTGGAGATGGCGGCAGTACACAGGGTACTGCTGCACTTTGCTCCTCAGCTGCAGGGGAGACACGTGATGGTTAGCTCAGACAACACCACGGTGGTGTCTTATCTGAACAGGCAGGGGGGCACCAGATCCCCCGCCCTCCATCGCATGGCGATGGTGACGCTGCTGTGGGCGGCGCTTCACCTCCTGTCCCTGAGGGCGCGCCACGTCCCGGGTGCCCGGAACGTGGGGGCCGACAGGATGTCCAGGGGGGGCCCACTCCAGGACGAGTGGGGCCTGGCCCCACGGATAGCTGCGGAAGTCTGGCGGAGACTCGGTCGTCCAGTGGTCGACCTTTTCGCCAGTGCAGAAAACGCGTGCACAGTGCCCGTCCTGGTTCGCCTTAAGGGCCGCGGACGAGCCGCCCTTAGGGGTGGACGCCCTGGCTCACTACCCCTGGCCAGGGGGCCTACTGTATGCTTTTCCGCCAGTTCGTCTCCTGCCGGTCCTGCTGCGGAGGATCGAACAGGAGGGGAGGTCGGTGATCCTGGTGGCCCCGGACAGTCCACATGCCCGGTGGTTCCCCTTCCTGAGGGGCATGGCGGTGATGGAGCCCTGGGCCCTCCCGGACTCTAGTCCAGGGGGGGGGGGGGCCCTGTTTTCACGCCCGATAATCGGCCGCAGGCTTTGGTTTTGGAGGCTGAGAGGCGGAGCCTCGTAGACCTGGGTCTTCCCCCGGCGGTGGTGGAGACTATTCAGGGGGCGAGGGCGCCGTCCACTGTGAGGGCCTACGCCACAAGATGGAGGCTCTTCAGCGACTGGTGCGGTTCTCGCTCCTGGGATCCCAGGCGTTGCCCGTTTGAGGGAGTCCTGGGATTCCTGCAGGAACTATTTGACAAAGGGAGGGCTGTCGCCACCCTGGCGGTGTTCGCGGCAGCCATTACCTCGGGTCACGGCGGTTTCGGGGGGTTCACAGCCCGCTCTCATCCGTTGGTCAAGCGTTTTCTGCGGGGGGCACGCAGGAGGAGGCCCCAGCTTCAGAGAACGCCCCCGGTTTGGGACCTCAGGGTGGTCCTTAGGGGTCTTTCGGGCCCGCCTTTTGAACCAGTGGCGGAGGCGAGTCCCGAGTGTGTTGCTTTTAAGACTGCCCTCTTGCTGGCGTTGGCGTCTGCTAAGAGGGCGGGCGACTTGTGTGCGCTCTCCGTCCATGCGTCTTGCCTGTCCTTTGGAGAGGGTGACGGCATGGTGGAGTTGTGGCCCAATCCGGCTTTTCTCCCTAAGGTCATCACGTCGGCCTTCAGGTCGAGAGTGATCAGGATTAGGGCCTTCCATCTGCCGCCGCATGCCTCCCCCGAGGAGGAGCGGCTGCACCTTCTGTGTCCTGTCAGAATGCTTAGGCGTTACCTGGCCATGACATCTTCATTTAGGTTGGTTGATCAGCTGTTTGTGTGTCTGGGCCCCAAGAACAGGGGCGCCCCGCTGTCGGCTCAGCGGCTGGCGCACTGGGTCGCCACGGCTGTGCGGCGGGCGTATCAGGCTCAGGGTCTGGCCCCCCCGGTGGGCTTCAGGTCGCACTCCACGCGTGGGGTGGCGGCTTCTACGGCCCTCCTCAGGGGGGCTTCGGTCGAGGACGTGTGCCGTGCGGCTTCTTGGGCGTCGTCCTCTTCTTTCGTCCGGTCTTACCTTTTGGATGTGTCGGTCCGGTCGGTGGCCCATTCTGTGCTTAGTGCAGTGGACTGAGTTGAAACCTTATGTTCCCCCTCTTAGGGGCCGACTGTTGTCTTTCCGCCCTGGTTCAGGAGCTCTTGGGAGTGGCGTTGTGTCCCACTAGCAAAGTCCGCTAAGGGACGTAGCACCATGACGTAGAATAAATAGTTACCTAATGTAACTTAAGGTCTACGAATAGGTGCGTAGTCCCTTAGCTACAAGCCCATCAGGCCAGCCCGGCTTGGCAGAGTTCAAGAGGGGGCGCGGCTATGGAGCAGGGGCCTTTTATAGAGGAGGGTCGCTAGTGATTGGAGCATTTTTTGTTTGATCTCTCTGGCGTCTGTGACCTGGGGGTCACGTGATATCCCACTAGCGAAGTCCGCTAAGGGACTACGCACCTATTCGTAGAACTTAAGTTACATTATGTAACTATTAATTACATCAATCTGATCGCATGCTGTGTTACCTCTGCCTGACCACTACCAGCAGGGAAGTGTTTAATAGTACGTGAAGGATGCAGCTGTGACTGTATGTAACTCTGTAGCAGTGTATCAATGCTGCTGTGATAATTGTTTATGGTGAAGGGGAAGTGTGGAGAATTCAAACAAGAAGCATTAACTTGAAACTTTTTCATTTTTATGAATAAAATGTTTAGGGAATATTTTAGTACAATTTAGGTGATGTATTCTTGCTTCCAAACAATATTAAGGCAATAATTTATGCACTGGTAGTTTTGCATTTCCTCATATTTTTACACCTTTCAAATTTAACTATAATACATTTTGATTATTTATAGATGTGGTGGGGAGTCCTGGAGTGTCAAGGTTGCCAGAAGAGAGTGATGAACTGGAATATCTTCAATCTAAAACACAATAATATCTCTGTCACCTGCTCTGTAACTCATCTGAACAAAGCTACTTTTATTCCACTTAACACATTCGCTCATACCAAAGATGTTAGACTCAGAGTTTATTGACATAAAACAATACAAAACCGATGCATTAAGGTTAATTTTTAGAGTCTATTATTGATTAAGGTGAAAAAGTTAAATTCACTGTTTGGGTTATGTCGACAATTGCCTCAATTATCTAAAGTAGAGCAGAGATGCAGAGGACTTCCCAGCAGTATCCAATATTTTCGGGGATTGTTTGGAATCTAAAACATAACATAACTGAGCATCCATTTGAAATCCAAGATTTACTTTTTATTGTTCAGTTCAAAAATGGCATCTGGTGTAGATATACTGTACAGTTTTTTCTCTAAACAACTGTAATATGCTCATTGTTCACACCAAAACATGGTATGCAACAGGTACAATAACATGAAGTTAACTAACATCACCTGGACAAACGTCATGTGCCAAAACATTCCTACATTTTAAACCAGGATGTATAATGTATGTCTATTGTTGTTGGTTTATTCACTGTTTGTATTATAAGTCTATGTAATGTCTTTTAAATAATATGTATTATCACGGGTGAGATCCTTTTTTCATGCTTTATGTACGTGTTGCCACACACACCTTTTTTTAAAAACAATAACTATGTTTGATTTTCGGGTTTGGAAAATAAGTATTTTTATACCATTTCCTAACCCTAAAGCTACCATAAGTTACTGGCAAGACTGAAGTTTTTAATAATCCATACAACTTTTATGCATTTTTATTAAGCACGTTTCTTGGGCAACCAAAGATGCTTTACTAAAACCATAAACTGATAAAATTACAACTTTACATTTATACAGTCTGCCAAAAAACCTGGACTTGGAGAGAAAACCCCTTGCATGGAAACATTTGCTTCTACTACAATGTTTTTGTTGTTTGAAATCTAAATCAGACATAAGGTACAATATGTTGAATACATTCTTTTATTCCAAAAAAATGTACTGCAAATGAACCATGAGTTTCAAATGTCTTTTCCCTAAAGAAACTGGCAAATCTATTTGCCTTCTGATTGGATTCTCATCATGCGCTCATCCTGATGTGTTGACATGTTTTCAAGGAAACCTGTGCAGCTACTACAATGTTCAGGAGTGGTTATATATATTCATATAATATGAAATCTGAAATCTTTAAAAATCCCACATAATTCTCCATTTAATTAAAGAAAAATAACATTTAATCGGGTATTTTCAAAAGATTACTGAAGTGTAACTGTTCGGTTCTTGTAACATTACTTTTAAGTACTTTTAACTTGGTAGTTATGTAAATGTTAGGTTTTTGAGGAAATGGGAAGAATGTGATATGCGTTGTTCTTCCTCTAGAGAGCACTGTTTTGTCCAGAGAAGTTGGACACAAAATGGCGTCTTCCTCAACGGCATGAAAATGTACTGATTATTTATTATTTTGGATTTAAAAGCCCTGTCTAGGGTAGTGGTAGCTTTATTAAAAACACCCGACACTTCTGACAATAGAGCATTATTTGGGAAGTAACAGAGTAAGTATTGCATTGTGAATTCCCACCTTTTCCGCTTATTCTTGCAGCTAACTGTCGGCGCCGCCATGTTTGTCTGGTACAGAAGTGTTTGAAAGAATGTCAACATAAGCAACTAAGCTTTTACAATCGTCTTCTCATACAATGATCAACATAATACTGTGTATTCAACTCCGGTGTAATAGATCAATCCTCAATTTGCTCTAGTGTAATTGTCAGACATTTAACATTGTATGAAGTTTGGCTACTGGGTTACTGCTAGCTAAAGCTAGCGTTAACCGCTTGGACTAGAAGAGAAAAGGAGCGGATGTTGACAACGCTCTAAAGTCATCTTTGTCCCACTTTCAGTGTTTCCACGCGCAGTACAAAAAACAGAAGGAATACTAGTTTAAGCACTCACAACCTGATTAATGGCTGTTGGTGTTCGCTGGCTTTAACGTCAAATGTGGAACGTTCATCAATCATTGATATTCATTGTAAAGATTGTAATATTATATGAACCCAATTCAGTTAATTTCTGGTTTGGAGAAAGCAATTTGCACGATTATGGTTAGTTAACTTATGAACGCCAAAATGTTTAATAAAAACGTCAAAAGTTGTTTTGTTGTTGCTGTACTACCAACATGTCTGGAGAGATTCTGAGGGAAATAAAGCCCGTGCTTTAATCAATATTCATTGGTTGGTGTTTGATTGGCCGCAGGGGATATTTTCTGCCTGCATTTTACACTCACCTGTCTATGGTCGTGACACAAACCTTAACGTGCATTACTTTACACGCTTTTAATAAGAAAAAGTAAACTAAATTAATATCAAATCACCATATAACTATTTTATACAATACATTTGACATACAGACGAACACATTTAAATGGTTGAGCCTCGATTTTACGTGTTTTAGGTGTAAATTCATAAATTCAGTGCGTTAACTAAACTATGTTATGGTCTACGAGAGACGCCCCGTTTGCTTGGCTCACAGCTTTCGCCGCCTCTGTTGTATTCGGTTGCTGTTAGCAGCAAGATGGCGGCTTCCATACCGGCGCACGGACAGATTGTTCTGCACATTTAAACCTTGTTTCCAACCTCGGTTCTGATCTTTTGCACCGATGCACAGAAAAGAGCACGCAGACAGCGCTTCGCTGCTATAGATGCACATTTTTTCCTCATGGGTTTGAAGTAGCTGATTTGGATTTTACGAATTCTGCAGCGCGTTCGCTGAACTAAAATGGCGGCTTCCTGTGGACGTCGCTACAGAGTTTGCTAAGCTAAAAGCTAAATCGGATATTGTTAAGTTTTCAATACCCTGGAACAGTATCAAAGCTGGACTCTTGTGGTGGACTTGTTGGAATCTAAATTCTACTTTAGTAAGGGGTTGGATTATTCGCGCAATGCCTTGTTGGACTGCAATGATTTTTTTCCAAGAGTTAGCCTAGCAGCCCGGTCAAATAGCTTAAAGAATTGGCTAAAAAACCATCCCGTAACGTTTACAATTTTAACCGTTCATTGTAGTTAGTCGTTTTTTGTATGATTATCTGGGTTCGTTGTTTTGCCCAATGTGATAGCTGTTGCCTGAGAGAATCATACATTATCAGAAAATAAACAGTTCCATGCGATTAGCCAAAGAGGGTTAGCCCGTTTGATTTAAGGCTAACTAACTAAGCTGCTATCGTTTTCGGACTAAACTTGGATTTCTTTCCTCCGTGAAAGACTCACAGGAGTACATCTGAACAGCTGGAGCATGGCATCGGAGCCCGCGGTGCTGCAGCCGCGGTGGAAGCGGGTTTTGGGCTGGAGCGGTCCTGTGCCGCGGCCCCGACATGGACATCGAGCTGTTGCCATAAAGGAGCTGATGGTGGTGTTTGGAGGTGGAAACGAGGGAATCGTAGACGAACTACACGTCTATAATACAGGTACAACTACTGTGTGACCCTATTAAAGACGATGTGCTAAAGCCAATTGACTATACCACCAGTGTTGCTCGCAAAGTTCACGGGAATGCTATCTGTTTTAAGAGAAGCGTTGACTTGTGTGCACAAACTTGATGATACATGATATCCGACATCTGTTAAGTGTGTTTATTTCATCTGAAAGTATGTGTTAAAGCTTAATTTGGAAAGGCGATTCTGAATAAAGTAGCCGCCACTACCCCTTAGCTTCAGCTAGCGCGCTATCAGCTCTGCGGCTTTGGCAGCGGCTCACAGAGAAATGGCGCGATTTCACTAAAAACAAAGTGTACGTCACTGAGGCACGCCCCCTTTTCTTTCAACACAAAACTCCACATTTTAACGGCGTCAACATTGTAATATATACTACTCGTTATGTATAACATGTTAATATTCAAATGGATTATATTTACACACCAATGTCATTTAGGTATCCGTCCATGCATCTTACAAATAATTTATTCCGAGTTGACCATACAACTCGAAATCCACTTAGCAAAGGTTTTGAAATGTATTTGCCAAACAATTGCTATGTTTGTTTTCATATGTATTTGTCTCTTACCTCAGCTACAAACCAGTGGTTCATTCCAGCTGTCAGAGGAGACATTCCCCCTGGTTGTGCTGCATATGGTTTTGTTTGTGATGGCACGCGGCTGCTCGTGTTTGGAGGAATGGTGGAGTATGGAAAGTACAGTAACGACCTTTATGAGCTGCAGGTAAGAAGTGATAACTTACATTTCTGGGTTCTAGTGACAATCTTTAACTTATTTTTTTATTCATTTTGTTTATTTCAAACCAATAACAGCAATCATTTCGTTTGTAGATTTATAATGTTTGCAATTTGGGGGTTACACCCTGAAAATAATGGGAACGTTATGGTCAATGTTTTTGGTTTTAGGCGAGTCGTTGGGAGTGGAAACGTCTCAAAGCCAAAGCTCCTAAGAATGGTGGGCCTCCTCCATGTCCACGTCTTGGCCATAGCTTCTCATTGATAGGCTCTCGTTGTTACTTATTTGGGGGACTGGCCAATGATAGTGAGGATCCCAAGAACAACATACCAAGGTGAGTGACCACATAGTATAATACTACTTTCTATGAAGCAAAATTGTAAGACTGGGCACCCAGCTCACAGAGAAATGGTGCATTTAAATGAGAGAGATTTATAGTATCAAACTTTGCCAGTTTCCCACAAGTTTCATTTAGCAGTATTTTTTTTATGCGTTTTGACTCATGAAGGCTCTGCTCTCAAATGGAAATTGACAGAAATGGTAAATTTTAATGGTTAGCTAGAGCATTCATGAGGCAGTTTGGTGTGGACTAAACCCACACTTTTTTGAAATTATGGGAAATGTTTTACTAGTTTTACTTGGAAATTAAGAATATGTTTTTGCATGTTTGTCTCAAACATTTGAGCTGATTTTTGAGAAAGAAGTTTCTAGCTCACTTCACTGTCAAAGATGGAGTGAACATTCAATGATGAAGTGAACATAAATTTGTCCCACAGTGGGTACGTTTTGCTTTTGTGGCGAACATACAAGACAGTAGTAAAGAACAGTAGAGTATACAAGGAGCACGAAGCAAAATATATAGTAGTCGAGCGTTTGTATTAGAGATTGTTTTTCATCTTTGGAGAGGGAGGCGGAGTAAGGTTTCACCGAGGTATGTGGATTATTCATCACACAATTGTTTTGGCAAAATGATCAAACGATTGTATAGAAAAAAGGCCTGTTCAAGGGCCGATTATATAAATGTTGAATGACCCTTAAAAGTATTTGAAAAGTCTTAAACTCAAGTTTCTTTCCCTGCCCCACACACTGTGCACATGCAAGATGCAAAATCACCGCCACAATGTTGTCATACACCAATTAATACATTCTTATTTTTTTTCCTAGATACCTAAATGACCTTTACTGCCTGGAGTTAAGACCTGGTTCTAGCGTGGTAGGCTGGGACATCCCTTCCACTTCAGGTCGGCCTCCTCCACCCAGAGAAAGTCACACAGCTGTAGTAACCAGCGGAAAAGTTGGGAACAAGCTCATTATCTATGGTGGCATGAGTGGCTGCAGGCTTGGTGACCTCTGGCTGCTTGATATAGGTGAGATGCACTACAGATTGGGCATTCATTGCAAATGCAACTATATGGGAAAAAAGGGAACACTGAACTCCCAGGTTGCCAGATATGCTGACAAATCCAGCTGGGACCATAGTATCTGAATAAAGATCATAACCTAAAACCAACACTAAATCTAAAACCAACACCTTTTTCACAAAGACCTGGATTTATTCCTGGTTTTATTGTTTTATCATTAATGATTTTAGAATCAAAACGAGACCTTTTTTAGTTCTGTGGCCACATGTTAAAGAAAAATTTAGGGGCTGTAAAACTAATTTTGAAATCTAACATTCTTGGCTGAACTACTGTTATCAGTTAAGTAAGTATTTAAAAAGGGGCATGTTAACACCTTTTAACAGATTAGGACCGTTTAATGATGACTTGACATGAACATTTTACATATTGCTACTGAGACGAATGATCATCACAATACTTGAAATTAACAAATCAATATTGACAGAAGCGACCATCCGACCACCCTTCAAAACTGTTTATGTATCCTGTTTTTTATATGAATTGTCCACATGTTTGAAATAAATACATTCGCACACACATGTGTGCAAGTGAAGTGCTGTAGTGTTAAAAAAAAAAACATGTTTTCCTTTTTAGACTCTTTGATGTGGACCAAACCCTCTATTGGAGGAGCAGCTCCTCTTCCACGCAGCCTGCACTCTGCCACCATCATCAATAACAAGTAACCAACTTACTTTTGCATCTGTTTGTTGTTATGTCTAAATTGTCTTGTTTATAATCTTGTCGGAAATGACTAAGGTTTTCATGCTGGGGTAAAGCTTTCTGAATATTTATCTTGCGAGTGTGACAGTTAATTTATTACTTCTGTTAGGATGTACGTGTTTGGAGGCTGGGTCCCTTTGGTGATGGAGGATGTCAAAGTTGCCACACATGAGAAGGAATGGAAGTGCACCAATACTCTGGCCTGCCTCAATTTGGGTATAAATTCAGCTGATCTTTTCATATAATTACAATACTGTATAATGTGTTAATAAATGTGACTTGAAATGAGTAATTAGGAGAGTAAGAGAGGCCTACAGTGTTGTGGTGCATGAATATTGTATACCATAATTTTCGCACTATCAGGCGCACCTAAAAGCCTATGTTTTCAACCATGCGCCCTATAATCTGGTGCACCTTTTATATATGAAAACGAAGGCACAGATAATGCAAAAAAATATACAGTAGATCTTTTCTCTTTTCATACATAATACACTTTTTTCTCTTATAGCTGCAGCAAGTGGTTTAATATTACTCGAAGGCCAACATTTTGTTTTCCATGTGATGGCAAGGTTGGATAAAGCTTTTGATTATGAATATTGAGATTGATCTATACGGCTGTATTGAACAAAATTGTACTTTCTCTTTTCAAAGGCCAGATTTGTTTTTTATAGGCATTGTTCAACCATTAGTATGTATGCAATATAATAACCATGAATCTCCCTCTCAAAGAAACCATGAACTGGGAGACTGTGGTAATGGACTCTCTGGAAGAGAACATCCCCCGAGCCAGAGCAGGTCACTGCAGTGTGGCAATAAATTCGCGTCTCTTTATCTGGAGCGGCAGAGATGGCTACAGGAAGGCCTGGAACAACCAGGTCTGCTGCAAAGACCTGTGGTACCTGGAGACTGGTGAGCAGATCATACTGGAGCACTGTAGACCCTGACCCTGAATGTACACTTATGGCTATTTTATGGACACATGCTGTATGTTGAAATGGTTACCACATTTATCTTTCAGCTCATAGTCCTTGACATAGCCTCAGTCAATTCTTCACACATTCAATTCTTGAATATGTTTTTTAACAATAATATTGTATGACTTATGTTAAACTAGATTACTAATTTCAATTTTTGCATCTTGCAACACCACCACAGTTATAACGTTGGAATTCTCGAATGTCTAGTAGGGTTTCTTTAATTCTTCTCACACCACAAAATCTTTGGAAATGACCGCAACTAATCTACTTGTTCCAGAGCGTCCGTGTGCTCCATCCCGTGTACAGCTGGTCCGTGCTAACACCTCTTCTCTGGAGGTGAGCTGGGGCCCCTGTCAAACTGCAGACACGTATGTTCTTCAGCTGCAGAAGTATGACTTGCCACAGACCACCCCTGCAAGCCCGGCCCCCAGCCCGGCCTCTAACCCTGTCCCCACGGCAGTGCCCTGCCCAACCACTCCAGCCACACCACCCACCAGCATCACTCTGGTCCCTGCAGCTGCTACTGGAAGTGCACTGGCCACACCCAATAAACCAGGTATGTAAACAGTTCTCACTGTAATTTTTTTCAAGCTTTTGGTGAGTATAGACACGCATGCACGTACACACACACACAGGCACACACTTGCAGACAAATATTAATAATAATAATAATGCATCGGTTTTATATAGCGCTTTTTTGGACACTCAAAGACGCTTCACATGTCATTATTCTTTCACTCCATACACAGTGGTGATAAACTACTACAGTAGCCACAGGTGCCCTGGGGCACACTGACAGAAGCGAGGCAACCAGTATGTTCCATCGGCCCCTCCGACCACCACCAACCATTCACACACACACCAGACTCATTCTAGGCAATGGGGGTGAAGTGTCTTGCCTAAGGACACAACGGCAGTTTGGCACTTTACAGCCGCAGTCGCCCCACTGTGGCTGGTGTTCCCAGAGGTTAAGTGTCTTGCCAAGGACACAACGACAGCAGACAGTGGGAGTCGATGGTGCACACCAAATGCACCAAATGCACAAGACAGCGCAGAAATTGCACTGCAGCTTTGATTTGCATTAATACGTTATTAAGGTTTCAGAGTTATGGAAGCCCGTTGCCGCCATGTAAAAAAAAAAAAGCCTACAGAAAGTCAAAATTACGACTTTAAAAGTAAAAATTACGACTTTAATAGTCAAAATTATAATTTTAAAAGTCAAAATTATAATTTTAAAAGTCAAAATTACGAGTTTTCAACTGCGCATGTGCAGTTGAAAACTCGTATGTGTTGTTGTCTGGAACGGTCTCTGGTCATCCTTCACCTGCAGATTATGTGAAGATATTGCCTACAGTGACCACTGCATCCATGAAGTAGCCAGAAATAATGTTGTTTGATTGTTGCTGTAAAACTTTCCTGTTTAAGCCCCAGACTGCGGTCTTTAAATCAAACGACTTCTTATTTCAACATAGTAACAAATAATGTGAGCAAAATGTTTTTATAATAAATCAAAGGAAAATGAGCCATCGAGACATTCCAATCCAATCTGCTAGACCACTCTGACCAGACGATGACGCTGAGAGGGGTCCACACGGAGCGAGTATTTCCACGGCTGAAATGATGCGCTTTCTGTGTTGAGTACGGGGTTTTATTCATGCATTTATAATGGGTTTAACTCCCTTTTCAAAGACCCTCACTGTTATCTGCGGAGTTATTTCTCCGGATTGTTGCTAAAAGAGTCATGGGCTTTATTTTGTCACAATAAAATAATCAGACAAGGAACTTATTCACTATATGTCTCAAGGTTCCAACAACTTTACCCTCACGCTCGCTCCATCAGCTCACCCAAGAGCGCGCTCACGTTTGCGGCCGCGCGCACGCACACACTCACGTCACATACTCTTCAATGCACTGATCGCAATTCCAAAAGGTTTAATATTGTCAGTGCCCGTGTCTGTGGTTCTCCTGCCTCTGTCTGCAGACCTCCCTCACTGTCCAGTAATCGCGAACGGTCTCTCTCTCAGTCACTATTATTCACTGCATTTCTGGTGCATCCATCGATAGCCGTGATACTGACCAGACGTCACCAGTTGATGCTCAATGAGTTTGACCAGCCGCATGTGTTTTATTATTAATCTTCCACAGTCCGTTTAGGATAAATTTAATAGAGGCTCCTGAAGCGAATTCTAATCATAAACGGAGAGACCGTTTGCATTTTAACGCGATTACTGCCCCAACATTATTGCTGCTACTTCATGGATGCAGTGGTCACTGTCTGTAGGAAATATCTTCACATAATCTGCAGGTAGAGGATGACCCATGGATCTATAATAGGGATGACCAGAGACCGTTCCAGACAACAACACATATGAGTTTTCATCTGCACACGCGCAGTTGAAAACTCGTAATTTTGACTTTGTGTAGGCTTTTTTTATTTTACATGGCGGAAACGGGCTTCCATACAGAGTAACCTGGGGCTAGCCTGAAATAATTGTTGAACCAAATTGGTTTATTTTATTCTTTATTTGTTGATTTAACCTGTTACAGCAAAAAATACTTTTAAGTAATGTTTTACAATATTAAACACATTGCATTTATTCCTCAGCTGTTCTGAAAGTTGCTGCGTCTCCAGGAGGAGCTACAGGAGCCTCCATCGTAACGGTCCGTCAGGCTGCACCAAAGTCTCCTGTTGCCGTAACTCTTCCTGCTGGAGTTCGCATGGTGGTTCCCGCTCAGAGCACACAACAAGGAACGGTAATAACCATTATGTCACAGAAGCTAATCTCCAGAGTTTTGTGTTGTTCAAATATTTTTGTTTGAATTTCAGCCCATAGGCACCAACCCTCAGATGTCAGGCATGGCAGCTCTGGCTGCAGCTGCAGCAGCTACTCAGAAAATCCCTCCTTCGTCTGGGACATTGTTGAATATGCCAACGGGAGCCACCATAGTCAAGACTGTGGCTGTCAGCCCTGGGTCTACTACTGTGCCTGTCAAAGTGGTATGGAAATCTATGTTTTAAAATGAAATACCAAAAAGAATAGTGTCTGTAGGTGTTCTCACTTCTAAAGGTCGTAGCCATAAATTATATTACACCTCTTGGATTCCTTGTATGCAAAATTCTAAAGCGATTTACGTAACCTTGGTCTGTGATACGTGCTATACAAATGACTTCCTTACTTTCTTACTTAAGAGGCTTAGCTGAGGCATGATTTCCATTTTGCTTTGCATTTTTTACCCTGTTATTCAGGTGAGTAACCCAGCAACTCGGATGTTAAAGACCGCTGCTGCTCAAGTGGGTGGGACATCTGTGGTTTCCACCCCTGGGACCCCCAACAGACCGATCATTACGGTGCACAAGTCCGGCACGGTTACAGTGTCTCAGCAGGCGCAGGTGGTAACGACGGTGGTGGGAGGGGTCACGAAGACCATCACACTGGTGAACAGTCCTCTCAGTATGGGGTCTGGGGGAACTCTGGTATGTACAGTGCATGTTAGGGAAATGTTTTTGTAATTTATTACAATTTCTAAACTTAAAAGACACACACTGCAAAGTCTTTTTTCTGAATCAAATTCTGATTAACTATACATAATGTCCAAAAAACCTGCCAGAGAGTTCCTGGATGAAGTTTGGGGAAAAGTTTAAGGAAGACAGCTCACAGAGCACTATTTAATCCATCATTGTTTAATTCAAGACCTGGATTCAAGACCTGGGCATCCATCCAATCTGATATTTTGTGTTGTGGAAAATGTTAGTTCACAAATGCTCGCCATACTTGTGGAAAACATGGAAAGTTCTTGTTTTGTAAAGACTTTTATAGAGGTACCAAGCTTGTAGTCATACCCCACAAGACTTTTTGTTATCATTGCAACCAAAGTTGGTTCCACAAATAAGCCTTGCAAGTCACAACTTTCAGTTTTCAAATGATGTATCCTTCAGTTACTTTGTAGTAGTCTTTCATAAAAATATCCCAAATCAAATATTTGTGGTAAACATGACAAAATGAGCAAAAGTTCAAGTACTTTAACAACACACTTAAACATTAAAGCTAATGTTTGTATTTGTTTGTAGTTGGGAAGCCTTGGAAATCTTGGTAAGGTGGTCTCTGTGGTTCAGACCAAACCAGTTCAGAGTGGAGCTGTAACTGGACAGGCAATAAATCCTCTCACACAAATTCTACAGGTAAATAAAGTTATTTATATTTCAAATATATAAAACAAAGCTCTTTCCATCTGGATAGACTTTGACCAAATAGAATTAGTTGGAATGTTCTAAAATGTGATTATAGACCCATCTAATTTTATATTTTTTGGCCACAGACTAAAGGTGGCCTTCCCCCTGGAACTATTCTGAAGTTGGTAACCTCTGCAGACGGTAAACAGACTACAATATTGAGCACAGCACAGTCTGGAGCAGCAGGAAATAAACCAACCATTCTGGGAATGTCTCCAACTGGAGCAAAACCTGGGACGACCATCATCAAGACCATCCCAATGTCTGCGCTGCAGGGAGCCACTGGTACGCAAACAATTTCACTCATGTAATGATCCACACCCCTTCTGCACCAGAGTGCTGGTGCTGTGCCGACCTGGGCTAGTGTCCGTTACCGAAGCAAAATAATATATTTACTAACTATCAGTTTTCTTTTGCCCTATTTCAGTTATTTATCTCAATTCATTACTTTTCCTGTGTCTACGTGTTTAAAAATGATTATAATATTCAATGCAATCGGGGCCTAGCACTGGCACCAGCTTGGTGGAAAAAGGGTAACAGGTCACTAAGACATATAGAAGATCATTTTATGGAATTAGGTTTTGGATTAGATATACTGTAGATCGGTGCGTGTGGTGAACATTTGAATACATTATCTAATGCAGTCTCTATAAAATGGGGTCAATGTGTTCAAACTAAATGTATTGCCATGACCACAATTCCATTGTCATTAGTTATGAATAACTTGATACATAAGTGTAGCTCTCGAACACACCTCTGGATGATTAATTTTTGTAACAGTCATAACTGTAACCAAATCCAATATTGTTACAGCATAACCAGATAGAATTATGGGAAAAAAATAGTAGTGACACATACTAGCTTCAAATAAAAAACATCGTTCTATGTTTACAAAGTACACACATAATCAAAATATGTATTCTTACGTTCAGGTGTTAAAATAGTTAGATTCACGCAGTGCTGGCCTTAAGTAGCAGAATAAATTATCACGTATATGGATATGCATATAATTTTTTTATGTTTTAATGGACCTATACTGTATTCTGAACCCATGAGTTTGTTCTTTGTCAGACATTTATTTTTGCATATTCAGGTGGTAACAGCCCGATCACCATCCTCACAAACAAAGGAATGACTGCAGGAACAGCTCAGAAAATCATCACCGCAGTCCCCAAGATCTCAGCAGGCGGCCAGCAGGGGCTTACCCAGGTACATATCCTCTTCAGGATTTTTCATAGTAGCCATACGACTATTCTAGCCATTTTTTTATAATGTCACATAGTTTAATTGGTACTCCACCTATAGGTAAATATGAAAGCAGATTGTGTTAAAACATTGGTAGCCTAAATGTTTGCGTCTTTGATTACAGGTGGTTTTAAAGGGCGCTCCAGGGACCCCTGGGACCATCCTCAGGACTGTCCCGATGAGTGGAGTCAGACTAGTTTCGCCAGGATCCAAGCCTACTGTTACCACACTTGTTGTCAAGGGCACCACAGGTAATGACACACAATCTAGAGCAGTGTTCTTCAAACCTGGACATGGGGACCACTGGCTGTACTTGGACTCCTTCTGGTGGGACATGGGCATGGACTCTAGTTATTCAATTAAGTTAATAAATCTCACGTTTTGACGAGAGCTGCAGCCATGCTACTTCCAATCTAACTGGAGCGTCCTTGTCAGTAATCCTGTATCTCTGATCGCCACTTTATATTCTTTGTCAATGGAGCAGACCCCATAATACAGAATGCACTTGGAGATTAAATATAAAAAGCATTGCCTTGTGTGCGTTGTCATTAAATCCTCATTTTGGTTTAGCTTCTTTTTTTTTGCCGGGGCTGCTGTTATGTACGTTGGGTTAAACTCATAGCACAATAGGTTTGGATACTCATTGTGCAATGAGTTACTCTTGTCCTGTTTTAACCCATAGTTTAGACTCAGAAATGTCTGGTTCCTAGGCCTAGATAACAAAGTTATCTTCATTACAAATATAACTTCTTCACATGCGTTTCTAGGAATGTCAAGCTTGGGTACTGTCACTGGGACAGTCTCCACTGTTGCTGGAGGAACTGTTGTTGGGAATAACGCCTCTCTAGCCACGCCCATCACCACCTTAGCAACCATCGCCACATTAGCTGGCCAGGTGACAACAGCAACTACAGCCGGGGTGACGAAGCAGGTGATATCCCAATCTGATTTTAGGGGGTGGGAAAAGATATGTATGTTTTAAATTTTCACACATCCAATTATGAAATATTTTCAAACTGCTTTAAAGTGATAGTCTGTAACTCTAAATGAATTACAAATTTCAGGAAATGTATTAAATTGACCTCCTGGCCTTAAATGTTGATATAAAATAAGTCATTTTATTAATTCTAATATTACGGGCAAGTCCCGCCTTCCCTGCTCTTAGCTATAGTTCAGAATCCACGATGCCGTCAAGGTTAACCAATCGAGTCATGCCAAGGGCTGTCAATCATCGGCGCTGATGCTCGCAGCTGCGCGCATGCTCAGTTGTTTGTTTTTGCGGAGCCTCCGAATCAAGCCTCTATTAGGCTCTGGAACTACATGAAAACTGAACAAAGAATTCTGAACATCCGCGCCGAGGTACTTATGTATATACTGAACCTATATCCATAATCATTTATATACTGAACCTATATCCATAATCAGATCCTCTGCAGATCAGAATCAGAATCAGAATCATTTTTATTGCCAACGTAAGTAACGGGAGGTCACAGACTTGGAAATTGCTTTGGCTCAGTGCAACAGTCAAAAAGAGATAATAAAAATAAGAATAAAAAACACTTCTAAAGAATAAATTTAAATTTAAAATAGAGTTACAGTTACTATTTACAATATACAAGTGCACATGGTGCACACAATGTGCACCATGTGTCCTATAATGTGCAATTCATAATAATAGCACTTCCTGGTTTGCCACGATCACTTTTTTTGTGCCTAAAAAAATATTTTTTTCATTAAAACGTTCACAAATAATTCTGAAAACCTCCGTGCATGTGTATTAATAATGTATATGTATAATGTGTTCTGATTAACATTTCAAAGTGTTACGGAAACGTAGGTGTAGACCAATCAGAAAGGAAGGGGGAGGGAGCTTGCGTCGTTTTTTTCAAATCAAGTACCTCTCTATCTCTCTTTCTGACAAACTCCAGACAATCACTTTAAGATAAGATAGACTTTATTGATCATCATTCCTTTCTTGCCTTTAGTCAAAAAGATATTTGTGAATTTTTTAATGGATAAATCAGAATAGAAACAATGATTCATTTGTTTTATTACTTTGAAGTAATGGTCTGGTCCTATTATTATTATTATTATTATTATTACAAAATAAAAAAAATAGTTCCTTAAAAGCTCCTTATCTTTCAATTGATTTACGATATCTTTCTGGAGACTATTAAAACTATATCATACGCAGATGTTTCTGTGCTTTGTGTGTGGTTACATTAGCATTATATCCCAAACTAGTAGCAAGTCAGAGGGCCACATTACTTATTTAATATGGACATAACGATAAAGCCTAGTGTATACTTGCGCGGCGTGGCTTACGTTAGCGGTTGCGGTGGACCTACGTAAGCACAATTGATGTTATACTGGCGCGTTCCCCTTACGGAGTTTTGAGGAGAATGTTGTAATCCCACAACAAACCACATGAGGGCGATCACACAGGAACGGTCCCATTTACGCTGCTACTTTGTCCTCTTCAGAACAACAATAGCAAACAAAGCTGTTTGAGCTCATTACACGTGTTTCTACTGTAGGTTTATGTGATAGTTTTATGGATTCATTATTTTATAAGTCATTTCAACTGTGATGCTGTGAATAAAGACACAGTTCTTGTTGGAAACATAGTTATTATTAAATAGTTTTCAGCACAAACAGCAAAACAATAATAGTGGTAAATATCTGAGACAAACATGAACGATTTACGAGTGCAGGAGGAAAGCAACAAACGCAGCTACGATTCAAACAAGACAGGAACAGTGCAAAACAAACGACTGCACAGTTTATAAGTTATATATATGTTAGATAGTCCACTGTCTCCTGTATCAGGCTCTGTCCAAATGTGCTTTTCCTTCGAAGCACAAAGCTCTCTGCTCCATAGTGCCTCGTCCATTGTCCCTGCTGCAGCCGCTCCGTGCTTCCTTCCAATACACACACACAGACCAATCACAGCGGAGCTTCCTTGCGGCGACCCTTACGTAGTTAGAAAATTTTGATGCTGCGCGGCAGGCGACGTAAGGGCCTTGCGGTGACCAACGCGTTGCGCAAGTGACGTTACGTCACCTCCGTAAGCTCCGCGCGAGTATAAACTAGGCTTAACATTGGATGATCCAGATGCATGACTATAAGTGTTAGTTATAAACATAAACTTTGTACATCATTATCTGTTTTAATGCCATTGTCAGAGAACAGGAAGTCACTTACTAGTACTTTGCTTTGTTATATATCTCAGGTCTAAACTAAGCTGTTGTTTTCTAGGTGACCCTGATCACAACGCCCAGTGGAGCTGAGGCGCAGCCCTTGGTCCAGGACCTGCCTGTGTCCATCATGGCCTCACCCACATCAGAAGAACCTGGAAGTACCACCACCAGCTCCACTGTTACTACTACAGCTGAAGGAGAGGAGGGTTCTAACACAGGTAATCTAATTAAGTCATATTCATTCATTGATATATCAAATCTGTGGTCAGTAGGTTGGATCAGACCAAACGACTACAAAATACAGAGTTGTAGTCGTTTTATATATATATACAATTGATGTTTTTCCAGTGGCGTTGATCTGCTCTAACCCTCCGTGTGAGACCCATGACACGGGGACCACAAACACAGCAACTACAGCCACAGCAGCGATGGGGGGAACGGAAAGAGTCTGTTCTAACCCTCCCTGTGAAACTCATGTGACCGGAACAACCAACACTGCCACTGTGGCCTCCTCCAGCCTCGGCCAGAACACACAGGTAAAATTCGCAACATACAAGATGTAAAGCTGGGGACACACTATTAGGGCTGCACGATATATTGACAAATTATTGTTATCGTGATATTGGTGCGTGCGATATCCATATGGAAAAATTAAATTATATATATATAATTTTTGTTTCTTACTTTTATTAAAGAAGCTATACCCGATTTTTTTTCTAAGTAGTTCATAAAAATGCTTTTTACTACATACAAGTTGTATCATAATACATCATTTAATTGAAAACTTGAGGTAATTGATTCAGCTGTGTAAGAATTACAAGCAGTGAAAAGTGCTGAGTAGAGTCTGAGCGGGCCGCTCTTTCTCCTCCGCTCACAGAACGAGCAGCGAACAGCCTGCGTCCTCTAGCCCCTACAGCGCTGGACTTCAAAATTCGAATATAATTCTAAAATAAAAAATGATGAAAAAAATTATTGAATAAAAAAATTTGAACAAATATTAGACAACCCTTGTAATTCGAAATGTATTGAATGACTGCAAATAAAATAGTTAGCTCCCAAAGGTTTCACCGGGACGTGCTAGGCAGGTAACAGCTAAGCTAGCTAGTTGTTTCATGGTAACGTCCGGGTTTTTCGCAATCGCTTTTTGTCACAATGAAACAGTATTTTTGTCATGAAAACGTTAACAGCAAATTCTGAAATCATCCGTGCATGTGTGTCAAGGATGTATATGTGTACTGTATTGTCCGATTGACGTTTAATGGTGTTGATTGATAGATATGTAGTTGTTTATTGAGCGTGGCTAGCTCCGTTGGCTTCTCTACACAGACAAGTGTGTAGTGACAGGTGCTGATAGCGTTTTGTACTTGCAGAGTAATGGCAGTATTTTACACACCTGAATTACAAACAGGTTGCATTGGGGCTTCGGTCATTATTGGTTTGAGAGTTCTGTTATCAAGAAAAATGATCGGAAGAATTGCTGCTGCTGCTTTGAGTAGCTCTATAACAAATTATAATTAAATATTAGAATATATTCTAAGGTTTTAAATCAATACATTCGGACGCGAAACTAGCGGTATTCTTTTACTTATATATTGTGTTAGCAGTGCGTTGCTTTAGTGCCATTTCATCAGTGATTGTTGCACAGCTTACAAGAAGTTGCGCTAATGCTAATGTTAGCATATGTATCAGATCGCAAATAAAACTAGGTGGCTCTGTGTTATGAGAAATGAGAAGCCATTGAGCGAGTTGGGGGGCGGTGCTAAACATTCAAACATTGCAGAAACGGGTATAGCGCCTTTAAAGACAACAAAACAGACGGACACATTCAACAAGAACAACAAACAAACAAAATAATATATAAATACAGTACAGAACAAAAGTTTGGTCTCACCTTCTCATTCAAAGAGTTGTTTCAATTATGAAAATTGTAGATTCACACTGAAGGCATCAAAACTATGAATGAACTCATGTGGAATTATGTATGTACTAAAAGTCAAACAATTGAAAATATGTGTTATATTCTGGGTTCTTCAGTAGCACCTTTTGCTTTGATTACTACTTCACACACTCTTGGCATTCTCTTGATGAGCTTCAAGAGTTATTAACCTGAAATGGTCTTCAACAGTCTTGAAGGAGTTCCCAGAGATGCTTAGCACTTGTTGGCCCTTTCGCCTTAACTCTGTTGTCCAGCTCCCCCCAAAACCATCTGGACTGGGTTGAGGTCCGGTGACTGTAGAGGCCAGGTCATCTGGCCCAGCACCCACCACTCTCCTCATTGGTCAAACAGCCCTTACACAGCCTGGGTGTAAATCTACAGTCAATAGTAATCAAACGAAACTCAATGAATGAGAAATTGTGTCCAAACTTTTGGTCTGCACTGTATGTGCATTTGAATGTCATTAATGTTGTGCTTATTTTTTGTCATTTATCTCTTGCGTTTCAATGCAGATGCAATTTTAGGTGAAAAACAAAAATATCGCAATACAAAACACTCATATCGAATATCACACTAATTTCCAATATCGTGCAGCCCTACACTATGCGGTTTTTAGCGTCAGAGTTGCTTCACTCACGTTATGTGGAGTCAAAATCCTGGTGAAAACCCAGAGGCAATCAACTTTAATCATGGGCAAAAGCTGCGGCGAGCCTACATTCTCACGGCACATGACGCTAATCGCAGGTGCCTCGCTCCTCTCCTCCTCTCAAACTGGAGACACAGGACACAAGTACATTTGTCTTTAAAACAAATGCGTTAAGGATTGTATTTGTGTTTCATATAGAAACAGTAATTGTTTTTAGACTGGTATATTTTAATGTGTAAAGGGGCGTTCACACCGGACTTAACTTCGGCGTCAAAAGCGTCAGGTTTCCATTGAAAGTGAATGGTGAAGCGCGTCAGGTGAAGCCGAGAGACCCGGCGTCACTTGACGTGCGTCAAAAGCTTCAAGAGTCGCGCGTACTACGCGCTCACTTGAAGTTTTTGACGCGCGAAACGCTCGCGTATCACAACAATCCCTTTGACGCCGAAGTTGAGCAAAGCTGAGCTTTTGAAGCTTTGACGCGGGCTTCAACCAATCAGGAGACGAGGAGCAGCAGCAGCAGAGGGTCTGTCTCTGTCATGAAGAGAAGTCATGTATCTGCTGTTTTATTGTCATTATTGTTATTAGTAATATTATTTGTATGAGTAGTAAAATTCTGAGTAACAAAAATCATTGTACACATGCTGTGTAGTAAACGTAGTTTATTTAATATAAGAACAGGCTGACGATGAGTCTGGCTCAGAGCAAGGCCGCTCCGGGCGGGCGAGAGCCGGGGAGAGGCAGGTAGAGACAGGTAGAGGCAGGTAGAGGCAGGTAGAGGCAGGTAGAGGCAGGTAGAGGCAGGTAGAGGCAGGTAGAGGCAGGTAGAGGCAGGTAGAGGCAGGTAGAGGCAGGTAGAGGCAGGTAGAGGCAGGTAGAGGCAGGTAGAGGCAGGTAGAGGCAGGTAGAGGCAGGTAGAGGCAGGTAGAGGCAGGTAGAGGCAGGTAGAGGCAGGTAGAGGCAGGTAGAGGCAGGTAGAGGCAGGTAGAGGCAGGTAGAGGCAGGGAGAGGCAGGGAGAGGCAGGGAGAGGCAGGTAGAGGCAGGTAGAGGCAGGGAGAGGCGAGCGAGAGCCGCGGAGAGGCAGGGGGAGGCAGGGAGAGGCGAGCTCCGGGGTTTGAGAACTCAGACTGGGCAAGTGACATGCGGAAGTACCGCTGAAAGCGAAACTCCTCCGTACGCAGCTCCTGGAGTAAATGACGGAACTCTGCAAACACTGCAGCCTCTCAAGTCTGTGGTGAACCCAGAACATGTTTTGTTGAAGCCCTACAACAACGTTATTTTGCTTTATATAACAAATAAATGCTCGCTGCTCAAAATCCGCCGCTGTCTTGACTACAGGCAACAGAGAAGCTCCTCCCACCGGCGTCGGGCACGTCACTCGCGTCAAAAGCTTCAAGCACCAAAATGACAAAACTATCCCGGCGTCAGTTGAAGCGCGTCAAAAGCTTTTTGAAGCTTTTGGTCTGAACGCGCCTTTACATTTATCCGTGCAGCACTTTGGAAACATGTTTTATAAACAGGTGCTTCTAGTTTGAAGAGAATTTAAACATGTTCAGTGGATCGAATATGGAATTTCCCAGCTTTGGAGACACTCTGAGCCAAAACTATGTGTTGACATTCTGCTCATGTTAGCAGTTATGCTGCTTTTAAAGGCCATATATTTTAGAGAGGTGAATGCAACACTCAATCCTTTGGAAACCCTATGAAGGAAATACAGATTCGCTACTATCAGTCTGCTACAGGGGTTCAAATGCAAGAATTACTTGGGGTTCTGAAAATGGCAAATAGACAGTGTATATATTAGGAAGAATATCCATATGCATGCAATTCAGGCCTGTTCTAGAAAACTAGAAAACAAATAAAAACGCATTCTAGAACTACCATATCTGCAAAGGTCGTGTGCAACCCCCTAATAAAATGCACTTCACATGACAGCCTTCACAGGCGATGTCCTTGTTTTTGAAATTTGCGATTAAAAGAAAATGACCAATTGGCAGCAGCACAATTCAAGTTGCAGGGCATGGTTGAAGACCACAGCAGGATATTAGTCACATGGACTGCTCAAATCCTCAGGAGGTTGACAGTCAAGCCAGGAGACCTACTTCTTATTTGTAATGACATTGTAGCCTTTAACAGATTACATGCATTTCAAATATCCCTATTTATTTGTAGGGGAAAACATAAAATGTCTTGTATTATAAATATTAGCAATGCTGTGCTTAATATCTGACTGAAGCCATAATGAAATGTTATCTATAATAGAATAACATTTTCTTTCAAAGGTCTCCTCAAACCTGTCAGTAAATGGAGCCACAATCTGTTCCAATCCTCCTTGTGAGACTCATGAAACAGGAACCACCAACACCACGACCACTGCTGGAGCTGGAGGACTGAGACAGGTATGCTAACACTGCTTTATTATAACTCAGTGAAGAGGCACAGTTACACTTATAAAAGAAAGATTGGGCCAAAATGTAATAATTAATAATCTATCTGTGTGCCCAAGGAAGTGTCAAATCTAGTGATCTAACATGGAGTGTGGAATGGGAAATTATATTTGTCTATTTTTGTGCAGGTTTGCTCTAATCCCCCATGTGAGACTCACGAAACGGGGACGACTAACACCACAACAACGGCAGGAGCCGGCAGACTCAGACAGGTATACTTCACTTTTTAAAATGTCTTGGTTTGTGCATGTTGGCTTATTATGCCGCTTTTCCACAGTCCTAGTACGGTACGTTATGACTCTACACGGCGCGCCATGGCCCAGTTCGCGTGCTTTTCCATCAAAAATAGTACCCCCTAGTATGTCCTCAGCGTTGTCAGACCACGTCATTTACGTGTAACGCGTAACTAGTACTGGTGCGGTGCATGGATTTATTATAATATCAGAGCAAGTGTTTAATAGAAAATTCAGCACAGCACGAGTAGTTTTTGAAAAAGCTTATGTCTTAAAAGAATGACTCGGAAACTGTGAAGTCAATGGTGCTGACTGCTCTGTACAATCTGAATGGGACCTTTAGCAACAGCAGCCTGTGTAGCAGAGGAGGAGGGCTGCATGTCCGAGGATACTGCCTGGCTATAGCTAATGCTAGCGCTAGCTCGAGACTCAGCTCACTCACTAACCCTGGATTCCAAAGCTACACTTAACACATCTATCACTGCCATCAGAGGAGGATCCGGGGTTTAAACTCATCATATGGCAACTCGAGCAGTAAAGAACCGAGTGAGAGACCGCGGCAACCATAGGGGTAGCGAGTTAGCGGCGCGGCTAGGCTAGGCTAAGCTAGGCTAGGCTAGTCCGGACTACAGCAGACTCCGAGACCAGACAAACAATCGATACCGTGCTGAAGCGTACTGTACTGTACCGTACTGATACTGTGGAAAAGCGGCAATAGTCCTTTGTGTGAAAATCAGAATGTAGTTTGTGGTGTCCATTTGGTTAATTTTCTGTCCATATAATTATATTATCTGCTAGTTATAGAAATGTTGAAGGCTCCACATGTGTGCGCCACAGAAAAGTGCTAATCTAGTAGTTTACTCTCTGTGAGCTGCGTTGCAATTTTATGAAAAACCCAAATATACTTTTTGGATTTCCAGGTTTGCTCTAATCCTCCATGTGAGACTCATGAAACGGGAACAACCAACACAGCAACTACAACAGGAGCAGGAGCAGTTCAACAGGTGAACATGTTCTTGTTTTACTTTTCAACAGTGGTCCGCACAATATATGGTTTACATTAATACATTTACATTATAATGATAAAGTCCTATTATTATAAAATAAATACATTCTCTTAGGTCTGTTCCAATCCTCCGTGTGAAACCCATGAAACGGGAACAACAAACACAGCAACTACAGCCACAGGTAAATCTGAATATTTGCATTTATGAAGGATTTCCATGTGTGAAAGCTGATATTATTGTTTTGATTACGTCTGTAGCTCAGCAGGCTGGAGAATCTTCAGGAGAAACTACAGAACCCACTGATTCTGCTACCACCGCCACAACCACAAGCAGCCAGAGCCGAGCTGTGACCACAGTGACGCAGGCCACGCCCACTCCTGGACCATCCATTCCTGTATGTTTCTCTGTTACTGTTGGTAAAAGCACAGTACAATCTTCACTGCTACTATATGAGTTCAGTCATACTGTATTTTGATATTAATCAGACTTGATCTGAATGTGTGATATTATAGGAGATATCTTCAATGGTTGGAGAGGAAAGGCCAGAGTCTTCTGAAGCTGTTGCTGTAGAGACTCCAGTTGAGGGGGAGGAGCCTATGCAGACAGACCAATCAGAAAGTGTGATGGCGTCAGGATCAACTGTGTTACAGGTTCACGTGGAAGGAGCAGGAGATTCCCAACAGGTGAAAAACCAATAATAATACAATCACTAATTCATTGGGTGTAGTGGAACTAAATTGTGGTGGTTTGTGTCCCCAGATGGAGACTGCAGACAGCGGCTTGCCCCAAGAGCTGATGTCATCAGAAGGGGATGAATCAGGAACTACAACTCTCATGGTGACGGGGCTGACCCCTGATCAGCTGACATCTGCAACAGATGAGGCCCAGCAAGCCACAATACAGGCCGTTCTGCAGGCCGCCGGACAGTTAGGTAATTTTGAGTTCTGAGATGGTATTGTTGCCTATGTTTGTCTCCTGATTATATTTCACACATTCCCAAAGTGGGGGCGACAGTGGCTCAGTTGGTAGAGCAGTAATCAAAATACTTTGCTTATTTGCTTTGCTAAAATTGTATGTACCTTGCACATAGCTATATAACAGATCCATGTGTTATAGTTATGCTTTTACTCCAACTTTGTTACAAACGAATAGTAGTTTTTAGTGTTGTACTTGTTTTAACTAATTAAAATGACCAAGTTTATTGTTCGGGGGTGACAGTGGCTCAGTTGGTAGAGCATTGGCCTTTGGGCCTGAAGGTCGTGGGTTCATATCTCCTCTCGTGTCCTTGGGCAAGACACTTTGCCTTAAGCCCCTGCTGAAAGATCAAGGCTCCTGTGGACTCGCCATGAAGAAGATTGATGGATGGATGAACATCCCCAAAGTTTAGATTTTAAAAACTGCTGTGTATATCAGGCTTAACACTGGGTAACCAATTAAGTTTTTATTTGTCCTTCAGGCAACGCAGAAGGAGTAGACCAGACCATCCCAATAGTGTTAACCCAGCAGGAGCTGGCTGCACTGGTTCAACAGCAGCAGCAGCTCCAGGAGGCCCAGCAGGTGGCGCCCAAAGCAGAACCAGAGCCCGAGCAGGAAGAGCCACAACATGCCATGCCTACTGGTGAGAAATCTGAAAAATAACTATTATTCCACTGCAGGTGCTCTTAGATGGACTGTAATTATGGAAACAGAAGTTGCACTTGAATCCACAGTCAAGTTGTAGAAATGAGAATGAACAATCAGTGATCAATCCGTGCAATCACATGAGGATTTTTTGATTGGTGAAATCTAAACGTTCACTCAATTAAGATGTTTTTAAGTATATTGTATCATTCTTAAACACACCAATAGATGAGTGTCTCACCTTAAAGTAGCAATACTGCATGTTTTTTGGAGAATTGTGCAATACTCCTAAATATTAGTTTGTATGTCACAGCAATGAAAGCAACTAGCATTGGTCTTACCCCTTTCCTTATCTGTCCGTCAGAGGGACTGGCTCCAGCCGACAGCCTGAATGACCCGTCAGCAGAAAGCAATGGACACGAGCTAACATCTTCGGCGGTAACGAGTGCAGTTGCCCGATTGGCCAGTACTTTTGCCCCACCTTCACTAAGCGCCAGCCCCAACAAGATTCAGGCTGCTGCAACGCTAACAGAGGTTGCTAATGGCATTTCTAATGCTACTCAGGTGAGAAAACAAAGTTTGTAACATAAACAAGTGAAAAAAATAAAATTGTATCCTATTACTCTGGCATTATTAACACTTAAACTGTCTTTAGAAACCAGCAGCAGTGAAGCCGGTCCCTAAGGACTCGCAGTGGTACGATGTGGGTATTGTAAAGGTCACCAACATGGTGGTGTCCCACTACTATGTGCCCTTTGATGACAACTATACAGATGTAAGGACACAGCAATCAAACCTCACCTAAACTGTATTCTTTAGATGTGTCATCTTCATGTATTTAAAACATATCTTTATTGTGTTGTTGAAGGATGACTCGGGCACTGTACCGGATTATTCGCAGATGAGGAAAGTTGAGCTGCAGCCTGGAACAGCCTATAAATTCAGAGTGGCAGGAATCAACATCTGCGGAAGAGGAGCGTTTTCTGAAGTGTCTGCATTTAAAACTTGTTTACCCGGATTTCCTGGTGCTCCATGTGCCATCAAGATCAGCAAGGTTAGAAAGCTTAACACATAATCATCTACGTTTTAGTGATTATGTACAGGTGTAGTAAATTCTTCTGCCCTCATCCAGAGCCCGGACGGTGCACAGCTGACCTGGGAGCCCCCTGCGGTCACCTCTGGCCGGATCACGGAGTACTCAGTTTACCTGGCCATCCAGTCCTCACAAACCTCTGCTGGCTCCTCTGGGGGCCAGGGTCAGTTGGCCTTTATGAGGGTGTACTGTGGCCCCAGTCCGTCCTGTCTGGTCCAGTCTTCTAGTCTTTCCAATGCACACATCGACTACACAACCAAACCTGCCATCATCTTCAGGATCGCAGCTAGAAATCAGAAGGGCTACGGACCAGCAACGCAAGTGCGGTGGTTACAAGGTAGAGCCAATCCTCTTGAATATATAGAATAATTTTACATACATTAGAAGAGAAGTTACACCGATGGTAACGGTGAGCGTTTTTATTTATTTTCATCCCAGATACTAAAGACGCCAAACCTGCAATGAAGAGACCTGGAGTGTCGCCAGATTTGTAAGTTCCTCTACTTTTAGCCTTCTTGTCACACACTCTACAGACAAAGCAGTGTTTTCCCTCATTCTTCCCGAAGTGGTGCGTCTCAACATAGTTTTTAATTTTACAGATATTTTGACTTTAGTATCAGTCTCAGATTAGAACAAAAAACCTTTGGATGACCATTTCCCTTCAGGTTTAGTATGGCAGCTGTGTTGGCATCTACTCTGTTGATACCACTGCCTCCTGGATTGCTCTGGTCCGTTACATGCTAGTAACTGTAAAATTAGCTATTTGTGTAATTTTAATGATGAGCGTTCAGACTAAATGTTCATTGAGTTTATAATCTTCTTGTTGATAATCCTGTTTGTGTTGTGATCCACAAGTTATTTTGTTTATATTGACATTTTCTACCTTGGTTTGCAGTAAACCCGCTGGATCGAAGAAGTTCAGAGCTGACCAATAAGAACACATTTTTCTCTGAGACCTGTGATTTGGACACACCATTCTTTGTAAGCTCTACCCAACGATGCCCTTTAAAGGAGAACAGCTTGGGTTTGTGGTTTCTGGTTCCTTCCACCATCCACACATCTTCAGAAAAACAGAGACTTGTATAATATATTTGTAAATGTTTTGATCTATTCAAATGTTTCTCATGTTTTTTTTCTTCCTTATTTTCTCTTGCTGTATGTCAGGTAACGAATGTTAAAAAAGGAAAGGGGTGGAGTCAGTGGCAGTTTTTTGTCATCAAATGAACGTAATTAAAAATATCTTTTGCGTTACGAGTAGTTTGTAGGAAGGTGAAGGGGTAGTTCTTGGACCAGCGCTATGTAAATTAATACTTTCTGTAGCCAACTTTTTTCTCTTTATTCACTCTTTTTTACATATATATATATATAAACGTCTCAAAGCCAAATGGTTTGTGTTTATCTGTGATTTATGTTATTCTCCTTGTTTTGAACTCTGCCATTGGTCCATTTGAGTGACTGGAGCTCTGACTGGTCCGTTTGTTTGTGGGACTGAACAGAGCCGTCTGATATGTCCATCTTGTTTGTGAGATGACCCGGCTGTTGTTTGTGAATATTCTCTGCAACAATAAAGATTTTTAGAGCATTTTTTACAAACTGCAAGAGTCCTGTGCTTGATATTTTATTGTCAAGTAGCAGTGTTGGGGCATAACTAATGAACCAAGAATGTATATGATAATACCTTTTGATATACCGTGTGGTTATGGTTATCACTTTTTTTTAAAGGTGTTACTTTTATTTTTAAAGTAGTGTTTGAGATGCAATGTGTGCTTCAAATGCTATATTCTGAACTTTTGGAAATCATTGACAATGTGAAATGCTGATTAAAAATTTTAATATGATGCATGATAACACAATGATATACAAATGAGCATAAATGTAGAAGCTGATTGAACCATGTAATGGAACGATTCAATACATTTTTAGTGCCCCCCCCCCCCCATTTTGGTAGCACCATTTTGAAGTTACTGGTTAAATTGCAGAAATAAATTAACTTTTTACCGATATTATAATCCTCTTCAACCTGTAGGCTAAAGCTGGAATACCAAACTTTGTTTTCTTGTGAAAGTAAACTTTTACATACAAACTCAACTATTGAAAACATTTGATCTATGGCACACTTGTATGAAAGGTTTGATACTTTGGGCTGAGAGTTGGGTGAGTGGGTGTGGTCCTCTTTTCTGTAAGAAAAACCTGTGCTTGTGATGTTGGCTGATATGACTCATTGACGTTATGGGGTATAATCTAAACTCTATTCATTTGTAATTGATATTTACGCAATTGTATTTATTTTTTAATGCGTTGGCTGTGATATGCTGTTATTTCTCTTCTCACTGATACCGGGTCATCTAAAGTAGCACTAGTAGAACATAACAAAATATGTATCAGTGCATGCCTATGGTAAATTTATCTATAGTTTAATATAGATTTATGTGTTTTAACCTCAGGAATGACAAATGACGCAAGACTTTGAAACAGCAGTTCAAAACAAGTTATTTCCTTTGCTCTTATTGGTGGCTGCTGCTGTCAGTCGGATCAGCCGATTATCCCCGCACCCTGACGTCAGCCTGGATTTCCCCAAAGCATTTTCTCTTTTCCCGTAAAGACGTCAACAAACATCATGGCGGAGTCTTTGCATTAACCGGGCGGTGATTGGATACCACACAAGCAATACCTGCTGTGATTGGCTGAGCGTAATGAGCGCACACGCTGGTTGGCTGCAAGGAGCATCAGTCCACAGTAAGTCCCGCCTCTAAATTTTGACCACTGTAATGGGAGCATGGGGGATTGAACGTCACATTTCGTCTGTTTATGTCTGTAATAATGCGAGGCGCTGCGTGTTTTTATGTCGTATCAACCATGGAGATTTAGGAAGAAGATTTAAGAAGAGTATTTTGTCAATTAGATGAAAAGCGAGACGTGAGTACCGAGATAAAGTCATTAACTCTACTCCACTGTCGAGCTTTACTGAGCCGATAGAGCGCCAAGTTTAGGGTAGACTTTAAGCGCCAAGCAGTTCATTAACGATACAAAACCCCCTATGTATTCAATCATGGTCTGTAGGAGATTGATGCATGTTCTGCTGCTGAATAACAAGGATGTGGCTGCCAATTTGTGCATCTAATGATCCACTGTAATGCCCTGCCTTAATCTTACTAGTGCAACTTTGTATTGGTTTTCAACTTTAGGCTGCAATAGCGTAATGAAATGAACTACTTATAAGAAAAGTTGTATATAGTTTGGAGTTTGGGAGGCGCTTCTTCGGGTTAATGTTCAGTCACATCTGCTGACTACAGTAGATCCGTTCATTCTGCTCCAGGTGCAGACGGAGAGAGACTTCCTCCTCTCTGAATCCGCCTAACCACTTTCATTGACCATGCTGTGAGCAGACTGTGCATGGTTTAGTCTTTGGAACCACTAGATGAGGGTATTTCCTCCTCTTTTGTGGATTAAAGAAGCAGAAAAGATGGACACCGCCAACGCGAGCCTCCAACTCCAGACCGAGGAGCAGAGCCTGGCGGAGGGCGGGCTCCAGCCGCAGACCGTCTTCGTGATCCTGGATTCGTCCGAGTCTCTCAACCTGGTCCGGTGAGACTTCCACAGCTTCATTATACACACGATCAACTATCAGAAGTTATAGAAAGTCGGATCCTACTAACTTGCTTTACAGTTCATTGTGGCTCCTTAATTTGTTATGCATTTTAACCTTATATTTGGACTTTTTTTTTTTAACTCTTATCTAATCAGACAAACTGATAACCTGACAAGATTAATAGGTGACAATGTTGTTTTTCGGTAAAAAATAGCTGCTCCTGTTTAAATCCAACTCAAATTCAAGTAGGTTTATCCTTTTCACATTCCTAGTTCTTACAAATCTAATCCAGTGTCAATATAATCAAGTTCAGAGCTGTAATTGATGCTTTTATTTGTCAATATGCAACCAACCACAAGAGAGGATCAAGTTTTTTATTATAAACTCTACATTATGTGGGATGGCTACTGTTAAAGCCACGGCTGCCCTGATAAAGGATGTGGCTGCCATTCTGTGCCAGCCGCCTTTCAGAACACTAGACACAACATTAGCAGATTAGCAACCAGAAGTGTCAGGAAATGCATGTCAACATTCTCAAAAACACAAGTGTGAAAATGTTTTAGTAGTCTTGTTTGTGGTAGATGGATTTATTGAACGATGCAGTACTTTTAACTTCTCAATTATACAGGGGAAGGAAACTAACCAGACCTAAGTAAAGTGCTATATTTGGATGACCCCAGCTCTCAGACCATTGGCCAGTGGCGGTTTTACAGCTTAAAGTCTGCTGAGTTTGCACTTCGAAAGTCTCCTAATCTGTTTTATGAGTCACGTTGACACTAATTCTTAGTACTTTTAAGTGATTCATGGTTAGTGCAGTACGGAAGCTTGTTAGGTTCACTTGTGAGTGTTTTGTTTTTTCTGCTGGTATCATGTTATTTCATGATACTTTCATGAAATAACATGATAAATATCATGTTATTTCATGATACCAATTTATCATGTTATTTCATGATATCAGTTTATCATGTTATTTCATGATACCAGTTTATCATGAAATAAGATGATACTGTAGATACAGAAGAAGAAGCTGTCAGCTTCTTCTGATAAATTGGTATCATAAAATAACATGATAAACTGGTATCATGAAATAACATGATATTTCATGATACTTTCATGAAATAACATGATACCAGCAGAAAAAAAACACAAGTGAACCTAACAAGCTTCCGTAGTGCAGAGACGTAAGCTGCACTACTGTTAAATGGCCTTAACAGTAGAGCAGCTTTTCACTATAACACCTCTCAGCTAATAATGTGTATTTGTTCTTATCAGGTGTGAACATTCTACACACAGTTAATCCTATACGTACCCCAGACATGGCTCAGACCGAATCTGCCGGCTGGTGAAAAATGTTGATCACTATGGAGTCAACAGTAGAGATCGACATCTTAACTTCTTCTCATTTGGCTAATATGTCATGGCATGTCACCTATAATTCACTTTCTAAAAAAACAACTATGTAATTAATTATATTCTGAGCAATGAACCCAAAACCTAATATCATAACAAAAACCTGTGACCGTCTACAGTACCCAGCCATCTTTACCTTTTGGTCCAGAACTGTTCTTTGTTCAGAAAAAAGCGTACCGTAAAACAATGCGTAGGTTTGGTTTCAGACCTCAGTGTTTCCCACAGGTTTGAAGGCAATGTGTGGTGGTCGTCGGCGGGGGGGGGGGGGAATTAGTCGCACACCTTTTACAGTAATAAGTTACAGTAGATCAAAAGTGACATGTTTTGACTATTTTGGAGGTATTTTGGACCAAAATGGCTACTTTACCTCAATATTTCTCAATATTTCTACAGTAAAAGTGTCTGGTCTTTGGTACAGTGGTAGAAGGCAATGTTGAGGTCATGAATCCAGTGAAATCAGTTGCACACCTTTTTACAGTGAAAAGTTACAGTAGATCAAATGTGACATGTTTTGACCATTTTTAGGCTATTTTGGACCAAAATGGCTACTTTAAATCAATATTTCTACAGTAAAAGTGTCTGGTCTTTGGTACAGTGGTAGAGGACAATCTTGAGGTCATGAATCCAGTGAAATTAGTCGCACACCTTTTTACAGTAAAAAGTTACAGTAGATCAAAAGTGACATGTTTTGACTATTTTGGAGGTATTTTGGACCAAAATGGCTACTTTACCTCAATATTTCTCAATATTTCTACAGTAAAAGTTTCTGGTCTTTGGTACAGTGGCAGAGGGCAATAATAAGGTCATGAGTCAAGTGAAATTAGTCGCACACCTTATTCCAGTAAATAGTTACAATACTTGAAAATTGCACTAGCGGACCAAATTGTGTACTTTATACATGTAAACAATAGAGTGGCTATCCTCCTGAGGACTCACAATCTGCCGGAGGAATCGTAGGGGGCTGGTGCTATGTGTGCCGGGTGGCATCTCTATAAGGTTTTAATCACAAAAACGTGTCTCCCTGACCCCAGCGCGCTTTCTGTTCGATAAAAATGGGTGACTCCGAAAGGACGTTCCGCTGTTACCGTAAGTTCTCAACAAAACGCGCACCGTCTTTTCCCCGATGCGGGCCGCATGTTCATAGAGCTGAAAGATGCGGGCCACTTTACCGCGGTAAATTAATAGACACAGCTGCTTACAGCGATGATCGCTGATGGAGACGGAGACACGCGGTGTGCACGAAGGGGAGGGGCTGTGTGTGTGTAGGTCTCTGTATGTGGGAGAGACGCGTAGCTTGAGTGAGAGTTACGAAGGGCCGCCACATTTTAAACCCCCCTCCCCGCTGTCAAATTGACCGCTGCGGCGGCACTAGACGATGCATGTTTTAAATAGCGTAACAAAAAAAATATATATATAATAATACGAAACGCAATTTGTGGCGGGCGGTCTCTAATCTGTGGCGGTGCGCCACAGATTAGTCTATGTGTGGGAAACACTGGACCTTTTGGGGACATTCACTGGTGTGACTACACCTATTGACGGGGGTGTAGTTTCTCTTTACCTTTTGTCTAGAACTGTACTTTGTTCAGAAAAAAGCGTAAAATAATATCAAAATAAATATGTTCAAAAAACCTCCATAATGTAACAAAAGTAAATACACTAACAAACATATGCAAAAGAGTTTTATTAACCAATCTTTCAGAAATAAAACCCTGGATCCCTCTACATAATTCCTTTATGGATATGGATGAGAATTGGTTTATTTTAATCATCTGAAAATGTCGTTATCGACCCCCTGTTTACCTGCAGACATTCAAATAGTATGTTCAAAAAGATCTGCGTCTGCCAAAGCAAACCTATATTTGTCAATCTCTACAAAATCTTAAACATTTGTATGCTCATGTTGTTGTTGAGAAGAAGGATAAAAGAGGATGTCATATAAGAGAACTTTATTCACACCTATCAAAAAGTTGGACCCCTCCATCTTCCAAAAGCCAAAGCAAGCTCCAAAAGCCAAAGCAAGCTCTCACTGTTATCTGTTTTTAGTTTCTGTTCAGTCGGAATGTTCTCATTCCCGAACCTGTTAATGCACTGAGAAAGAGAAAGTTGTAAAATCTATTACATGGCAACGCTTTCCCAATAGGGCTTTACTTAACAACACCCAGTTTTGTTGGATGGAATGCATTCAAAATTGTCTGTATATGTGTTCTGTCTCGGCTGCCTTTTTAGTGAGTTTCATTTATTGCTGAGTCATGTAACCGCCTGCAGATGTGAATACAGACTGCCCTCTTTGAAGCGTAGTTGAGAGATCATTGTCCAGATGTTTTTGAAAATGTAAGCGCAGACGTAATTTTAGCATGATGACTCGGCAAAAAAAGCCACTTCCTGTTTGCGCAGACCTCTGTGGAGCTGCAGTCTCACCTCAAATCCTTCAGAACAAATTGAAAACCTTTAAAATTGCGTTGGCATTTTAAATGTTGATTTTAGTATAATTCATGTAGAATGGATTGCATAGGTGATGAATGACAAGATTTTGTTCCCTGGCAAAGGAGAATGTCATCTTTAATTAGGCTCCAACCATCTATAAGCTGTTTTAATGCATACATTTTAGATTTAAATGTATAAAAGGTATATTTATTGTTGCCGGGTACTTTACTAAGCGTTACTACTACTTTACATCTTACTAGGACATATTTTACATAGAGCCTTGGGGGAAAGAGCCAGCAGAGGGCAGCAAAGTGCATTGGGAAATGTGCTGGCTGTTTTCATAAGGCTTGTATTATTCAAGGGTCTCATCTTTGACATCGTGAGGCTTAATCTCATTCAAAATTGGTCACATTTTGTTATATATAGTTTGATCGTAAATTGTTGTTAGTTAATAGTTTTGTAACTTGGCCACGGGCCTGTATGGTGTGAGCATTTTGTATAACAAGTAGGTAGTGTTTTTTACATGATATCATTGCTTTCTTATGTGTCCCTTTTCTCAGAGTGGAATCTGGAATTGTGGCTGATTTTGAAGTAGAAAATCTCCTCCCCTCAGACACGGACACCTTCTACCAGATCAAGAGCCAGCCAATCAGGTCTGAACAGTCTTTTTCTTTCATTTTTCATTCTCGTTCATCGCCTCCATTCCCTTTTCATTGGTTCAAACCCACTGTTTAAAGTGATCTCTCAGAGCTCAGGGGAGGGAAGGAAACCACTGGAGGCTTATGTTTCCATCTATCCAAGTAGTTTCCCTCGAGGATCATTATGCAGCTGTTTGTCTTAATGAAAGAGGGAAAGGATTAGGCATATTACTCACTCTAATTTCACACTACACAATGTGCATGTCACTTTGACTACTGTATGCTAAAGTAGGTACAGACAGATTCATCAGTTTGACGATTAAACTGGCCGATATATAAGTCCACTGAGACATAGGCGATCCGCCAAGTTTTCAGATATCTTTTGGTCATAAATAAGAAAAATTAAATGTTTCAGCCCCCAACTCAGCCACCCTATTGTTCCTATTTTTAATCACTCAGAATTTGTCAAAATTGGTCGGTAATGTTAAGTCCACAGTCTGCACTGATTTTCCCATGGATGGTTCAGAAGCAGCACATGGGAAAGACAGACCTTTCAAAAGAAAAAGAGAAATGAGACTGACAGCCTCTCCTCTGTGACCTCTGTAACCTCTGTCCTCTGCTCAGTGTCGCTCAGTGTGAGTTTGACGTAGTATCAGAGTGAAGCGTCTGTACTTTAGACCTGATAATGTTTTCACACTCACTACGCTCACTTCAGCACAGCACAGACAATAACCATCCATCAGGAGCGACAGCAGCAGTGTGGTGTGTGGCTCCTGCTGCAAACTACTCACTGATATTCACACAACTCACAATCTTATAATTGAGGCGTTTTGGAGAACAACGATGTTTTTGTTCTGCTCCTGTTGAATTCAATAAAGAGCTAGTTTTCTTTAAATGTTGTGAAAGGACTTTTGTTCCCCGGTGATCATGTTTTACTCATCTTCTTTCACAGTTCTTCCGCAGCTGGTTCTTCCTTGTCGTCTTCTCTGCCCTCAGCCATGTCATCCAGGTAAATAGGATTTAATTAAAGCAGAAGTATCTATCTTTAAAACTACAAAAAATTACATAATAAAATACTATAATAATAAAATCAATGCAAATTGATTGAAAAAGTCTCAAATGGTTCGGTTTTATCAGTAGGTATTTGTGGCTTCTTCAGTCTGAAAAAGACGTGACAAAGTGAAAAACAACGTGCTCTCTCAGCTTGAATTATGTATAAGGTCAAATGTTTTCCACTAAGATGAAGACACAGTGTTGTGGTCTGTAATATTACTTAAACAAGACTCTCTGTTGGAACAAACATGTGTTTATGAAAAAATGACAGATATATACTCCAGCTTTAACTGCAAATTAAATTACTGAATTGCCATTGGATTATTATTAAATCCTTGTTTTTGTTCAGAGTTCTTCTTCGCCAGGACCTGATGAGACAGCAGGTTTTAGAACAGCAGCAAAAGGAGCTTCAGAAACAGAGGGCGGCCGCTCGGATCTCGCAGCCCATCCAGGTGTCCCTGTCCTCTGCAGCTCCAGCCCAGGTCCCTGTGGAGGTCCTCAAGGTATCATGAAAACTCGGGATGAAAATACAAATGCAATGCTCCATTTACAGATCTGAATGTGACCACCAGATGCAGAGGAAGAAAATAGAAGATGGTATTGTAAAAAAAGCACATTAGTATAACCATTGATTTATTACCATTATTTCTCTGAGAAATTGGGATTAGCAAATTGGCAAGTAGAGAATATGATAATTCTGAATATAAGCCTTCCCTGAGTAAATAATCTCCATTGCCTTTCTTTATTGGCTTGTTAATGGGAAAGAAAAACACCATGATGAATTTGGCATTGGGAAGTGCCAAATGCCAAATTCATCATGGTGTTTTTCTCTTCTTGCATTTCTAATTGTTTTTTATCTGTATGTGTCTTTTTATGTATTCTATTGTTCAGCACTTTGGTTTGCCACGGTATTTTAAATATATATAAATACATTGGATTTGATTCGATTTTTTTTCTTTCTATCTTCAGGTTCAAACTGGTCTTGAGAACCCGACTCGGTACCACATCCAGCAGGCCCAACGACAGCAGGTCAAACAGTACCTGTCCACGGCCCATTGCAAAGCAGCCAATCAGGATGCAGCAAAGAGGGACCCAGATGCCCTCCCCAGAAGAGACCCGGCTCCAGTCCCACTCAGTCCTAAACGAGAGGTATGCATCTGGTCCAAACTAAAGAGAATGCACGTGAACCCGGGTGGGTCCATGTTCCTTTTGTTAGCACAACAGGTCGAGATCATTGGAGTCTGTTTGCCTTGTCATGTAAACATCCAAACTAATTATTACCAGACTAAATACGGCCTCTCTGCTGCAGACTAATTACACGCAGCGCTTTATTTTGGTCCAAAATACAAACAATAAATTTTTTTCTCTTGTTTCTTTTGTACCAGACCATTGTAAGATGGTAAATTGTCTGGTACAGAAGAAACAAATAAATTAATCTACTAAGAAAACCTTCCTTAGATACACAAAGAGAGTATAATGTAAGTGTAAGCCACCTGTTGCCTCTCTGTGGGACCTTGAATGTTATTGTTACTGTACACCACAAGAGTAAAAACATGAATGATATTAGTATTGCAACTAGCTATCTACGATCTACTTGGAAAGACGCGGGTGATGCTACCAGGCCCAGTTACTAGTCAATCTGAAAACCTCAATCACAGAATAATGGCTAGCACATTTAAAAACTAAAAATAGAGCATTATTTTTGGACGTTAAAATTATAATGAGATTATTCACTTTGTCATGTTTAAATGTGAAATATCTTACGTAGAAAATCTTATGGTGGTACGGTATCCAATGGTGAAACAAGTGTATATGGACCTTGAGTCTGGAATAAAGATTATTATTATTATTGTCATTATTATGAAATTGAAAGAATGCTATTGGCCTGTATCTCCCACTATCTACCACCAGAGGGAGGAAGTTGAATTTGTTTTTCTTTCCCAAATTTGAAAATTAAGGGCTTCAAACACAGCCGTCCCATTGTAAATAGCGTAATTTCATCTGAGAATTGCTTAACTAATTTCAACTGCTCCGAGCGTGATGTCATAGTGGTACAGTGACATCATAGTATTGCAGGACTGAGCAAGGGGGAGAGTTACATGTTTGTGCCAGAAGTTCCTGATATTAGCATGGACGACTTAAAAAACCAGTCCAGGTCTGGTTTTGACGAGGGAACAATGTTGTAACATGGTTAAAATTAGCAGAATATGTCATCTTGTTATGTACAAAGTTATATGGTCTGAAGTCTTTGGTCTGAGCCTCGGTGTTGCGCTTCAGTCTAGTCAGTTCCTGCTGGTTCCTGTTGCTCTGGTCACATTCTGCAGATTCAGGGACATTTATGTTAGTGTCGACTCATCGTTTACGGAGGATCTGAGTCAGAGCTGCAGCTTCCCTGAAACCATATCCAAAAACACAAGTTGTTAGAAAAGAGTTGGTCACTTCACAATTATTGTCTGAAAAGCAAACAAATCATGCTTATTGACGAACTAAACTGCCTGAAATTATTCTGGTCCTGGTTTAAGTCCATGCTCTGAACATGACCATCCACTTTTATGTCATTAAACTCTTTCTAATCATTCTGTAACTGGAACTGTGATTGGTTGATTGCAGATGGAGCAGGCGGTGCTTGAAGACATCATCAGCCTGGAGTCAAGTCTGAACGATGAATATTTGACCCTGTTTGACCCAGATCTGCAGCTCGCCACAACGGTAAAACTCAACTCTGCTCTGTTTATACCGAGGAAGATACTGTATGAAGAGAATTGTCAGACATTTAGCACTGGCAACACATGGTTTCCAATAACCTGTTGCACTAGTGAGAGCTAAAACTACTGTGCCGTTAAGGTCATTTGAGTGTTAGAGATACTTTTTCAAGACACTGTGAAAAAGTTCAGCGTGCTGTGCAGACAGCGAGTGAGGGGACTTCCATCTTGTAGCCGCCATCTTATTTTTAATATTATTAATTCCAAAAAACGTTTTAATTTTTCTGAAATTCTGTAATTGTAACTAACTTAAGAATTGATGTTCTGAGAGGATAACGAAGGTCACTATGTAACCACGGTTCTAGAGGGCGGTGCATAGCACTGAGTGACAGAGTGCCTCTGGCGGTGATCCGCGATTCATAGAACCATGGTTATATACATAACCGTTGCTCTGTCACTCAGTGCTAAGCACCGCCCTCTTGCGGTCAGGAGGGATGAAATAGAACCACAGTTTGTCAAAGCTGTGTGTGTTTTGCCGCTTTTCCCCAGTAACAGTACAATACAGTACGGTACGCTTCGGCGTGGTTATTTTGCATTTCCACTGGGAATAGTATCTGAGTTTGCGTTACTTTTTTCGTAACGCCTCAGTCGTGGTTCCATCCGCGCCATACCGATACCATGATGTGACGTCGGCCGACTGCCTTACACTGATTGGTCAATGAGTGTTGTCACTGGAAGCGACATCTGACCGTTTGGGAAAAACAACTTGACCGCCATGTTTAAAACCGGCTGCTCTGCTCGGTTCTGCTCGGCTGCATTACGTCCTCCTCACTCCAGAGAAATGGAATCGCACAGAAAGCCCCAAAAGTCCTGGTCCTGGTCGGTGGATGAGGTCCACACGTTACTCTCTTCAGGCCAAAAGAAAGAATTCAAAGGCAGCTCAAGGCTCAACACGGAGGTCTCATGAGGTCTTCAGGGAGATCGCTCTGGATTTGTGACTAGTCTGTGGTAATCCTGGAAATAACTGCTACGTATCCCGTTGGCCCCAAGCTCTCACTGAAATGTATTTACTTGTGTAAATGTTTGATTGTCTGTTGTACACAGTTAGCTAGCTACATTTAGCTTCATTTAGCTATCGATAGCAAGCTAAGCTAACGTCCTTCCTGTGCTAGTGTGCTATATCTCGTATTATATGCAGTATTCACGTGTTTCCATTCTGTTTTGTGCTTTTACTTACGTTGTCGTGTGTATATTTGTTAGAGAATCCCTTCCCATAAGTGTGGAGAATACCAACGAGCAATGAGTACTTAACATTCTCCCCATCTGGACCTAGTCTCAGAGACATCCATACTTTGGACTTTGTAAACTGTTGGTTTTGCTCTTTACTTTTGTTTTTAATAAATCTGTGATTGCATCAATTTTGTCTGTACACGTGCAGAAAAGGGGGTTCAAAAATTAAGTTTTCCTACCATATACCTATGTACTTTTACTACATACATTATATTTGTCAGTAAGTCCGTATAACATTGGTACATTTATGAACAAGGATGGAGACATTTGGTAAATACAAAAAGGTTTTATTTTTGGTCGAATATATAATATATTTAGGCATATGAAAAGCGACGCATCGGATAGCCCTCCTCTGCAACCACTGCTACTCAGGCTGCTGTTGCTACAGGTATGTAGTCACAGGTCTCTCCGTGGTTCTCACAGATTGTGCAGAGCAGGCATGTTTTGTGTCTGAGTCAGTCCTTTAACACTACCAAAAGCATTTTCAACAAACACTCGCGGTGTGCTGAATTTTCTATTACATACAGTACTTGCTGTTGGTCTGTCACTGTGTCCTGAAAAGGTTTTAGGAGCCAGTTCTGCAGAGGGTAAGCAGAGTCCCCTCGGAGGTAATAACCAGCTATCACCGATATTATAATAGATCCATGCACCGCACCAATGTTACTAGTTACGTGTCGCGCGTACATTACGTGGTCTGACAACACTGAGGAGATACTAGGAGGTACTATTTTTGATGGAAAACTAACTGAACTGGGCCGTGGCGTACCGTGTCGAGTTGAATCGTACCTTACTGTTACTGTGGAAGTGCGGCATTTGTGTGCGTGTGTGAGAGAGAGAGAGAGAGAGATTGAGGCTAATGGAGCTACCCTTGGACGGCGTACAAATAACTAAATGATTATATTAAACACTGTAAAGCGCTACAGTGTGTGCTTTTATTATTACTATGAACTTGTGGCTTGTTAAACCTGTTTTGTGAAATGTGTGAAAAAATAACCTCATTGTTTCACAGATGTTTTGTGCTTACATTTTGGAGTAAAACACTCAAATTCTTATCTTCAGTTAACTCCAGTTGCTGTTGTTAAAGTCAGTCTCCAAACACTGCACTGAAGTTATGCACAACATTTGTATAAGCCTGTTCTGTTTTTTTGTGTAAATAGGGATTTTCTGTGTACAGGCAAGCAAGGTTTTTCCTTCTATGCACACATACACACTTATTTAGATATTCATGCTTTATGGGGCATTTAAATCCATTACATTGACGTTCATTCAAATTCCTATCCAGCTGGATTACCATTGTAACGCATCATCAGTAGACTAAAACATCTCATTGAGCTTCATGGATATCAAGAAACACTTGGGAAAAAGTGAGGTGATTGTGCATACAGATTTGTGTCCTCGTACTGGGATGAATACATACACACACACACACGAACACGCACGCACGCACACACACATGCACACACAGGAGGCAGGAGGAGGATCTGAACCCTACACTTCCCCATTCACTCTTCCTCATTCATTCAACTAGAGGCAGTGCGCCGGGGCAGACAGGGGAAGCTTGTGGACGAGATAGAGGACCACTATAAGGCCAGCAGAAAGCCTTTATTCACTTTGCATCTTCTCAGTTTAAGCAGGCTAAAGATTAAGTTTGACATAGTATTGAATAGGAATAGATAGTTATTTTGCCAGACTGGAAGAAGAAACAGAAGTATTGTTTTTTTTGTTACTTTTTAATCCTGAGTGGTTTTGGATCAGCAGATAGCCGCACTTGTTCTTGCTCCAGTAGAAATATGAGGATCTTGGTGCTGTTGCCGGACCATGACAAACGCAGGATAAAAGCTGAGGTAAACATCATGTTTACAGAGAAATGCAAATGTTGAATAGTGTGCATTTTGCCTTTTTTAGCTTATAGGATTAAAAGCAAAATAATTGAAAGCTATAAGCCAATGTAGCATGTTTCAGTTGTGGAATCTTGCAACAGAAAAATGTCTTGTTACATGTCTGGAAAAACATGTTTTGTATAATACAGGGAAGAGCGTAGTCTGATAAGACTTGACTCAGGTCCAGTTTTCTACTGCTTTTTGTTCTTGTGTGATTATTGTCTTGAAAAGTTAACATAAAAAAAAATAGAAAACCTTTTTTTTGAGTATCCAATGAATTGACTCAATTTGGCGTTTTTCTCCACAAACATTTCAAACTATTATTTTCTCTCTCATGTGTTTAAGGATTTGAAATTGTGCGTGATTCTTAATAGCATCATCATGGTCAAGTTGATATTTCCTACACTATGTTATAAATGCATTTGAATATGAGGAGGCTCCCACGTTTTACTGCTCTGGTGTGGAATCAGTTGTTTTTTTTATCAGTTCTGGAAGAATCTGTTACAGACACAGGCCTGGTGTGAGGGATAAGGGTGTCCTCCAACACTGATAATCTCTCAAAAGACACAAACGCCACAGTAGAATACAATAAGGAAACTTGTTACTTTTCACATATTTAGACATTTACATAGTTAAAAAAACATTACAAAATACATACATATTTGTTTATTCCAAACAGAAAGAGTAAAAGTAAAATGTTGTGAACAAATCAGACCACATCAAGCTGTCTTTATCTTTATTAGAAAACATCTTATCTTTCACATACTTCTATAGATACATAGCCCTGAGAGTCACTGTTTGATGCTTTGGGCTGAGTGAGGTGGTCCTGTCCTATTCATGTTCTGTCTAAAAAAGTGAATGTAAAGCTGCACTAAAGACGTGATAGTACCTGTGAGCCTATATGGATTTTAAAACATAAATACTTTTGTTGTTTCTTGAAAGTATTTATTTATTTATTATTTTATTTCACAGGGACATTGCACAGTAAATGTATTGTTCAGACCGGACATAGCTACAAGCTCATTTTCCTCCGTAGTCCCTGGAATGAGGCAAAGTCACAGCAGGTTTACGTAAGGTCCTCCAAGATCATATTATGTTTTTGTAAATTTGGCTAGAATTACAAAATAAGATTGTTGCCCCACCTCTTCTGCAACAGGCTCTTGTATTTAAGAATTTGTTACCATTTCCTAACTCAGGAGGGATGAAAACTGTTTTTGGGATCACTGAATACACGACGATGCATAATTCAAATATTTATGGATCAATCAAAGTAAGATCTTTTTTACAAATCATAAAAGTCATTTCATTAATTTGTTTATTTATTTCAAACACGCACAAAATACAAACAATTATTCACAGATAAATATGATCATAAGAGAAAACCAGAAAACCTGTGCATGGTTTGAAAAGGGATTGGTCGAAGCTCCATAATGGAACTAGTTGCGTTTGGGCTTAGTCCTGTTTTAGAGCAAACGCTGTTGCAGCCTTTTTTTGAAGAAGTTCACGGAAAAAAATCTTGATGTTTGGCTTTTATACGTCTTTATTTTGCTTTTTGAACACAGCTCTTTCCACAGAGCAGCAGACGTTTGAGAGATTATTCCCAGACGTCAAATGCATGAATCCAAACCACTGCCACAATTACAGGATCAAGAATAAGGCGGAGTTTGTTCACAGGGGGCTGGTGTGGGAGAAGGGATTGGGAAAGCACAGACAATACAAGGTTTTGTAAACAGCTAATAGATGTTTAAGTATTTACTTGAATAGCTCCGGACTTTAACCAAAACATCACAAGTATGTTATTTGAGGTCTCTGCAATTAGTTACACACCTGCAAATGCATTTCCCTGTCATTCCACTGTATTTAGATTTGTGTTCCTCATTCTATATTTTACCTGTTTGAGGGAGGTGTTTTGTTGGTTGCTGTAATTGATCATAAACGCTCAAGGAAATCCACAGCTAACTTCAAACGATGATTACATGGATGAAAATATTGACATAGCGTTAACGTTGTTACTCCTGGATTAGACGAGAACATTTACTCAATAATTATAATGATGTGAGAATAAGTGTTAAAGCTGGGGTACCTAACTTTATTTACATCTTTGTCCCTACAGTAATATTTGTGATATTTTGTGAACAAATCAGACCACAACATGCAGCCTTTATCTTGTTAGAGACGAGGTGCATACTGCCCTGGGAGTCACGGTTTGACACTTTGGTGCTGAGAGCTGATTGGCTGTTTGAGGGTGGTCCTTTTTTTTCCCCTCTGTCTGAAAAAGCTGATGTGAAGATGGACAAAAAAGTGCAAAATACATGCATCTAAAGAGGTTCATTGACTTCTTGTTTAAAAGTGTAGACATTTAGGTTATTTTTGTCATAGTTGCATTTTATCGTAGAAAGCAACCGATTGATATAGGTTAGGAACTAAATAGTTTTAAAGCAAGTATGCAAAAGTGAGTGGGAATATGTGGATGGTGAAATATAGATCTTCTCACTGAAACCTCAAAAACAGGACAATACACTTCTCGATCATACAGAAATCAATCAAAATTGTGCTTGATAAGATACATTGATGGGGTTAATAAATGTGTATTTATCAGTCAATTTAGTTTGTGAAATCAACGTGTATTTTCTGTCTGTTCCAGATGCCAGATGTTGGAGCCCTGGACACGTACAGCAGCAAAGGGTTGGCCTCACCCTCCGTTACCGTTAGCAACAGCTGCCCCGCCGAGCTGCATGCGATCAAACACGAGGTCACCGGTGAGTTCTGACGTTCTACTGTTGGTGGTAAATGCTATCTACATTTAGAGTCATCTTAAAGGACATGTAGGGAATCCATTTTTATTCCTCCATGTCCCCCCACCTTAACTATCTAATTTTAAAACTCATTCTGAAGAAACCTCACCCTACGAACAGAGCCGATTTCTGCCTTTCTTTACAACTGCGTGGCTTCTTTTAATTGCACCTTGTTTGATGTTTACTATGATCAGTTTAGCACAATGTACTTCCCCTCTTCAACCCCTGGATGGAGGTGTTTTATCTTTTCTTTATCCTTGACACATTTTAATCCGCCTGTTTTAGATCTAACAACTAACTTCACATCATAAAACATGAAATACCAAAGTAAATTATTAGAATCATTAAAGTTGAATTATGTTTAATGTTTAAAGTGAAGAGACAGGTTAGACCCGCCCATGCTCACCGCAGCAGCTTCCTGATTGGTTGAAATTATAAAAATTCTTGTGGCCCCTCGTCATTGGTTTAACTATTCTCCTCTGAAAACTCTTATTGGTCCTAGTTATGCCAAGGGGACAGACTGTTATAAATGTGCTATTGTTGGAAAATACACAAAAGTGCAGTGTCCTATAGTGTCCCCAAAATGTAAATACTATTTAAGTCACCTTTTAGGCCTAAACAAATGCAAATAACAACATTTAATCTAAAAGCCTTTGTACCTTACCTTAAATACTTGAAAGTGCGTTCTTGATATAAGGCCATTTATTACATTAGTAATATTGAAAGTTGCATAATTTTGTGAAATTTTAACAGTTGCATAATTGTGTCTGAATGCTCATTGTGTAATTTGGGATTTGAAGTTGTCCGCAAACAGAAAATGAAACATTTCAGGTCACAGAACTGATAAACCAATCAGAAATGATATAAGCATGACCTTGTATGTTGGCAAAAGCTGTGATTGCTGCTACTGTGTTCAAATGTGGCTCCATCATTCTGTAGATGCATAAATGTGTCAATAAGTCGTTATATTTCTTTAGTTGTCCATGAGTGGATGGTTCCTGGTTTACTGCAGTCATCTGTGCTGCTGATTCAGGATCAGCTCTTCCTGTCCTCCCTTGCGGCTTCACACTTCCTCTGCATGTCTCACTTTGGAAATCTTTTCACTAGAATAACTACTATCTCGCAATTTGCTGTTTTTTTTTCTTTTTTTCTTTTTTTTCTAAACTTACAAAACAAACTCAACAGTCCATATACTAGACCCAACAGTCTTCTGCTCCTATAGCTTTAACCACAATTTGAGTAATGTTATGTAAATGTAAACTATATTCTCAAACAGTGAATGAAGTCTTGCTTGTGTTGCTGTTCCAGACGCCAAAGCCTTTATCAAAGAGAGACAGAAGAAGGACAACCACAACTTGAGTGAGTCACTTCAACAAACATGGAAATAACCAGGGTATCCCCAAGTTTCGAATTCATTTTAAGGGTATTTTATTTAATGGAACCAACAAAAACTGAATTAAATTTGGGAGATTGGGGAATTTAATGTTCAACTTCCAGATTCAATTAGGGATGTAAAAAACTATGAATTTTCATGACCGACCACCGAGCCTCATTAACCGGTTGAAACCGGTTAACCGCGTAGATGCTTTTATCACGCAATAGTAGCTCCGATTAAATGTTGTACCACCAAATCCTGACTGAATTAATGTTTAAGATCCCAACGTGGGTTTCAGTAGTTAAAGCTGGGCTACATAACTTACAAAACACAAACCGTGGAATCCTAACTCTAAAACCACTCTGGTTCTATCACAGGTTTTCACATTTATATATTTTTGGCCTCTATCAAAGCTTTAAATTATATTTTATTCACACAGACAAGAGAAGAGAGCACCACCCTCACTCAGCCAATCAGCTCTCAGCCCAAAGCGTCAAATAGTGACTCGCAGGGCTCTGTCTTATAATTATGCAAAAGATAATGTTTTATGATCAGATAAAGACAGAATTTTGTTATCTAATAATTTTTTTAGAGTCTTTATTCAATTCAATTCATTTTATATTAAGAACACAGAGAAAAACTGGTTCATAGATTGAAAACTAAAGAACATGCATATACATAAACAGGTGTACAGGCAGGACCTCCAATGCCTCCATAAGTCAGGGGAGAACAGCTCCTCCTAGGACAGACCAGAGCTTGGATGATCTTATTTGACAGACTCATGGCTCTGCACATAAAAGAGTTTATACAATATCTGATTTATGTTTGCACAAATATATATTTATGAAACAAAAAAGTTAGGCATCCTAGCTTTAAGATGACTATAGAGGGAGTTGCAAAGAAGCGATCTATATTCAGCATGATGTAACTGCGTCTGCCGTGTTATTACTGGACTTTACAAAAACAGCTTTACTTTTTTTTACATCTGCCCTCATTGCTCATGGTTTCTACAACAGTGGATCTTTCTGACTATAACATTCACAGTAATCAAGTTAGATTGTTAAATGTTTCTCTTTCTGTCCCCAGTTGAACGGAGGAGACGGTTCAACATCAACGACAGAATCAAAGAACTGGGCGTTTTGATTCCAAAGTGTAATGACCCGTGAGTAAACGCATCAAACTAAACCTTTTTTAATGCACATTCCATTGTTGATTAAAAAATAGTTTTCAGAAATTGAATTAAAACTGTTTTGATTTGTTGGTTCAGAGAGATGCGCTGGAACAAAGGGACCATTCTGAAGGCTTCTGTGGACTACATCAGGAAACTGCAGAAAGAGCAGCAGCGAGCGAGAGAGCTGGAGGACAGACAGAGGAGGCTGGAGAGTACCAACAGATCACTGCTGCTACGAATACAGGTGTGTGCGCTACGAGTACAGACGGCTTCTGAGTCACTATACTGTTGTTTAACGTCAGCTTTTGCTACTTCTTAATAGGGTGATAGGCCTGATAAGGGTCAAACTTCAGCCCGTCAAATAACCAATATCTTGTTTGTCTGAAATGTTCTCGTCAATCTAATCTAATGACTGAAGCACATCGGAGTCATTTGTAATTTATGAGACGCATTGCTCCACATCTCTGACAACCAAAACATGTCCACTCTTTTCACTTATGTTTCTTTTCTCGTCATCCAGCCTTTAGACCAGGGGTGCTCACACTTTTTCAGCATGCGAGCTACTTATAAAATGATCAAGTCAAAATGATCTACCCACTACAAAAATGCAAAACATATATTTATTTCCAAATATATTGAAGATTTTTTTATATCTACAATGTATGTTGATGTACATAACCGCATGGTTTATAAAATAATTTGCATCCACACATAACCGAACATCTGCGTTTTCAGTGACATTCATAACATTCCAAACATGTGCGTCCTCTGACGTCCTGCGTCGGGGAAAAAACACAGAAGTAGGCGGAGCTTTGATGCAGACACCGGTACTTTTGTAGCGGCACTTACAGTCACAGTAGAAACTCAGGGTGAGGACATATTATTATAGATCCACGGTGAAGACATATGTTCACAAGCACTGACCCCCGTCCTTAGCCCTGGTTTGATCCTGGTTTAGCTCCTGCTTTGGTTGTTTTCGAGCGTGCCTGATCACTTTGCTGCTCTCTGATGTGGAGCGAGGATGTTCGCTGCTGTGAACTGCTGCAGCAGAGAACAGTTTTTAAGGCAGTATGATGACCCATGCTTCAGTGATCAGAGGTCGCACGTTTTGTTTGTTGTTGTTTTGGGAGCATACTGTGACGTGCAAAAACGCAAAACTCTGGTTATCTCTGTCTACACGCAAATGCATTAACGGATAAAACAAAAAATTATGTTAGGCGATCTACCAGTACTACCTTTGCGATCGACGTATTGAGCACCCCTGCTTTAGACCATGGGTGTCAAAGTCAAGGCCCGGGGGCCAGATCCGGCCCGCGGATGAATTTTCCTGGCCCCCGGGATGATATTTGATTAGTAATAGAACCGGCTCACACAGAACCTTAAGATAATATGGGATTATTCATTTACAGTTCCGGACAAGTGTTTTAAGGAAGTTTGCTTTTGTCTGTAGCGTTTACGTAGAGACATACATGCAATACGTTACTCTAGTCTAATTTAATACATATAACCAAAGGCTAAACCCCGCCATAACCAGTGTTCAGCAGGAGGCTCTAATGCAGAGTACAAGCATTAAAACACAATTATTTTTTATTAAATACATTACAACACAAAGAGTATACTACCATTGCCAAAAATGTAAAGCGCTTTGTGTGTGAAATGGCCCTGTGAAATATGCTATATAAATAAAGATTACTTACTAGATTTCTTACCATAAAACAGTAACACAAAGTCAAATCTAGGCATCCCAACATAACACAATCAATACAAAGATAAATTCTACCACTGGCTTATTTCCGATCACTGCTGTTGTGATTTTGACCTGTACAAACATGACTATTCTTTCCACTGCAGGAGCTGGAGGTTCAAGCACGTCTCAATGGCCTCTCGTCCTCCTCTGTCCTGGACCCCCCCATGACACAGGCTCTTTTGGCCCCCACCTCTCCGGGCCTGAACATTTCTCCTCTGGGGCTGGAGGCTCTGAGCTTCACTGACTCCCCTCTGGAAGACCCGCTGGAGGATGAAGGCAGGAGCAGCGTGTTCTCCCCAGGTCTGGAGGCTCTGTCTGGGCTGGGGGAGGGCCTGGACTTGGGTCTGGGGGTGGATGTGTTGATGGAGGAGTGCGGAGCTGACCCTCTGCTTTCCTGCGGCGTGTCCAAGTGCAGCAGCCGGAGGAGCAGCTTCAGCATGGAGGAGGATCTCTGAGGTCACACACTGTTACAGCGGATATTCAACGGACTATTAGCAGTATGGATGTTTAAAGCGAAGCTACAGTTCTACAATAACAACAATATAAAACTAATGTAAACATGTAGCCCCATCAGTGGCCACCAGAGGTCGCTTTGGTCTCATAAGACAGATAAAGCAGAACATGCAGTCTTTTCTTCATGGAGAATATCTTACTTTGCCACAGATTGTTTAGGGAAATGTACCAGTTTATGTTCAAAGAAAAGAGTCTAACCCTTTTGCAAAGAAAATACCTTAAATGAAAGTCTATCGGATGCCATACTGTGGAATACTCCCTATAAGGCAATACAATTTTATTTAACATGTAATGGTTTTCTGCTTGTCAATGTTTCCTGACCAGGGATGGGAAATACTAATAGACTATCTACAAGAAAAGGTTAAAGATTGATAATAATGCATCACTTTTAATGATATTTTAAAAGTTGTGATCTACTATTGCTTTGTGTGATCCTGGAGAAAGACATGGTTTCATCACCTGAACAGCAGAGGGTTCAGATCACATGCTGTCTAATCAAACTCACTGTAAGAAATATATTATACACTTTCCATTTATTTTTGTACTGCCCAAAATGACAGAATGACCGAAAAACCTTGAATTTTGATCCAGCAATTAGTCATTGGTCAAAAAAGACCAATTAACTAATGTTTACAGGAATAAATGCCCCTGGCCTTGTTTTCACATAATGTTTGACAAAAACGAGAAAGTGTATCTGTTTATCAAATGTAATTATGTTTATACAAAGATATTACAGGTTGTTTTATTATAATGAGACAGGGAAAGTAGAGACCAAACAGGATCGAGTTAGAACTAAACCAGAGGCAGATGTCGGGCTCGAAAGGGAAACGTTATAAAGGGCCGTATTTAGTCAATGCTGGAATTTCCTCTTGCTGTAATATTTTTGATCTTGTATGTTTTTTACATTTACTACGTTGAGTTAACCCTGTTCTAGTGATCCTTAAAAATCATCTTTAGCAGATCTTTTCTTGCTCTATTTTTATATGTAATCAATACATATCAATTGAATAAGTCAAATATGTTTTGTACAGTTCAAAATCACAACAGCAATTTCAAAGTACTTGATAATATTGTTGATTTGCCAATAGCAGATTAGAAAATTAAACACTCAAGATGACGTCTACCATTAGTTTCTATTTTTCTGAATTGTTTGAGGTAATAATTTGTCTTAAGGGATATGAAATAAAGAATGCAATTTGGGCTGAATTTCCCTGAAATAATGTTAATATGTTCCTTAGATTCAAATCATGGCTTCATCCGAAATCGTTCAATTGATTGTGAAGTTAATCTCTTTTAAAAGGGAACAAAACGTACATATGTCCCTATTGTTTTATACCTGTGTATTTCATTTATCATTCAATAGTTGTCTTTTATTTTACAGAAGATTTTTTTATAATAAATGGACAAACTAAAATGTGTGTTGGTCTGTTAGTATCAGTCAAATGACAAATAATAACATCAATAATGTGTACGCAATTTGATTTGTTTTGTTTGTGTCTAAGTACACAGTGTTATTATTAACAGTGCACTTAGACACAAATCAACAACTTATGAACTTTTGGGGAGCTTATTGGGAGCCGATGGGTTAAATGAATTTAGCTTTAAATGAAATGATCGTGAGTAGGTCATGGAAAATACCAAAACATCTTTGACAATGGTTTAAGTTAAGTTATACTTTATTGTCTCTGTACAGAAATTTGTCCTCTGCATTTGACCCATCCTGTAACGTCGTGAGGGCTTCTGTCAGGAGTTGCGATTGCTGCAGTACAGCACCCGAGGCCCTCACCAGATGTTGATGCTCCACTTGGTCACGACTACCAGAGCTGGAGGACATTTACATATTGTACAGGTTTTTTAGTGGTGGTGGAAACCGGAGCACCCGGAGGAAACCTACACAGACAACATGCTAACTCCAATGAGAAAGGCCCTATGCTGACAGTATTCAAACCCAGGGTCTGGTCAATATTCTCTTTCCTCTTCTTTCCTTGAATCCTCCATTTTCAGCTGTCACTCAGCTCATGTCTCCTCTCTGGATCTCATCAGTTGGGAACTTCCTCACACATTTCCTGCAGAGAAACTGAGGACAGCAGGAGGCGAGGGGAACAGAGTTGGGACTGGGCCCTGATGTGTGTCCAAACAGGAAACGGGAAGTACAACAGTTTCCCAGACCTTTGGCCTGAGGCGACTTCAAAGATACAAACCCGTGAAGCAGATACAGACTTCTGCAGAGAGACCACAACAAAACATGTCCTTCCTGACCACAGGCTTCAGCTCTCACTGCAGCCCGAGGAAATGGACCGTGCATTTGTGGAGGGTTTGTTGGTTTGATTCGCCTTGTGTAAGTGATTCAGTCTCTGTGAGTTTGTTATTAAGGATGTTGTCAAGAGACTGCCTCATGTAGGCTTTGTCTTGACCTCTCTTTCATGATGGAAAACAAATAGAACAACACTCGAGGCAGATCTCGAGACAATCTGTTGATCCACAGCAAGTCTCTATGACCCCACAGCCCTCCGTGCACCCCGCTTCTACACTGCAACAGCCAATCAGAGCATCCAAACAGCAGCAAGCCCCGCCTCCCTCTGCACAGGCCGCGCCCCCTCCACAGAGCAGACACTGAACCAGAGCTGAGCACAGAGAAGGGAGCTCACAAAACAGACAGGCCAGCAGGCAGTGGACGCAGCAGTCTGCAAAACAACATATGGAAAGACATATTTATAGTTGGCTATACAAGTATAATTAGTAGAATAAGTTTCAATGTCCTTTACATACTGTTATGTATTGATACAGTTTCAATATCCAACATAAAAGTCATTCTCACTTGTGTTTTATATGACTGAACAGTTCTGTATATGCTCTATGACGGTGGTGTTAAAAACAGTGGCAAGTGACAAGTTTTCACTCCAACCAAGCAGGAGCACAGCAGACTCCATCCATTCTATCAAGTCGTCGGGTGAAGATTGGACTGGAATGAAACCCTGCAGTTTGAAAACCACTGGTCTGTGATATCACATGAATCCTGTCCTGGCCTGGCCAATGTCTCCTCCCATTGATGCCTCTACGCCCGGTTCAACCCCTTTTCATCCCCTTTTCATCCCGCCAAAAGTTTTAAATTAATCCCCTTGGTGTGTCTTGAATAATAAAGCAGTGTCCTCCCAATTACCATGTGTTTCTTCACATTCACCCACAAATGTAATTAAATCAGACTAAATCTAAAAAAATCACAATCATTTCTTGTTGGATTTGTGTTTTTTTGTGGCCTGTATCACTGGAAGACAGTCTTGTGCATAGAACATGTCTGTGACTCATGGGTAAAAGTGTCTGCCTTGGTGACGGTTAGAAATATGTGTTAATATTTATCTTTCAAACACACAGACCACTTATCTCTCTCACCACATGCACACAGACTGGTACAGGTCGGCATGGCACTTATGGTGTTCTACTCAAACTTCTTTGCATTAAAATGGCCATATTGTGTTTTCAACTTGTGGCTCGGGGTAAAAATGAAGGCAATCAAACAATCTGAGCTAAGAAATATGACCAAATGTCTCTTGTTTACTAGTTTAGCCCTAGTTTAGGCTTGATTTTATTAAGATTACAGCTAGGCGGTGCGGCTATAGTTTTTTTCTACCTAAATTCTTGTTATTTAAGAATTATATTATATTGGTACTATTTCAGTCTGATCCAAGCTAAGTAATGGTTTGGCTGAGCAATGTTGATGAACTTTTACATTTTCAGATAAATATAGCATTAGCTGTTAAAAGTACAATATTGAACTAATCAAATCTTTTAAATATTTTGATTTATTCGGTCCAGAAACCAAAGCTTTGCATAATTCTGTCTTTAAGTTGAACAGTCCTGTCATATTCTGTGATAACTGCACGACAAAGGGAGCACGTACTAATCTCTATCAGTGCCCAGGAATTGAACCTGGGACTCTCTTGCTGAGAGAGAAAAGTTCTGACCTCCTCCTGCTGCTTGTTTGATGTGGGCGGGGCTTGTCTCCTTCTGGTTAGACCCAGTTTGATGGTGATGGTCTGACTCTGGGGAAACGTGGTTTCCGTTGTTGTCCTCACAACTGTTGGCTTTTGAGAGTTTTTTAGAGCACATAAAGGTAAAACAATCATTAAATTCATGAAAATTAATAATATGTTGTCTTACCTGTCTGTGATTGGGAGCAGGGGGAGGAGCTTGGAAGGAGTTGAGCATTGTCATTGGAGGATAAGCTGTCTGTCACAGAGCCTCCGGTGCTTACGTCACAGTCTTTCGAATTGTAATGGGGACGGGGTGGGGCCTGTGCTGTGAATCGGTTAAAAAAAGAAAGGTTTTTGGTTCAAACCATGGATATATTATAAAAACAAATAATCTGTGGTGTGAAAAATCATTTAATTATTTGTGTGTGTGTGAAAATCATTTTGATCATCACTTCAGTTTGAGCTTTAGTCCCATCTCCAGATGGGATTTTCTTCCACTAAAGTAAGTTCATATAAAGTACACTTCTTCTCTCACCTGTGCTTACATGAGGCAGGAGTCCATTGGCTGCCGGCTGTGTGACGACGCATTCTGATTGGTCCAGACTTGTATTATTCTGTTGGATCTGATGTTTGACCAATGTCTCATCCATTCTTAAAGGAAAAACAGCAAGTTAATTGATCACATTGTTTAATTATACAATACAATAATATTACAAATACAAGCAAATAATACAAGCAATACAAACCACACATCTCTTCTGGTGCTCGGGCCAACCAGTTGCACCCATGTGACATCACAACATTCAAAAGAGCCTATAGTTAGTTTAACATTGTGAAGGAGGGCAGCTGAACAATCTACCCTGGTAACTATGGTCAAAAGTCAGTTTAGAGCTGATTTCTCTGTAACTCCTCTACACATGAAACATGGTCTTTGTCGGTACAAATTGATTCTTATGAATTTGTCTGGAGGTGGTGACAAAGATTTTCAGATGTAAGAATAAATTATTCTTGTGTCTGAAAATCTTTGTCACCAGTTAGTTAGTTTCACAAACAAATGGTTGGTTTGTGAAACTAATTACTATTCATTGATGAACTGGGAAAACTTTGACTTTATCAACATTTATTTTAAATGTATCTTCTTTTCAAAGGATTGTATTTACTCCTGTTCTTCAACTGAAATAGAATTCTAGATCATGAACAACCAAACAGTAATATCAAAGATTCCAAAGTCTCAGAAAGCATTAGTCACTCTTTTTTCACTTTGCACTCTGTGGTGACGGAAGCGAGGCACAGAGAGAAACATGCAAATACACACAGAAAGACCCGGTCGAACCTCTTCCTTTGAGATGTTAACCACTCAGCCGTGCCGGGTATGAGGAGTATGATAAATGTATTAGCTTATCACACATTTTTATCCAGCAGTCCCCTGGCCTTATGTTACATTATAAACTAGTTAAGCTACAATTCTAATTATTATTTTATGTTTTTATTATGAATGTAAGTGGACGTCTCACCTGTTTATTCCTCGGGTCTTGAACTCAACTTTGGTCTCTCAGAATCTATAGTCTGTGTGTCACTCTGTCAAAGCAAAACCCTGTGGCACATGGTTTGTAGTCCCAGTCTTGATTTAGTCCAAGATGGTATGGAGGACAGTTTCACACCATATTTCTTGGTGATATGCTGAAGTTATTTTAGTCTTGTCCGTCCTGGTGTGGAGTAGAACACACTATATTGGTCTCTTTTGTCCCGTTATGGGCTGGTGTGGTCGACTGAGCTCCTCCTGTTTCCTTTATCTGTTTGACAAAGACACGCTCTGAATCCTCTGCAGTCCTCCGTGGTACATGGACTTATGGTGGTTGTGGTCACTGCCTTTCCTCAGCGATTTTAATGTATTCCACTATTACTATTATTATCATAACTTGGGGAAGCCATATAAGAAATAATTTAAACTGTGTTAACCCTTTAATATTCACTCCTTTAAGAAAGCAGTTTATTTTTTTCTAAAGTGTAGGCGCACAAAATATAATCTTATTGTTTTGGTTTTTATTTTTTCAACCCTCTATTTTTTAATTATAGGCCTCTGCCAAATTGTGCAGCTTGATGTGAAAAGTCCCAAAAAAACCAAGTGATAGAGATGCCCCAATGAGGTCGATTTCAGTTCATGTTCAAGTAGATTTATTGACCCAAAAAGTGATCTGCCCATGGTTTGAGGAAGCCATTAAAGGGTTAGAATTTTTTGAATACCTTTGGCACAAAAATCATGCTTTGTTTTCCTTCCCTACGTCTTGTAAGTTACAATAAAAAAGGGGAAATAAATAATCTTACTTTCTTGTTGACATTTGTAGAAGCAAGCTTGTGGGAGCCTGTCTGAAACTTAATAAACTCAATGGGAATCCCTTCTAAAGCAATAAATCACATTGAAAAAAAAATATTTACTCAATGAACAGTGAAGAAAGAGCAACATCTGAAAAATACATTAAACAATGAGAGACACACACACCTAATCTGCACCTTCACACCCCGGGGCAGACTGAAGGAAGCCTCTGATGCACCTTCACTTGTTTTCTGTTTTTAGAAGGCCTTTTATCGATTCATCTTCATTGTGTCCATGGTTTTATTTGTGGGTAAGGCATTATGCAGTGCTTTGCCTAAGGGCACAACAACACTGATACAAACAGGGAAAATGTATATTAAACTGTGAAACACCTTTGAAGAATTATAGATTCATAAAAAGATAGTAATTTTAAGAAAGGTTAACCTGTTTACTTGGTCTTCTTGTTCAGAAATATGTCTAACATGTTTTGAATCATAACTCATTAAGTCTCGAAAACCAGTTTGTTGATTTGACACCACAGAGACACATCATTCTGCGGTGAGATGATTTCCAGAATACAGTTTAAAATTACAACTATATACAAACATACAGAGTTGTTTTATTGCAAACTATAGACTTTTATATAACGTTAATTCGATGTTTTAAAAAGTACAAAAAATTGCTTAAATGTCATAATTTAGTGCTGGTTTTGTGACTCCATTATCTCAAATTCACATTTCAGGTTCCCAAACTCTTAGTTTGGGAACCTGGTATTGAACAGAGCAAGTACTGTATGTTTGCTCTATCAGTATCAAATAAGCACATGATTAAACATCTCTCATAACCTCCCAAAAACCTCGTCACGTTTACACCAAAACGAATCGACACAAAAGTGCATGTAATACTCTCACTGACCAGCAGAGGCCCCCATTGCCCGCGTGCCTCTGTTGCTCCTGTTTCCAGACGGACTGCAGAAGAAGCGGCTGGTGGAAAACAAAGACATTTCTGCACATTTTCACCATTTTCCCACATTTTAGAATCTGCAAAAGCATCGCACGACTGGATTCGGAAACTAATGTAAATGACGAAAACAGAACAATAACAATCTCTTCTTGCAATGGTGAGTTTTTCGTTTCTTTAGCTGCAGATGTTGATGGGAACTGCAGCATCCTCTCGCACACATCTCAAACGGAGCTAAGTCCAGTGGAATGTAGCTAATCAGACTGTAGTAATAACATTAATAATAATAATAATAATACTAATAATGCTAATAATAATGCTTGCAGTGGATGTGGCTCTCCTTAAAAGAGTTTATGGACATTTCTTTACATCTGGAGAAGAAATCAGTTTATCTCCTTTTGGATTAAGAGAGATATTTTAGCGTATTAAAAGAAAAGGAATACATATGTTGAAAATGATTGACATATTTGTGCATGTTATATGTAGACATAAAACAATATTAGGCATGTATATTACATGATTGTTCAAATATGTACACACATATTAGTATATTTGGGATGAAGTATACAAACTAATATAAATGCAAGATTGTTTTATGCCTTTATACAAGTGCCTAACTTTGTTTCCTTCATTTTGAGGCTGAGGAGGCAGCAGCAGAACATGGACCAAAGGAAGAAGAAGAAGAAGACCAGAAGCCAGCCAGTAAATTAGCAGAAAGGAAAGGGCCTGTTCCTGTCAAAGGTGCATCTGCTCCAGTGTACTGTCTCTGCAGGAAACCCGACATCAACTGTTTTATGATGTGAGCAAACAGCGTGTTCAGTCACAGATTAGACCTATTTTGTCAAGAGTTGTAAACATGTGTTTGGTTTGTTCAGCGGGTGTGACTGCTGTGCCGAGTGGTTCCATGGAGATTGTATCGGTATCTCAGAGAAAGCTGCAAAACCCATCAGAGTCTGGTACTGTCCTGCATGTCGAGGTGAGTCGATATCTATGACGATAGTGAGGCTCAAACTGTATACACAATCTGATCAAAATTGCAATTTGATTAGTCATAATGAGTAAATTAAAAAAACATAACTTAATCTGATGTCTACAACACGTTTCTAAATGCTTTGTGTTCTTACCTCAGATAACTACTATATAATATACTCACAGTAATGAACATTATAGAACAAAAGGACTATTATGATTTGTTTCCTCATTGAATGTTTCCATGGCACCAAATAGTACAAAGACCTGCTGTTAATTGACTCACAACTTGTTTACACATGTGAAATCTAAACAAACAAAGGAAATATTACTTGGTTGTAGTCTTCCACTGCCAGCGGACATATAAGCATATTTTTTCATAGTAGGGTTTTAACATTTATTACCATATCATGTAGAACATTTTCCACCGCAGTTTAATTAAAAACTGTGCTTATAATATCTTAAATAGCATGTTGTTATTCTCGGATATATCATGTTTTGTTATATATACGAGGTCATTTGGTTATGTGACCTCGGATATATAACAAAACATTTCAGACCAATGCAAAAAACGGAATTCAAGCCTTTTATAACCATTTAATTATTAGTATTTGTATCACATTTCAGCAGCACACGCCAAAGTGACTCCAACTACAGTATTTTAGCATAATTCACAAAACCTTTAACACACACCATAGCACAGTATCCCTGCCAATTTCACAATGCTACTGAATTGTATCCAGTTTGGTCCCTGCTACTACCTTTTGTTTGCACAGAGAAAGATCCCACACTAGAGATTAAATTCCGGCCTAAAAAGTCCAAGGAGAAAGACCCCCCGGTGCAGGAAAAAGAGCAGGAGCAGGAACAGGAGCAGGAACAGGAGCAGGAACAGGAGCAGGAACAGGAGCAGGAGCAGGAGCAGGAACAGGAGCAGGAGCAGCAGGAGGATGAGGACTTCTATGAACCTCCTTCCAGCTTCGATAAGAGGAGGAGCTCTCAGCAGGTAAAGCAGCTCCTCCCCCACACACACGCACTTCCTACTTCCTGGTTTAGTACTGGTTTGATCCTGCCTCTTTGTCCTGCTGTTGCCTCGTCCTGTCAAGTCCTGTGCAGGTTTGCTTCTTGTCTAGATGGGTTGTTGATGTGTTTTGAGGCTCTAAATGCTCTGTTAGACCCAGGGGACATTATAGCCTTGATGCAGTTCTAGTTTTATTCCTGGTTTAGTACTAGTTTACACCTATTATAGTTGTCACATCTGCTTATGGCCTTGTGTAGTCTCAAATTAGTCTTATAAAGTTGCATTCATGTCCAATCCTTATTCAGCTCTTGAAGCCTGTTTTATTCATGATCTTGTTTTTCTTCTATTGCAGATCAAGCGCTCGGCTCGTATGTGCGGGGAGTGTGACGCGTGTCTCCGAACAGAAGACTGCGGCCAGTGTGACTTCTGCAAAGACATGAAGAAGTTCGGAGGTCCAAACCGCATCAGGCAGAAGTGTCGCATGCGCCAGTGTGAAGTCAGAGCCCGGGTGAGTCTGCTGTCAATCATTCTCCTGACCTCATGAGTCTCCAAGGCTTTGATCCATGTGACCAGTCCAGTTTTTCAGCCGTAAATTATCAGCATTTAAATTAAAACTAAATACTTTTATTGCAAAAAAAAGAATTTAGTAGATCTAATGTGTTGATGCAACAACCAAGAATGACACATATAGACCTTTGAAGAAGACATTGTTTATTTTGTTTTATGAATGTATTATTGGAACAGAGACGGCGCTCGGGCTGTCTATCTTTAGTCGTTGAGTTGATTCATTGGTCAACGGTTCCTTTTCAACAGCTTTGTACCTAAAAGGTGGTAAGTAAATACCACCTCTGTGCATAAGCCTTTGTATTCAAGTGTTTTCCTGTTTGTGTTGGATGCAGAAGATGCTTCGTGTGCGGGACGAGGAGGAGCAGGCGGCGGGCCGTCCTCCGGTCAGGGGGCGGAGCCTGCAGAGGAAAGGTCCCGGGTTTCACGCTGACGAAGAAGACGAAGATGAAGTCTACAGCGAGAGCGAGTTTGAGCTCTACGAGCAGTACAAGGCGGCCGGCTACAGGGATCTGGTGCGAAACGCGCTTTTGGAATTATATTCAAAGTTATTTTTTTGCAGAAATGACCAAACGATTCTCTTCAATCAATCAACATTTATTTGTAGAGCGCCTTTCCTACACAAGGCAACGCAAAGCACTTCACAACCCATGTTACATCATGCAAAAATCATCAAACATTAGATTATAAAAAAAAAAAAAAAAAAAAAACACAAGATATATTCTCTTTGAGAAGTATTTTCAGACAAAGTTGGGGCCACAGACAGATGGGAATTGCATTGTTTGTCAGGATGCAATTGAATTGTCAGGCTTAGAACAAACAAAGCAATTAATATATTTCCTTCCTTCCTAATGTATCCTTATATGAAGCACAGTTGGATTTTTCATTTCAGTTGAGAGTCTTCATGTGTTTTTCCTATTCTTAGTAAAATCATTTGAATACCTACGTTAAAGGAATAGTTAACCGTTTTTACATACTGACATATGTTCTTACCTTACCTTAGACTACAATACAATACAATACAATTTATTCTTGTATAGCCCTAGGTCACAACAGAAGTCATCTCAGAGGAATTAACAAAACCATTGAAATCACCAACACAGATCCGAGAATCAACAGCCAAAACACATGGAGAATATAAAGCACACACAGAAGAAAATGTCCATACATGTTGTAGAATGCTAAAGTGTCCTGATCATCACCAATCCTTTCTGTTGGACACTAACTGTCCAACAAGACCCTCCTGCATCGACAAGGAAAAACTCTTAAAAAACCCAGTGGGAAAAAGTGAGAAACCTTGGGGAGCACTAGGGAAACCCACAGGGAGGGAGACCCATTTGAGAAAGGGATCCGCTCCTCCGGACAGACAGGCTAATGATCTAGGACCTAAGCTAGCTACAGGACGTGGACCAGTGGCCGCTGAACGTGGACAGGTCCGGTGCAGGGCCGAAGCACTCCCAGGCGGGTCGGGCGGGGCAGTCCGCAGGTGTAGATGGAAGAGGCCAGGCTCAGAGATCCCGTCATCGTACCATGAAACAGACAATGGGACAACGGGTGAATAGCAATGAACAAACTACAGTCAGAATCCTAAAAGTGCTAAACAGATAAAGTAGATAAAGTAGGAAGGAGGAGAGGATAGTGCTCAAGTTACCATACTTCTCCCAGCAAACTGACTCCCTATGCAGCTTGACTGACACTCTGAGGAGTTTAGCCTTCCCAGAGTCTTACCTTCCTAGCCATATGCTAAACTAAAGAGGACTGTTTTAAACCTAGCCTTGAATAAAGAGATTCATGGATTGCACACCAGGTGTGCAAACCGATCCAAGCAAACCTAATTATATATTATATATCATATACATCATTTATACCATACATACCATATATATCATAAATAATACACAACATAACGTACAGCATAATACATAACATAATATACAACATAACACAATACATTATTGTATAATATATAACATAATATATAACATAATACACCATATATATATATAATATATACACCATATATTATGTATTACCTAATTATATGCTAAATTAAAGTAAAGTGCTTTAAGCCTGGCCTTGAATGTGGAGACCGTATCTGCTTCCTTAACATAAATGGGAAGCTGATTCCACAGTAAAGGAGCTTGGTAGCTAAATGCTCTGCCACCAACAGTGACCTTTGAGACCTTAGGGACCACCAGACGTCTGGCGTTTTGTGAGCGCAACGCTCGACTTGGTTGATACGACACTAACGTGTCTTGGAGATAAGAAGGAGCCAAGCCATTTATGGCTTTATATGTTAAGAGAAGGATTTTAAACTTTATTCTGTACTCCACAGGGAGCCAGTGGAGTGATTTTAACACCGGAGTTATGTGCTCCCTCCTTTTGGTACCTGTTAAGATCCTAGCTGCTGTATTCTGAACGAGCTGGAAGCTCTTCAAAGACGCTTTAGGGCACGCTGCCAATAAAGCGTTACAGTAGTCGAGCCTTGAGGTGACAAACGCCTGAATGAGTTTTTCCGCGTCACTTTTAGGAAGGAAATTCCTAATTTTAGCGATGTTCCGTAGGTGGAAGTACGCCGTTTTAGTTGCTTGGCTTATATAAGCCTTGAAGGAGAGCTCTTGGTCAAAAATGACTCCAAGATTCCTCACAGTGTCACTGGGTACAATACTGACACCATCGAGAGTAATTATCTGGTTAGCGAGGGAGTCACGCAGGCGCTTCGGACCGAGTAGGATCACTTCTGTCTTCTCCAGGTTGAGAAGTAGGAAGTTAAGAGTCATCCACATTTTAAGGTCCTTTATACAGGCACTGAGCTTTTCCAGCTGATCTGTCTGATTTGGCTTCATCGACAGATAAAGCTGTGTGTCATCTGCATAGCAGTGGAAATTAATTCCATGCTTTTTAATAATGTTTCCTAATGGCAGCATGTAGAGAGTAAAAAGAATCGGTCCGAGTACCGAACCCTGCGGCACACCGAATTCCACTCCAGAATAAGGCGACGAGCTCCGATTTACGTTGACGAAGTGACACCGATCTGACAAATAGGATTTAAACCAGCCAAGGGCTGTTCCTCTAAGACCTATATCACATTCTAGCCTCTGCAGTAGAATGCTGTGGTCTATTGTGTCAAATGCAGCACTAAGGTCCAGTAGGACCAGCACTGACACTTGTCCATTATCAGCAGCTAGTAGTAAGTCATTTGTGACTTTGACTAGTGCCGTTTCAGTGCTATGATGAGCTCTGAATCCTGATTGAAAGACTTCAAACATATTATTTTCCTGCAGGTGGCAGCGAAGCTGCTCAGCTATAAGTTTTTCCAGGATTTTAGATATAAAAGTGAGGTTTGAGATCGGTCTGTAGTTTGTAAGTATTTCTGGGTCCAGGTTTGTTTTCTTCAGAAGGGGTTTGATTACAGCGGTTTTAAAAGCTTGTGGGACATAGCCACATTGTATGGATGCGTTTATTATATTTACGATAGGCTCAATTATCAAAGGAAGTATGTCTTTGAAGAGCCATGTCGGGACTGCGTCTAACATGCAAGTTGAGGCTTTTGAGGATGTGACCACAGAGATCACCTCTGCTTGGCTCACAGCCATGAATTTATCGAGGCCCACTGAAGAGTCTAAGTGGGAAGTTACGTATGCCGCTTCAACCTGTCCACCACTAACAGCAGGAGCAACCTCCTCCAGCTTGTCACGGATGGATGTAATTTTATTATTAAAGAAGTGGAGAAAGTCGACACTGCTCAGTGAGCTTGGAATTTTAGGCTCGATTGCGCTATGGCAGTTTGTGAGTTTAGCGACGGTGCTAAACAAAAATCTACTGTTATTTTTATTTGCTTCTATTAAAGTTGAATAGTATTGAGTTCGAGCCCTGCGAAGTAGTAGGTAGTTAATATGTACCTGTCTGGTCTTAGTCCGTGCGCTCTGTCATGCAAACGGAGCAAAAACGGGAGCACAAACGCAGCCTCCTCTGTATACTGTGTAGGACCAAAAGGTAGCTCCCGCTAGAAGCTACCAAACTCTTCCAAGTGTTCCCTATTAAATGTATATAGTTACGTGACGTGTTACACTGCAAAGTATAGTAACACAGAAATGTAACAGTCGATTTTCGCAGCGGATAAAACGGGTACTATATTGTGAGGCGTAGTAATCTGAGGAGCGCTACGTCCGCGCACTAACTTCTCTCCGTACTACAAGTCACGCTGCTTCTATTGACGGAAGTGAGCGAGAGAGAAGTCTCCGGAGAGAAGTTAGTGCGCGGACGTAGCGCTCCTCAGATTACTACACCTCACAATATAGTACCCGTTTTATCCGCTGAGAAAATCGACAGTTACATTTCTGTGTTACTATACTTTGCAGTGTAACACGTCACGTAACTATATACATTTAATAGGGAACACTTGGAAGACTTTGGTAACTTCTAGCGGGAGCTATCTTTTGGGTACTATACAGTATACAGAGGAGGCTGCGTTTGTGCTCCCGTTTTTGCTCCGTTTGCATGACAGAGCGCACGGACTAAGACCAGACAGGTACATATTAACTAGTCTAAGGTAAGGTAAGAACATATGTCAGTATGTAAAAACGGTGAACTATTCCTTTAAGAGAGATGGCATTCTCCGCTACAAGTAAAAAAGTGCTCATTTATGTATTCACAATCACATAATGTTTCAGTGAAATCATGCCATAGTGTATAAACTATTACACCATTATTCAGTTTTATGACATCAAAAGTTAACATGTTGCGTAATACACTGAAATATGAATGTTGTGTGAAGATAAACAGATAAGATAAACAGCCAAACACACAGCAGCATTTGGAGATGTGTAAAAGAAGAGGAAATCGGAACATATACGTTTCACAATCTGACTTCCCTCTTGCTTATGTAGCAGAGTAATATTTGGCTTCTCTTCACACCCGTGTTGGATGAAGACACTTTCCTTGGCTTCTTTTAGATGTAGTTCTTCCTTTTGCACCTCTCTGTTTCCCAGTAATACATCTTCAGAAACACAACAGATTCCATTTCAGCTGCTTTTAAACTAGCATTAGCTTCAGTGATCTTGTGCCTCAACAACAAAGCACGTTTCTTCTGCATTTGACTAGGGCACAAGTTGAAAACAATCTGCAGTTATTAAAACTTTCCAAGTTTCCCATTCCACTGTCCAAACTATGATATTGAAGTGACGGCAGACGGTCTATATACCCAGATCTGTCCCAAGTCTGAGGACAGGGCAAAGAGGGTTTTAGGTCCACATTTAGCCTCTGTTATGCCGTAGTATGAACCTAACTGGATTAAAGGAACCTAACTGGTGTTGTAGGTGTGGCACAGTGAGGAAGAGGAGGAGGGGCATACGCTGAAGAAGGCTGTGAAGGTCAAACACGTGAAGAGACGAGACAAGAAACCGGAGAAGAAACCGGAGAAGAAACCGGAGAAGAAACCGGAGAAGAAACCGGAGAAGAAACCGGAGAAGAAACCAGACAAGAAGGTACAAACTACAAATACAACAGCTGCTTCTACATTACAGTAAATCACACTGATTCTCAAACTGTGGTGCATGATTTTCCTCTGCAGCTCAAGCGTTTGCTCATGTCATTGTAATTCCACGTTTGTACTCAATCTAAGCGAGTGTGAGATTTAGCCATGCACAAATCAAGCTATTTCATTTCTGATGAAAAAATGGGTTTCAATATCTCCTGATGCCTCTAATTTCAATCTATTCCTGTGAATGGCCTAAGAATAATATATATTTTTCTCCTGTCAAATCACAACTGACTTAATAGTGCCTCAGATTGTGATATTTTAACTGTTTAACTAACTACAGAACTACTTGGTGGGAGTAAAAGTTCTAACTCTTTTGATGGTGTAACTTCTGGGTTAGTATTAGCCAATAACAAGTTATATTACATGGATTGAAAGACCCAATCAAGATGATTAGTCGCAATGTATCCTTAATTAAACTGGTGTAGTCCTAGCCTGGCCTTAGCCATTCGTACACTCTGTTCAATCATCATTTCACTGCATGTAACGTCTGGGTCTGGTCAACATGTTAGCGATTACAATCGGTTGAATTTTGACCGACCAATCAGAGAGCTCGGAAGGCAGGTATTGTAGTTAGTTGGGGGTGATGTCAAGAGTTTGCGTTGAAAGGGCAGGTTGTTGTTTGGCAATGGCGAAGAATGCGATAGTAAAGTAATCCGGTCTGGTTCTATCAAGAAATTGAAGCCGGAGCAAGGGTAATGTTTAGCAAATGTAATCGCTGGAAAAAATTGTGGCGCTACTCCCCACGGGCTCTGTTAGCGGCAGAGGAGATGGCTAAAGCTAGGCTAAATGCTAACAACAGACTCGGGCGCATTACATACGTCACGGTAAACTCGGATCCAATCGTTTCAATCTGAAAAAGGAGTTAACCCCTCCTATCTGTAAACAGAGCTCAATGGAGTAAATTCAGACCTTAGTATGAAATGTAATTTGTACCATGGTGTGGTACGACCAGGCTAGTGAAGTCCCTTTTATGACCTAGTTTAGTCCTGATTTCTAGACCCAGAACATATGATTTTACTCAGAAGACGGTATGTATAGATATGGTGTGATTTTGTGTGACAAGTTTAAGAAGCACTACTGTCTTTAGGTTTTTAAGACATTCCACCATTGTGTTTAAATAATAATGAATGAAAACAAACCAATTTTCAACTCATCTGTTATTCTTTTTATTTTGTTAGCGACATATCCTGCTACAGTGACTGAGACTACAAAAAGTATCATTTTAAATTATAATCTTTCTTTATGATGTTGTTTGTTGTTGATGTCTCTTTAGAAGTCCCAGGAGTCTGTGCATAAGGAGGAGCGGAAACATAAGGTGAAACAGCGCCACCGTGTGAGGGTGCGGCACAGCGAGCGTGGAGAGGGCGGGGCTAAAGACGCCGCTTTGGGCATGAGGCAGTGTCTGGGACCTGGCTGCGTAGAACCAGCGCGAAACAACTCAAAGTATTGCTCAGAGGACTGTGGCATGAAGCTCGCTGCTAAGTAAGTGCTATTTGTAATATTTTTTAAAAGAATAGTGGAAGTGGAGGATGCTCTTGTACTGGGGGAAGGATTGAATGTGAGATTGACAGGTGGATCGGTGCAGCGTGTGCAGTGATGCAGTCGCTGTATCGGACCGTTGTGGTGAAGAGGGAGCTGAGTCGGGGCGGGTCCCGGCTCAAAAATGTCCAAAATGATGTGCGCTGACATACTTGCATTACCACCCCGGGCAAGTGGGGGTGGACCCGGCTTAAGAATTGTTCAATGCTAATGTATAGTATCTTCTTACCTCTTGAAAACGGCCAAAAGTCGGCTCTTGGACCAGTCTGGTTTGGCCGCTGTGAAATTTTGAAGGCACTTGTCAAATGAATGGGGCTCGTGCCGGCTGCATGCGCTAATGCGTTTTTTCACATTTACCAGCCCCCGTGGCTATTTTGAAACTGCCCATACGCAGCGAAAGTGGTGGCATATTAGTTTGAGCGGCGGAGATAGGCGTGACTGTGTCTGTTAATATTTGCAGTCTACGGTTGATAGGCAAAGCTCCTGATTTACCGGTCGTTCTACGTTCCCATCCTCACCTCTGGTCATGAGCTTTGGGTAATGACCAAAAGGACGAGGTCGCGGATACAAACTATGGGGAGGTGCTCGAGGCACATTCACACTTTGGTTCACTTTAACTGGACTACAGTCTGGGTCACAGTAACTGGGCTACTGGGTCATTTGGGGAAAAAATGCTTCACAGGTCTGTATCAAATGATGTAAACTGATTTAAGTGACTATTGGACTATATGTCGTCTTGTTTGGTGGTTCTAGGTCACCATATAAAGCATTTTTGCCTCAAGTGAACCAGGCCTAGTTAAAGTGAACCAGACCAACATGTGTGAATGGGTTGGGGCTCAGAGTTCAATGAATAAACCCTTCAAACATGTGTGGATCAATCAATCAGTCACTTTATTTAACCTCGAGGGGCAATTAAAAAGCACGGAGAGTTACAAATTACATGCTACATGCTAAAAATATCAATAAAAAACACATAAATACATTTACACACACATCTTGTATAAGTTAATGTTAGGAGCGTTTTAACACTGCGCTGGGGAATGATGGGTCCGAGTTCAGCAGCTGAGTCACTGTAGGAACAAAAGTGGATTTCCTCCTCTGCGTCCTACATCTCACCGAGCGCAGCCTCCTCCCTCAAGGCAGCCACTCAAACACAGGGAAGAGAACATGAGCAGGGTCTCCCAGAATCCTATGTGCCACTCTCATGGCCTGCTGATCACACAGGGCAGGAAGGGATCTGATTGGCTGGCCATTGATCTTAGAGCAGACATTTGTAACTCTGTTTAACTGAGCCCTGTTTTGTACAGTGACAGAGTAAAACCAGCAAACACATGAAAAAGAAAGAACACTCAATAAAGGTATGGTAAAAGGTCATCATGATGTTTGGATTGACATCAAACACCCTTAATTTTCTTAAAAGATATTGCCTCTGATGGCATTTTTTCAGGAACTCCTTGTGTTACTGGAGAATTTGAGCATATCATCAAAGATGGTTCCTAGATACTTGCACTCATGAACCACCTCCACACGCTCTCCCCTGATAGCAGAAGATTCAGCCTCAGCAAGCTGTCTCTGCTTTAGGGCTGGGCGATTAATCGATTTTAATCATTAATTCGAGTTATACGTTTAGGGCGATTTCTTTTTTTAAAAATTCGATTTTTATTTTCTCCAGCGCAGAACTACAGCGCTAACGCGCTAACCGCGGGTCTATGGTGTTGAGCAGTAATTTTGAAGCTAACCTAATGCTAACAGTCTCCCTCTGGCCTGATGCTCGCTCTCACAGTTGGTGCTGTTGCAATAACACTTCAAACGTTCAAGAATCAGACTTTATTTAATCGCTAAAACACACACACACAGGCTCCGTACGCCATGTTCGTACGCCACATCTTTCACGCTCTCTCACGCTCGTTATTCCAAAGCGCACTCCCGTGTCCGTGGCGCGCACACACTCGTGTCCCACTGAGCCGCTGCACTTTGGGGAAAGACACGTCTCACACATTGCTCTCATTGCTCTGATACAAACAACGTGTTCCCCGCTGTCTGTTAGCTACAGTAGCTGCTAGCTACAGTAGCTGCTACAGTAGCTGCTACAGTAGCTGCTACAGTAGCTGTTAGCTACAGTAGCTGCTACAGTAGCTGTTAGCTACAGTAGCTGCTACAGTAGCTGTTAGCTACAGCATCAGAATGTAAACAGGAAGCTCGCACAATGCGGGAGTCACTGAAGTTAGTATTAGCGCCACCAGCTGGACCGAGCGTTGTACTACAGCACAGTTACTCAGGCACAGTTGAAAGAACAAGCATGAAAACCCGAGGAGGCTTTTGGAAAAGACTGTCTGTTACAACATTTCTATTTTGAGTAATCAGTTTTAAAAATGTGATATTTCATGTAAATAATGCATGTGTTTAATAGGATTGATATATTTGCGATGGGCCTTGTTTGTGTGATTTAAGTTATTTTGAAGGTGCATAGTGTCATTGTAAGTGAAGTTATTATAAAACTGTTAAGCTACATTTTCACTGTTTACAATGGCAGAGCCATCTCGTTTACAAGCATGTTTTAAGGCTTAATTCCTGTTACACTTATGCTCCATGGGGATTTAGATTAAACTGCATAAAGGAAAATCTATTTCTTTGTCAGTTGTAGTTTGTTTTTAAATAGAAAAAAATAAATCGATTAAAATCGAAAATCGGATTTGGTGTGAAAAAATCGGAGATTTTTTTTTTTTGCCATATCGCCCAGCCCTACTCTGCTTGTTAGAAAATGTCACAATCATGTCCTTAGTTTTACTGATATTAAGCTCCAAGTATAGTCATCACACCATGAGATGAACTCCTGTAGAGCAGGACCATGACCCAGAGAAGGAGCAGACAGTAAGGACAGGAGAACTGTGTCATCAGCAAACTTAACGAAATAACAGTTTGGCTGAGTTGACCTACAATTGTCCGTGTAGAGGATGTACAGAAGGGGCGATAAGACACATCCCTGTGGGGAGCCAGTGGATGTGAGCAGAACATCAGACATCATATTGTTCACTTTAACTCTCTGAGTTCTCCCTAACTAATAACTAATAATCCACAAGACGAGCTGATGGTCCAGATGGAAACGTGATGTTAGTTTCTCTGCAAGGATGTGAGGCTGCATGGTGTTAAAAGCAGATGAAAAATCAACAAACAGGAGCCTAAAAATTGAATTTGGGGTTTCCAGATGTTTGTGGATGGTGTCTACAATAAAATTTTTAGCATCATCCACACCCCGGGCAGACCTGTAAGCGAACTGCAGAGGGTCCATCAGTGAAGAAACCTTTAATAATCCTCTCCAGGCTCTTCATCACTAGGGAGGTTAAAGCCACAGGTCTCAGATCATTGAGGGCCTTTGTAGTTCCTCTTTTAGGGACTGGGATCACTGTAGACTGCTTCCAGACATCCGGAAAAATGCATTGGGATAATACTTCTAACATATATTCATCTCTCTTTCAGTCGTATCTATGAGATCTTGCCCCAGCGGATCCAGCAGTGGCAGCAGAGCCCGTGTGTGGCTGAGGAGATGGGCCGCAGACAGCTGGAGAGGATCCGGCGAGAACAGCAGTCGGCTCGGCTTCGACTCACCGCGATGGAGAAACGCTTTCATGAACTGGAGGGAATCATCGCTAACGCCAAACTCCAGCAGGTTCAGCAGGACGAGGAGGTAACACTCGCCCACGCACTTGCTAACAACCCAGGCGCTGTGCATATATTTGTATTTAATTATCATGTTTTTGTAGGTGCCAGAGGGAGAAGGAGACGACACAGACCTCCAGATATTCTGCGTGTCGTGCAGTCATCCTGTCAACCCCAAGGTGGCGCTGCGGCACATGGAGAGGTGCTATGCTAAGGTTTGTATTGTCCTCTGAGGATTTGATTCAGAACTAACGTCCTAATGTGCTGACTGAAAGTGTTGATGTGTCCTCAGTACGAGAGCCAGACCTCCTTTGGATCCATGTATCCAACTCGCATCGAGGGGTAAGTTTAATCTTCCCACAAAGATCAAGACAAACAAGTTAGATTTCAATATAATGTCACATCTAGAATTTGTTCACATTAGACTCACAGTTCGGCCTTTTGCACCCTCTGTTTAATTTCAAAGGGAATATTGTAGAAATTGGCAAGGTATAGGACAACAGTTTACACAAGGTAAACCATAGTACTTAACAAAACATAAAATCCTCCACAAATAAAACAAGCAGGTGTATGAAACAACAATGTCCATTTACCTGTTTACATGACAAAGACATACAGGACAGTAGTACGAATAAAGAGCACACAAAATACATATTGTTAAGTAGATGTATTTTTGTATTTGTTTTAATGTATTGGATTTTCATATACAAAATCACATTAACAACTATAAACAATACAATATTCTCACACACACTTATTATTTTCACTGAACAGGTAGCATTACTTGTTCTACATTTTGGTTGTTGTGTTCAGAGCCACCAGGCTGTTCTGCGACGTGTACAACCCTCACAGTAAAACCTACTGTAAGCGACTGCAGGTGCTGTGTCCGGAACACTCCAGGGATCCCAAGGTGAGACAAAGTGAACAACACAAATGACAATCAAGAAAACGCACTTATTACATCTCTGCTGTGTCCACTGCAGATCCCCGCTGACGAGGTGTGTGGCTGTCCTCTGGTCAAAGATGTGTTCGAGCCGACTGGAGAGTTCTGTCGAGTGTCCAAGAGGAAATGTAATAAACACTACTGCTGGGAGAAGCTGAGGCGAGCAGAGGTGGATCTGGAGAGAGTCCGAGTGGTGAGGACAATATATTTATAACTTAAGTCGCATCGTATTCTCCAAAAAGACTAAGAATCTCTTGTTCCCTCATGTTTGTTAAGCGCTCAAGCATATTATAAAGAAACACATGATACAGCATGGTTCCTCATCAAAACATATGTGGTGGTGTTTTTAGCTCTGTCCATGCTATTATAAAAAAACTTCCTTTTTCACACTTGACAAATCATCCGACTTATGTCACCACACAGCAGTTTTCTATTTTTAAATCAAAAGTATGAACATATAAATATGTTTTGTGAATTTATCCTTTAAACTTTCATTCCTTGAATTCTGACCAGCTAATGTTAGATTTTGTTCCTTAGCTTATAAATAATGTAATTCCCCATTTCTACCACTAGATGACAGCGGTGGCCCCACTCTGCTGCACTGGACCAATGGCTCCAATGTGTTTAATTATTGCTTTTGCTTAGTTTGAAGTGTTTGATTCTCTAATCTGTCGCTGGCAAAAAAAAGTCATCCAAGGCGACTGCTGTTGTGAATTAGGGCGTGTTCTTTAGCCTCAAAACATTTTAACACTTTCTCATGTTTTCAGTGGTACAAACTGGACGAACTGTTCGAGCAGGAGAGGAACCTTCGCACCGCTATGACCAACAGAGCCGGGATGTTGGCTTTGATGTTACACCAGACGATACAGCACGACCCCATCACCACAGACCTGAGAACTGCCAAAGAGCGATGAATAAATCCACCACAACACTTTGTTTAGAGAAGAAAGACGACAAACACTAAACTCAACAGATGACGATAGGGCCGGTAACACGCACTGCTTTGTTTTCAAACAGCAGTCATTTTAGAAGTTTCCATTTCATGCTTATCTTTATCCAAATATATAGTTTACAATCATTGTAAGTCAGTGTTCCACCACCAGCAAATAAACTGTATTTTATAGGAACTACACTACCCACAATCCTCTCTGAACCGAAGCAGCTACAACAGTCGTGTTTCCATTGCACCTTTTGTCTTTTTAGATTTTTATACCATGCTTTTTATTTTTATACTCTATGTATCATTGTATCGAACCGGTTTGTCATGAAATAAATTGCATTCTATTAAAGTTTAATGTTTTTTTATGTGTGATTGTGTGTGTCTATCTCTATATCGACTCAACAAAAACAGCTGTTCAAGCAACAAAACACTTTTCACTGCATTTCCTGACCTGCTCTGCTCCGTCACAGATGAGGAGGGGTATGAGTGATATGGGGCAAGGTCTGGATTAGGGCAGGATTAATGTGGATTAGCACAGAGAGAGTGGTCCTATTGCAGAGAGGAAACACCAGAAAGGAAGAGAATATGTCGTATGTGTGTTGTTAAAACGTGTCATGAGTGAAGCTGCTGTTTGATGAGGAATGAGGGAGATTTGATGAAACAGGAGGATTCTGTGCCAACAATGTGCCTCAGTCCAGGTCGCAACTAAAAGCATCTGTCGCCCCCTCCTGCTGCTGTCGTTCTGGTTTACAAATTGGACGATTCAAATCCAAATAATATCTTTTATTTAAAAAATCCAATGTTGCATGAAACTGGAATCTGTAATCCATGTATAAGAAGGAGCTATTCAAACTAAATATATTTTTGTATAGGTCAAAATCACCACAGCAGTTGGAGAAGGGTCGTGTAGCACTGTTGATTATCCAACAACAGATTCAAATGCTGTTGGAAAATCACAAAGAAATACAGTATATAATTAATAGTATATATATAACAGGTTAACCAATGTCCCAGATCACCCCCTTGTTTTCAGACTCTGCTGCATCGACAAGGAAAAACACAGCGGGAGAAATGGAGCAAAAGAGGGACCCACTCCCATGGATCCAGGTCTGTGGTTTATACAATTCTGTTGAATACATAATCATTCATCAATATTTTCATTATGTGCAGACAACCTGGAGGTTTTTACCAAATTGCATGTCCAGAAATGTCAGTTTTTGTGTTACTGCTTTCAGCTTTGGATTTGATGAAACTAATTAACATCTCACTATGTCCCAACAATAACAGCCTCTGAAAGCTCAGCTTCAGTCTTCTGTAGTTGATAAACTATCAGCACAGAACAATGGAGCAAATGGTCTGCATTCACACTGGCGTCCACTGGTCTCGGTTCACTTCAAAAGCAAATGCAACATTCCTCATAAAAAGTGCATTTTACAACATTTTATTAGTTTTTTTTAATCGTTTTGTAAACAGCTTTATTTTGATTGAACAGTACAGTTTGTAGTGTATAGGAAAAAATAATCTGAAATGACCTAATACTCAAGGACACAGCAGAAGGAGATCTTGACCTTCACAGTCTCCTCACAAACTCAATTTACCTCAAGTGTACACATGTCCCTCACACGCTGCAATCAGAACAGCGGACGCACGAGGAGGTCAACAATGACATATTATAGAAGATAGAAGAAGGTGGTACTTAGAGTTCAGAGATCTGAACTAGGACTTCCGCAAGAAATACAATTGAAGGAAAATGAAGAAAGAAAGAACAAGCTTATTTTTAATGTGTGATTCAAGAATAAATCAGAATCACAATTTTTCTTATTACCATTGTAATTAACAATAAATCACATGTTAGGAATTGTCTTTGGCATAAGGTACAAACAAGTAAAAAAAAGTTAAACAATAAAAAAAAAAAAAGAGAAAAAAGATACAAAGGAATGCAAACAAAATCTTAAATATCTATTTTGTCTAAATCCGGTCATATCAGAATCAGAATCAGAATCATTTTTATTGCCACGTAAGTAACAGGAGGTCACAGACTAGGAAATTGCTTTGGCTCAGTGCAACAGTCAAAAAGAGATAATAAAAATAAGAATAAAAAACACTTCTAAAGAATAAATTTAAATTTAAAATAGAGTTACAGTTACTATATATAATGTGTGTTGAATCCCATTTAAATCCCATTTTACATTTATGGCCCGGTATCAACTCAAACCCCAACATTCACATCATGTCACAGCGTTCGCTGTTTGCTCTGATTTTAGTCTGCATGTACAAAGCTGGGAGAGACATTCCCCACAATATTGGCATCTGTAACTGCACATGCTAGTATTCTTCGTAAACCAAAAATGTTTTATTAGTGGACTATTTTTTTAAAATCTAAAACACAAGGATTTCAATGAGAAAACAGTAAAATTCAGTAGAGCTGGTTAGCTGAAGATGTTATTTACCAGGCCAATCCCTCCTGTCAAAGGTTTACTCAAGCCTCTGTGTGCGTGCATGCGTACGTGCGTGCGTGCGTGCATTTGTGTGTGTGCCACCTATTCTCCAACCATCATTCAATTCACACATAACAAGTGTCTTGCTTAAGGACAAGGACAAGATAAGAGAACCTTTAATGTCCCTCATTTGGGGAATTATAATGTCATCATTGCAGACAAATAGGAGGAGAATTACAGAGCAGTATTAGAGCAGTCTCCCATCACAGAAACCAGACTCATAACTGCTTAGCTTCTGAATGAAGTAAATGTATGTGAGAGGATACAGAGCACATTTAAAACATGAATGGATTCGCACCTTCACGTGAGAGTAGACACACGCACACACAAACACACACACGTACACACACACACGCACGCACGCAAACACACACACACACACGCACGCACGCAAGCACACACACACCTGTTGCTGACTCATTCTCTTGACTAAAAGCTGTCATTGCGTTTGTCCCTCTCTGCCTTCCATCCCCAGAGCACAATAGCCGTTTCGCGCTTCTGTCTTGACTCCATCATCTCTCTCATCTCCATCTCTCTAATCCTCGTGCACTCTGGCGCCCGTGCATGGCGCTCTCGTGCACGCGCGGGTGCAGATTAACGCGCTGGAGCAGGAGCTGATCACCGCGCGCGCACACAGCCAGACCTGACGGGATATTGTTGTTTTCTCATTTTGTTTTTGGACGATTTCTGTGGATTTTTGTGGATTATAAAAGACTCGGCACAATGGGAATATTGTGTTAAGTGATCAGAAGAAGGAATGGTTTCTGTACGGATTAAAAGTGTCAAATAAAAAGTGTAGTGAAGATGGAGAGCGCAGACCGCGTCCGGAGCTGAGAGTTGGAAACTGGAGAGATGTACGAAGAGGGACGGAAAAGTAAGAATTATGTATTTTCATTTGATTATACATGCACGTCAAATGCACGATTTTCCACAATTTTCCTCCACGATGGTGTCACAAATTGCCTCATGCGTGTAGACCGATGCTACTGTAGGTCAGTCAGATGCCGCTCTCCCCTCTCCAGCATCTCTCTCCAGCCCTGGCCCTGGATGAGCCCCTGGAACTAATATCCTACTAATTGTGGAAGGCAACTTAATCAGGCACTTTACTGTAATCACAGCCGAACAGAAGTGACTGTCAGTGCTGTAACCATGGTAATGACACTGACACAGGTAGGGCTGAAACACTCTGAGGATCGAGGTATGATCGACTTGAATTTCATTACAAAAAAACTTGGGTTACAATTACTTTGCCTTGATTCATTGGATAGTTTTTGTGACATCTTGAAATATGTTGCACACCAACAGCATGTAACCAATTCCTGATTCCTGAAGACTGATTCAATTGGATCCATGATTTGGATTGTTTTTGTTGTATATTATATGTTTTATTCTATTTAAAATGAATATGCCGTTAAGGGGAAACAGTTTTTTGAAATATCAAAGGTATTAATCAATAAAATACTATTATTCCAATAATTGATAGCCGCTGCCTATATGCAGGTAATATAGAGTCAGAACACATCATCAGTCTACTTATAAAATGTGAATTAGTGACAAGGAGCAGAGTGGGGACGTACACACTGTGGCCATGAATCTCTCAATGCAGCTCAGTCCAAATGTTGAATACATTCAAGTTTAATGTTACAGCGGTTCTTATACAACCAGATAAACAAATGTAGCTTTTTCACAAATAAAGTAAAACAATATGAAAAAGCTGATTTCGATTACAATTGCATCAAAGGACAAACCCATTGGACACAGACGTGTGTCTTTATGTTGAGGATGAGGCCTGTTCACTTTAATGTGACCAATCCAACACTGGAAAGGTAACACTGTTCAGATTACATCACTAATAACACAGACTGGATATAGTTGATACTAAAAGTTGATTCTCAAACTCTGTAAATGTGATGTGATGTAAAATTCTTAATCATGAGAGTATTTAAACCTGTTCAAAGCATCGCTCACTCAGAACAAATGGTTTGTAGAAACATAAAGATGAGAGACAGAACCAAATCCATGTATTTGACCTGAACACAGATAAAACCAGGCCTTACATCCGAGACAAAAGCATGTATTACCTTGTCGTTGTCACAATAATAGTTATGCCACCTCAGGTGGCAAAAAGCCCCGTTTCTACGGCAACCGCATCAGCACCATAGATGGCCATACTGGGGATTAACTTCTCAATTTAGATAAGTTCAGGAGGGATAAGTCCGCAGGCGCATCACAGAGGAAGATCCGAGAAAGACAAAGTGGGCTTTGTGTCGGTTTATTAAGGAAAGAGAAGAAAATATTTGAAACATTTTAATCAGACTCAAACTATTTTGATTAAAAAAACATTGGAATATCATAGAACAACATTTCATTCCATTAGAAAAAAAAAAACACTTCAAAAGTGCTAAATGTAAAAGATGCTTGAGTCCGACAACCTTTTGAGAGTTTTATATAAATAATGAGAGATTCTCATTTGGAATGAGAATAATTCTTCTGCTTCACAAAACAAGACAAAAGGTCCTGGAACTTCAATCGATGAATCTTCAAAATAAACTTTAATTCAAGACCTAGATTAAAGTGATTGTTTGCTTTTCTTTAGTCCAGGGGTCAAACTCATTTTGTTTAAGGCAAGATACATTTTTTTAGCTGAGCCAAAAGTATAAAAGTTATTTTATTCTATGGTATTTTACTTTCATTTGATTATTTCAACTTTTTCAACTTCCTCATTATTTTTTTAGTGTTCATATATTTTTCCATGAGTTGTCATTTCTACCTTAATTTCTCTCTTTATGAGTTGCTAATAGCGACGACAAACATTGCCAGATCGATTCCATTGTTATTAATCACACAGCCTACTTTTACCGTAGACGACTGAAAACAATAAGAATGTTTCATATGGAGTATTTAGTCCCACTTGACTCCGCGGTGCTGCAGAGGCCTGTGTCAGTGACGTGATGAGAGCGGACGGAGCAGTGGACTGAGTGAAGACAGTGTTTGGGATAATTGTCTGCTCCTTAGGCTGCACCAGGCCCTCAGCAGGTCATGTGATGTTCACTTTGCTCCTTCTGTTATCTGCTCTTCTCTTCAGAACCACCACTGACATGTCGTCGTTAGATTTACACCTGCTTCGCGTCTGGCATGTCCCAGTTTGACGTTAATCACAAACACAGACTGATTATTTGCAAATTTTTTATCTACAATGTATTCATGAGGGAAATTACACAACATTACAGAGATAATTCTTACATATTCTGAAATTCATAATATTTTTATTCAAGTCTTGTAGGAACTAGTAGGAACTGCTGCTACAGTCAGGTATGGTTAAAAGATGGGACAAAACAGAATTTCCACGAGACGAGTGGTCCAGGAAATGTTACGTTGACTTATAATGGAGCAGAGTTTAAACATTGGACGAATAAATCCAAAGCCTGTATTGTTAGGCTTCCCCGAAAAGTATTATTGAAAGTCGAGCTGATTAATCACAACAAAAGTATTATTAAATTTCAAAAATTAGTTATAATTATATATCATTTTTGTATCATTTTTGAACTTCACATAGACTTGAACATGTTGGGAAGAGGTTCATGACTCAGAAAATTCTATAATGACTGCAGAATGAAATGAAAATATGTTTACAAAGTATTATCCAACAACCCAATGTGTAACAAGTTGTCTCTGGAGCATCACTTGACCTCAAAATCTAATAACCTTTCGGGATCTAAACAACAAATCCATGAATCAAAATGTTAATTACTGCCCCAATTGGAAGCAACATTCACATTTTAGACTTTACAATTTATGCTTTACTTTATGCAGTTTTCTGTGACTTAAGATTATAGTTTTGCTCTGACTGGCTCTGATAGTTAGGCTTTATGACCTGTCCTGGATCATTAGTCTTGGGCTAGTCCGGGTACATTCTCAGTCCTGGGTTAAACTTGATTCAGTGCTGGTTTTATTCTGTCAGGTATATAGTGATTAGTGATGGTTGGAGTCAGATGTAGGTCACAGCTGTTCTCCGGTCACATGGCTTCAACACTCTTTTTTCACACTACAGCAAATGAACGGGAGATATTACGCAAATTTACATGTATAATTTTAAACAGATGGTTGTTGATTATCAAAATCTGTGAAGGTGAATACATTAGAGCTGTTATACGTAGGTGCAGTAGAGCAGTCCGCCTCTGTCCGTCTGTCCCAGAAGCCTTCGTTATATGGCTTAGATTGGCTACTTTACCTATAACAGTGGTTCTTTACTTTTTTTTTCTTCTTCTCTTTCTTTCCCGAATGAGTATCAGGGCACAGGTACCCCATTTTGTTCAGGGGGAGGGGATCTTTCTCATACCCCAGGATCAAACTCATTCTTGTCTGGGGCCACTACTGTTGCTGCTTTATTACATTTTCTGATATAACAGAACTTATACTATACAAAAACTAAGGAACGCTTGGAAGGTTTATTGATACATGCGTCCTCAGTTCAGTGTTGAGAACTCAGAATGTATTTACCAACTAATTGTATAGTTGCTTAATTAGGTTTAACGTACCAGTAGTTCATATTAACCTCTTATGTTTGCAGGTTTTAGAAGAGTACCCCGTGTAATACCTACAATTACCCCTAGGGGTGACATGTAGTATAGGAGTGTGGCAATATATCGTTATGGTGATGTATCGTGATACTTTCTCACGCAATCGATTATCGATACGCTTATTATCAATCTTTTTTTAAACTTTATTTGAAAGAAAAAAAAGTATTGATACTCAATATATGGCTACATTACGTATTCTACAATTTCTGTAGAATGTTCATATTGATTTTATTGGATGTAAAACAGATTAAGTAAGATTTTTACTATAATGTGAAAGTTAAAAGGCATTTTTTCTTGTTTACTTTAATGTTACACATGACACTTTATCCATTTATCTTGAAATAAAGTGTATTTTTTCACTTAATTTATGCCATGAATATAAGAAAAATATTAACATAGGTTTATTTTTGACCAATATATTGATAATCGCTGCATCGTCATAGCGTGAGATAATCGTTATCGTGAGCTTTGTATCGCACATCGTATCGTACCCTGAGGTTCCCACCCCTACTGTAGAACTGTTTACAGAGAGTAAGGGAAATCAAGATGCTCCTCATGATGTAGGTTGACCACAATAAATATGACATTATTCTTTTTTCTCTTTCCCTAAAAAACACTCATGGGAGTCACTAAACCAATTGTATGAAGGGGTGATCTATCTGAAAATAATACACTTGAATAATAAAATAAATAATACACTAGGAAAAAACGAAACTTGAGAAATTTGCATAATATAGTATCCAAACTTTAACGCAATATTTAAGAATGTATATTGAGTCCTCTGCTTTCTACTTTGCGCACTCACCTCTGTGTGGCTTTCTCCCTTGATCATGAAATATGCTGATGACATCGTTGGTCTCATCAGTAATAATGATGATTCATAATTACAAAGCAGAGATTAAAAATGTTGTTCAGTGGAGTAAAGATAAAAAACTTCCAGCTGAACACATCAAACACATTTGAACTTGTTTTGTCACCTGCCTGTTCTTGTTGATCACTCCCAAGTGAAAGGTGCAGAGTGCAAGTTTCTGTGCTTAACTTTGCAAATGATTAGAAAAGAGACAAATACACACATCATGCCAACATTTCTTCTCTCTGTAGAAGAAAGTCGCTCTCTAATAACAGATCCTGCTTAACATTTCTTATGCATCATAGACCGCTCGTTGAATTGTGTGGTTCGTCAACATCACAGCCAAAGAACAGAGAGCTCTAAACAAGGTGGTCCACTATACTAATGGAGAACTCTAAACATGGTGGTCCACTATACTAATGGAGAACTCTAAACATGGTGGTCCACTATACTAATGGAGCTCTAAACATGGTGGTCCACTATACTAATGGAGCTCTAAACAAGGTGGTCCACTATACTAAAGGAGAGCTCTAAACAAGATAAGATAAGATAGACTGTATTGATCTCACACTGGAGAAATGTACATGTAAGAGAAACAGTGGAAATCTTTTTTTGTTTTAGTCGTAGTGTAAGGGACTTAAAGTGACTTATTATACAGTCTGACAGTGGTGGGGATAAAGGCCCTGCGGTAGCGCTCCTTCTTGCACTGAGGGTGCCTCAGTCTTCCACTGACAGGACAGGGACCTTGTCCAGGCTGAGGCTCAGGTTGTAGATGTAGATGAGGACCTCAGAGAGCTGGTCTGCACAGGTCCTCAGACCTCAGACGTCCGGTTTCCTGTGGATTTGGAGCTCTAAACAAGGTGGTCCACTCTGCCAAAGAAGAGAGCCCCTGTTGTCCCTCTTGATCTGTGTGGTGTTTGTGGATCTCTGTAACTTTTGCCTCTGTGCTGCGTTCAGGTGCTGTCCGGAATGGCTACACCAAAGGCATGGACGGCTCTTCTCCGGGAGCGGGAGACGGAGAGGGCGAGGGGGACGGCGACGGAGGGGGCGGGGACACAGAGAACCAATGGGAATCCACAAAAGAGGAAGAGGGTGGAGACAACCAATGGGATGAGGAGCTGGACGGGGAACCTGAGGGAGGAGCGGACGGAGCGCGGATGACGAGGACAGAAACTTTACATTCGACCACGAGCTCCACGGGGACCCAGAGGAGGAGGGGCCAGTCACACAAGAAACAGGTGAGGGATGGGGCCGGGCGGGGGGATAATGTAGTTTTAGTTTTAAAAATTGACATTCACCCAGAAAAAGCATGTGGTGGACGCTCAACTTTTCGACATATACATTGTTCTGTGAGTAACAACTAAGTTCTCGCGTTCTTAAGCTAAGTGAGAGCAGCTAACAATTTTTGGCTTCATTACCGGTGAATACAAAATATTTTCCCTGACTTTTTTTTGGCTTTAGATGATGACATAAGATGCTGATTTTGTTCTCTGTTATTGTTAATAATTTTTTATAGCTGTCCCCCTCCAACAGTCGCTTTGGATATGTAAAATAGTTGAGCTCATTTCCCATTCATACATACAAAAAGCCGTTATGCCAGAGAGTTTGAAATGTACGTTTGATGAGGGACTAGATGGTCCCTTTTCAACAATGACAAAGCATGATACTCTTACTGTATATTTTGTTGAGTCAATTTATATTTTTTCTCCTGTCAAAAAAAAGAAAAAAGTGAATCATGAAAAAGTGAGGAATAATCTTGAACTCTTGCAAATTGTTAAGGAATTCACCAGTTATGTTTATGTTCTAAGTCAAATTAGAGAAAGTGGTCCAGCATCTTTGATCTCCTTTAATGGACCAAACTGCATCTTCCAGTTGGAGGATTATGGGATGGTTGTTAGAGTAAAGGCTTTGCTCTTTCTCCAGGTCCAGGGTACAAACCAGGTGCAGAGAGCCCCCAGAGCCTTGTTCTGCCTCCGCCTCAACAATCCCATCAGACAGGCAGCTCTGCACATCGTCGAGTGGAAGTATCCTTCAGTTACTGAAGTTTGTGTTAGTTTTCTGTTGTTCTGCATTATCACTGTTCATCTGAATCTCAAATGTTGTACAACATGGTTTACTGTGTTTTTCTTACTGTCTGAAATTAGAAAGAACAACAAATATCAGAAGAATATCATCTATCATTATTGTGGCTTGAGCCAATCAATGTCATCCTATTGTTTAGAAAATAACTGTACATTTGTTTAGAATCATGGCAGAAGTTTTCCTGAGCCTTTCCTTCCAGACCGTTCGATATCTTCATCCTGTTGGCCATCTTTGCAAACTGTGTAGCGCTGGGCGTTTCCAAACCTTTCCCTGAAGACGACTCTAACTCCACTAACCATGACCTGGTGAGTGATTCTGATCTTCACAAAGGTTCTTAACACCCGAAAACATACCCAAATGTCTTTGCTTTTTTAAATACACATCTTACATGTCACATACTTGTGTGATGCATCAAATTCAAGCTAGAGCGTTCTAGTTTATGTAAATATATACTAAAATAATGTTTGTCATTCTTATTTCACTCTGCATCCTTTGAAGTTTGGGAAAAAACAAAAACATTTTAGCCTCGCCTAAAATGTTCAATTTCTAAAGACCCTAAAAAAGTTCAAACCCTATGTTCATTGTGTTGTTGGCAACAACTGTCTAAAGTTTCAGTAGTTTCAGTTCATCAAGTAGTGCCATTCGGAACCAATTTGGCACACTTTGTGCCGCTCCGAGAGCAATCTCTCTCCCTGCCGTTACGCACGCTTCTACTGACACAAATAAACACAGCACCCCCATGTCCCACCCATTGCTAGAAAGCCTTCCTTATTGGCTACACAAACATGTCAATCATTTGGCAAAAGAACACTTTCCTAGCTGTCTGGCTAACAACAAACACAGTGACCGTGCGCAAAAGGCAGTCGCTTGTTTTATTCACAGAGATGTTACGAACAAAATCGAGCACGAATCTCTTCGGGAGTAGTCTCATTTTGTAGCTAATGAGTTAGGGACAGTGGGGGCGGGTCCCAGCTCAAAAGTGGCCAAAATGACGTTTGCTGACATGCTTGCAATACCACCCCGGGCCGATGGGGGTGGACCCGGAATAAGAATTAGCCCGACCCCACTGGCAGACCTCTCGAATACGTCTTTACAGGATGGTCCAAAAGTTGGCTCTTGGCCCAAAGCTTCCGGGTCCACCCCCACGTTGGTTGGGGAACACAAGCATACCCTGTATGTGGGTGAAAAACAAAGCTAAAAGTCCGTTAACAAAGAAAGAGCAGCCTCTGTGCTTTTTAAGAACTTTTTTTTCGCTAAAGATAAATGCACATTTTTGGAATATTTCTCCAGAATGGATTATACTTCGGGAAATACATGTGAATATTCTTTTTCCGTGGACATTTACGGAGTGAAAGAGCTATAGGAAGCTGAGAGGAGATCTGATTTGTTTATGGAGCACAAGCCCAAAGATCTTTTGTGCCCATATTATGTGTAATATCTTTTGAATGCATAGTGATATTGTTTACACTTGTACATAAATGTAGATAAGAAAATAAGCTTTAAAATGACATACAGATTTTGGGGTTTGGTGTTCAAAATGCATCTGCTATGGCCAGCAGAACATTTTAAAAATGAAAATCGGGCAGGTGGATGTTAAGAGGCTAAATATAAAGAGGGTGAGACAGGTTAGTTTTACCCTACTGATGATGTGCTGTTGCAATAGTAATCCTGTTGGGGATGTTGTAGGGGATGTTAAATGAGAATCATTGATCAAACTTAATAAGAAGAATGATCAAATGTATTTGACATGAATCCTGCTCCACCACAGAATTGTGTGAGCAGAACATCTCCAGATCTGAGTCCGGAGTCAACACCACTGAGAATACTCTTGAATGATACATTGAATCAATTAATAATAGCACCAAACGCACAGAACTAACTGCGTTTCACACTGAGCTGTTTTTGAGTGGCACCTGCACGGTACTGATGGTGATGGACTGATTTTCCAATTAAGATCGAACAGTATTTCACTCAGATTTGACCTTGAGTCAAATGTTTTTCTCTAAATCATTTATTATGCATTAAGCAAAAAGTTAATTGATTAATAAAAAGTAATTGTTTCTATATTCTAACAATTGTTAGCACTTGCCCTTAGCTGTAGAATTTAGCCCTTATAGTTTGGTTTAAAGTAATTAAGTAAATAATATTTATTTACATAGCGCCTTTCACGGACCAGAGTCACAAAGCGCTGCACACAGAGATGGAAGGAGGCACCTTTGCCATTATTTGGCAGGTGCAGCCTCCACAGCGGAGAGGAAGTCAGTCTGCTTTCTGAGAATGAGACACAATTAAAAAAACCACAATTCACAATAACCTGTATAAAGACTTGTGTAGGTTGAAATAAATTGTTTACATGTATCTATGCCTATTATAATATTTTAAAATAATTCCTCCCTCTTTGTTCTTTTTATTGTTAATCCATGCTCTCAGTGTCCATATGTTGTCAGTGATGCTAAGGCTAAGCTAACCCTTCCTCTCCATAGAGCTGGGGTCTACAGTATGATTGACAGGTGGAGGATGAGGGTTGATCAGCTGAGTTCTGATTGGATCACGCTCTGATAACTCTCTCTCTCCTGTGCTTCTGTGTGAGTGAGTGTCTCTCGCCCATCCTTCACAGAGATGCTGTTGTGTGAGGTGACAGTGTGACATGCGAAATAAACGGAGAGGTTTCCGCACTGCTACTTCACCAGTCTCTGCTGTTACTACTTTTGATCAAACTATTATGTTGTGTTTATAGGATAATCCAAATAGAATCAATAACTTAATCTAATTAACCACAAAAAGATCAACATTTCTTTAGTAATTGCTTTTTTAGAAGTAGTTATAAATGTCTTCATAAACTAACAACATACATATAAGGCTTTTCTTGTACATCTGCATCTACATTACTTATTTATATGTGTCTCCAGATAATCATAGTTTAAATCATAGTTTACCCTTTCTGCACAAAAGTTTGAAGTAGAGTTTTTCTTAATTAAAAAATCCAATGAACATGATGTCCATAATATTTATGTTCATGATTATCCAATCACAGAACAGGAGGAGGAAATTCAGACTAATCTATTTTATAACAGAAGAGATCTCAAACAAAAAATAGTAGCGCACAACTTTTTGCCAATACAAAAATAAGAAGCCAAATGTAATGCACAACGTTTGTACCATTTCTAGCTAAACCCCAGCAGGTGGATTGCATCAGTAATCAGAGTTGAGGAGCTGCATGTGTCACAGGCAGCAGGATTCTGGCTTCTCTGTGTTGGATTATTCCTCCATCTCTATTATAATGTGTCCAACTCTGCTTCATATCTAACTTCTGACTATATACTCCGGAGCCTAAAGGGTAAAAATAATATGTATAAATGTATAAAACATAAATCAAGAATTAAACTACATATTGCAATCTATATAGTTATATGTTTTAGTGTCCATCATAAAAGTTAGTGCTACTGAAAATGAGTTTTTGTGCATATTCAGATCAGTTCATTCGTCATTTGAAAACCACATTGGAATATCATTCAAAAACACAAATAGAGAACACAAAACCTAAGATGGACAAACACACAGGAACATGTATTATTATTACTATATTTAACTGAATGAAAAAACAATGATAGTTCAAAGGAGTTTTGGACATTTGAACATTTTGGAAAATTCACAATTATCTGTTTTAACATTTGAATATTTGGCGTGGCCTGAATCGCGTTTGTAAAGTGGTCCGTCGAAGGCAAGTGCACAGAGGCAGTGGGATGCTGTGATCGCAGAGACAGAGAGATTAGAGTTAATCTGAGAGATGCTCTAGATTCTGTTCAGCAGGTCACAAACACACTCTGATACTATACTGGGCATGAAACACTGATTTAGCTCCGAGTGAAATGTGTCCAGAAATAGCTCCTAAAATGACCTCCCAACAAAATGTCTTAATTACTATCATTTTAGATAGACTGCATTCATACATCAAAATCCAACATGTGTTCTTATGGTTGTCAAAACGTGACCTCAGATCGCAGAAGCTAAGCAGGGCGGGTCTGGTCATTGCCTTGATGAGAGATTGCTGGGAATACCAGGTGCCACAGTGGCTCTGTGTCTTTAAGCAAGACACTTCAAACTGGATTACCTTAATTTTGTTTTGTTTCATTAGGTTAGGTTCTTTTTTTAGCACAAAGAAAATACATTGCCAGAAAGAATTTTGTTTAAAGATGCAACTCAAACTGTAGTTCAAATACTGAATAATTCCAACCATGGGACACTGTACTATTATATACAGTCAATATTATTTAGAAAATCTATGACCAGGAATATTCATTGGAGGAGAATAGTAAAACCTTTAACAAACGGGAACCGGGATTTGAATTCCTTTCAACCAATCAGGATGCTTGTCTCAAAAAAGTTTAATTCTCTTTAAGTAACATTCTGTGAACAAATCAAACCACAATATACTGTCTAAATTATAAAGTTAATATCACACATAACTTAGATTATTTGTTTGATATTGCCTTACTGGATCAAACTTAAACTATTTCAATACATTGATATTAGGTTTATTTTGGGGAAACAGTGAGTGAACAAGTTTAGCGCCACCTACATGAAATTTCAGCGGGCCCGCTGTGAAGTGAAGAGTTTTTTAGGACCGGACTGTGGATAGCTAGCCATAGCTCTCTGTGGTGTGGGGAGGTTCTGGTGCTGGTTCAGTATTCATCCAGTTTGATCCTTATGCTTCAGGAACAACAGGAACATGTTCATTCTGTGCTGGTTCAGGCCGACTCAGAAGATGAAACAGTTTTGCCGCTTCTTTTATCCTCCGTTTTTCTCTGGAGCTCCCCCATGCCCTTAAGTCAAAAATCTTATTACTAAACAACTGATCTCTTACATGTGAAAACTATAGAGGGAAAGAAAAGAGAGCTAGGAACTAGTTACATGGATCTGATCACATTGGTTTTTTTTTCGGTTTCAAAGTTATACTCCAGCTTTAACTCACATTGTCTTGTATGTTTCGGTGACAGAATGATTGGTGATGGTCGGAGGGTAATAATATGTCTTTGAGTGTCCTACAAAGTGCCATATTAAAGCGATGCATTCTTATTGATACAATAATACGTTTTACTTTATTTATCTATTCCCACAGAAAGCTGTTTAAATGCCCTAAACTTAACTGGTACTGGTGCTATTCTTGGTTCGATTGCATTGATTGTAACAATAACATTCAGATACAGACATATCAATTATAATCAGAATTGAACATTTGGCTCTGCCCTGATGCAGAATACCAGTTCTCTGTTTGTTTTTCAGTCCTGGTCTACAGCAGGATCACAGCTGAATTGACCCTTTTTGTGTTTTGTGTTTAACAGGAGCAAGTGGAGTACGTCTTCCTGATAATCTTCACTATCGAGACTTTCCTGAAGATCCTGGCCTACGGTCTGGTCATGCACCCGAGTTCCTACATCAGAAACGGATGGAACCTGCTGGATTTTGTCATTGTCATTGTCGGGTAAGAAACCGCTGTGGGTTTGCACTGATCCCAGGCCTTTTCTGCTGTAAATGTTTAAACAACTCGGCTGCATTTCCCCAGGAGACATGCTTCAGCGCTGAGACATTCATTATCATAATTAATCAATAAACGGCTTTTTGGTTTAGAGCCTGTGGAAATAGTTGACCTTTTCTCTAATTATAGCTTCTAGTGACCCACTGTTCTACTGTTTAAGAGCAATTAAATGATAAATGAGTCAAAAGAATGTACAGTTCCAGTTCCATTGTTTGTCACAGTCGACAGCGACTGATGGAGCTTATTTCAAAACTCAAACACATAGTTTCTTTTAAGACTATTTCTAAGATGATTTTTGCAATTTCTATGTTAGAATTTCTAAAGCAATATTACACACTTATTTGTCAAGTCATTTGTATTGTCTTTTACTGTGCCCTACAAACAGTACATAGAGAATAATTTCAACTTACTTTCACTGTCAATGTGTAGATGTTTGCGTGTGCTCAGCAGAATGTCATATTGAATCAGTCAGCTGTAAGAATATATATGTCACATCAGCTGCTTGTAACAATCTCTTGATTAAAGGTGCAACTTATCAATGGGGTCTGCCACCTGCTTGTTGCCATGGAGATGTTATTGTTTTGTGTGCCTCTCACTACAGTATCAAGTGTATACATGTATTATAGATGTTTTTACTGCTCAAAAATCTTATTTAGTAAAGGCACTCGCTTGTCTAAAAGCAAGAAGCCTCCTTCTTCTCTGTCCCCACCATCTGGAACTCACTGCCCTCTGTAACTGCACTGGCAGAGGGCAAACGTGAACTTTTTTATTCAACAGATCAAAAGATCGAAACCCAACTGTTCAGAACAGACTTCAGATAGACGTGACCAAAATATCTTGTGAGCTTCTCTAGCTTGGGGTTGGCAGTCTGCTGGTCATAATAGTAGTTATTATAGTAGTTGTAGTAGTACTTGTAGTGAGACAAAGAATAGTATTTCCAGTGATGTGCGCAATTGGACACATTCAGGGCACATTATGGCCACACAGCTGGTGTTAACTCCAGTCTCTGAGTCATAATCGCCATTTCTCTGTGTGGCTGGAAGGCTGGTGCCCAGGTTCCCCTCAAAACAGGTGGACTCTAAAGTGTCAGATGCTCAGATACAATCAATCTTAATGTGAGACTAGTTCTTCCATATAAAGAGCAACATTAGAATCCAGTCCTCAGCCTGCACCTGGCGAGAAGCACGTGTTATCTGGCAGCCTCTGAACTGTGAGAATACATTTTATCAGTGCAGTAAAATGATTTGTATTTGTATGTTTCTATATCATTCACAAACACACAAAAATCAAGGTTAGATGCTTATTAAGTGACAAAATAGAGAACAGGACTGCTTCACATGACGTCTCGTCTGATTGTCTTCCAGTATTATGCAAAATGATTTTCTTTCTGTTATTGTTAATAATCTTGGAAGCTACATCTTAGTTACTGTATATTCTCTGGTGTAACACATATTCTGATGTTCTGAAGCCACACACACCATGTATGAATATCCCAAATCCAGACTTCTAATGCAGTCCCATTCTCTGTATTCGTATTTTTGTGGCAGTACTTTCCATTGGCGTCTCTTTGTATCATTTCAAATGCACAAGATATCATTTGATAGCCGTAAACGCAGCCAGCAGTCTGTGCGGAGTCCTGACTCTGTCCGAGTTAGCATCATCTTCTCACTGTAAGCAAAACTAAACTGTGGTGTTAGACTAAGTGTATTTCAAAGGATCAAGTCTGTGGCTCTGAAAGTCTCGGTGAGGGTTTGTTAGTTGTTGTGAAGATAAATCTGAATCTGAAAGTTCACTGATGTTGTCTGCTTTGTTTGAATGTACTTACCGTACCTACTTATTCCACCAAACCTTTTGTGGCAGTGTGGGGCCTGTTGATATGGAGTTTTTAGGTATCCTCCGAGTGCTCCGGTTTCCCCTTCAGTCTGTGAAGGAGCAGACGAAGTGTGTGGTGACGTGACCTATGGTGTTTTACTTTTCTCAGAAGAAGCAACAAGAGTGAACTTTGTTCTGGTTGGCCAATTTTGTGGAGGGAAAGAACCCAATTGGTTAGTTATGAAGGTCCATATGTGGATGTACAAAGACATTATTAAAATAAAAAACAAAAGGATCATTTAGAGATTTCTAACTCCAAAGTGGTGAGTCTGACACAAACGGAAACAGAGCAGGAGTAGTTTCCTTTGAAAGAAAATTAATGAGAAAAGAACTCATGGTTAAAAACTCAACCATACGCACTTCCCGATTAGAGCTGGCAGCATTGTCCGTCCCTACAGTTTATTTCCCAACCACTAAAAGTAGAACTGGTTATTAGAACAAAGGACAAGCTGTTTTTTTCAGAATAAACCAATACATGGCATTTGCATGTTAACCTTTTGTTGTGCTTTATATCCAGGCTGTTCAGCGTGGTTCTGGAAACCATGACCCATAAGTCCGGGGAACAGACCCATCACATGCCGGGGAAGCCAGGAGGACTGGATGTGAAGGCCCTACGAGCTTTTAGAGTCCTGAGACCACTGAGACTTGTGTCAGGTGTACCCAGTGAGTACAACTATGAATACTATTACTACATTTATACCTCTGCTGTTCCTCTGCTACCTCCAGTCGAGAGTATTTGTCTTAAAACAATGATCGGACATGAACATAACTTCTGACATTTTGGAGGGTTGCAGTACTGATGGAACCAAATTCTCGATAGAATCTCTTCACATTTGAATTTCTGCTTCAATCTATCATGATGTTTGTGTTCCTAATTGTACCATTTTTCTCAGGTCTCCAGATTGTTCTGAACTCCATAATGAAGGCCATGGTTCCTCTTTTGCACATTGCTCTGCTCGTCCTCTTCGTCATTATTATCTATGCTATCATTGGACTGGAGTTGTTCATCGGGCGGATGCACCGGACCTGCTACTACATCGCCACAGGTAACGTTAACCTCTAATGTAGAAACATGTTTGCAGCGAGTCTATTGATGGCTGTTACTGACAACAAATGTGTATTGTACATTCTTTTTGTTGTCAGACAGGGGTAGGTGAAAACTAGGGTGACCAGAGGTCCCTCTTTACCTGGGAATCGAGACAGTCCCAGTTTTGAGCTTCGTGTATCATGTCCCAGCAGTTTGTTTGTCCCTTTCACTCTGTTTGCCCAATTTGACACCTGCCAACATTGGATAAATATCATGTTTAGAATGTTCAATTTAATCATTTATAACTGTAAACAGTGCTTTGAAAGACATGCTCTATTAAATTCAATGCTTCCATACACCTTTATTTGAAACACATTCACTTGAAGTTATTGTACTTCAGATTCATTTTATTTGCCATTTGCAGTAAAACCACATTGGAATAGTTTGTGTGAAATATTTTGAATTAAATTTTGACTCGCATGATATTTGAGACTTTCGTAAGTGGTGTTATTGTTTGTCCCTCACAGACACGTATGTGGAGGATGACCCGGTCCCGTGTGCGTTCGCGGGACACGGCCGGCAGTGCATGGTGAATGGGACCGAGTGCAGGGGGAGGTGGGACGGCCCCAACGGGGGAATTACAAACTTCGACAATTTCTTCTTCGCCATGTTAACTGTGTTTCAGTGCATCACCATGGAGGGCTGGACGGATGTGCTGTACTGGGTGAGTGTTGGAGTCGTGGATCTGAAACACGCTGGAGACAGTGTTGTGCTGTATACTGTAAGTTAGACATGTGACACACTAAATTGTCCCAAATTTAAAGTTTTTTTTAAGTTTTTAACCATGTTACAGTGTTATTCCCTCATGTTGATTTGTTGTAGCTCTGTCAATTCCACACTACTATCATGATGTTCCTGTACAAATATGTCCCCCTGTTCCTTCTGTACAATTTCTCCTATTTCAAACTTGGAATGAATTGATGGATCCCTAGACTGCGATGGACGGAGACGTTTTCTGCCTGTTAAAATTTCCTTTTTTACAATTCCATGCCTTTATTCACACCTCACAATGTGTGTCTAAAACATGTCTAAAACATGAAACACAGTCCAAGATGAACACAGACACTGATATATTTGGTCTCCATTGTCACAAACCTCCTCAGCCTGGAACTAACTCTGTTTTCTCCCTTTCTTAGATGAATGATGCCATAGGCTTTGAGTTGCCCTGGGTGTACTTTGTCAGCTTGGTGATTTTTGGCTCTTTCTTTGTACTGAACTTGGTTTTGGGAGTCCTCAGCGGGTTCGTATTGCTTTTAGTGAACTATTTTAAAGTTTAGATCATAAATAAATACTCTTTTAATGGGAGCATTACTTGTCTTGTAGAGAGTTCAGTAAAGAGAGAGAAAAAGCCAAAGCTCGTGGAGACTTTCAGAAGCTGCGGGAGAAGCAGCAGATGGAGGAGGACCTGTGTGGGTACATGGACTGGATCACACAGGCAGAAGACATGGACGAACTGGATGAAGATGGACATCCAAGTGAGTCCAGAGTTTTGTCTTGGTTTAGATTTGGCTTTCTGTACTTGAGTTCAAACTGGTTAAATACCAGGTTTTTCTATTTTGACTTTTTTTTGACTATTTTGACTTATTTTGGTTGAATGACACAAATAGGGTGGTGAACAGAAAAAGTAAAAAAGTAAGACATTTTCACAAAGTAGAGCAGCATTCTAGAACTGATTACCGCTAACAATAATTTTAATCATAAGTATTACATGGTTGCCTGCAGACTTCCCTTGTATGATGTCATCCAACTCAACCAGGAAGTGACATTATGAAGCTAAATATATGGTTAAACTGTGTTGAAATTTGTACAATAATTTTCTCAAACGTCATGATGTGATTTGTGAAAGTGAAATCTATGATACGTACTTTCAGCCCTAGTTTGGTCTCGTAATGTTTGAATAAGCTTGAGCGATATTTGGTTTATTTGTTCAAAATGTGCAAGGTGAAGTTTGTAACGGTTTGTGTTTGTCAGATCCGTCTTTAGGTGACTTATCCGATAAGAAGAGAGGAAGTAAGTTTGGGTGGTTCAGTCACTCCAATGAGACCCACGGTGAGTCTGAACCTTTACATTCTTCTATTATAACTGAGAAATGTGCCAATGATATCTCCAATTTAATGAATGAGCAGCTTGTCCATAATATGTTGAAGTTGTCGAGTGCAAGTGTTAAAGTGATTGTCTGGAGTTTGTCAGAAAGAGAGACAGAGAGGTGCTTGATTTGAAAAAAACGACGCAAGCTCCCTCCCCCTTCCTTTCTGATTGGTCTACATCTACGTTTCCGTAACACTTTGAAATGTTAATCAGAGAACACATAATACATATACATTATTAATACACATGCACGGAGGTTTTCAGAATTATTTGTTAACGTTTTAATGAAAAAAATAATGTTTTTATGCACAAAAAAAGCGATCGCGGCAAACCCGGAACAAGCTATTATCATGAATTGCACATTATAGGACACATCTGCAGAGGATCTGTTTATGGATGTAGGTTCAGTATATAAATGATTATGGATATAGGTTCAGTATATAAATGATTATGGATATAGGTTCAGTATATAAATGATTATGGATATAGGTTCAGTATATACATGAGTAGCTCAGCGCAGATGTTTTCATGTAGCCTAATAGAGGCTTGATTCGGAGGTTCCGCAAAAACAAACAACTGAGCATGTGTGCAGCTGCGAGCATCAGCGCCGATGATTGACAGCCCTTGGCATGACTCGATTGGTTAACCTCGACGGCATCGTGGATTCTGAGCTATGGCTAAGAGAAGGGAAGGCGGGACTTGCCCGTAATATTAGAATTAATAAAAGGACTTATTTTATAACAACATTTAAGACCAGGAGGTCAATTTAACACATTTCCTAAAATGTGCAATTCATTAGAGTTACAGACTATCACTTTAAATGTTTTGATAACTGTTTGAAGTTTTATTGTACTGTATGTTATTTTTGTGCAGCGAGTTTGCCAGCGAGTGAAACAGGCTCCGAAAACACAGAGAACATTGATGAGGAGCATTACAACTGCTGTCAGGCCTGCTGGTAACTCACTATCTCTACAGTCAACCACCATTTCTATTACTACATTGATAACAGCAAGACAAATATACAGACATTAACTGTTTTAACTTAAGTTGTCTTACCTTGCTTAACCCAATTAACAAGGCAAAATGTGGAAGATCAACTATGAAACTATGAAAATAAGGGTGAAAGTTACATTTACAAAAATACATAAAATACAGAATATATTACAACTGCGATTATTTTGATTGTATCTTTCTTGTTTTGTTAAGCACTTTGACAAGTCTGTGTGAAATGTGCTATACATATAAACTTGTCTTGCCTTATACACTGGATATGCATCTTCAGAATCAAGATGTGTTGTTGCTATAATTGATAATATTATCATTTTTCAGTATCAATATAAGTAGTTTGAGTTTGAGTTTGAGTTTATTTATTTAAGTGTCATGCACAAAAGTGCCCAGCCCACATGGGCTTATATGACACTGAACAACAACATCTGATGGCTACAGACCATATACAGACCATATACAGACATGAAAAACAGAAAAAGATTTACAATTTGGTGCATTATCCAGGGTACAGAATCTGTTGTCTCCTCTCCCGGGCTTTAGCAACAAAAGAAGCAAAGGCAAAAACTTCATGGCAATACATCCAGTTCATAATTTCTCCCTCAGGCCACCAAAAAACCTCCGGGTTAGAAGCATTCACTTTTTCAAATAAAATGTTTCGATATTCAAAGTAAAGTGGACAATACAAAACAACTAAGTAGTAGTATTTAGTGTCTGTTGCTGAAAACAATCATAATCTTCCTTGTTTTAGTCCTGTTCTAATTTCAAATATGTTCTTCTGTAATTTCAGTGCCCGTATGATGAAGATCCCCTGCTGGTGAGTGTGCACGTTCAAAACTCTCAAATCTTCACAAATCCAACTGTATTTTTTGTTGCAGTCGAGTTTTCCGTCGATGGAACCGCGTGTGTCGCAGAAACTGTCGCACGGCGGTGAAGTCCACCACGTTCTACTGGCTGGTTCTGCTGCTGGTGTTTCTGAACACGTCCCTCTCTGCCTCAGAACACTACGACCAACCGGAGTGGCTCACACAACTGCAGGGTACGATCTCACACTATGACAAAATATTAAGATAAATACTACAGTTAGGGCTTCGTTTGATCCAGGTGCCAAAGTGAAATAGATCCCTGGTTTAGTTTTCCAGGAAATGGTGATTGTAAATCCCATTTTAAAGCGTAATACTTTTGCACAATGAGCAAACGCCCTTGAATGAGGCCCTTTGGCATTTAGCCATTGACTTTGATAAATTGAATTGAATTGAACCAAGCTAGCTCCATTTCCTTCCTTGATTTTTTGATCAAATCAGACCACAACCTGCAGTCTTCCTCTCATAAAGAACACTGGAGTCTTTCTTGCATTTTTGTAAGAAAGAGCCCTGTGAGTCACTTTGTTCCAATTTAAGCTGTTAATTTTTCTGAAAAAGCTGATCTAGGCAAGGCAAAGCAAGGTTTATTTGTATAGCACAATGCATACACATGGCAACTCAAAGTGCTGAAAAAAACGAGACAGAATAAATAATCACTGTACAGGAAAGATAAAGATAAAACCCCTCGGCTGTATGCACAGCTAAACAGAACTGTTTTTAACCTGGTTTTAAACATTGTCAGAGAAGAACCTGTTTCACATTTTCAGAAAGATTGTTGCAAATTGTTGCTGCATTAATCTGAAAAGCAGCCTCCCCATGTTTAGTTATGACTCTGGGCACTAACAGGAGTCCAGTCCCTGTGCTCCTCAGAGTCCGGGTTGGTTCATATGGGACTAACATGTCACTAATATATTTTGGTGCGAGGCCATGGAGAGACTTGTAACAAGCAGAGCTGTTTTAAAGTCTATTCTCTGAGCCACAGGAAGCCAGTGCAGAGACCTGAGGACTGGACTAATATGATAAGTCTTCCTGGTTCTAGTCCTCGAGCTGCTGCGTTTTGAATACAGTATACTGCAGCTGATTTCAGAATTGCAACAAAAGCCAAAAAATAAAACTAAACCAGAGCAAGAAACGTGTTATATTTAGTTCAATTATGTGTGATTTGTGTGACCTGAACTTTAAACTTTATTACGATATTCTTTTCTCGTTCTCTTCAGACATTGCAAACAAAGTGCTCCTCTCCCTGTTCACTGTGGAGATGCTGTTGAAGATGTACAGTCTGGGTCTGGCTCATTACTTTGTGGCGTTTTTTAACCGGTTCGACTGTTTCGTGGTGTGCGGCGGCATCATGGAAACCATTCTAGTGGAACTGGAAATCATGCCTCCCCTCGGCATCTCTGTGCTGCGCTGCGTCCGGCTGCTGCGAATATTCAAGGTCACACGGTAAAGAACGGTGACAACCCACATCACATTTGTCAATTACGTATATATTTACAGCCATACAACTTTATCGCACATTTTAGTGTCTTATATGCTGAAAAAAGAAAATGAATGGTCAAATAATGTGTTTACTATTTGTTATATCCTTGTGTAAGACCTTTGTTTGATTGATTTCAATCTGTAAGAACAAGTTTGTTACTACAAGAAAATATTTAAAAATCAAAAAAAGCATAACACACTCAAAAATATATGTTTCAGCCATCTGTTCATTAGATCATTCTTTTCTCTATTTTGTTCCACAAGCAACTATATCACTTGTCAAAAGTCTATAGAAAAGGTTATACATATATTGCAAGCTTAAGCGCAAATTCAGAGTGGAAGACCTGAGAACCCAGCTCTGAGCGCTCCTCCTGCTGTTGCCCACAGCAACAGCAATCAGTCAATCACACTCAGCTGTGCAGCGCCTCACGCAAATCCTCACCTGCAGCAATCAGGCACTGCTCGCATCGGCTTCATATCACCCAGAAGCTCCATCCAAGCAGCAGCTTCATTCACGCTGCAACCCTCCTCCTCCTCCCCATCTCCGCCTTGTTCTAGGCCAGCTCCTTCATCCTTCTCCTAGCTACCACCACCAGGGTCTAGGCCCTGGTGGATTCTCATCTCTTTCCCCTTCTGCAATCGTGCAGTGCTCTGCCGGGGTCTAAGCGCCAAATCACAACCACATTCTGTTCAGCACAATAAATGCAATCTTGAAAATATTGGGCCTCATTCACGAACGGTTCTTAGGAACAGACTTGTACGTAAATCCTACTTACGAGGTTTTTACGAATAAAGTGGCATTCACGAATTTTTCTCGTAACCAGAATTTCTCTTGGGCAAGTACAAATCCTACGAGTCCTCAGGAGCACTCGTACGCATTCAGTGCCGACATATTCACACGCCGGGGTTGTCCTCTTTGGTGAAGTTTAATAAAAATACAACATTCCAGTGATATTTCCGTCATATCGATGTATGTATTTATTTATTTGTAGTAATCTTTATTAGTCATCTTTATTTATATACCGCTTTTTTCACTGCAGCTCTGGCCTACTTTTTAATTCATTTTGAAATGAAATGTGCCAACGCTTTCTCAAATACATTGGAAATCTTGCCGTGTATTAGTGACCCCTTCCTATTTATAGGGGGCATTTCTTTATCCACGGGCCACAGAACAATTATATACTGCTGCTGCAGGAGGTTACTGGGTCCGCGCTGAGTCTCTGCGCTGGTCTATACGGGTCTGCACTGGTCTCTCCCATGGATCTATACGGGTCTGCACTGGTCTCTCCCATGGATCTATACGGGTCTGCACTGGTCTCTCCCATGGATCTAGACGGGTCTGCACTGGTCTCTCCCATGGATCTAGACGGGTCTGCACTGGTCTCTCCCATGGATCTAGACGGGTCTGCACTGGTCTCTCCCATGGATCTATACGGGTCTGCACTGGTCTCTCCCATGGATCTAGACGGGTCTGCACTGGTCTCTCCCATGGATCTAGACGGGTCTGCACTGGTCTCTCTCCATGGATCTACACGGGTCTGCACTGGTCTCTCCCATGGCTCTAGACGGGTCTGCACTGGTCTCTCCATACGGGTCCGTGCTGCATGCTCCTGGATCCATACGGGTCCGCGCTGGTCTCTCAAGTCTGGTCTATGCGGTCTATCTTCGGTCCGCGCTGGTCTCTGCGCACCGGTCTCTCCAGTCAGGTCACTCCAGTCTATGCGGTCTCTCCTATAGGTCCGCGCTGGTTTCTGTGTGCTGGTCACTCCAGTCTCTCCTCGGGTCTGCATTGGTCTCAGCGCTGGTCCGCGCTGGATCTCCTCCCAGGGTCCAAAATATTTTGAGATTAATCTCAAAACATTGAGATTCATCTTTAAAATAATACATAATATATTTTTAAATTAAGCTCATAACATTTTGAGATTAATCTCATCATATTCTTAGATTAATCTCATAATTTTGCTAGTTCGACTTTATTTTCATAATATTTCGACTTTTAAGTCAACATTTTATAACTTTATTCTCAGTCTGGCAAAAGAAGAAAAAAGGGTGACTCTTTTGCTCCGTGTAACTCTTTGCTTTAGGCCTGTTGCTGTTTCCTCTGGCGTCTGCACACGGCCCTGCAGTCCCTTATATGGGCATTAGTGGGCGGTTACTTATGCTAAGTACCTATGCTAATGAAGCACCTGGCACGCGCGCTCTACTTACGAGGAAATGGGATTCATCAATCTAAGAGAACAGCTGCGAACAATTCAGCGGCTTACGAGTGCGTTGATGAATCCCACGTAGGGACTTCTTAGAAATCTACTTAAGGACAACTTGAGAAGAAATTTGAGAAGTTTCTTACAAAGTTATTCGTGAATGAGGCCCATTGTCTTTAGTGTCATGTGTAATTCATGCAGTGTCAGATTATCTGCCAATCAACATACAATTCTAATACTATGTTTTGCCTGTTCGAGTCTCTCCAGATTGAAATAAAGATACACGTCTGGAGTGGGACGAACTAAAAGAAATCAGCAGGAACACATAATTTTAAACTTCTTGTTAGTCTTACTTTCATGTAGCGAGACTAAATAATAGAAATTAAATTAAACAAACAGAACAGATTATCTTTCAAACTAAGCCATTTTTAGTAAGTAATCTTTATTTAATAATCTTTATTTATATACCACCTTTTCACTGCAGATCTGAGTCTCAAAGCGGTTTACAATTGTAAATTTTTTTTTGGGCATTTGTCTCTCACTCCACACAGAGATGGGAGCGGGGTCACCAGTACAGGAGGCGCATGCCAGAACTATTGGACATATTTTTAGTGGTAGGGGAAACCGGAGTACCCGGAGGAAACCTACGCAGACACGGGGAGAACATGCAAACTCCACTCATAAAGGCCCTGGTCCGACCGGGATTCGAACCCAGGACCTTCTTGCTGAGAGGCGAGAGTGCTATCCACTCAGCCACCGTGTTTTCATAATTCATAAAAATCCATACTTTTATTCTTACATGAACATAATTGCTTTAAGTGCTTTAAACCCAGGCTAAAGTTATACATAATTTGATAACGCAATTAGCACATTAGATGAAACCTTCCATGACCAAAATGCTGAATTACCACAAGCTTCTTTAGAGTGTAAAAATTGCTGTCTGGCTATAACAATAAAGGCAGTGCAATTGGTCTGTCCAATGTTACTGTGTTCAAACTATAATAATAAAATAAATAAACAATTACATTAATACATACATAAATAAATAAATAAGTAACACTTAAACTAACTCACTGTGAACTGTGTATCTCTGCCGTAGACACTGGACGGCCTTATCGAACCTCGTGGCTTCTCTGCTGAACTCCATGAAGTCCATTGCGTCGCTGCTGCTGCTGCTCTTCCTCTTCCTCATCATCTTCGCTCTGCTCGGAATGCAGTTGTTCGGAGGGAAGTTTAACTTTGACGAAACTCAAACCAAACGGAGCACATTCGATGCCTTTCCTCAGGCCCTGCTCACCTGTTTCCAGGTAACATTCACAGACCGTCTTTATAGTTTGGCCTCCTACAAACCATAAACAATCTCTTCAGAAGAGACTTGTGGACAGAGGAATCCTTCTTTAGCTCACTGCAGTCGCTTTTTTACTCTGAGCTTGACTGTGAACTATACATGTACTTTAGCAATTTTACGTTTCAATTTAGATTTTGTGTTTATTCAAGTCAAGGAAGTGAAAGAAAAGCTTATCAAAGGGGTCTGACAATGCAGATCTATAAGTTTATGATGATTATGAAGTTGATTAAAACAATTTGTAAAACATTGTACACAGCCATATTTAGAGATCCCAGTAATTATTCAATCCACACAAGTTACCAAATACATCTGAGTCTTAAATACTTCCTGCTTCCTCCTAAACATCAGGACCAACATCCTCCTTCCTGTTTGCAGATCCTCACCGGAGAGGACTGGAACGAGGTCATGTACGATGGGATCATGGCGTATGGAGGACCAGTGTTTCCTGGAATGATCGTTTGTGTTTACTTTGTGATTCTCTTCATCTGCGGAAACTGTATCCTCCAACACTGGGACGGAAGCTACTTTCTGTGGAGAAAGTGGAACGTCAAAATCCCCCCGTGTTAAATCCCTTCCTGTTCGTGCTTTTATTACACTTCCCCAAAGCAAACCATAATCCAGCAGGACATTTGAATGAAAAACATACTGAACCGATCTTGAAATAAGACGCTTTCAATCATGTATCCTAGAAATTACTACCTTATACTCAATAGTTTTGCAGTGTAGGACCTACTTGACCTGGTTAGAACAAGACTAAGTGGGGCTGGTGGGGCTTAAAGCTGGGCTACTTTTTTCTCATAATTAATACGTTTGATTTGTTTCAACAGAGTAAAAAACCTGTAAAAATAAAATGTTGTGAACAAATCAGACCCTGCTATCAGACCCTGAGTCCAAGTCTAATTAAACCAGTCAAATGTTTTTTCATAATTTTTACTACTTAATAATGTTATTTTTGAATTATTACGGTCCTTATAAATGACTCAGATATTCTACTGAACGTGTTCTTGGCCATCGCGGTGGACAATTTGGCCGGAGGAGACAGCGACAACAAGAAGCCGGAGTCAGTCGTTAATCTAAACAAAGAAACAAATAATACTTCAGGAATGTTTTGTATGTCTTTCTCACGATGTGTATTTCCTGTTTACAGAGAGAAGAAGGAGGAAGGAGAGGAAGAGGCTGCAGAGGAAGAGGTCAAAGTGTGTAATTATGTTCTGTCATGTTTGAGAAAATCAAAGCTGTCCATGTGTTGGTGAAGGCCAGTGACATGTATCCAAACTCATCAGGTGGACATAGATGAAGACACGGAATATGAGGAAGAGGAGGAGATTCCCGAAGGAGAAGAGGGTGAGTTCATTTTGATTGAATGTAAGAATATTCCACTCTATATGTGGCTGGTATTTAACTATTTTGGCGCAGATGCAGGTGTGCAGTTAAAGATGCCGGACCTGACTCCACCCAAAGAGAAGGTGGTTCCAATCCCAGACGGCAGCGCATTCTTCTGCCTCAGTAAAACCAACCCGTACGTATTGTCCAAGACTGCAGCGTGTGTGTGTTTGTGTGTAAGTGTGTAAAGGTTTGTGTGTGTGTGTGTGTGTAGGAGCAGATGATTCAAAAGACCATAGATTAGAGATCTCCAACCTTTTTCCCCCAAATGAACAATAGCAATTTTTTTATGAGGTTAATTAAGGTTCCTAGATTTTCAGAAAGGGCCTCAGACACTCCTGCATCAATAAGAAAAAAAAAGAGAGAGACAAAAAGAGAGAAACAGACAAACCTCGAGCAGAGACAGGCTGGAGATCCTTTACAGAGGGCACCTTCTCGGATTCAATTGCTTTTTCTTGCCACTGTCTGTTGGGCTGAGGGTATTTCAATTTGGAGAGACGTGAAACAAGAAGCTTTTGAGTATTTTATTTAGGAGGAGGTTTTGGCGCCCTAGGCCCCGGTGCGGCCTTCAGAGCGGAGGGCCTCCATGCGAAGGAGCGTGCCAATCCCCCGGGACCTAGGCACTGGTGGCGGCATTTGGCAGCGGGAAGCAGATTGAAGGCGGATTGAAGGCAGGGTGAAGAGGAGGAGGAGGGGAGGCGGTGGTTGCAGGCTTCGAGAAGGCAGAGAGTGGGAGTTTCTCCGCTTTTAAGCGGCTTGCCTGGCCGGTGCGGTGATTGGAAGGGGCGTTTGCAGCGCGATAGGCTGGGGATGAGAACCGGCCTGGAGGGGTTACCTTTGGCTGACGTCTACCAAATTGAACTTTCGCTGGCTGCATTTCAATTTGGAGAGACGTGAAACAAGAAGCTTTTGAGTATTTTATTTAGGAGGAGGTTTTGGCGCCCTAGGCCCCGGTGCGGCCTTCAGAGCGGAGGGCCTCCATGCGAAGGAGCGTGCCAATCCCCAAAAAGCTGTGTTGATGGAGTTTTTTGCAGCCTGGTTTGGAGGGGACAGAACGACGAGACTACTCTATGCTGTGACCGCTATCGCTATATGCTGTGACCGCTATCGCTATATGCTGTGACCGCTATCGCTATATGCTGTGACCGCTATCGCTATATGCTGTGACCGCTATCGCTATATACTGTGACCGCTATCGCTATATACTGTGACCGCTATCGCTATATACTGTGACCGCTATCGCTATATACTGTGACCGCTATCGCTATATACTGTGACCGCTATCGCTATATACTGTGACCGCTATCGCTATATGCTGACGACCATCATGCGCTAACCATTTTTTGCTATATACTGTGACCGCTATTGCTATATACTGTGACCGCTATCGCTATATACTGTGACCGCTATCACTATATACTGTGACCGCTATTTGCTGTGACCAAACTTGCGGATACTCAGCTGCAGCCGCCACCAGGAGTTTAGCGAGCGTTTTAAGGAGATGCCAAAAGCCGCTGGGCTGCCAGGATGGTCGAGGTGTCAGGCCTGATGTATGAGGAGAGGGCCGATGATGACCAGCGGCCCAGCTGCTGAAGGGCGGAATGGGGGAGCCCCAGTGACGCGGCGCGCGTGGCGGCGCCTATACGAAAGGAGTGGGCTGTGTAGAGATGGGGAGACAGATTACAAAGCAGCAGTACGTACTTGAGTTGGGCTCTGAACCAGTTGGGGGACATAGGGAGGTTATCAGGGGTAAGAAATGACGGTCCGTTGAGATCTCCTTTCCGAGAGCGGAGGCGAGTGTAATTCATCATGGATCGTGACAGCAGAGGGCGGAATGAGTGGAATGCAGTGGGCGTGACAGAAGCTGGAGTAGACTTTCCACGCGAAACTGTATGATTTCAGTGTGGAAGGTGAGAGACCCATCTTCATGTAGGATGCAGCGGAGGAGATGAGGAGGTGAAGAGACGGAGGGACTAGTCCAGGGCGAGGGATTCCATGCAGGGGATCTGGCATGGTGATGGGTTGGCAGAAGGGCAGAGGCGTCGGAACTCCTGGAAGTCGAGATTATCACGCATGACGGAGATCCTCTTTCTCTGCCAGGTGTGATTCCGCCGCGCGCAGGCCACGACCACTGGGAATATCTTGTGTAGGGCAGAGGAGATGCTCCGGTGGAAAGTAGCGGCCACGCTCGGCAACCCAAAGGTCCTGGAAAAAACCCCCAAAACCCACGGAAGGGGCACGTCCGTGTAGAAGCGGAGACCTGTAGGGGCAGAGACATATCGGAGAGGGTCATTGAAGTTGCAGGCGCCCTTACGCTTAGAATCTTGGGTTGGAGAGTAGATAATCAGGATAGTAGGATGGTCGGGAAAAGCCGTGTCTCGGACCGCCTGAAGCAAGGGCGTAGGTTCGCGTGGGGACCATGGGGACATGTCCCCACCAATATTTGGTGAGGACTAAAAAGTCCCCACCAAAATGACATGATGTCCCGTGACCCGGACGGTCCGGGACACATGTCTTCCGTTTGTGCATACGTCGCGCCTCCTCCTCGCCTCCAGAGCAACAGCAGCACGTGACCCGTTCCGTTCTCTGCAGTGATTGGCTGTCTTCTTCAGCGCCAAACTGAAGCACTGAGCGACTGTTTAATTTTTAAAAGTTAGCCAGCGTGAAGCAAGTGTTTTTTTTTCGTTCCCTGAGCGTTGTAGCACGTGAGTAATCAGAGGAAAGTACTGTAGATCTATTACCATTCAAAGTACTTACGTTATTTCTAATCTGTCAGCGCACTGTTTAATGTTCCGAGGAGCTCACACGGCACAGAGACAGAACAGAACTGGCTCCAATAAAGAAACAGGTTGGTTGAAAGGCTGAGAAAGTACTTATTGTGCTCTTACTATCCAAAATGTATAAGTGGGTGTGTTGTGTGAATCAGGATAAACTAGGGATGAAAATATTCCACGGATCCACGATTTACAACCTTTATCTGCTGATAATGTAATTTCTGTGAAATGTGTGACAGCGGGCACTTGCTGTTATTTGCTCTAAGCACATTCAAGCGATGCACTCGAATGTGCACGTCCTGGTGCAGCTGCTGCCGCTTTGTAATGACAGCCGCGGCGCTCAGTGAAAGCACAGCTCTAACATGGTACCGAGCTCGGACCATATGCAGACAGAACCATGTTGCAAGTGCGGGTCTCCCTCGTATCTCCCGCGTTTCTCCCCTGTGTCTCTGACATGTCTCTCCCCTGACTCTTCCCAAAGCGCAACCAGCGCTCCCGAAATTAAAGCTCGGATACCTAAATTTTCCATTGCGTTAACGATGCATGCTGGTTGTGCGCAAAACACACCACAACAGGTCATTTAAGTTTTTATTTTGCATACTTGAGAGCCCTGTGAGTCATTACTTGCCTTTTTGGGTTGAGAGTGGAATAAAAAAAAGAAAATATAGAAAAATCCACACTGTTACTTATTGCCAAACTCTTGTTAACTCATTGTATTGAGAAATACTATGTAACTTTTGACATTGGCCAAGTTATATAAATGATTCTGCAGTTCATGTATATGAATGTCTGTTTTTGATTGTCTATACCTTCTTATATAATTTAGAAAAAATGCCACCTCCACAAAAAAAGATAAAAGATATCAGGAGCTTTTTTAACAGTTGGAAAGTAAGTAAGAGAAAGCACAAGTAATAGCAAATTATGAATTGTGACGATTAATCTTCTGTTAACATACATAACTGCTTCTCATTCAGTCTACAGCTGAGTTTAGTATAGAAGGCAACACACTATTGCAAATATAGTGTGTGATTACACAACAAATTCTGGGGGAGAAACTCTGGACCCCGTGTCAATGGGTGTAGACTCAGGTCGTAGTGAATGTCCCCACCAAGATTGGAACCAAATCTACACCATTGGCCTGAAGGGTGAGTGAGCAGTAGTGAAACGCTTATGCAGAGAAGCTATAGAAGGAGAGCAGGAAGATGCTGCGAGGAGGGCAGACATGTACTTGGAAGATGATATGTTGTAGCTGTTTAGTGTTTCAGAAAGAGAAGCGAAGTGAGGAGAGATGACAAAGTACATGAAGCAGCAGCAGCACGGCAGCAGTAGCAGTATGAAGCAGCAGCGGCAGCAATAGCAGCAGTAGCGGTAGCAGTACAAGAAGCAGCATTAGCGGGAGCAGCAGCACCACGATGCGATTCATACGAACAAACAGACGTGTCACGCCAGCGTGCGCCGCTTGACTCCGTGAGCCAGGTTACGTACGCGTCTGAAGGAGCCGAGCCGTAGAGACAGGTGCAGCCTGGGAGCCTGCGGAGCGGCAGCGGCTGCTTTGGTTATGGCAGATACGCATGAACGATCAATGAGCCATGCGTTCATAGCTCCAACACCACTTCACACACATTGCAGATCCACCTTGGGCCCTTTCTCATTCTGCTGCACTTTCAAAATGCAACAACTGCAGTTAGTTACCTAATTTAATACCAGCGAGCTAGCTATTTAAATGCATGGTTTTACTGCAAGTGGCAGAACATGAATCTGAATTAATGCACTTTGCTCCTCTTATATCCCTCAGACGATAGAGATTGATGCCATTTAATATGCATTGCCCCTCGGTTAGCTCAGACACGTGTGAAACGGAGCCTGCAGACCAAGCACGGGGCGAAAAAACTGGCGCCTGCAGTCAAGTGCGCGGGGCAAAAACCAATCGCCTGCAGCCCAGAACTCCGGGATTAATCTGTCCGCGGTCGGCACACTCACTGTACGCACATGCCAGGAGACTCGGGAAAAGCAACGGGACAACGCGGCACCGCCAATCGAGGCAGGGACACGCACGGCACCGCCAGACCTTCTGCGTGCGGCAGCAGACCACGAGGAACGAGCCGCACGAAACCCGCGGAGGGCCCCGCGGAGCAGCCCGCAGAAAGAGCCCGCAGAGGAGGAGAGCAGGAGATATGCGAACCACAGCAGTGCAGGGACGCGAAGGAGGAGCAGACCAGTGCAGGGACCAGACCACAAGCAGCCAGACGGAGGACGCCAGGGTCGCGCCGAGTAGCGTGAGTTAGTGATGTGCTGAGCGGACCGAGTCTTCGAAGCGTGGACCGAGTAATCTGGGGGCGTTTCTTGTGAAGTGTGGGTCGAGGCGTGTATTGGTCACGTGTGTGGTGACGTTCGAAGCCTCGCGTAGCGCCCGCACCACGTGACGGTTCATATAGTACTTCATATAGTTCGGAGAGTGCATTGCTTTGACAGGTGCTTTGTGATCCGCGGCTGTACCATAGACTGTATGGCTGTCCCCGTCTGCCTCTGTGTGCGTACGTGTGTGTGCGTACGTGTGTGTGCGTGATGTGGAGCAGTCCTGTACTATTTCATATGAAATATAATTAAAAACGTTTCACTTTAGTAAAACCTCATATATCAAGGCTTCAAGTTATTAGTAATAATACGCTGGATAATACATTTCACAACAGCTGTGTGGCGCAGTCGGTATATGACGGACTCCGAAGCAGAAGATATAGCGTTCGAATCCCGGTCTACCCATAATAAATTTTGTGTTGCAAAGTAAATGTATTTATTTATTGGGAATAAATGGTTTGTTGTGTTTAATTAATCCACCTCTTGGTAGTTTTTCCTCCATTAATCACTTTCTGTAGAACTGTATTACTTTGGATGTGTTTGTTGTATCAACACAATTGACTGAAAGATTCAAATAGTTCATAGTTCATGAAGCATCATTTCAAACACAACACGTTAGACCATAGATTGTAAATATACATTTTAACATTAGATCTCACCATTCATTGTAAGCACTTAAGAGTGTTATGTATTTCTTTGTCCACATGATGGCGTAGTGGAGCATGATTCACCTTGAGCCTTCGACTCATGGGCCGAGTAATAGGCTGCTATCCCTCAAGGCTTCATGGGGCTTCATATTGCCATCACTAGCGTGAGTAGACGAAAACGATTCCTCCAGACGATTCTCTGCAAGGCTTCGAGGGCTTGCGAGGCTTCGAGAAGTGCAGGCTTCGAGAAGTGCAGGCTTCGAGAAGGCAGAGAGTGGGAGTTTCTCCGCTTTTAAGCGGCTTGCCTGGCCGGTGCGGTGATTGGAAGGGGCGTTTGCAGCGCGATAGGCTGGGGATGAGAACCGGCCTGGAGGGGTTACCTTTGGCTGACGTCTACCAAATTGAACTTTCGCTGGCTGCATTTGTAAGCTCATAAACCAGAATGATAAAATGTGTAGAAATGTGATTTGACCGTGCCGTTCTACTTTTATACAAACACCAGTCTGATTTCTCGTATTTTCTCCTCTTTCCCTTTCTTGCAGAATCCGAGTGGGATGTCACATTCTAATCCACCATCACATCTTCACCAACCTCATCTTGGTCTTCATCATCCTCAGCAGCTGCTCTCTGGCCGCTGAGGACCCCATCAGAGCACACTCTTTCAGGAACAATGTGAGTTTTTCAGAATATCATAATACAGACTAAATGAATGCTTCTTGTCGCCAGAACTCCAAGGACCAGGTGTCACATGTGTCAGTCGTTTAGTGCATGGCTCTCTGGGAAGTGGGTCAGTGAACAAATGGGTTGTATTCTGGTGTACTGTAGATGTTACCATGTGTCCACAGCAGCTGGCTCACGCTCCACTGGCTTTTCACTGTAATTTCACTCACAGAACTTACATTATGCCACTGATGAACGTTCTGTTGTAACTATGGGACATGCAATGGCAGCTCAGTTTTATTACAAGGAGACTGTTAGATATGTGCTCTTTTTACATTTTGCATGTTCTCCTTGCTTGCTCCAGTTGCCCTGGACCAGACAAGCAATGTAATCTTATTATATCAAATTATAATAAGGTTTTCTGGACTGACCTTGAGTCTAAATTGAAAAGACAATACAATACAGCTATTACTGGAACCACAGGGGAGTTAAGGCTGAGACGGATTTAAAGAGAATAGATATAGTTTATCTGTTCATAAAAGACACTTCATACTAAGTAAAGGACACAATATTATCTCAATGTCAGAAAGTTAAAACACGAATCATCCCACATTAAAAAAGAACAGATAACAAATTATATCAGTCATACACAACTGCTTTTAACCTAGACTTGAACATAAATCTTAAAGGGTGCCTCCCCATGTTCAGTTCTGACTCCAGGAACCAGCAGGAGGCCAGTCCCTGTGCTCCTCAGAGTCTCAGCAGGAGGCCAGTCCCTGTGCTCCTCAGAGTCTCAGCAGGAGGCCAGTCCCTGTGCTTCTCAGAGTCTCAGCAGGAGGCCAGTCCCTGTGCTTCTCAGAGTCTCAGCAGGAGGCCAGTCCCTCTAACATGTCACAGATGAGGAACAAAATGTGTATAGTATTTATTTAGACTTCCTCAGAGAAGACTGTTTAATTTTCCCTAATACCGAAAACGTAATGGTGGAATTTAATCACCAAATGTTTATTTATTGAATTAATTTGCGAGATGTAAAATGTTTGAATGTCCACAGATTCTAGGTTACGCTGACTATGCCTTCACCTCCATCTTCACCGTGGAGATTCTGCTAAAGGTAGGACACATTTAGCCTTAATTAAACAAAATCTTAGTGTTATACTAATGATGCTAATTAGGCCAACATTGTTGTTCACAGATGACAGTCCACGGGGCGTTCCTGCACCAGGGTTCCTTCTGCAGGAACTGGTTTAATCTCTTGGATCTTCTGGTCGTCAGCGTCTCCTTAGTGTCCTTCTTCCTCCAGTGAGTGTCCTGCTCAGTGACAATAACAAGGTGAACATCACAAACACGACTTTCTCTTTCTCCAGCTCAAGTGCAATCTCCGTGGTGAAGATTTTACGTGTTTTGCGAGTGTTACGTCCTCTGAGGGCCATAAACCGAGCTAAAGGCCTGAAGGTAAGAAAACGTCAAGTTAAAGTAGTTTATTGTTTGCTTAGTCCTTGTGTTAAAACGTGTCTTAATTTCTCCGCAGCACGTCGTCCAGTGTGTGTTCGTGGCCATCAGGACCATCGGAAACATCATGATCGTGACCACTTTACTGCAGTTCATGTTCGCCTGCATCGGAGTGCAGCTGTTCAAGGTCAGACAACACAAAATACTGAATAATAATCTGGACTAAATGAGGACAAGATTAGTGAATATGGAACTTTGAGTAAATCAGTTTATACTTCCCCAAAAGAGGTGCTCATCTGAGCAAAATTACACTCACATAAAGTCTACACAATACTGTCTAATACTTTAATTGTGTAGCACATTTTATAAACAGATTTCAAAGAGCGGTATCCAGATATATTAACAATAATTTCACTCACACGTCTTCCAAATATAATCATTTAAAGAAATCAATTGATGAATAAAAGCAATAAAAGAGTGGTCTAAAGAAAATGATTAAAAAACCAAAACATATTCAAATAAATCCCTCTCAGTCAAAGTATAGTTTTCTATGATACACGATATACATTTATCTATGATATTTTCATATATCTATTTATTATTAATATCATAATAAGCAATGGTGGGAAGAATACTTATAATTTGTATTTATATTCAGGATAAAAATAATATACTAAAATACTAAATACAAAGTACTAAAGTACTTTGAGTACTATATCCTGAATACAATCATAGTGTATGACTTGACTCCTATTTCAGTTTAAAAATGTTTGTTGAGCTAAACGTGTAGAACCCTTTTAATCATTTTATACAAAAAAAACAGCACCATTCAAGCAGTATTTTCTGTTTGTCACACTATCTTGTTAAGTGTGAAGACAGATTTGTACATTAGAATCCCACCATGTGCATGTACTATTGAAGATATATATATATATATATATATATATATATATATAAGCTGCACTTATAAATACTCTAAGTTATTGTGTATTCTCAGAACATGTCTTTAGATACTCCCCACTGCGGCTGTTCAGGTGACAAACCAAACTATGTGACAAATTATTTTCTTTCAGGGAAAATTCTATCGCTGCACAGACGAAGCCAAGCACACTCCAGAACAATGCAAGTAAGTTTTCCTTCGCTCCATTAATCTGATCTAAAGCCTGAGCAGCTCTGACCGTGCTCTTCTGCCCCAGGGGCACATTCGTCATTTACAAAGACGGGGACGTGAATATGCCGATGGTCCGCGAGCGAATCTGGCACAACAGTGATTTTAACTTTGACAACGTGTTGATGGGGATGATGGCCCTTTTCACTGTGTCCACCTTCGAGGGTTGGCCCGCGTGAGTAACTCCTCTTCCTCTGGTCATGAACAGAACAGTCTTTGGTTTACACACATTCCATTCAGATAATGGTGACAAAAAATAAATCAATTCTAAAGAAATTTCCTTGAAGGTCGAGGATTCTGAGAGCAACCTTTAGTTAAATAATTACTAATAAAAAAAAGAATACATTGTATATACATATTGATTAATTATTGATTAATAGTCAATAATAACGGCTTATTAACCGAGCGTGAGGTCTGTATGGAGAAAAATCAGACCGCGGCCTTAATGTACAGACCGAGCCGTGGCGAGGTCTGTGCAAAAAGGCCAAGGTCTGATATTTCTCTCTACGAACCGAGCAAGCGAGGTTAATACATGTTTTATTATATGACTCTTGTCTGTGTCTTTACCGATGTTGTTGAGATATTTGTGAAGTGTGTTCATGTCCAACTTGGTTTTGTGTGATACGCGCTGTTCGGACCAATAGTCATGGTAACGGTCCGAGATGGGAAAATATCAGACCGCAAATCAACCAATCAGAGCGTGTGCGGTCCAAGTCATATAATAATTGTCAATAGTCAATTATCATTATTAAATAATACATGTACTTAAATTATTGTTTAATGTATAATGATGATATAATTAAATGCAGAGATAAATGTGTCCATTTGTCTACTTACTACTATTTTTAATCTGCTGTTTTATTTGAATTTCTAATCTGCCAATAAAAATACTGTCTTTGTCCCTTCTTTCAGCAGCACAAATAAATATGAACTAAACACTCTCTGTTGTCTAATACAAGTCACAATTTTAAAGATAATGTAATGCAGATTCATCTGTGTCCATTTATCATACATATACATTATATATTTTTTCTTGAATACAAATCTAGTGTCTCTCAACAATCTATTGTTTTGTATGTACTTCACATCAGTCCATGGCCTTTTCTTTGTCTCTGTTTTGTCGATAAGTCGCCTCTGGTGAAACTAGTTTTTAACTGTTGTAGTTCATATTTTGACCCCTGTGTTCTTTCCTTCTTCCCCAAAGGCTGCTGTACAAGGCTATCGATGCTAACGGCGAGAACGCAGGACCCATCTACAACTACCGTGTGGAAATCTCTATATTCTTCATTGTCTACATCATCATCATCGCTTTCTTCATGATGAACATCTTTGTGGGTTTTGTCATCATCACCTTCCGAGAGCAGGGAGAGCAAGAGTACAAGAACTGTGAGCTGGACAAGAACCAGGTACGACACGCATCATGATGTGATCATGAACTTTTATGGTTTGATGAAAGTCAGTGCCAATATTTATCGTAGTTTCACAAAAGATGCATGTCTTAATTTGTGGCAAAAAGCTTGAAAAATAAACAGGAAGTTATTCAAAGTTCTAAAAATGGAATCCTCTTGTCTCATGGCTCTGAATTCTGAAGAATTCTCTTTGAATTGTGTACTAGAAAAGTGAACAATTGCAAACATTTAACTAAAGTAAGGAGTTGCCTCATATTTGTAATAACTCACTGACGAGTAAATGAATGTTTGGCCTTTGAATACCTCTACCTTCACAGCAGCTGCTCATTTTCAAGCATAGTCACATTCAGATATCATATTTTTTCTCTTGTGAACATAGTAGTCACATACACATGCATAGATATATACATACATACATGAGCAATATTTAAAAGTTTTAGTAGTTTCACCTTGTTTCAATTAATTATCAAATATATTTTGAACTTTATTTTCCATTTCAAATTAATTTAAAACTTGAATAACAATTTCCCAGCTTTAAATGGAGTGGAAACAAGACAAAACACAGAACACTAACATTATACTATCCTATCAATACGCTGCTGAACGGAACGTTTCAAGAGATCCTTTGTTCCTTCGGCTTTCGACAAACAGACTGTACAACAAACCTGACTGACTGTTCAACAACAAAAAAGAGTCTTCTGCGGCTGGCCCCTTGAATTTCTCCTCAATCTATCTATCTATCTATACATGTTAATACATTTAAAATTAAGCAGGATTAGAAGTTAACTACAATCCATCATCATACTGTAGCTATGTTTTAGTGACTGCGTAGCCGGACCAGCTAGACTGTTGCTTTCTGACACATGTGAGAGCGGGCCTGGCTGGTCAGGCTAGCAATTTAGTGTCATCCATCCATCCATCCATTTTCTACCCTTTAATCCATTTCTGGGTCAGGGGGGTGGCAGTCAGAGATGCCACCCAAGTCTCATAGCACCAGCCCCTCACTGACCCTCTGCAGGTGGTGAGTCCACAGGAGGACGGCTGCTCTCTGAGTGTGAGCATAGCCTTGATCTTTCAGTGGGGGCTTTGGGCAAAGTGGGGTTAAGTGTCTTGCAATTTAGTGTCATGTACTTTATAAATATGCCAGACCTGTTCTCCACGCTGAACTCTGTCTCCCTCTGTCTCCCTCTGTCTGTCTTCCAGCGTCAGTGTGTGGAATACGCCTTGAAAGCTCAGCCCCTCAAACTGTACATCCCCAAAAACCCTGTTCAGTTCAGGTTCTGGTCCATAATAAACTCCACGGGCTTCGAATACGTGATGTTTGTGCTGATCCTGCTCAATACGGTCACTCTGGCGGTGCAGGTAAGAGGGGCCTCATCTATACTGTTTCAAGTACAATGTTAGGCCTGGTCAGTGCCAAACTTCAGCCTAACCCTTTCCATCTGTAAAAATTTTTACTTTTTATAGGTAGCTTGTAGAATGTAAAATTGTTGTTGAATTATGATCAAATAAGTAATAATAAACTAATACTAATGCGCTTTTTAAGGATTAAACGTTTTCTGTTTAGAAATAACACATCTAAGAAAGCAGATCTAAAGATGTAACATAGGCCAAAGAAATACAAGCATTTTAAAACTGTTTTGAAGTGAATGTTGAGTATGTGATTGTGTGTTAGTGACGCTGTCTTGTCTCCACAGCACTACGAGCAGTCCAAGTCCTTCAGTCACATCATGGACATTCTCAACATGGTGTTCACGGGCCTCTTCACGGTGGAGATGCTGCTCAAACTGTTGGCTCTCAATCTAAGAGTACGGACATAAAATACATGACAGAAGTACTGTACATAACCAGAGCTGGCCTTGAATTATGTTTTCTCCTGCAGCATTACTTTGTGGATGCCTGGAACTCATTTGACGCCCTGATTGTTGTCGGCAGCGTCGTGGACATTGTGGTCACAGAATTTAGCGTATGTTTGTCAGCTACATTTTCACACACTTAATCTTAGAACTATACAGGCTGAAATTAAATTGTACAAACTGTTTTTTGTCCAGAGTGGGGAGGACAGCTCGCGTGTTTCCATAACGTTCTTCCGCCTGTTCCGTGTGATGAGACTTGTCAAACTGCTGAGCAAAGGAGAAGGAATCCGGACACTGCTCTGGACCTTCGTCAAGTCTTTGCAGGTAAAAAAAAGGGTTAAAGGGGATGTCCAGGACCTACATTGTAATTAATCTTTAAAATAATGTTTATTTCTGACCATGGGACACTGTACTATTGTGTACGGTAAGTATCCTTCTACAAAAATATCTACAAAATTGTTCCTCCCCTTAGCAAAAAAATGACCAGAAAGATTTGCTGAAGGAGAATAGTTAAACCAATCAGGAATCTGCAAGGATGAACATGGGCATGGGCTCACGGGGTCTTGTCTTCAAAAAGTTTCACTCTCTCTTCACAATTTGGAAAGTAACTGACCGTCACTTTAAACCAAGAGAGACCTAGGAGTATTCTATTCCAAACTAATCCTGTTGCTTTTGTGCAGGCTCTCCCGTACGTTGCTTTGCTCATTGCCATGATCTTCTTCATCTATGCTGTCATCGGGATGCAGGTCGGTCGCACATACATTAGAGAAAGATATATTTATAAGCCTGATCTACATGTGTGTGTTTTTTAATTTCTTGCTCGCTGTGTCGAAACAGACGTTTGGTAAAATTGCAATGCAGGACCTCACTCAAATCAACAGGAACAACAACTTCCAGACGTTCCCTCAGGCTGTTCTGCTGCTCTTCAGGTGCAATATTTCAAGTACCATCTGCCTCTGACTCATCTTCAACTAAACTCTTCACAGAAAAGTTCATGTTTTGTTGTTGGTGTAATACGTGCTGTCCGTTCACATAGAAGTAGGTGACATGAGGGTTAGTGCCAGAAGCCAGAAGAGTTTTGTGTTTCTCTTTGTTTTTATCATTTTTCAGTGTTGTGATAGCGCTGTGATGTGAGAGACAAATATTCCTTGAAATATAGATAGATATGAGATTGATGGTGACAACTTTGATGATTGTTTAATTCTTTTATGAATGGTTTCTTGAGAGGGGATAGTTTCAAATGTGAGTCCCTGTCTTCATTAGGGCTGTAATCATTCAAAGAAATTCTTGGACATTCGCTGTCAATCGAATGGTACTCATCAGATTGTAATGACATAGAATCACTCAACAAGGTTTCTATTGACAAAGATTAATTCAAAATTGGTGAAATGAAAGTTGGATTTGGACTCAAAGTTAATACCAAAATCTTCTTATTTTTTCAGTTTTTCCATCAAAAACTACATTTGTTGGTACCATCGACAGCCCCATCCCTCACATGCACATATCTGAGTTAGGCAGATGTTTTGAGTCGAGTGTGAAGAGATTGCACAGTTTAAAGGTTGTAGCCGGTTCACTGAGCCGTGTCTGTGTCCCAGGTGTGCCACCGGTGAGGCCTGGCAGGAGATCATGTTGGCCAGTCTCCCAGGGAAACGCTGTGACCCGGAATCAGACTACGAACCCGGAGAGGAGTTCAGCTGCGGGAGCAACTTTGCCATCGTCTACTTCATCAGCTTCTTCATGCTCTGCGCCTTTCTGGTACAGCCGCTATCACCGCAAAACTTACATGTCCAGTTCAAGACCAGAGACACAGACATAACTATAGGACAGGACTGCAGCTGGTCTATATCTGAGGACCTAATTAAACAAGTAGAGTCTGCAAGCAACAACGTATTATTACATATTTTATGATTTTTTACTTTAACGTTCAATCTCATGTGAGTTATTTCTACTTATTGCATTTTAAAATGACTAGTTACTTTGTAGAAGGCGACATAAAAACACATTTGAATTGAATTGTGGTTAGCTGCACTTCAGACAATCATTTGGCTTCAGTTCTATACGTCTTATGTCTGTCAGTATGAAACGTTTCTACAGGATAGAGCTGCTTGATGTCTCAAATAAAAATATTGTACATTTCATTATCAACAATAATGCAGTATACTGTTTAACCAAAATGCAATGTACACATGTAAAAGCTTGTATTTTCATACATTTTCTTAATTATGGGAAGGACTTCAATACTGATGTTGATATTAGTATCTATACTTTAACTTCTGTACCTCAGACTGGTCCTTTTTTCACCTCTGTAAACTGTTGCATCCTCTCTTCCAGATCATTAACCTGTTTGTGGCCGTCATCATGGATAACTTTGACTATCTGACGCGTGATTGGTCGATTCTGGGTCCACATCATCTGGACGAGTTCAAGAGGATCTGGTCTGAGTATGATCCAGAGGCAAAGTAAGATGGAACAATAAACCTGCATTTCTCGTGCGTTGGTGCTTCTCCTCTGAGCCCATGTTTGTCTTGTCAGAGGCCGCATTAAACACCTGGACGTGGTCGCTCTGCTCCGGAGGATCCAACCTCCTCTGGGCTTCGGCAAACTCTGTCCTCACAGAGTCGCCTGCAAGGTAAGCTCAGCAGGTCATGTGGACATTTCTGTTTCTGGCAAGGATTACATTTTCTGTCTTGATTAGCGTCTGGTGGCGATGAACATGCCTCTGAACGCTGATGGGATGGTCACTTTCAACGCCACTCTCTTCGCTCTGGTGCGAACTGCTCTGAAGATCAAGACCGAAGGTACAATTCTAATTCATCGTAAGAAAGACGGAAGAGAGACTGCTTTGTGTGTCAAAAACAGGTGCTCTTTGAGAAACAGGCTCCATCATGTTCAGAACCTATTCATGTGTTTTTCCCTCAAAAGAAACGTCTGTTGTCCTTTTTTGTCATGAGACAAGCCAAAGATTTATGACCAAATTTGTAATTAACAGAGCTGAATTGAATCCTGAACCCCACTGTTGTTGTCTTTTTCTACCAAAAACAGATTAGAATAAATTATGTATTTTATTGCTGCCTCGTTTCACAGAAAAAGTAAAACAATTATGTTCTGACTGTAAACCACAGAGTTTACAGTCAGAACAGTAAACCTGAGTTTCCTCTGTTTCTTCTTTCCCCTGGCAGTTGTCTTCCACACTATGTTATAGTTCAAAGTTATCAATATTTAAGATAAGATAAGGGATAAGATAAGATAAACCTTTAATCGTCTCAAAGTGGAGAAATATCAGTGTCATCGTTGCGCACATTACAGCAGAGAAAGAAGGAAATAAGAACACTCAGATTGCACACATCAAATAAGTCTATTATTTAAGACAATAGACAATAAAATTAAGATAAAGAATAAAATAAGATAAGATAAACTCTGGGGCTATAATTGCACTTGGTTCAGAAGTATTTACAGATGTGTATATTGTACTTTAGCAGTGGAGAATATGAGAATATGAATATGAGCAGAATAAGCATCAAAAATAATATCAACAGGTAAAGTGACGGTGAAATATCAGATGGATATGTAATAATGCAGTAGTACTAATAACAGGTAAAGTGACTAGTGACAAAGTTACTAGTGAATTATCAGTGACATTTGTTCAGACTCAGCAGTTCTTGTTACACATTCTCGTTGTACAGCCTGACAGCAGCAGGAATCTAGTTGTGACATTATTAGGCATACGTCAACATATACGAGGACATTTATTGTATTGTTACAAGATACATACAGATGCAACAGAAAATAAAGCAGATATTCTCACTAGGTTAAGGGTGGAGATGGAGAGGCTCTGACAGGCCTCAGCAGGAGGCCTGCATTCTGTCAGCAGAGGGTCCAGAGACAGAGGTCCCACACAGTAAATGTAGGGGGTTGAGATGTCACAAAGACTACAAATCCTACAGACAGTGGGAATAAAGAGCACATAAATGAAAGCGAAAGCTAAGAGGCATGTACAGCTTTGGTCCTTTAGTATAATATTGACAATATTAATAATAATTTAAAATATGAATATCTTGTATGATTATTCATATTATTTAGTACAATAATAATAATAATAAAACTTGATGGAAGTAGCATGGAGTAACCTCTAACATCCACCTCCAGAATATTACACAATGTTTTAAATAGAAACAGAGGCATAACCTAGAATTTCACAAGGACACTCCTGATTCTCGGCCAAAGTTAATTTCATGAGGCAAATGCGTGACATAAACCAGGACTGACTGCATTGTGGCTGTTTGAAGGAAACCCGGATGTGGAGAACGAGGAGCTGCGAGCCATCATAAAGAAGATCTGGAAGAGAATCAAACCTAAACTGTTAGATGAGGTGATTCCTCCGCATGAAGGTAAAGGTACTGGCTATTTCTTTACTAACACTTCTAACACCTGCTAACACTGGGGTTAGAGAGCAGGACCCCACCAGGTAATGCATGCACTACTAAAGTCTGTGTCTAACTTATAATAACATCCCTAACATGTGTCTTGCTGCTACTACTACTACTACTACTATTACTACTATTACTACATCTGAATGTTTAATACTAATGAACAACATTCCCAATAAAGAATACAAGTGGCTTTCCCTTACCCGTCTCTCCTGCACGTCTAGGAGAGGAGGTGACTGTCGGTAAGTTCTATGCCACGTTCCTCATCCAAGATTATTTCCGAAAATTCCGCAAGAGGAAGGAGAAGGGAGATCTGAACGGAGAGGCGGAGGAGGCCAACCCCTCTGCTGTCCAGGTGAGAACCAATACTTTGAGCTCTGGACCTCAAGTGACAAGGAAAATACTAAATAAACAGGTGAAAGTCCTAGAATGTTTTGTCTGCCACTTCATCTCCTAATATGGCGTTGGGAAGTGCATATCTGTGTAACAACTATTTTTGTCTTAAACTAAACTTACTGTGTTCTTGCTATCCTAGTATTTTAGTTTATGCAATGTGGGACGCCATTTATAAGCTTTGCAGAGCTTTTCGGGTAGTCCATTTTTCACAAGTCACAAAGATATACACAAAATGTAATCTATTCAGTATCAATGTGGTGATGTGAAAATAAATCCAAAGTAGAGCTCTATTCTTTACATTGATATTGACAATTCAGATGAAATTGTCAATGAAATGAGTAAATATTGTAACTTGGTTTTCATAGTTGTGTAAGGCGGGACTGAAGACCTTGCAAGACCTTGGACCTGAGATGCGTTTGGCTCTAAATGAAGACCTGGAAGAGGATGATGAGATTATAATAGATGAAGAGAGAAGACTGGTAAAACTGGCTTACAGTATTTCAGAACTGGTTTGGTTTTATTTGCTTTAAGTACGTGTTTTTGCAGAGTACACACAGTGGAGACAGAAGAGGCTCTATCCTGACGCCCACAGGTAACACAATAGTCAATGCAGAGACTCACGCAGACACTGTGTTCTTGGACAGTTTATTCTTATACCAATTTTTACCATGTTTTAGTTAAATTAAACCTTGTTTTCAAATCAGCTTCATCTGCAACTTTTGTATTGGTACTTTTTACTTATGGTCATGTCAGCAGATTTTCACCTTTCCCCAATTTATGATATATTCAACACTTTAAACATTGTATTATACTGTCAACATACACATTTGTATATGTTTAAACACCTTTATCATTTTTAACACAATGCTTTCATCAGTTCTACCCTATAACAGACTAGTTATTTCTTCTTCACCTTTGTTTTCACATTACAGTCAGTCTCATTAACGTTGGCAGTATACAAACTGCCTGTATGGAATATACATATAGAAACAGTAAAGAAATACCCCTTAGTTCAAAGGTCATTGAGATAAAACATGTACCTCTGTGAAAGGTTCAGGGGGGGTGGTCGGAGAACCTGCGGTCTCAAATGGAGGCGGTCTGATCCATCGAGTCGGATCTCTCACCAAAACACCACCAGGCTCTGAGCACGAAAACCTTGGTCGACATGGAGACCGGCAAACTGTCAATCAGCAGAACCAACAGAACCTGCTGCGGAGAGGGTCCAAGAGCAACGGCACAGAGTTCATCCGGAGAGGGTCGTACAATAAGGGCAGGTAAGAGTGTCGTTAGAGGGAAGTCCTCATGTTCAAGAGCTCCCCTCTCTGGGCCAGGACCCCCTGAAAAACACATTCTGAAATCTCAGTGGGACTAACCTGGTTCAATCAAGGTCAATAAATAAATAAAGGTTTGTATTTATACGATTGTATTTTCCACACACGGGTCTATCCAAGATATAGACATATTGTGGGGTTGGCTGCTATTTTATAAATATCACATGGATTATGATCAAGTGAGGAAACACACTCTGTAAAAAGCCAGATGATTTTTTTTTTCTCTCTGTCTCACTGAAAATAAACTTCTGACTCAGAATGACCTCTCTCAATACAACAGCATCATGTCTGTAAAAACTGGCCTAAAACAGATGAGATAAAAAACAATCCATACTAGCTTATGAAGATATTTAAAAATTAAACAATATATGTATTTAAAAATCATACATTATTTTGCACAAACATTTTCTATTTACAATGATTCAAATCTTTTCTAAATATTTCTCAGGAGGGACTCCAGGGATCGAATGAGTCGAAATGACTTGGACCCATATGGAGAAAGAAACTACAGCCGTGAGGAGGACCAGGAGAGCATCATCTCCAGAGAGAGAGATGGGTAAGTGTTTTTAGTAAACTACCTCTAGTTATTAAGACTAAGTTATTAAGACATTGGACAGCGACACTATCATAAAGGGAAAGAGAGAGAGTTTGGAGAAAGTAATCTTTATTTATATACCGCCTTTCACAGACCAGAGTCAAAAAGCGGTTTACAATTGTTATTTTTTTGGGCATTAAAAGGTAAAACTGGCCCAACACAAAAAAATATTAATACAATGTACAGAATATGAGGATGCAAATGATTGAAATCAAAACACGCCACAATTTTCCCCATAAAAATGCGGTAAAAAGCAAAAACATAAAGACAGAGATAAATGTAATTCAGCACCACCGGAATAGTGTTCAAATCATGCTTATTTTTTCAAGTTTGCCGAAGAATAGAACTCCCCAAAGCCACTGTGCCCATGACAGAGTCTGTGGATACTTTAACTTCAGTAAAATCACTCGTCCTGCGAGTGAGGGCGTTTCTCTGGGAAGGAAGCGTGCTCCTAAAGCTGGTCCTACTCTCCTGGTTGAATTATGAAAAAATACTTACCACAGTACATTATGGTCTTTCAGGCGTTATCACGACGAGCCGCCGATTTACAGAGAGCGATACAATGGACACCACAGAGACCGCCACTACGACAACGGATACAGAGACGGTCATCATGGAGATGGGTACAGTAACCATGGTGACGGGATCATCGATGGGAGGAGAACACCACGAAGAAGACTGCTCCCTGCCACACCCACAGGTATGCTTTAGATCAGCCATTCCCAAACTCAGTAACACCGAGGCCCCCTTAAAAATCTGACGGGTCTGCGTGGCCCCCCAAAATAATAACCAAGAAGACAACATTAAGAATAGGCTCTTCTGGTTATTTTATTTTGGGGAAATAGCCTCTGCTACAAACATTGTAATACAAAAATGATTACAGTGGATTATTCAAGTCAAATAATGAACACAAATATTTTAATATTACAAACAAAACATTATAAATTTAACATTAAATAATTTTATTATTTTTTTATTTTTTTTATGACCTCCCGCGGCCCCCCTGCAGTACCCTCGCGGCCCACCAGGGGGCCGCGGACCCCACTTTGGGAGACACTGCTTTAGATAATGTAAATAGATAATGGGTGGCTGAGTGGATAGCAGGTAAGAAGGTCCTGGGTTCAAATCCCGGGCGGAACCAGGGCCTTTCTAAGTGGAGTTTGCATGTTCTCCCCGTGTCTGCGTAGGTTTCCTCCGGGTACTCAGGTTTCCCCTACCACTAAAAATATGTACAATCTGGCATGCGCCTCCTGTACTGGCGACCCCACTCCTGTCTCTGTGTGGAGTGAGAGGACAAGTGCTCAAAAATAACAATTGTAAACCGCTTTGTGACTCTGGTCTGTGAAAGGCGGTATATGAATAAAGATTACTAAAGAAGATAGTTTGGAGAGAGAGATACAAGTTGGGATCAAATAGGAGAAACACAACTTCTCAGTCCTGATCAAACATGGCATGTGATGTTGTTTTTGTTTTTGTTTTATTTTAACTTACATTTTACTTTTTACTGTCCACACTTTCTATTTAGAGTGTGTGCTCTCTGTAGCGGTCACTTCAACCTCAGTTTTTAAATCTGGGATTCTCAACTTTCAAACAAGCCCAAAGATCTGAGCCCAAAGTGTCAAATAGTGTCAGGGCTCTTACTCAAAATGTTTTATATTAAGATGAAGCAGAATGTTTTGCGGCCTTTCAGTTGCTCACACCATTGTACCCTTCCAACTCTGATGGGACAAGCATGTATTCTTTATAGCAAATAGAAAGCTTTAAGGCGCTAAACACTTTACTGTGGGTGTGATTTAGGTGTAGATTACAGTTGGCTGATTACAAATGTTGTGTTTTTGTGTGTTCAGGCCGTAAAGCCTCCTTCAACCTCCAGTGTCTGCGGCGACAGGACAGTGACGACCTGCCTCCACCTGGGACTTACCATCCCACATCCCCCCCTCGGAGAGCCAGACCACCGGTGCGGACCACTCTTCTGCTTTTTAGTGATGACTTAAAACACACAATGTCTCGGTCCAGGCTAAAGCTAATAACTATTAACATCAGACAGACAAACACTCCCTGATGAAATGCTCCAGGGACAAGTATGAGTCCTATCATGTTTTCTAATTGTAGTAATATATTAACTTGTTTACTCCCTGAACTTGATATTAACTACAAAGTTTAGAAAAATAGGCAAGGCAAGGCAAGGCAAGTTTATTTATATAGCACAATTCATACACAAGGCAATTCAAAGTGCTGAACAAAACAAGAAAGCATTAAAATCATAAATTATCACAGAACATTAAAAAGAAAGATAAAAATATAAAATCCCTCCTGGTTTTAAACATTGTCAGAGAGGAGGCCTGTCTCACATCTTCAGGAAGACTGTTCCAGATTTTAGCAGCATTAATCTGAAAAGCAGCCTCCCCATGTTTAGTTCTGACTCTGGGCACTAACAGGAGTCCAGTCCCTGTGCTCCTCAGAGTCCGGGCTGGTTCATATGGGACTAACATGTCACTAATATATTTTGGTGCGAGGCTATGGAGAGACTTGTACACAAGCAGAGCTGTTTTAAAGTCTATTCTCTGAGCCACAGGAAGCCAGTGCAGAGACCTGAGGACTGGACTAATGTGGTCGTACTTCCTGGTTCTTGTCAGGACTCGAGCTGCTGCATTTTGAATGTACTGCAGCTGTTTTACAGCCTGTTTGGACAGACCTGTGAGCAGGCCATTGCAGTAGTCTAACCTACTGGAGACAAATGTATGGATAAGAATCTCCAAGTCTGCTTTAGACACTATGTTTTTGATCCTGGCAATGTTTTTTAGATGGTAAAAAGCTGCTGATGTTACTGATTTGATGTGGCTATTAAAATTTAAGTCTGAGTCCAGTATTACCCCTAGATTCTGACCTTGTTTGAAGGTTTTAGGGAGAGAGACTGTAGGTGACAGATGACGCTCTCTCTTTGTTTCTGGGGACCAAAGACAATCATTTCAGTTTTGTCTGCGTTTAGCTGAAGGAAGTTGTTTTGCATCCACTCACTGATCTGTTGGATACAGTGAAGAAGTGAGTCCACTGGTCCATGTTCTCCTGCAGTCAGTGAGACATAGATCTGAGTGTCGTCTGCATAGTTATGATAGGAAACTTTGTTTCTGCGTATTAACTGACCTAACGGCAGCATGTAGAGATTGAACAGAAGAGGTCCCAGGATCGACCCTGTGGGACTCCACAGGTCAGGGCCATATGATCTGAGACACAGTTTCCAATCTCCACAAAGTACTTCCTGTCTTCAAGGTAAGACCTAAACCAACTTAGGGCGGTGCCAGTGACGCCAACCCAGTCCTCTAGTCTCTCTGTAAGAGGATCTCATGGTCGACGGTGTCAAAGGCAGCACTTAGATCTAACAAGATTAAGATTGAGACTTTGCCTGCGTCAGTGTTCAGCCGGATATCGTTTGTAACCTTAACGAGAGCAGTCTCAGTGCTGTGGTGGGGTCTAAAGCCGGACTGAAACATATCAAATGAGTTGTTGATTATAAGAAATCTAGTAAGCTGTAGGTAGACAACTTTCTCAAGGACTTTCCCCATAAATGGCAGATTTGAGATGGGACGATAGTTGTTAAGTACCGTAGCATCGAGACTGCTCTTTTTTAGCAGGGGCCTGATGACTGCAGTTTTCAGGGCCTTTGGGAATATTCCAGAATGAAGGGACATGTTTACTATCTGTGTGAGTGAAGGTAACAGACTGCTCAGAACAGACTTCAGAAATCTAGTGGGTAGTACATCCAGGCTGCATGTGGAGGAGCTCAAACTGGAGATTATCTCTTGGACAGTTTTATCATTTACAGGTGCAAAGTGAGTTAGCTCTGAATGCCTTTCTGGCTGTTGGATGGTTATCTGTGGATTGGAGACAATGGCGCTTTTGATGCCTTGAACCTTGTCATTGAAAAAATTAGCAAACTCATTGCATTTACGTTTGGAAGTAAGCTCTAATGGCATTTGAACAGGGGGGTTTGTTAATCTATTAACTGTTGAGAACAGAACACGCAGATTGTTGCTGCAGCCTTCAATCATTTCAGAAAAATACCTTTCTCTCGTACTACGTAGCACCCGGTTAAACTCGCACAACTTATCTTTGAAGATCTCGTAATATACCTGGAGGTTGGACTTGCGCCACTTCCGCTCGGCCCTCCGGCACTTTCTCTTTTGTGCCCTGACCGAGTCTGCTTTAGCCCACGGCGCCTTCTGCTTATTTTTCACTATTTTAACCTTCACAGGGGCAACGGTATCCAGAACATTCAAAACACTAGAGGTGACAGAGTTAAACAGTTCATCTACAGTAGAATACGATGCATTCTCAAAGTTTATCATTTCCATAAATAGTTCACTCGTATTTTCATTTATGCGCCTTCTTCGAACAGTTGCAGAGTCCACTGGTGGTTTGTTAGTGAAACACATGTCAAAAAAAACACAGAAATGATCCGAAAGAGCAACATCGACCACGTTTACATTTGAAATAATCACCCCCTTTGTAACTAACAGATCTAGAGTGTGCCCTCTGCTGTGGGTGGGGCCACTTACGTGCTGAGTGAGATCAAAGGATTCAAGTACAGAACTCAGCTCATTTGCATTTCTGTCATCAACATTATCCACATGAATATTAAAATCACCTGTAATAACCAAACTATCAAAATCTGTGCATACAACTGAAAGCAACTCGGTAAAATGATCAATAAAACTGTGACATGACTGCGGTGGCTTGTATAGGACAACGAAGAGTATTGGAGGAGATTGTTTTTGTTGTATTTTAAAAGACACATATTCAAATGACGAAAACTTCCCAAGAGACATTCTATGGGAGACAAAGTGGTCTCTAAAAATGGCAGCTAAGCCTCCTCCTTTTTTTGTTTTCCCGTATTTCAGATTCAAACTTGAAATTTGGTGGTGATGCTTCTATTAAAACTGCATTTTCTGAATTTTGGTCAAGCCAAGTTTCAGCCATGAACATAAGATCAAGATTATGAGAACAAATAAAATTATTGATTAAAAAAGACTTGTTACAAAGAGATCTGACATTAAGCGTAGCAAGTTTCAAAGTTTCAGTATCAGCGGTTGCGGTCGGCTGATTCTTACACGGAACAAGAATTAGATTTTCCAGATTAGACTGATTAACTCCAGATGTTTTTCTGTAATGTATTCTTTGTGTTATCACTAAGGGAATGGCACAGGTGGCTTCATGACAGGGCCCCAGCCGGGTCTCTCCTCTAACTAGACTGCCAGTGGCTGCGAAGCAGAGACCCTGTGCATCCTAGTGTTTAGAGAAAAGAGGGGTGGGGAAGGCGGGGGAGGAGGATGGAGAGGTGGGTGGCTTTTGGGTGTTGAACGAGGGGGGGCAGGGAGGTGGAGGGGTTTTAGGTGATGGGTTAGGGCCGGGGTGGGCTGAGGCAGAGGTTTTGGATGTTGAACGAGGGGGAAGTGGGGGTGGAATGGTCATGAGGTTAGGGGAGGGACTGGCTGAGGTGGTTTTTGTAGGTGAATTGGAAACCCTAGGTGGTTTTGGAGGTACATATGGGGAGTGGTTTAGAATGTTGGACAGGACTCTAGATCGAGCTAATATGGGTGTGAGAGGAATAGTCTTCATCGCCGATTTTATTAGCCTGCAGAGTGGTAGGTCTAACAGTGAAGGCGGGGATGAAAAACAAAGGGAGGTGTCCCCATTCTCTCTTGATGGAGTGGACGTGGCAGGGGAGACCCAAGACAGGTCCATGGGAGGTGGCGAGGGAGTCTTTAATGGAGGGGCAGGTGGTTGAGGAAACCCCAGCACAGGCCTGTCTGCTGTAGGCTGGGGTGAGGATTGGGGCTTCAGAGGCGCTGTAGATGAAGAAGGCGTGGCTGCTTTGGAGCAGGCTGGGGATGAGGATGGTGGTGGTGGTCGTGCTGCTGGTGCTGCTACTGGTGATGATGCAGCTGCTGCTGGTGATGATGCAGCTGCTGCTGGTGATGATGCAGCTGCTGCTGGTAATGATGCAGCTGCTGCTGGTGATGATGCAGCTGCTGCTGGTGATGATGCAGCTGCTTCTGATGACAGTGGAGGTGTTGAGATCCTTCGAGGTGGTTGTGGTGTTGAGATCCTTTGAGGTGGTGGTGGTGTTGAGATCCTTCGAGGTGGTGGTGGTGTTGAGATCCTTCGAGGTGGTGGAGGTGCAGAGACTTTTGGAGTCGGCTTCCTCCCTTTCGATGGCTGCACGCACTGCGCAGGCTGAGATCTCAGGGCAAAAGAAAGGTTATCCATCAGCACTTTTACTCCGTAAGTGTTCAGATGTGGCCCTTTCCCTTCAAAAAGCTCATGCCTATTCCAGAACAGATTAAAATTCTCAATGAAGGCAAGTCCTCTGCGTGAACATTCGTTGAGTAGGAAAGTATTTAGCTGATACAGACGACTGAATTTCATTTGCTTCCCGTCCACATTTGGTAGTGGGCCACTGATAACGATTTTTGTGTCCATTTTAGCAAGGTCGTCCAATAATAGAGAGTAATCCCGTTTCAACTTTTCACTTGTGTTGTCATAGACGTCTACTGCCCCCACGTGGATCAACAATCTTTTTACCCCGCCGGTCTCAGACAGAAGCCTCGGAGCCAACCGCCTTATCTCATCCACTTTGGCAGAGTGTACTGAGTGAACCTTGAGATTACGCATATTTACATTTCTTATCGCCGAATCCCCGATAAAGAGCGACTCAGCTGCATTTGACCTTGACTGAGACTGAGACTGGGACTGAGAGACTACTGCTGATTCATCTTCCAAAAGTGGTGAAAAGCGGTTTCTTGTAATTAAAGATTTTTGCTGTGGCATTATGACACTCTTGTTATCATTAGCTTTGCCTTGTTTGGGCTTGGCACCATATGTGTTCCAACAATTGTCTCTGTTGATTTTGGGAAATGAAATAGCGTCATCATAACTTACGTTTTGTCCATGTGGTCCATTTCCTTTCACTGGTATTGTTGTGTTCAGCCCCAATTCTGATTCAAGCACAAACATTCGGTCTTGAAGAAGTTTTAGCTCCTGTTTGAGTGAAAAACAGCCGTCGCAAAGTTTTGTTCTATTTTCCCGTCCTCCCGACATGCTGTAAGTTAGGTAAATTCCACCAGTCTTGTGTTGAAGTTTGTAAAAAGGAGTAATCCGTGTTTTGTGGAATAAAAATGTAAGCAAAAATGATTAAAGGAGATAAAAAAGCAGCAAGCGAGGAGCAGCAAGAGAATGCGACTGCTCTGTCCAGAGCAGGAAGTAGGTTTATTATAATTATATAAAATATATAATTCTTGAAAGAGGGACCTCAATAGCAGTAATGGAAGTCAGTAGAGGAGGTGCTCTAAGATGAGGGGCTTGTCAATGTAATAAACAAAGACAAAGGCACTTTGAGGGGAGCTCAGGGGCCAAACAGAGTGATGTCATTGCACTGATCGATCAATAGGCTTTCTACGACTGTTTGTCACCTGATCAAAGCCTGAAAGTGTTGTGGCTCGGTAAGGTCTACTGAGACATGCTATAAATAGTAGCTGTTATTATTTAACTAATAAGAGAGTTCCCCTGGATTTTTTTTTTTTAATACAATATATAATTCGTATTTTAAACAAAAAATAATTATTGTTTGAACAATATTTCAAACTACTTTTCAGGGCAGTGTTGACACCAGAAAAACATTTAGTTTCAAAACTATTGCTGCAATTAGATCTGTGCAGTTGATGTGCAGATATTGTAAGTTACAGATAAGGTAATGCAAAAAAAACACTGCTATAAAAGTTGTTACAGCATTATGTGTTCCAATTTTCCCTTTACGTTCTACACTGCTGCTTACTCCATTTCATCTATGGTGAGACTGACCGGTGCTCTATGGTGCTGCTCTGTGGTGCTGCTCTGTGGTGGTTCTCAGGGCTCTTTTGGAGGCGCTGACCCCCGCTCGGCCTCTTCGTCCTGGGCAAACCCAAACCCTCGTCGTGGGCGTCTGCTGTATGCTCCTCTGATCCTGGTGGAGGAGCAGGAGGAGCGCTGGGAACGAGGCCTTGACGGGACCACAGAACTGAAGCCTCCAGGTCAGAACTGAATGTTTTATATTCCAAGAACTTTTAGTGTCTTCACATCCTTCCAGATCATGAACTCCCACCCCCTTTCTACAAGAATTATACTAATGATCTTTCAAACCAGTCTTAATAAAGTCAAACATTCAATTTCACTGATGTTTACTATGTGTTGGGAAGTATTGATTTAGTAATGTATACAAATTAAAGATGGGGTACCTAACTTTCAAGCCATAGAATAATCTAAGCAACAAAATCCATGTAACTTGTTCTTTACTCTCTAAAAAAATGGTTTATCCATTTTTATGTATTTTGGTCACATCTTTAGATCAGATTTTTCAGAAGAAAAAAAAACACAACCAGTTCTCAGCCCAAAGCATCCAAGAGACATTTTGCTTTGGTCTGAACATTTTACGTTTACAAGACTTTCCCTTTTACTGTTTGACAACACATTTGAGGAAAAACAAAACAGAATACCCCCAGATTTTAACGCATTTTAAGGCTATGTTCAGAATACTGATGTTTGCCTCCAAAGTCCAGTCTCTGATAGATTTGACCTGATGACATGCTTTCATGTGACTATAATGCACATGTCCTGTCTCCCAGGTGTCAGTGTGACTGGAGCCGCTCCCAGTCAAACGTGGTACGGCGGCCCAGGAGGGACATCAGGTAAGATCTTTCACTACCACTACCAATACTACCTTTATTATATTTATATTTATAAACTGTTTGCGATTGTTTTATTGAATTGATAAGTTAATATAGTACCATCCATTACAGGCCGACTAGTGTACTTTTTAAAATGTTTTTGAACTGCTTGTTATCTGTGGCAGATTTAGCAGATTATCTCATTTCTACTCTCTTCTGCCCCATAGCCCCGCCTCCGTACCGGGCCTACACCACTCTCAGGGTCCCCTCTCAGCTCTCACACTTCTCAGAGAAACGAGGATCTGCAGACAGCCTGGTGGAGGCTGTAAGTATTATCAATGCCACCGGAAATCTGGACTTGGTTTAGTCTTGGTTTAGTTCTGCATTAGTCCTGGTTTGTCCTTGCTTTAGCCCTTGATTTAGTCATGGTTTCAGATTCAGGTTCATTTATTTGCCATTTGCAGTAAAACCACATTGGAATAAATGTGCAAAAGTCCCCAGTGTCCACTTGACGAGTACATACATAAAACACGATTAAAAGTACAGAAGTAAACAATTGACACTGTGAAATTGATTGACTAAAATACCAGTGCAATACCAGTGCAAGAAATGTATTTGGTTGAGTCCTGGTTTAATCCTGGTTTTAATCCAGGTCCAGTCTTGATTTAGTCTTGAATTGACTGATGACTGCTGTCGTTGTGTCCTTGAGCAAGACGCTTAACCCCACTTTGCCTGAAGCCCCTGCTGAAAGATCTCAGCTCCTGTGGACTCACCTGCAGGAGGATCAGTGAGGGGCTGGTGCTCTGTGTACTGGGTGCAGCTCTGACTGCCACCTCCTGACCCAGAAATGGATTAAGGGGAAGAAAATGGATGGATGGATAGTCTTGATTTAGATCTGGTTAAGTCCAGGTTTAGTCTTTGGTCCTGATTTATCCCTGGTTTAGTTCTAGTTTAGTCCTGGTTTAGTCCTGATTTATTCCTTGTTTAGTTCTTGTTTAGTCCTGGTTTAGTCCTGATTTATTCCTGGTTTAGTTCTTTTTTAGTCCGGGTTATGTCTGGGTTTTATTATTAGTTTAGTCTTAATGTTTTTCTGGTTTAGTCCTAGTTCTCTCCTGGTTTAGTCCTGGTCCAAACCGATCTCTCTCTGGTCTTGAACAGGTCCTGATCTCAGAGGGCCTGGGCCTATACGCTCGAGATCCTAAGTTTGTGGCGTTTGCAAAGCGGGAGATTGCCGACGCGTGTCACATGACCGTGGACGAGATGGAGTCTGCTGCCTCGGACCTGCTCGGCTCTCACAGTAACCACAGCCTCCTGGACACGGGGGCCACCACCCCAGACCTGGCCTCTGTCTACAGCGACGACGAACCAATAAGAGCGAGCCGAGAGGAGGACGAGCTTGCTGATGAAATGAGCTGCGTGACGTCATTCTGAGGAGAAATGGACCAATCAGAAGACTTTTAGGTTTTAGTGGACCACAGTGCAGAGAGATGTTCAAGTGGATCTGGCATTAAAACAAATCCTTTGTTTGAATGAGCCGATCACAGAACAGAAGTATTTAAAGGTGCTGTACATGGTTTTATATAAAAGGTGAAAAACAGATAATTTAGTCCTGTTAATGAAGGATGACACATGCCGGGAATAGTGGAACGCACACAGTGGTTTGTTTCTAATCCTAAGTGCTGCCTCCACAGTATCAGTGACGAAAAAGAGACCAATACTTACTTTTTACTTGTAAGTATGTGAACATGGGACAACCTTTTAGCTGAATATCCAGATGCTATTTGTTGAAAGGGAGCCATGTTCTTGAAGACTCAGTTGGTCCAGTCCAAGAGAAGATCGTCCTAAATCGAGGCGACGGATGAAGATCCTGAAAAAAATGACTATTCCCAGTCTTAGATATATTGATGTAATCAATATGATTTATTTACGAGAATGCATTGTTTAGAAAGGGTAACTTTTATAATAAAGAGACTTTTTTAATTCAAGTTTTATCAGAGTGTGCAATGAAAACATTTTGTTTATTTTTTCTTATTAAGAACCACATACAAGGAGCAACATTTTATTTGTTTACATCGTACTGATTAACCAAAGTGACTTTTGTGAAGCTGGATTATTCTTTTTAAAATGAACACATTAATTCCAGATTTTCATGAAAAAAGAAATTTATAAGACACTCATTGTCAAATATCCAAACTGTGATGCTGTCTTTTTTAAAGAATAGTTACTTTTCTATATATTCTGTATATCATTCATGTTTATTCATGTTTTTGCACACCCCTCTGTCTCTGTTGTTTTAAGAGAATCCTTCAGGTTCAAAATAAGGGCTCTTTCAAAACGTGTTCCTCTTGATGAGACAACAATGATGAGATTTACCTCAAATAAAACCTACTGCTTCATGTTACTGTCCCATGTGCACTTGTAAGTAGTCTCCATTGTGTTCAAATATCCAACAATTATCAAAAGCTACACACAGTGTTGTAGCTGAGACGGTGTTTGTGCGCCCTCTGCAGGTCCAGCTCTGCCCCTGCAGTTTGAGTACACATGAAAAATAATAACAATGTAACATCTGGAGAAAACCACATCTGTTTAACTTTAGGACATGGCAGCATTAACGAGGCAATAGGAAGCACCGACGGCTGTAGCATACTTGGTTGTCCCTGATTTTAGTTTAATTTAATTTCCAGTAGTACCTCATATAGTTATAGCTTCATAAGACGCAAATATTCATAAGAAATACTATAAGATCATATAGGTCATGTCCAAATCAAACCAGAAAGGGTCGCTCCTGCAGATCTCACCCTCCACCCCTGAGTATCAAAGGCACATAAGGTAGAATTATACGTGTAATACGTTATTCGGTCTTGACCAATAATCAAGGCCAAATAACACCAGTCAGATCTCAGTTTTTCCAATGTGGTTTTACTGCAAATGGCAAATAAATGAATCTGAATCTGAATCTGAGGGTGTGGACGTAACCTTGAGGACGCCCTATAGGCCTACACTCTCAAGTTCCAGTACAAATTAAAATCATTTATATTCTCCCATAAAAACGAAACAAAAATAATGTACAAACGGCTCCTCTTTTGGGACCTGCTCCTATTTCTGTCTTCTAAGCTTATCATGTATTTTTCCTGTACATGTCTTCTATATGTGGCATCCCCTCTGACGTCACGCCATCGCTTGCAACACAAATACTTTTCACAAACACAAATTTGATCGCATCTTTCAATGTTAACTGATTGTGTTTATATGTATTTTTAATCTCATATTTACGATCGCATTTGATTGATTGTTTTACGTTCACCTGACTTCCGGCCGGGCCCCCCAGCTGACAACCCCTCCCTCCCCATTCTCGCCCCCTCCCTCTGGATCCTCTCGCCTGGATCAGCGTCTCTTTCGCGGTGTGTGCTGAGAGATTCGACTGGAGGCAGAATGGAAGTCGTAAATCAGGTAAAACGCATCCAAATGTTCTGTATGTGCGCCACTATTGACACATCCTCTGTTTTGATCGACTCTCTGCTCATAAATGCGTCTATCCGCTTGTTTTTGGGCGAAAATCTGCATCCAAGGCCGACGGATCGCCGCTATTTTTTCACCGTTTTACAGCCTCTACTTCAATCATAAATACATCAGAGAATAAATGCAGCCTTACATGTAAACGTAATGATGGCAGACAGAGAATGCAGATGTTTTATATATTTTCCGCTGCATCGCGCTGGTTCACGTACAAACTGAGCCTATATATTGACTGATGTGACGTGAAATGTCGCATCGCATAACTATTAAAATCTACATGTGGTCCTTATCAAAGATGATTGTATGAAATTAAAACGTGATAGTGGTTTTAATGGTGGAATGGCCCGTGTTTGAGAGGGTGCGCGCTCTAAAATGGCAGCCGACGCGCGTAGAGGATGGAGCGGCAGAGGAGGAGTCATTTCGGGATGGTGCTGATGCTGAGCTTCGTGATCAGGCTCAGATTAAACCCCGACTGAACCAATATTTATGTAATCCACGTAGTAATATACGTAGTAAGATACGTAGTAATATACGTAGTAAGATACGTAGTAATATACGTATACTCCCTGTGCCCTTGCCCAAATGAAGCGTTGGCAGTTTGTAAAAGGCCATGCGCATTAAACAGCTCGTGTGAAGCTTATTATTTCACCATTTTGTGTGAACAGTAAACAAGAGCCTGTAGTTTATTGGCCAAGGAATATGATCAAGATGAATTAAATGAATATATTAGTGGTAGCTGTGTTTATAGTGTCCAAAATGTTGCAATTTCTACACATAGGCTGTTATAGAAAAAATACATATAGTGAATAGTGTATTTGGTTTGTTCTTTTTTCTAAAGATATCTAAAGATTAGTTAACGTGACATCACAATATTCCAAAGAGCCTATAGTTTTAAATTGAAGTTAAGATTCGTTAAAATAAACTTCGATAAAATCTGTCCTGGTGACAAAATGTTAAAGTCTTAAGATAATGTCTCTGTAATGTTCTAGACCAATTCACTGTCACAAAGTTCCACATAAAAGTTTGAAGGTTGTTTTCTCTTTCAATTTAAAAAATGTAGTTGTTTTGGCACCTGCCCTTCAACTATAAAAACAAATCAACATGAACAAATCAGTTTAGTTTAGCTCTCAATTTCTTGCCCAAGATCACCTTGTTTACATTTCCATGCCCTCAGATCCACAGATTGTGCAGGGCTCACATTCCACATGAATAAATGTATTTGGGAGAATATCCAGACAAACAGCTGTGTGTGAAACCGAGCTGAAATCAATACCTCACAGACTTTAGTTTCAGCACAATCCATCAGGTCGCTCTCTCTCATCTGCAAACGCATTCATCTTACTCCATGTAGTTGTCTGTTTATGCTGTGAGTGTAGTTCACTATGAAAGTTGTACTTAAGAGCACTTCAGAGCAGCGCGCCCCAGGGCAACGAGACACAGATAGTTGAATTTCTGTAAAGCGTTTACTTTGACAATCAGCTCAGTTTCATAAGTGCGGCTTCTGCACCTTCTTCATGTGCTGCAAGCTCCACCATCTGGAGCACAAAAAATAGATTCTGAGATGGTGAAGGAAGAAAAGGTTCATTATAGATATCACTTTCCCAAATGCTGATGGTCAGGGTTAGGGTTAGGGCTGAGTCCCTCCTCTTTTACCTGTTTGACCTGTTTGACCTGTCAGGAGCAGACAGACTAGTGCCCTTTATCCCCAGAGAGAGTGAAAGAAAGTTCATATGTCACCAGGCTTTAGTCTTCAGGAGTTTTCCTTCTTCTACACTACCCCAGAGACACAGATGGTGAGATGCTTGTCATGAACCTCTAAAGTTTAGTTTTTTGCATTTAATTTACATCCAATGAATCCGTGATAAATGCACACACCCTGTTTATTCATGCTGTGTCTGTTTCAGTTGGTGGCCCAGGGCCAGTTCAGAGTCATCAAAGTCCCTCTGGGCTTCATCAAGGTCCTACAGTGGGTGAGTGTTTGATACTTAAGACGTTTTAGTTTAAAATTCCTATTTGGACGAAAAAAATACAATGTATGTTTGGAGCTCTAATACAAAAACCGAGCAGAGATGGATTAGATGAACATTTGGTCGGATCATCTTCATGTTTGTTATTTTAGTTTTCACATTTCTAAATTGTGAAAAGCTATAAAGCATAAGTCTTTGTTTTGGGTTCATCAACTAGATTACTCCTGGTTTTATCCACAATATCTGCTGGTGCATTCTCAATGTTTTCACAGTTTATTCAGTGTAATATTGTCAGTAACTTGCACGCCCTTTCATTTTCTTACTTAGAAAAAGAGAGTAATAATAGCACGCAGTCTCAGAACCTGGAGAAAACCACCCAGCTCTGGTTCTGGCTCAGGCCCAGAGCACAGATGGTCCCAGTCAGACTCTGTCATTTAAACAGTAACTGCAGCAGCGGGAGGAGCTAGAGCAGTCTCCATAGAAACACCGGGGCTATGGGAGGGGCCTGCAAGATTCCTATAGCAACTGCATCAGAGGGGCGTGACTCATGTCGCAGGTCCTAATGGCGGTTTGGGGACAGGGGTTCTGGGTGCAGCTGAATGTATGTTTGGAGGAAGACGCAGATGGTGACTCAGCATTTTGTGTGCAGCTGATGAGTCATGATTCTGCAGAACTACAAACTTTTGTCATTAGAACAGTTAAAGATGGGGTACCTAACTTTCAAACCACACAAAAAATGTAAACTAGTTCCTGGTTCACCTCTTAGATCAGCTTTTTCAGACAGAAAAGTGAAAGACAGCCAATTATTTCTCACTCAGCCAATCAGCTTTAAGCCCAAAGGATCAAACAGTGACTCAAATATAACATGTTAAACATAAAGACAGCATGTCGTGGTCTGAGTTGTTCAGACTCATTCTGTTGGGACAATAGGTATTATTTATGACACAAATAGTTACGCGCCTCAGCTTTAAGTGGGCTGAACTTCAGACAGCTTCCTGTGAACAACAGGTGGATCTGAGGAGAATGGAAAGAAAATAGTGTTACTAATTTTCATTTTTATTTTTTTTTCATCCTGAGGCTATTACAAATACTGTATTTAAAGCACTGGTCTCCTTATAAGATATGGTCTATTAAACACTAGACTACACTAGATTATATGTATGAGTTTTCTGTTATAATGCCTTATGTTGTCTTTTTTGCAGTTTTTTGCAATCTTTGCCTTCTCCACCTGCGGCAGTTACTCTGGAATGTTCCGGATGGCTGTGGAGTGTAAGAACCGCACAGACAGTGACCTGAGTATCGAAGTGGAGTTTGAATATCCGTTCAGGTGAAGCATCTTTTGTCTCCACACAACCACGAGGAGTTATCTGGAAGATGTAGCTTTAGTGGCATCAAGCTGGGGTTACCTAACTTTTAAAACATACAACATGAATCTATCCAGTTAAATCTATCAAACTAGTTCCTGGCTCTCAATACTGTTGGTTTGATTGGTAGTTTTCACATGTATGTAGTTTTACCCTCTGTCACATCTTTAGATCAGCTTTTTCAGAAAAAACAAAAAAGAGAGGACCACCCCCAATCAGCCAATCAGATCTCAGCCCAAAGCTCTTTCTTACAAGTATGCAAAAGATGAAGACAACATGGTGTGGTCTGATTTGTTCTCAACATTTTACCTTCATGGCTCCCTCTGTTGGGACGAACCAAATGTATTATTGATGAAAGGTACAGATAAGATACTTTCAGATCCTTTACTTTGGGGAAATGTCATTGTCATTGTTGCGCACATTACAGCAGCAAATAAGGGCACTCAGATTTCACACATCAAACAAGATCTATTATTTAAGATAACGGAAAAGAAAATAAAGATATATAATATAATAAGTAATTCCTTCTTCCCCAGGTTTGATTATAATGAATGGTTTAGGTTTAAAGGAGGGTCTTTGCCACGTTGAGTACAGCAGACAGAGCCTATGTTTAGACTTTGGTGATGTGATATGACTCAAAGGTCTTGTGTTCTTCTTCCCAGACTGCACCAGGTGTACTTCGATGCCCCCACCTGCCAGGGAAAGACCACAGAGCGATATTTCCTGGTGGGAGATTATTCCTCTTCAGCTGAGTTCTTTGTGACGATCGGAGTGTTCGCCTTCCTCTATGCCACAGCTGCTCTCAGCGTTTATGTTTTCTTCTATGAAAAGTACAAAGAAAACAACAAAGGACCCCTCATCGTGAGTTACATTCACACAAACTCAACATTGATCGTTCTGCAGTTGATTGAATTCTCACTCCAAAGGGAAGCTAGTGTTTTGCAATTCACATTAAAAACACAAATTAAATAATAATAAATACATACATTAAATTAAAACGTTAAAACCAATAAAATACTAATATATGCAATCAAATAAAAAAATATGAAATCAATTTAAAGAGTACAATTGTTTTAAAAGCAGCGGACAACAAAACTCAGGCAGTAGAGGTAAAAGCCAGGGATACAAGCTATAAGAAAATACTAATTCTGGTCTCTCTGGTCTTGTAGGATCTGGGAGTGACTGCATTCTTCACCTTCATGTGGCTGGTGTCCTCTGCAGCCTGGGCAAAGGGTTTGTCTGATGTGAAAACTGCCACAGACCCAGAGAAGGTGGTGACTCTGATCCAGGCCTGTGACACTGAAGGCAACCGCTGCAAAGAAGTGCACGACCCCGTCATGTCCGGACTCAACACCTCTGTGGTCAGTCTTCATACATGGATTTCTATTTACATGGTTAACGTTTAAAGAAACTTATGGTAAATGCAGCCCTCAGACTGCCTTCACTGACATTCCATAGCACATAGTGACTTTACAGCGTGTCAGAACCCTCTGGCATCATCTACAGGAAATACAGACTAGGCTTGGTTGGTTTGTCTTGACCTAACTGCAGTAAGTAAGTAAGTAAGCAAGTCATCTTTTATGTATATAGTGCACAGACAGAGTCACAAAGTGCATCACGATTGTTGTGGGCATTTTCCCTCTCACTCCACACAGTGAGGGGAGTGGGGTCACAAACAGGAAGGGCATGCTGGGCCTATTGTACATGTTTTATCTATATTTCTTGTTTCAGTCATTAATATGTAACTAATAAATGCAGAGTTTGGGAAATCAGGGCATTTCCATTTGAACCACATCTTTGTTTAGATCCAGTGAAGGATTATTTAAAGAACAGGAGGTTGTTTTGCTATTGTGTTTTAGTGAGTCCCTCACTCTTGTCCTCAGGCTTTTGGCTTCATAAACCTGGTGTTGTGGGCTGGAAACCTCTGGTTCGTGTTCAAGGAGACTGGAATCATTGCCCCATTCATGAGAGCTCCTCCTCCTGAGACCAAACCAGCCCCAGACGCATACGGCCAACAGGGAGCGTATGAGCAGGACCCCTATGCCTCAGGACAGGGGGGCTACCAACCTGATTACAACCAGGTAACATCATCTCTGAAAACACACACAAAAGTACACTTAAACAAAAGAAAGTTAAAAGTCAACTTGACTTTTAAATGTGGGTGCCCAACCCCACATTTTCTTCTATACTATTATCACAATATACATTGCTTGTTGCAATCTGAAGATGACTTTTTTACATTAGAAGAATCGCAGAGCTTAGTAAACTGTTCTTAAATGTTTACCTGAGCTGCACTTTTACTACTCCTTGTAATTGTATTGTTTTCAGTGTTAATATATCTTGTGATTACAGGATGCAGAGTATGGTCAGGGCTATGGCCAGCAGGGGGCGCCCACCTCATTCTCTAATCAGATGTGAGCCTAATATTTACACAGACAGGTAAGCAAATATTTGCAATAATGATTAGAGCACATGAGAGGAATCTTTCTTTTTTACTTGACTTAATATTATTTTATTGAAGCAGTAAACCTATATCATGCCTGATAACATATAATTTCTGAATACGATTATTGTTCATCTCACACTATTCCCACATCTTTTAGTGTCCAAAAAGGAATATATAAGTACAACGCATTATTTTCATTATTATGATTATCATTTTATTATCATTCTGATATCCTGAAAAATGTATTACAAAAACATTTATACTATTGACATTGATATAACTTCAGCCCCATGCATAGCATCACTAGTGTGGTCCTGGTGCAGTACCTCGTTGCGGAGCCAATTCTGCAATAACATCGACAGCATATGACAATTGGTCTGAATCCCCCTGAAAGTTTAAGGCAACGCCATTTCTGACAGAGCAGCCTCCCTCCTGTGGACTCACCCCCTGCAGGAGTGACAGGCTGGTGCTTTGTGAATTATGTGGCAGCTCTGATTGTCACCCTGCAACCAAGAAATGAATTAAGGGGAAGAAAATAGATAGGCGGAGAATTGTGCACAACGCATCCTCTGTGTATTTGTTCAGTACAGTGTGCGTAAAGTTACGAGCTGCAATTTCCTGCTCACAATAAACACATGCCGGCTGAAGCCAGTTTGATTACAGGGATTTCAAATATGATGTTTGTAGTGTCCACAGCAGGAGCACCCACCTGCTCACATCTCATACATTCTTCTTACTTGTGAGCAGCTGAACACGTGCTTCTGTCGTTACGTATAGTCTCCTTTTCTTTTCTTGTACAGGGTGTATTTGAAAAAAAATATTTTCTCTTATAAAATTAGATTGTGTGCTCAGCATAAAAGGGACCATCAATCAGGACCATGGAAAGCACCACACCACAAACGTTTATCTATTTCTATCTTACACAAACCTATTTCTATCTGGTTTATCCCTTCTAATGTACTTTGTTTCAAGTCTATAAAGCGCTTTGATCAATGATAATAACAATTCACTTTTTTGATTTTCAGAAGGCGTTGCACTGAAGAAGCATCTTCAGGCCGCAGCCTGCTCTTCTCTCTGTTCTGTCAGTCGCTGAGGGTTTTGGGGGGGTGGGGTTTGGGGTTCGGGGTGTGGGAGGGGAATGGGGAGGGGTACAAATTGTTGTGGGCAGCGTTCAGGGTTTTGCCTTGGGTGGGTGGGACCTTTAGATGTTCACTATAATCAATGTGTAAATGACTAAAAGCACCAAAAGTCCAGCCCAGTGCGTGTATAGATGATAATGTTGTTGATATGAATTGTGCGCGAAAAGTATGTTTGTGACAGATGTTCTATATTATCTAATAGAAGCGTTTATTTCAATAAGCCACACCCCGGTTTATTCAAATGAGATGAAGGAGATCAGACTAGGCTCAAAGTAGGAGAATATGCAGAAGCAGACCTGGAGATATCTTTGGTTTGAGAAAAAGTTCGGACATTTAGAGAAAGAAATAGACAAAATCTGAATAGACGCTTTCTGACGGGAAAAAAATAGAAATGCCACTGAAGATGTCACACCAGCTCTATACCATTGTCTCAAGCTGCTTCCAGTTTTCTATTTATTATTTAATTATTTTCAATATGTCACGTGTGCTGCATGTAAATATATAAAAAGGAAGTGATGTCATTCAGCCCATATTTGAGCTCAGTCTGATTTCCTGCTGGATTCACAACGGCCGCTGGTCTCACAGTCTCTGCTTGTTTGTTACATTCCTCTGAAGAGACGTCCCGCTCAACAACTACAAAAATATATTTTCCAAAAATATATCTATATATGTATACAGTATATAATAGAAAGAATGAAAAATGTCCAGAATCATATCCATTCTAAAAAGAGGGGCAGTTATGGAGAAAAAATGTTGAATTAAAAAGGAAGGAGTTTGTGAGACTGTAATGATGTTTACAAAGTTAACACGACATTGAGAATAATGTCTGTATCATTTATCGCACTTTATGTTGTAAATTAATGTATTTATTCAATGTTGAGCGGGACGTCCCTGTTGCTGCCAAACCCAGTGTTGTGATTGGTGGAGTCCTGGGCCAATCAGCTTCCAGCGTGTGTGGTGTACGGCGGTGGTTTTCGGGGACGTGGTGCATGGTGCTGTGTTTCTGCTCGTGTTGTAAAACTTCAGAGTGTCAGTGTATACCGCCCCCTTCCCTCTGACTGAGAGACGCATTGATTTTACTTTACGATTTGATTTTTGATTGTCTATTTTGTAAAGTATATGACACGTTTAGGTAGGTTGTAAAGGGAATTGATCTGTTCATTGTTTTGTTTATTTTCTATGTTCTTTCTAAAGGAGGGGAAGAAGATGGAGCAAGGATAGAATTGACAATAACTAGATATTTAGGACAAAAGAAAGAAATAGCTACCAGCAAAACAAACTTCTATACTCAAATCAAGTTCTAACATCCTCTTTCCTCCCTTTACGCGTTGAAGTATGAGTGATGCCATTTCCTGTGTCTCCAACCGTAACCATGGTGAAAGTGTATTATTATGGTTTTATTTTCTCTAATCTCTATTATGTCTCTGAATACTGCAGATATTTGTGTTGATTTCTGAAGTTTGTGTCGATGATGTCACCGATACCTGCAGCTGATTGGTTTGTGTGACTTGATGCTATGGAGACCCCCCTCCCCTCTTCCTCCTGCTGTGTTCATTCAGTGGAACTTTCAATAAACAACAAAACAATAAAATACAAATTGACTCGAGTCTTAATTTAAAAGTATTAGTCGTTTTATCTGTAACCTTTAAAAATACATATTATCCTGAGTAACTTCCCGGTAAGATTTCAGCACCATGGACAGCTCCACAGAGAAGCTGTGGCTCCCGCGTATTTTCCACACGTACAGAAGTTGCGTGTTCACAACAGTTTTAGACAACAGTGGGAAAGGTTGGCAAGTTGTTTCGACCTGTTGCATCTTTATTTCCGCCACAGGAAATTCAAGAACATGTCAAAATAAAAGCACACCTCCTTGTTTATGTGTACTGCAGAGTTCATACACAAGGAAACTCAAAGTACTTAACAGAACGTTTGTGTAAGCTCTCAGTCGTACAGGGATTAGTCAAAGCAAAGGAAGGTTTCTCACCCATCATCTGTACTTCTTAGCAGACTTAACAGAACAAGAAGGGAAACTTGTGTGTCGTGGACTGCGCAGTGGACCTCTTATCCATCTAGAACAATTGAATGAAAGCATCCTCCCTATTTTTTTATTTTATTTTATTTTCTTATTATTTTTATTTTTTAACAAACCAGAAATGTCGCTCTGATCCTCTCCTCCATAACCTCCACCAAAAAACACACTCTCAGCGGCCCCTCCCCTTGCGTTTCCGCTGTATCCTGTTGATCAACCCATTTCATCTGCGCGCACACTCGCTCCATCTCTCACCGCAGACAGCGCTCCTGCCTCGGACACCGCTGCAGATGGAGCCCGCTCGTGTCCTGGTGCTCCTGGCCGCTCTGCTCCACTCCGCTCAGGTACAAGAGACATTCACCCAGTGCTTTCACCAACGTGTGACAAAAAAATGGCATTCGAAGAAGCCATTTTTTTACCCAGAGACATAACTGCGCACTTTACGTAGGCTATTGATTAAGAATGCGCTTGTTCCTAAAGATACGATTTTTCTGTTACATAAAATATTACTCATCAGGTCTGATTTAGACACACTTTGATCCAGGTCCAGGTTAAGTCTAACTGTATGTTGGTCTCCCCCATTTTCATTTGTTTTAATGTTTTTTGTATATTTGTGTATTTTGGTGTATTTGTTAGTCCTGGGTCATTAATGGAGTAAAGAATGTCTTTTGTGACAGTGGTTCCTCTTCACAGCAATAGGACCTGTTCACACGTGTTCTCCAGTTCATCCGAGGTCTTTTCTTAAATCGTACTCAGTCCCTGTCCAAAAATCCTCATGCTGCGTGTATACGCGAATCATAGGTAGCTTGTGATTAAGTGACAATTTAGTCATGGTTTGCTCTTTAAGGTCAGCAAGATTGTGTCAAAATGCCTAATGAACATTTATTTGGACATTTTGATTGCAATTACAGTACTTTTGCAATTTTGTGTTTTGAAAAACGTTAATCTTTAGTATCAACAAATCACTTCAGTAAGTTGTATATTTTATTAGTTATTATTTATTTAAATATCTCTGATAATACATTCTCATTTACAAAGTAGTTTCCCTTCAGGATAAAGCTCAAATGTTAATTATGACTCTTATTAAAATTAATCCTGCTGCCAAAAATCCTTAATGGCTAGATTAAGTCCTGTTTTAGTCCTGGTTTAGAACTGCTTAAGTCCTACTTGAGACCTGCTTTAGTCCTGCTTTAGTCCTGCTTTAGTCCTGCTTCGGTCCTGCTTCGGTCCTGCTTCAGTCCTGCTTCAGTCCTGCTTCAGTCTAGCTTCAGTCATGCTTCAGTCCTGCTTTTGACCTGCTTTAGACCTGATTCTCTCACATTTCTAGTTCTGGCTTTTTGCCCAATTATGATTTCTGATATGTGATGTGGTTGCCATAGTGACACAGAATATCCAGGGAAACGGCTGCAACACTGTGACGCTGTTCTTTTATCAACAATGGTCCAACACAGGTCATTTATTCACGTAGAGAGTGGACTTCATCTGAACTGAAGGATTTTTGGGAAAAGGCAGATTTCTGGGGTTTTAGTGATTTATTAAACAAATACAGCAATAGGAAATCAGATTAGACTGAATCAATAATCCCAGTCTGCTATCAATGTTTTACCAGCTTAAAGATTTGCAGGACTGTTTTATTATGATTAGAAGTCACATTCAAAAGTTGTACAGCTTTAGTGATTGCTTTTTTACTTAAATAGGACAGAAACAGCAGAGAGGAGAGAGCTTTGGGAGAGTTGAATCTGCCCGTTACCTCACATTGTCTTTGTGGAACATCCTGACCATTTTTAGACCATTTTATCTAACACCACAGCGCGTCCTATTTTTTACTCAATGAAAAAATCTTCAACCATCATTATGTTCCATCTAAAAGGCCTGCAAACGGGCTTTTATTCTCTACAGTCATAAAAATAATATAAAAAAACAATAGATCAAATAATGATAAAATGAACCCACGGCCAACAGCCTCAGATTCTGATGCCATTCCATCCATCCATTTTCTACCCTTTAATCCATTTCTGGGTCAGGGGGTTGGCAATCAGAGATGCCACCCAAGTCTCATAGCACCAGCCCCTCACTGACCCTCTGCAGGTGGTGAGTCCACAGGAGGGCGGCTGCTCTCTGAGTGTGAGCATAGCCTTGATCTTTCAGTGGGGGCTTTGGGCAAAGTGGGGTTAAGTGTCTTGCCCAAGGACACAACGACAGCAGTCATCAGTGGGAGTCGGTGGAGAAGGTGTAGAGGTGGGAATTGAACCCACAACCTTCTGGCCTTAAGGCCAATGCTCTACCAACTGAGCTACTGTCGCCCCAGATTCTGATGCCGAATGGAGATAAAGCCGTTATTACAGAGGCCTATTATGATAATGTGGTGTTCAGGTGCAGCGGTGCGTTCAAAGGCAGTCGGCCGTAGTTCATTTCCTGATGGAGCATTCTCTGATTTACTGCTGTCCTTTAATGCCACCTGATGAGAGAGTCCTCATTGGAAACATCAACATGTCTGCATCACGTTCACTCTTTTTTTTTCTTTTACCTTTTACCAGGACTATTTTATAATGGATTGTAGAAAAAAAAAAGGAATTTCAAACACAGACACCAGTTAATGTCCTAGATTGACATGCATTGGTTTGACTCTATCCTCCAGAACATCTTATTAGTGGTGGTTATACCAGATGGAGGCAGATACACCCTGAGAAGAGGGAAGGGACTATACTCATTTTAAAATACAATATTATTAAGATAAAATAACCTTACTGTACATTATAGAACAGGGCAAAGTGGTAAAAAACCTTTGCTTTCTGTAAAAAAATGAATGAATTGTATATATACTGCTTTCTCACAGCTCAATATTATTTAAAGGTTCTCTGATCTTATTTCTTTGCAACTTGTGCAGTGCATGGTGAAGTGGCTCACTGTATCATATCACAGGAGGATTTATAAAGTAGACAGAGGAACTAAAAGGAACTAATTGAACTTTAGTTAATTACATTTGGTCAGAATTTGTCAAGAAGGTCCGCCTGATAAACACGGCTGTGACGAAGCTTGACAAGAGCAAAGGGATTACTGTAATTGAGTTCAAAGTGAAATTCAAGCAAAACCAGGACAAATCGATATTTTTGTGGGACTAGGATTAAGCCAAAATAAGGATTACCCAGACATGAACAGACCAATAGCTCACCTCTAGGTCCTTGGCCGAGAGGTGGGCTTTTACATCAAACGCTGCACTGGCTTTTGATGTAAAAGCCACAGTGAAGGCTGAATTGGACAAAAAACAGTTCAAATTTCAAGTAGGCTTTATTTATCAACACTACAAAAGGAAGAAATTATAAGAATAATATTGGATTTATAGAGAAATAGCTCCAAAAATTAGCCTGCTCCAGCTGAACTTTAGCCACGCCTACATACAATTCCAGGGCCACTAGAATTTGATGTAGATTGGGCTAAAGTTATTTGTGGCTGAATTTGGAAACATTTCAAAAAGAGAATGTACCGTACACCAACAATCTATTGATGAGGTACAAATACGAGGAGAACAAATAAAAAAACATGAGGGTATCACACACAAAAGATAAAAATATGATTTTAACAACGTTTCGGCCATTATAGCCTTCATCACCACAGTATACGGTTTTATTGTGGTAAGATCTGATGAAGGCTGTAATTACCAAAATTACATTAATCAATTTGCAATGCCCTCTTTGTGTTTTAGAATTCAGAAACAAGCCTGAAATGTTAAGACAATATGGAAGAAAACTTTAAATTAGACACTATAGAAAATGAGAAATTGACATTGTAGCTCTCTATGCCACAGTAAAACTTAAAACTGTGTGTGTACTGTATATTTAGACCTATTGCTCAATAAATCTATACACATTATCAAATCAACTCTTTGCGCTTTGGCACCGAGATATTTTTGTAACCAATCAAAACAATCTGATACGCGCGTCATATAATCTGTTTGCTCCCACTGACCAATCACAGGTCTGTCACTATAGCAACGAGTGGAGGCTGGGGATGTTTTATGGGCTCTAATTGCTGATTTGTCACAAAGCAAAAACTGCTCCGTAGTTTGTTTTCCTCTTGGTCGTCAAGGTAACCTAGAGCGGCCTGTGATTAGAGATAACGACTGCGGTGATGAGGTTAGAGCTGCTCCTGAAGGCACAAGAACGTACACTAAGAATGCTACACTATACACACTATGAGTTTGATAAACCTTTGTGCATAACCTGACCGAGCCGCGCAGCAGCGTCTGGAGACAGATGGTCTCTGGGGGTGAACACTGGCCCTGACAGATGGTCCTGGTGGCATTGAAGGATGGGTCAAATGCAGAGGACTGATTTCCCTGCGGGGACCAAGGAGCAAGTTAGTTAAATCCAATAATGTGTGCAGACAACAGTAACCTTCTATTATTGATTAACAAATAAAACATTTGAAAATTGAGAAATTAAAACAGCCATTGATTAAAAAAGATAGAACAACGTTTGCAGAAATCATTCCGAGCATTCTGTGGCCATTTTTAGCAGTGAAGAAGCATAAAACATTTGACTCTAATCTAATGTACAAGACTTCAGTTAACTTAGATTCAACTTTATTCTCATTACAAAGTCAGAGCATTCTAATAAAATGCAGTTTAGCATTAGCATTTGCATTGCATTTGCATGCAAGTATAAGATAATATTTTCCATACAGGTAAATATATACGCGTATAAGTGAGACTGTGTAAAGCTGCTATTGATAGTATATACGTACATGTATACACATGTTTGTATACACATAATGATAATGCATTGGTTTTATATTAATTAGTAATTTAGACAAAATATTTACTTGACCAGTGCATTTCATGACATTTTTACTGCAGAATCTGATATGCTTTGATATTTTTCTATTTTTCTTTTTGAGCGTCCGATTGGTCCTCAACACATAAGTATTTTCAAAGTATTGGTCTCGCCATCAGCCCATAATCAAATCATATCTCAGTAACCTTGTGCTATGTCTCAGTGCGTTCCTGTAGGGATGGGTCGTGGCCTGGACGACAGGGGCGGAGTCAGGCGTGCGCGGCGGGAAGTGCTGCCGTACGAAGACCGCATGATGTCACTTGCTGTGCCAGAGGAGGACTGGAGGGGGCGGGGCCTAGAGCAGGCCCTTCAGCGATTGGTGGAGAGAGACCAGAGGCGGGAGCAGCAGCAGGAGCAGCAACAGAGAGCAGGTAAACTGAAAAGAGAGTTCTTAAAAGATAAACATTGCGCAATATTTCCAAGCCAACAGAGGGTTATTGAAACAGTATCTGTGTGTGTGGCCTGTAGGGAGCAGTGCAGATAAATGTCTCACTTTTTTCTTTCAAAAATGAGAAATGTTTTGTCGCAACAGAAAGAGTCTTGTCAAACTAAAGTCATGTGAACAAAACGGAAAACAATCTGGTGTTCTCGACTCAATAGAAAAGATATTTTGGACACTTGAAAGAAAGGTGATTCATTGTTTGGTGCTTTGGGCTGAGAGCTGAGCTTTTGTATCTGGAAAAGCTGATTTAAAGGCAAACAAACAAAAAATGACATGCACATAAAACGTTATCTAATTTTGAGAGATAGGAAGTAGAGATTTTATTTCATTTTTAATCGTTTGAAATTATTATTATGTACCCCAGAAAAAAACCTCATTCACTCATTGATTAGAATCTTCTAATGATAGTGGGAATAAAACATAATTAACATAAGATTAATGGGCTTAAAATAGCAAAGAAGATCAGACTGATTAAACATGTAGCACTGTCAAAAGTTCAAAAGAGTACATTTTTCACATTATGTGCCCATTTAATGCTTGATGACATCACAATAAAATGTTTGCAGTACTTCTGTCTGTTGTCACAGTACTAACATTTCACTGAATTGACTCGATGGCCAACAACTGTGGTGTCACCACTTGTTTTCTAATAAAATGGTCATTGATTCATTCAACATCAAGATAATTTCCAATTCCTCAGTTGATTAGAATAAACAGCCTTCGAAAGAGGTGGTCACTGGTTCCAAATGACTAGTTTTAGTATTGATTGATGTTAAATGTGATATTATCTCTGTAGCGTACATGTCGGCCATGATGCAGCTGCTGGCGGATGCAGAGAGAGCAGGGCTGGTGAACGCTGAGCTGGACCAGGACCAGGAAGAGAGCCCTGCAGAGATCAAGACCATCCCGGACTATGACGACATGAGCCCCAGACTCACCATGAGCCGGCCCCAGGCCCCCTGGTGGAGACTGGTGGAACCACAGCTGGCAGAGGCACTGCTCCAGAGGTCAGTACCTTTAGGTCTGAGGTGGTTCAATTAGATATGAACTTTTGTCATTGGTCAAATTAGATTAGTGGTGGTTGCTGATTTAGTTTAGAAGGAACTGAGCTGTTGTTTTTGTCTGGTTTCAGACTGGACCCAGACTTTGCTGAAGCTCTTTTGAACAAACTCCAGCAAACTCAGCGACCAGGACCAAGAGAGACTGACGAGGAGACACTAAGGTCTGTGGGAAAGGGATTGAAAATGTAATCAAACTTTCAGAATTGACACATTATTTTCTGCGCTTCCCCTTTAAATATACGCATATCTGCATAGATGTTCTTCCATGGTTGATAAAAAATAGAAATCAGCAAAAACACCAATATAATGCAGCCAAATAAACTATATAACAAAGATCAATACAATATGTAAGAAAAGAACTGTTAGCATACATTTTGGAATAAAAACTACTGAAATATTTAAGTAACACAATCAGATTACGCTCTTAGAAGACTGTGTTATAGATCAGTCATTCATTAATCAATTCCAGTTTATTGCTTATATGTTTTTACAGTGAATTTACATCATATGTATATTCACTATAAAAGTGGCTATCATTTATTTTGTTCACGGTGTTCCAGGCGTCTGATTGGTCAGATCCTTTCCAGTCTGGATGCGAGTGATTCTGTGAGACCATCAAGCCGCAGAATGAGAAGAGACCTGTCTGACTCCGCCCCCTCACCCCTGAACCCCTCCCACAAGAGGAGCCGCCGTTCCCTTGACGATGCCCCTCCCAGCGCTGACCCTCCACTGCTACGGGTGAAGCGACTGGAGGAGGAGGAGGAGCTGGAGCCACGCTCACTTGCCGGGCTGCAGCGAATCAAACGCATCGACCTGGAAGATCACGGGAGTCGCAGGAGGAAGAGGCGAGCCGTGGTGAACTATGACCCCCAGATCCTCCTGAGGCAGGCGCTGGAGCTGATGAGGGAGTAGGGAAAGAAGGAGAGGAAGGAGGGAGATTCTGTAAGAAATATCTACACAATCAGTATTTCAGATACATTTCAGGGGTCTACTACCTAGGTGTGTCCAAAATATGGCTCCCATCGTGGCCCATCTTTTAATATAAATATAGATATTAAAAATACCCATGCAGCCTCCCACTCCACCAATAGGAAAAAGTATATATATATATATTGCTCTAGGATTGGGGATTGGGGGAGTAGGCTAGCTTGCTCCGAGTCAAAATGCTAAGATTATTGTTGTGTTTGCTCACCAGCAATACCAGAGAAAATGAAAATGACAATATTCTAAGTGATATATAAATGTATAATAAATTATTGAATTAAGCCACAGTGGGGAAATTACAGATAACCAATAAACATAATGCTCCAGCCCGTGCAAACCTATGGGTGAAAAGATGACTTGATGGGTTTGATGGTTGTAGACCCATGGATTAGATTTGATAAATATTGGGAATATGTGAAAGCCATTCAAAATAGTCTTGTATAAATCAGGCGGAACAAAATACTCAAGTAAGACCATGTAGATTTTTCTTTAACAAACAGAGGAGGCGAGAAAGATGAAAGAACAGAAGACTCTGGAAGGTGATGTGTGTTCACTGTTTTTGGTTCAGTTTTGTTGTTGCTGTTTTTGGTAAAACTGCACAGGAGCTGAAGACGAGAAAAGCAGCGTCAGGTCAGTTTTTACCAAAACAGAGGAAATCTCCTGAATTGTCTGCGATATTTACAAGTTAAGGCATTGATATTACCAGGAACAAAGGCTGTGTATTGGAAGATCTCAATACATAAGGGTACCAGCATTAATATTGTGTGTAGAAATTACTGTTTGACTGTAGGACATCAGGTTGAATATGATCCATAAGCTCCGAGAGTCAGTGCAGTCGTCATGGTAATTGCAATATACAGTATTTTTACTTGAAACTAAACTAGGACTAATGGAAAAACAAATCATAGCTGTAATTATAGTTATTAATGGTACAATGTGTCTGACCTGCTTCTCTCTCTTCCATCTCTGATCCTACAAAGCTTTACACAGTAAAAAGAGCCAGTTTCCTGTTTCCATATAAGGCAGTGAGGGATGTCCCCTTCTGTGCTGTGATTGGTCCGTTCATGTTGTGTTCATGTGTCGCTGTTTTTCATGTCGCACTGAGATTAAATAAATGATAAATGTGGACTCATTTCTGTCAATAAAGTCAGTACAACACCTCTAATACTTTCTCTCAATCTTCTGAAATCCATGAATTAATTTGTCTTTCTAGACAGAGTTACTCTTATAAGAACATATCATTATCATTCATACCATGTGTGACAATATTAAATTAATGACCAATCACCAGTGCCACATAGTTTATTTATTTTTGCTGACCCACATGCAAAAACCAGAAACTATAAAATGTTTCTGTTAATAAATGTATATACTATGGATGTACAAATTATAATTAGATAATCATGATTATTACAGATGAATATTATGACCTGAAAATAAAACACATTTTAGGTTTAATCTATTGTGCTCAAAGTTCTTTTTTAATCAGATGTGTCAAAAGTACCAGTAGGTTTGGTCTTATTCCAAGCAGGGTTCGATTCTCATTGGTGAGACATTTCTTTCTTTTTTACTTTTAGTAAGTTTGTTTTAATTGCAATGTTTGTTTTTTGTTGTTGCAAAATCCACATTTTACAAACTTCAAGCACACTTGAAACAGGAAGAGAGACATTGATGGATTTACTGTTATTTGGTCAATAATTATTGTTATTATTTATTTTTTATAACATAATAAATATCATAGTATAATATATATTTTGTAATAATTCATGTATATAATCATGTATTATAATACTGTAATTGAATATTTATAAAAAATTATGGTGTTTTTTCTCTCACAAGAAAACAGTATAAATATAATTTTACATTATATTACAAAAATAATTTCAGGACACCGCAATACAGGATATATTCTCCCAAGTGAATCTGAACATATAAAATTGGAGAAGAAATCAACTGAACTAATGTTAAAAGTGACTAAAGACGAATAGCATAAAGATTGTAGTCTCATCCTCTTTCTGTAACCTCACATCCAGCAGGTTTTCTTGCTAAAAGTATTGATTTATGTGTCAATATTTATTATCTAAAAACTTTCCCAAGAGAAAAACATTGACCCACGTATAGTTTTACAAAGAGCACTTTATCTAAAATACATCTGCTAATTGTCCAACACTGACATTGTTGCAACATTTATAAACAGAGACAGTTATTTATTTCCATGGTTTGGAAAATAAAGCTATTTCAGAGCAGGTCACGTGTGTTGAACGCTGGTTTGTATTTGGAAGACAGGGAACATTTCCTGAGGAAAACAAAAATAGATATTATTTAATGTCTATATTAAACAGAAATATATACAAAGAGTAGATTTTAAAAAACAGATCAGTCAAGCTTTACAACTGACTCTTTCCCCAGAAGTTTTTTGGAAAAGCCAGATATAATTTAGTATTAATGTAAATGTAATGTTAGTTAAAGTAAAGTTTCAAATGTACTATCATTAACATGGATGATTGGAATATTTTTTTACACTATTTCAAAACAGAGATATCTGTTTTTGAAAATTCTCTTACAATATCAATTGCATCTATTCAAAACTCACCATGTGTTTGTCTCTAGGCAGACATCAAGAGCCCAGTTGTCACTGCAAGAAAAAAAATCATATTTAATTAAAGGAGGACATATTTGGATTGAAGGTTGTCTCTAGATTATGGGCTTTCTCATCTTCCTCCCACCATCATGTGACAGTGACGGATAGTCGGTGTTCCTACTCTCTATAGATAATAAATACAATTTTTACAGTTCTGAAACCAGTCTCACCTTCTTTAGTGTCGGGAGGAAGCAGAGCGTCCTGGCGATTTGCTAAAACAAAAGCCAAAGTCGCCAAGATGGCAGCATCCAACACTCCCAGGACGGCCAGGATGTAGGCCCAGTGAACAGAGCAGCGGCCTGGGGAGAAACTGGTCACCTGCAGGGGACAAAGACATGTTAGAGGAGGAGAGAGGGGCAAAAAGGGGAACAGAACACAAAATGAGGGGGTCTATTCATGTAAAAGCATTGCCACTGGTATTTGGACATCAAGAAAGTAATATCTGTAATCTAGAAATATTTGGTAAGATTTAGAGACATTTTCTACAGCTATTGTTTTTGTATTTTGAATAAAAAGGCATAAAAATATATACATTTGTATTTTTATAACACTGACTTCTTATATGATCGAATACCTGATCTCCACACAACGCCCTCATCTCCGGACCCTCCCAGGAGTCAGGGAAAAGCAGACAAGCCAGCGCCAGACAGAAACCTCCAGAGAAAAGAAGGGACTCTCAGTTTACCATCACAATCAATCCGTATTACCACAATACTAAACTCAACAAACATCCAATATTTATAATTGATTGCTCTTTTTGAATTATTAAGAAGTCTCATATACAGACTAACAACAGAGCTCAAAGGAGGAGGCAGAAAAATAAAAAGCACATGTGGGCCATCCTATCGTCTGATTAAGTAAAAAGATATACAGTACATTACATCAGTATAAAGGCTTGGGAAATTCATTATTTTAGTAATCAAGTAATGTACTTATGTTTTAACTTTGGCAAGACATCCTTAAATGCATTATTAATTGTTAGAACAAATAAGAAGTTTCTTAATTAAAATAAATAATACATTTTATTTAAAAGTGCTTTTCAAAACACCCAAGGACACTGTACAAACATGATTAAAACGAGAGTGAAATCAAAAACAAAGCAAAGACAAAAACATTAGCGGAAATAAAAACAGAAAGCAATAGAACAAAGGTGTCTGGGGTGACTGGTCATGTGGGGAAAGAAAGTCTGAAAAGGGTGAGTTTTAAGTCTGGATTTGATAAGGGGAAGAGAGTCGGTGTTGCGGAGGTCAGGGGGAGTAAGTTGAATGCTCTACCCCCCATGGTGACGTGAAATTAAATTATTGTATTCATTGCTAAATCAGTGCTTTGTTCTGTGCGAAACCACGGCTGTGTGTGTCATATAACAAATGAGTTAGATTGTGACAGGTTAGAGTGTGTCTCACTCTAACTCATTTGTAGCGTAATAGTGGCGTCCATGTTAAAGCGTGTGATGGATCTGGTGCTTCAGGTTGAATCTCCAGTGTTCATCTGGAGGTGTTGATACCTGCAGTGAGCTGGAGCCAGGCACAGATCTTATAAACTGTGGCAGCGCTGCAGAATCTGAACAGAGCCAGGCACAACACACTGGTCCACACGGCCCAGAGGGACAACCCCACCAACACGGCCACCGACTGGAACGAGGGCAGGGGGGAGAGGGTGGCCAGGCCCCCCCTGCAATCTGGAATAGGCCAGTCAGAATCCACACAGACCTGACACACACAAGAATCCAATCCACCTTATTTATTTAGCAGTTACTGTATACGTTTCATGCAAGACAGGTTCTGCATATGGGTAAAAAGTAAGTCCAAAAACGATTAAAATCATTGGGTATTGCCAGAAATCATAAGTAAAAAAAAAAAAATATTAAGTAGTAGTAGTAGTAAGTAGTAATCTTTATTTATATACCGCCTTTTCACTGCACATCGGAGTCTCAAAGCGGTTTACAATTGTTATTTTTTTTTTTTGGGAGCAGGGGTGCCAGTACAGGAGGCACATGCCAGAACTATTGTACATATTTTTAGTGGTAGGGGAAACCGGAGCACCCGGAGGAAACCTACGCAGACACAGGGAGAACATGCAAACTCCACTCAGAAAGGCCCTGGTCCAACCGGGATTCGAACCCAGGACCTTCTTGCTGAGAGGCGAGAGTGCTATCCACTCAGCCACCGTGCCGCTAACAAATGTATATTTTCTCTATCTTGTTATCGAGGTGAATTAAAATCAAGAAACACTGATCTTGAGGCTAAAGAGATGAACTGTTTCTTTAGGAGAAAGCGTTCGGCATAAAGAACTGGGCAAAAAACAGCACTTTTCATTTGCCTTTTGGCAAAACTCAGCTTTAATAAGTTAAGTTTGATCCTGACGGTGTACAGGTAGATCACACCATTTTGTAATCTAGGTAATTAAAAACTGCAGATCTAATGCCCAATTTGATTTAAATAGTGCTAAAACTAAAGCAATCAAATCAATTAAAAATAAATAATAGATATTTATACACACTTACACGTGTGGATCATAGACTGGATGTACTGTACTGTACTGACTCACCTCAAACAATCCCAGCGTGCCACTGGGAGGTTCTGGCCCCCGTCCCTGGTGCAGACTGGCCTCTGTCCCGACCCATGAGGGCTGGACCAGGATCACGACCTGGATGATGGCAAAGCAGAGCGTGCACACGGCCCACAGGACCCCCACAGCTCTGGCACTGCGCACAAACTCTGTCTGATAGAGCCGGGACAAGTCAGAGAGGGCGGGGGACGCCGACATCACTGCAGGACAAGGACAACAACAATCAACAGAACATCGCTTCTGCATTTATACAGCTATATTTGGGTTATACATAGTCATACAGCTGATATTTATAGAGCCATTTTAAACACACACGTTGACCAAAGTACTTTTTTTTACAGTGAGACCAAGGTAAACAACTATGTTTACAAAAAATTACATGAAATTATCATAAAGTAAACAAGGGATATGAATGATGAAACAAACTGGACACAATTGTAAGAAAATACCTCGACCAAAACAAAGACATTGGGCACGTTTTAAGATGTGACTGATGTGCACACTTTATCTTCATACACATCACAACAGTCTATGCAGCCTACAGCGAGATAAGCGTTTTTCATTTAGCGAAGTCCGAAAGACAACACGAGCGGAGCCAACCAGTTACGCACATCCCGGACTCGAGGGCTTCTGAAGAGAATGTGGAGGCGACAAAAGACACATTATCTCCTATAAATATGCAAACTGCTGCGACTTACCGACTGGTGCGTCCTCCAGGATCAGAGAGTGTGTCCCCGCGAAGAGGACAGAGGGATGCGGGAGGATGCGGGAAGATGCTGCGACAATGACGACGGAGAGAAGGAGGATGAACGAACGGGCAAAGGACTACAAATATGGCGGAAAAGACACATATACATATTTTTTAGGTTTTTACATGTTTTGCTTTCATAAAAACTAGGTACACACTAGTTACTATGTTAACAATCACTTAAATACTACTACTATTATTTTTTCGTAACATTTTATTTTATAAAATAAATAAATAATAATAATTAAATCCGCAAGCGGATTTCCTCCCGTAGCCGTAGAACATTGTTTGTGAAATTGTAATGAATATGATCAGTTGTACTGGCTCCCCATGTTAAACTTTGGCTCAGTCTAAAGAGCCAATGTAATATTTCACATCTTCAGGTGACCTAGGCCCAGGAGTAGAACAACAGAGTCAAGTTAAGCTCAAATCAGACTTTGTATGTGTAAATAGGAGCACATGTATAATCTGTGAGTGTGTCCATACAGTCTCCATAGGATGACCATGTGACTAATTCAAATTCTATGAACAACTATTGATGGTACATGTGGTTTGGAGTGATTTTCAGCCAAATCGGTGAAACGGCCAAGGCTGTTTTGATGTTTGTGCAAGGTGTACATTTGTCATTAACACAGCTTTTGACGTTGCCACGGTAACAGGGTAAAAAACAAGTCTTGGGTCTCTTTGACTTTTTGAATCAAGAGGTCAAAACAGAATTATATGCAAAATTTCAAACATTTTGACAAAACTAAATGGGATTAACCCATGGAGGATTGACCCCATGCAAAAAATTGCCATAGTCTGTAGGGGGCACTAATGGGCCAATTTGAATTATTTCACTTTCAAATGACCTAGACCCTAGAGTTGAAAAAATGGTAAAAATTTTGTGCAAATGGTACTTTGTATGTGCAACGGGAGCTAATTTTCTTTCGTCAAAAATGAGGAAAAAAATGTCGCTTTTTGACGCTCCGCTCCGACGATCAGTTTCACTGATAAAAATTTGCTGAAGTCATTTTGATCGTACATATGTCTAAACAATGTGGAGCGATTTTGAGCCAAATTGGTGAAACGGCCGAGGAGGAGTGTGAGAAAATGATCATGTTTCATTTTTCCATTTTGCAATGAAATTTATGGGCTTTCTGTTTGTCAGGGGGCGTGGCCATAATATAATTTTTTCCCTGTCTTGACCTGAGGAACATGTGTACTGAATTTGGTGGCTCTACGACAAAATTGACCTCGAACCCCTCCCTTAGGCAAAAAAAGTAAAATTTTTGCCGATTCGGAAATTTGCTTTCACCGTTGTGAAAGCAAATGGTGAAAGCAGTCAGGCCTAATAATACACAAACATTGGTTGCTTTTAATGATGATGTAAAAAGTGTGTTCTTGCATATTACCATTACATCTTAACAATTATAAGGCTCCATGGTTTTGGCTTTTTTATTATGTCCTGTACAGTGTCCTTGGATGTTTTGAAAGGCGCTTTTAAATAAAATGTATTATTATTATTAATATCTTTGTCAGAATCAAATAAAGAGGGGAAAGGTGTAACATTCAAACGTTTATTTTTTATGTAAAATAAGTACAAAGTTTTGAATATATATCTATAAAAAAGAAAATAATATTGCACGAAACACACAGGCCTCAGCTACGTCCACACTACAACACAACTGAGTCAGAACCGACATATCACACAATGTGCAGTCACAAATGCTACACAGATATTGCTCTATGACAATGAATGACATTAGCTGTGAGGTATTCAAAGGAGGCTAGAAAAAAGGTTGGTAACCCTTATTTTGACAACCCAAATATTAAATCAGTATAGTTTCATTTAAATAAAAGTCACATACAGTCAAAGAATGTCTAAAGATGAAATTAAACCATAAAATATATAAACAAAGAGGTCAGGGATTTCACCTTAGGGCTGAATGAGTTTCTAAAGTGACAATACTTTAATGAATACTGACATAATTTTGGTTAATAATGTCTCTTTTAAATAATAATTCTAAAAGCTGGTGAAAACCTTTGAGGCTGTCGATCCCCGTAGACATTAAAAACTCACACACAAAGCTGAAGTATTAGGTGATACAACATGTTTTTAAAGTATAGAATATGTTTTAAGTCCAGGGAGGAACCTCTTCTCCAAATTTTGACCAATGCGCTGAATTTTTGGCTTCATATAAAATCTAGAGGAAAAACAGACAAGAACAAATTAAATGTGCGCTTCACTGACAAAACTCGAATAGATAAAATGCTGTGTATGTTTTTAAACAAAGAGAAATGGCCGCTGTATGTATACAATAAGTTTATCATAGATGGAAATGGAATAACAGTGTGTGATCCAGAGTGTGTGGCTTCATGAAGACCAAGAATTGTGCATGTGCTACCAATGTCCATACTACAGTTCTTATTCAACCCTCAAACATTTAGAACAGCTGAAATAGTTGTAGTTTTTGAAGTATTAGTATTAGCAGTTATAGTAGTGATAGTAGCAGCAGCATTAGTACCTGGTTGTGGACGTAGGATTCGCAGATGTAACACCAAACAGACAGATCAGCGTAGCTCAAAACCACAGGATGTTCTTCTGTAACTCCATGAATCACCATGTGCTTGTTTACATATCGGCCACAAAGGACCTGCGAGATTTGAAATGATAAACCAGTCTATGATTTATACATTCGTTATATATATAACCACACACAGTATTCTGTAGTCCTTTTTTACCTTGTAGCAGGTGAGACAGACCCAGTTCTCAGCTTCAGAGCCACAGTCCTCACAGGGTTTGAACACATCCAGACCAGCAGGAGGCAGTGGTTTCACAGAGTCTAGATGAGGGCACCAGGGCAGAGGATCCACCACAAATAAGGTGTTCTGGAAAAGTAAAGGATATTGAACCGTCTTTCTTCAGAGGTGTTCAATGTAAAAAACATTTCAATGAGATCCAAGTCTTCATCATAAACTACACGGTGGAGAGTGGACAATAATAACTTTTAGCTCATTGAAGCCTATTTAGGCAAGGCAAGGCAAGGCAAGTTTATTTGTATAGCACAATTCATACACAAGGCAACTCAAAGTGCTGCTATTTAGGAAGTGCTCATGGTATGGACAAAGTTTTGCTCCTCGCTTTGTCTTCCATTCGCTTACATTGAAAAATAAGCTCCTCCCACTTTGTATTGTTCGTGTCACAATCGCTGTTTTTGCCTTAAAAATCTGTTGTTTGATACAGTGCTGGTGTCTATAGTTTGATAGTAAATCTAGATATATTCCTTAACAATTGCCCAATCTTGTGCCTTCTGTCCTCAAATCTGCCTTTCGCTAACGATAGCCGATTGGCTCTGTGGTTGCTATGTTGTTTCTACCCATGAATTTGGCTCCAGGTTCCTCATGGAGCCTGTTTAAGCTAGCAGGAAAACACTATGGGTGACGTCAGCACTTCTCCTTTTTACAGTATATGGTCTTTACTCTGAAAAAAGCACGAGGAAAATAATAAGTTCTTACTCCTTCACTCTCTACTCCACAGGTCACCTCCAAGTTTGTTTTGGACCAACCACAGGCTCCTTCTGGTGATTGTGCAGACTCCTCCCCTTTCTCAGGTGATTGTGCAGACTCCACCCCTTTCTCGGGTGACTGTACAGACTCCGCCCCTTTCATAGGTGACGGCTCTTTACTTGGAGCTACAATCTCTGTGTTGGCAACAACCTAAACAAACCAGAACAGCATTTAAGATTCTATTTAGTAACTTCTCAACTATATTTTTCTCTTATTTAGTTTCACCTGTGTCTCAGACTGACTCTTCTCCTCTCTCTGATCCTCTGTTTTTCCAGAGCTGGGGCGGACCTTGGGCCTGGCCCCGCCCACAGCAGCAGAGATGCTTAATCCGTCCAGTTCCTGCGTTAGATGATCCAAGTCTGAGGGAGGAAGAGGCGGTTTGTTGTTCTGATCAGACTTCCTGCCTTTTCCTTTAGAACTGCGTTTCCCTCGATGCTTTGGTGACGGCAATGACTCACGCACTGAATCTGGGACTAAAGTGAGAGGTAAATCAATTTTTATATTTCACCATGAAAACGGCGTTGGGAGAAATCATCACAAAATGGAAATTTCTCTTTTGTACTAACTGTGTATCCGTATTGACTTCCAATATGGAGCGTGGTGTCTGATGACGTTGTTGATGGTTTCCACGGCGCTGTGATGAGGGGGTGGGGGCTGAATTAGTGGGGGAGGGTCCCCAAGTAACACAGAGGTACAGAGGGCCATTGACTCAGAGATAGACGTCAAGTTGTAGCCGCCCTTAAGGGAAAGGGATTAAGATAATAATTTACTTGAGGTATAGTGCACAACTGTTTGCAAGCATCACAAATCAGAAGGATAAAACATTTTATGACTAAACTGCCAGGTTTTACCTCCAGGATCATGACCAGTCTCCCTGAGGCGAGAGTAAGCAGCAGATGTGTGAGGTGGGCATATCCTTCTGGGGTCACATTGTATCCACCTAAAGGATCTCCACGAGCCGCATCAAACCCAGCCGAGACCAGGACCAGATCAGGGTTAAACTGAAAACATTCAAACACATTCAGTTGAGAGAAGTAATAAGTAAGTAAGTAATCAATCCTTATTTATATAGCGCCTATGAGCGACGTGACCAGAGGCATTTGTCCCTCACTCACATGGGAGCAGGGTCGCCACACAAGAGGCGCATGCCAGATCTATTGTACATGTTTTTAGTGGTAGGGGAAACCGGAGCGCCCGGAGGAAACCTACACTGACACAGTACATGTCAAAAAATTAACCAGTACCTGTTTGTGCATTTACAACGGTGTGAGTCTAACAAGAAACGATGGAAAACACATATTTTTCAAGCCAGATTGGTGAATCATAATACATTAAAAAAGATCTTATTAAGACAATTTGACAACCAAGCAAGCAGCCTAAGAAAACAGACTCAGCACAACGTGAGAATGTAAAACTGTCTGTGCTGTCTGTGCAGTGCATGGATACAGCATGACTTTTCAGAGATGTGTCTCGGACCTCGGTGGCGATCGGCATGACGACTTGGTGAAATGCAGCAATGTAATCTCCATCCCCCATCCTTCCTCCGCTCCACGCCACGTTCACGTTGAAGCCTGCGCCTCTGGCCACGCCCACTTTGTCACATCCAGCGTCCAATGAGGAAGGGAAGAAGATCCCATTGTCATAGCGATGAAGTGAAACGTACAAGACACTGGAGAGGGAGAAGACACCTGTTTATGTTAATGAAGTCTTGTGCTTTTCTGTATTGGTGTAAAGAGATAATCCCCTGGACTTGACATGTTTTGAAGTTGAACAATTGTGATCTTAAGAATTTAATAAATGAAACAAGTTTACACACTTCCATAAAATAAAACGGCCAGTCACAAGATTCCACCTCCCAGTTACCTTTAAAAATATTTTATTATAATTCCTTTAATTGAGGCACAAAGTTGTAAAGGTGTTTTTTCCATGAGCCAAAATAGAGGAACTCGCCTGTTGTCATCCTCAAACATGTGTTGAGTCCCGTTGCCATGGTGAACGTCCCAATCCAGAATCAGGACCCTCAATGACGGATTATTTGAGATTTTCTGTGCAAATCGTGCTACGAGTGCTGCTGTGTTAAAGAGGCAGAAGCCACAGGGAAAGTCCTTCTCTGCATGGTGTCCAGGAGGACGCACGATCGCCACAGAATTAGAGACCTACAGAGAAAACATGTATAAGACTGGATGATGCAAGTGTGTCTACATGCAGAGATATAGTATATCATGCTTTATAATGGCTGTGCAAATAAATATAAAAAAATTAACATAAATTAACCTGTCCTGTTCTGCAGCTTTCACTCAAGTAAATACTAATAATACTGTCCGCAGGTCTCACCTGTCCAGTGAGGACCGCCTCCACGGCTCTGAAACAGCCCCCTGCAGCCATCAGGGCGCACTCATAACTCTGATTATTCAGAAAGATCGAGTTAAACTCCTCCCCCATTTTGAACAAGTCTCTCGGCTTCAGAACGGAGGAGCCCTTCATATGAGCGACGTGACCTGCACTGGAAAACAACAGTGTGGTGGTTTAGTCCTGGTGTAGCCCTGGTTTTGTCCTGGTTTAGACCTGGTTTAGCCCTGGTTTAGCCCTGGTTTAGCCCTGGTTTAGCCCTGGTTTAGACCTGGTTTAGACCTGGTTTAGACCTGGTTTAGTCCTGGTTTAGATCTGGTTTTGTCCTGGTTTACTGACTCCCTTGCTCTTCTCACTTACACCTGAATAATAACACCACAGTGAGTGAGTTTCTAAAGTCAAACAAATCAATAACCCCAAACAAGAAAATAAGTACTGTTTTGAAAAGACTAGTTTGAAGCACAGTTTAGTCTAGACCAGTTTGTCCTTGAGCTACTTTATCATTTGAATCCCAAAGTTGATCCTTTTAGATGTTATATCAGACTCAGTCCTTTTTAGATTAGGTTTGAAAGACTCCTGGTTTGGTTTCTGGTCACAACCTTTACTTTTACCTGTGGCACATCAGCAGCTCTTCCTCTGTTGCTAGTCGCACCTCTAGTCTCTCACAGCGCTGCTCTAGACCCAGCTGCTGGTGTCGAGCAAAGATCTTTGAGATTCTCTGAGGCTGTTCTGGGTGATGTCTAAAACATGTTTGGAAATAAACCTGTTAATAATATCACAAAAAAAATAAAAGCCACAGATCCATCCATTACCTGTCCCAAAGGTTGAGGTGGTCCATCATCCTCTGATCATAAACCAGTCCGGTCTTTGCAGATGCTGAGGTGATGGGACTTAGGCTGTTTCCCTGATTTGTCGATTCTTTCAAAACTTCACCAGAAACCTCACAGCCTTCTGATAAAACAACAGACATATCACATGTTACTTAAATTAGATTATTTCTGTTGGAAGAAACAAAATGTCTTTATCAAAGTAAAAAAGTTTTCCTAAACTCTGGGAAGGAGAGCATAAAATAGGACTTACCCAGAACCTGGAGTGAAGCCCAGTAAGGATACAGGGAACTAATGGTTTGAGCAATGGACTGCAACGCACTAAAATACAAAGAAATCAGGCTTTAGTAAGACATGAAAGTATCTAAATCAGCATACTCTTTAATGTTTAAAGAGACTTGACTTCATGTTAAAAACCAAACCAGTAAATGAAAGTAAGTATCTACAAACACTATTCAACTCAACTTTGCAATATGTAAAAATTATCAGTCTCCTCTCTGAGAACATGGGTCTTTCTGATGACATTTAAATGCAAAAAACCTGTTTGAGGGCGCAGTGGGAGGAGAAAGGTGAGGACAGGCTCCACCCAGTAAGGCTTTCACACAAGCTGCAGCGCCCTCTGCTGTCTGTGCCAGGTTGTACCCGCCCTAAGAGCAGGAGAATATTATACTTATATGACTACTGCATGAAGATAACATCGGTTCAGTTGAAAAAAAAAAAACCTCTAGTGCCAGAATGATCCGTCCTTCTGCTAAACTCATGAGGAGGTGCGTTAGAAACTGGAAGCACTGGGGGCTGACGCACATTTCGCCCTGAAAAACAAATCGATTAAAATCAAACAAATACTGTATCTTAAAATATTATTGGTGGAAGAATAATTTTACCTTAGGGTCTCCCACTGCAGTGTCAAATCCAGCTGAAACTAGCACTAACTGAGGCTGGAACTGGGAACAGAAAACATTCATTTCTGGTCTTAGTCATGAAGAAATGCATATAACTTTCTTATTTCTTTTTACCTCATATGCAACAGGAAGGACAAGATGATAAAAAGCAGCAATGTAATCAGCATCAGTCATTCCAGTCTGAAAGAATGTTTTTAATATTATTGATATTCTTAAATTAAAAACTGTTATCATTAATATTGGTAATGTGAACCTTATTCCAGGGTAAGTTGATTGTGCGTCCAGCTCCTCGTGTGTCGCCGATATAATCAGAGTTTGACTCAGAGAGGTGAGGCCAAAATGATCCGTGCTCAAAGCGATGCAAGCTGAGGTACAGAACACTAAAACACACAGAGACTACAGTGAGACTTTTATCGTAAAATCACAGTAAAAAGTCAGAACAAACAATGAACCATTTTAATTGTTGTAACTTTAAACAACCCGTAAGGTACAAACTACATACGGCTCTTTTAAATTGAACAGTCTTTACCTGGGGTCGTCTTGGAAGCTGTACTGGATGCCCTGTCCGTGGTGCACATCCCAATCCACTATAAGAACTCTGGGCAAACATTTATTGAAGATTTGTCAGAATATTCAACAATTACAAAGGGAAAGTTTAATCATCAGCTTTCTTACCTGTTGATTCTGTGCCTGGTCTGAGCGTATCGAGCTGCTATGGCCACATTATTAAAGACACAGAAACCGTTGGCTTGGTCTTTTTGGGCGTGGTGTCCAGGAGGTCTGAAAGAAAAGCAGGAAAAAATGTCACCTAATGGAACGAAACTAAGAGAATTAGTCAAACATAATAATTCTGTACCTGACCAGAGCAACCCCATTCCTGAGTTCTGAGGAGAGGATCCTGTCGACCAGCTGCAGGACTGAGCCCACAGCCAGAAGAGCAACGGAAAACGAGTCCTGCACAGAGAAGAATCAACTTCAAACAACCAGTTACAACAGACACAAATTCAAGTTTACTTTTACAGAAAGGATTACTCCGAACACTGGCCCGTAAATAAAATAACATATAACAGAACTAGGAATGCACCGATCCAGCTTTTTCAAGTTTGATACCGAATATGAACCAAGAACCAGTGAAGGGACTGCAGATGGTATTTTCTGTCCTAAAATCTCAGCTGACTTATTGTAAATGGGTCCAATTGTGTTTGAGCTGTTGATCCTATAATTAATAACAGAACTATTGTTTGAGTTATAAGATAAATGTAATGTATATATATACAGTATGGCATTCTGGGATAATAACAGCCAGTAAACAAACTCAAACCTACTCAAGATATCAGCCAGACCGATATCTTCAAACCAATACCCAAGCCAACAGCCCAATATCTGATACCAGTGTCATATCGGTGCAGCTCTAAACAAAACAGTATGTGACATCTAAATGTGTCTCACCGGATGGAGGTAAACAGAGTCATATTTTTCTGACAGAAGTCTTAGCTCAGCCTCCGCCATGGTTTGGGTTGAGTGCATCAAATCCACGTACTCCTGCCTACAGTCAATAAGAAACACATGATCATCTCTATGTAATTATAATAATGATACATAAAGTGTAGGCATGTATCTTTATCAATATGCAAGCAAGTAAACAAACCCAGAATGTCAATACTCACGAATGAATGAGAAGCAGCTCTTTGTCTGTTGCTTCTCGTGGCTATAGATACAAAATAAGAAAACACAAATTAAAAGAAAAACAGTTTATTACGGATGAAAATGTGTTTGAAAACGTGATTTCAAACAGTGGTGTCTAATCTTAACACTAGGAATGTAAGAATGTCATTATCATTTTCAAACAACAAAGATGACATTTCTCCGCTGACCACCTCGACGAGTCATTATTTTGTTCATTTCTTTTTCCTAATATGTATCGGCTGAAGTAGCAGCATTGTCAGGCATTTTGGCTCGATTGAAAAAATAATCTTCTGCTGGCTAATGTGATTTGTGATCTGAGGTAGCGTCATGAAATCCGTTATATTGTTTACATTTTTACCTGGACCCTGATGCAGCGACTCAGCAGCTCCTGTTTTTCCAGTTCCTGCACAATCCTCTGCACTCTCTCTGGGCATTCTGGGTGACTAAAAAACACACATAATAAGTAAGTAAGTACATAATAATATGATAAATATCTGGGAGATATATTATAACATAACATAGTTCCACCTTGTGTCCCAGAGGTTCCGATGTTTGGTGAATTCTTCAGAATACACTACACCTGTGCCAACTGCCACTGATCGACTCGACAGATCCTACAGATTACCAAAAGGAAGATGAGAAAATACATGTAAGATTGTATCAAGGCTTAGAACTGTGGTATATGAAAAGGGATGAGAAAATAATAAAAAAAACACTCGACAATGTTTTCTTTCAGGTTATACGATGTTGATGTCTATATACTTTAACACGTTTTGTGATACACATATTTAGTGATTCAGTATATAAAAGGACATCATGTAATATACACTATTAGAGGTCTAGTAAATTCATCACAATTACAATCCAGCTTTTGTTGCCACAATCTTGCTGCCTGTGACACATGTAGCTTCTAAGCACTGATTACTGATGCAAACCACCTATTGGAGTTAAGCAAGAGTCAGTGCAAACTCTGTATAATGTATGACGACTAATATTTGTATCTGCTTTCATTCAAAAACATTTGTGGAGATATTTACTTGTTTGTGAAGTTTGTTGAACAAAAAAAGACTACATTTCACTGAACTAAACTAAATGTCTGCAGATCTTTACCAGCTGCTGCAGCTTCTGGTGGATGTCTTGTTCTCGCTGCTCTCTTTCCATTCTCCCTCTCCTTTTTGCCTCTTGAAGCTTCCCTCCTCCTTTGCCGACTGCACTTCCTTTAGTGGAGTCCACAACACTGGCTCCCTTTAAATCACAGGGTTTACAGAAACAATAAGTGCAGAAAATATGAACTGTGGAGCAGATCCTGGTGCCAAAGTCCAAGTGGAACATTAACAGTGTGAAGCAAAGACACAAAGGAGGCTGTAATGATCCAACACTGGACCTTTCACTGATTAAACACAGCTCAGTTCACATGACAATAAAACTGGTACACACTAAACGCACTAGGCCTGAAATTATTAATTGAATTGATCCATTTAATTGATAAAAAAAAAGCTTTGTTTACAAAACCCTTGATTGCCTTGATTAATCAGATAATTTAACTCCTTAAATAATGTGAAACTGCTGTACATCAAATGCACAGAACTAATTCCAGCACTTGTTCTACACAGAAATGTTATTCTTAGGTAATATGAAAATTAGAATACTAGACAATCGACAGCTGCAGCCGTAAAATGCAAACACACCAATCATTACAGTGTTTTAAACTTGACTGAGGCATTAAACTAACTTGAAATAAATCAAATGTGCCAAGAGCTGTGACTAGTTGCCCACAGCATTTTAAACCTCTCTATAGTCTATATATAACTCTGTGTGTGTCAGTTTCCAGTCATCGAACACCCTTTCTCAACTGAGGTCCGACAATTGTAAGATGGTGGGTAAACTTTCACATTCTAATACTGATGTTTTTAAGAACTGGTTCATCTTTATGTTAAGACAACACATTTTGCAATTTTGTATTTTGGAAGTGCACTTTGTTATACACTCATATTATTATTATGTGCAGAGTGGACAAATGAAAAGGCTAGAAAACAAACGCAGACCTGGGGGGAGAAACGTGGGGAGCGTCTGACGGACTTCAATCCAGAATCAGGCGGATCTGACTCTGAAGACATCTTTCACTGTAGCTCAAACTAAATAAAGAATAGATTGTTACAGATCATACATTCTTAAGACTTTCAAAGACTCTTTTTTAAAGTGCTACTCTGAAATTCTAAAATACTTTATACGAGACCTTTGTGATTTTTAACACGAATGCAGGTCAAATGTAAGCACTTTCTAAGGCTTTAAATATTTTCAAGTAGAATTATTATATAGTTTAAAATTGTATATCCACTCCCATTGACAACAATTGCTCATTTTTGTAGATATTTCCAGTATAGTTATGTAGACTATATTTCTAGTATAATTATGTGGCATAGGGCTAACAATGTTTTTATATTAAATTAGTTGGGCGATTATTCTTTTAATGAAATGATTAGTAGTTGAAGTCTGTAAAATAAAGGATTATTCATAAATTTGACCAAAACAAAGCTAAAGCTTTGTCACTTGAGAACATCTGTATAGGGACTAAATGTAAAATTGTTGCTTGTTTGAAAAATACAATTTCCCTCCATGTCATTCTGTAATAAATAAAGCTCGTTCTGTGTCATTAAACCTCTTCTTAGCATGTTTTAGCCTGGGTGTGGCTCAGAAAGAATTAATCAATAACTATATTAATTGGCAACTATTTCAACAATAGATTAGTTGTGAATAATTGTGTTACAGCCCTAATGTGTTGGTAACAAAAATATCCCTGTATAAAAGCATTCTTCCAATTAATTGTGTATTTAATCTGGGTACACCTATTGGCTAAGTAAAGAATACTATATTTTACATATATGTCATATATATATATAGCTCATATAGTTCAAGTTTTGAATTTACGGTTTTTACGTCAATGTCAAGGATCTATCATAAGGTTCTTAATAGAGACTATGGTTGAACCCCAAATAATAATTAATGCAAGACAAACCCCCATCAAATCTGAATATATGACCATAAGGCTTAAATATGGCCATGATCGCTCGTTTAGACATATGTTTTATCTGCAATTGAAGACGTGAGTGTTTGTGTATACGCACCGCAGCTGTATTCTTGTTGTATCCCCAACAATATTGTTTATTGTTTATAAAGCAGCTGCAGATGAGAGCGCGAACTGCACCCACCACTGTCCCCTACACATGACGTCATAATGGCGCACCATAATGACGAAAACATATGCAAAAAATAATAAAAAAGTCTATCTTGTTTTTCCTTTATATTTTCACTGGCTTTAATTGACTTCAATGGCATCATATTTTACTCAAATATACATTAAAACATAATAAAAATGGGTCAAATTTCACCTGATGAAATCTGGAACTACTTGATCTCATTAAAGAAAGCCAATAATATAGTCTATGCTATTTTTGACCATACAAATAAATATGACTTTGTAGTATCATGTAACGGCAACTGGTTGGAACCATGATTGGTGATAACTTCAGTTTTCAGAGGCCATATAAAAAAAAAGGGCATTTATGGGCTGTGAAGTGTGAATACATAATCAGGGTGCCATGGGTCACAGCCCAAAACACGGGGCTCGATATGTATGAGACAACATGTTGTGCATGTTGGAGGCTGATTTGGTCACACATATGTTCTTTTACTTTTACTGTTTCTATTGGACAAATAAAAAGAGTAAAACAAAGCGCCGTATTAGAAGATTTCGAGTTATTTTCTCGCATCAATTTTGTCATCGGAAACACTTACACTCGTGATAAAGAAGGAAAACAAGGAGGCACTCTAGTAAATACGCTGACACGTTTCGCAAAAGACAGAAAACGAAAAAGTAATGAATCACTTACAGATAAAACATAATCTGTCAACTCCATGGATGTATTACTTTTCTTTCATTATTCTGAGCTATGTTTCCTGTGGTTGGATGTGAGTCCTTATTTAAGTATAAATAAATAAAATAAATAAATAACATAATATAAACAGGAATATAATCGGGAACATGAAACATTTGGTGTAGTTGAACAGTCGGTGGTTGGACAACTGACAGCGCCCTCTAGTGGTGAAAGTTATGTTGCACGTTAATCATGAAAATGAAAGGTCCTCACGCTGCAGCAAAGAATGAATATACATACAAAAAAAATCGCACATACACACTCTGTGACGTCACCTCTCATCCTGAACTCTTTTGCCCCCCCCACTATACCAATTACGCACGCGGCTTTACGCGCACACCCCAGTGTGTGCGGCACTGACGCGTGTGTCACTACAACCCCTCACGCACGCGCACTACCTGCACTGCACCTCACGCACGCACCACGTGCACGCGCATTTGCCCGTGCGTCCGTCCGTCACAACGGCGCGGCTCCAGCGGCAGCATCAGCGGCAAACGCGTTGGAATAAACAGTGCTCACGCTCCCGGACCCGCAGCAAAGAGCGGGACCCGCGCACAAAATGAAGAGATTATGAAGGTAGGCTGCGCTTGAGTGCACGTGTGTGTGCGAGCGGCATGTGCTCGTGCAGTGTGTGAAGGCTGTGTGTGTGAAGCCAGTGCGGAGTCAGCGCATTGTGACCGCTCACTGCCGCTACTGCCTTTGTCTCCTTCTGAGTGGAGGCAAGAAGGACCGGGTTAGACCCGGGTGGAAGTCTTCAGACTGGGACAGCCCGGGTTTGACCATTAGTAAGGTTGGTTCAGTCATGATTTAAGTCCTCTTTTGGTCCGGGTGTGATTTAGGTTTAGCCCCGGGTCAACCTGGTTGAGTACTGTACAGAAATGTATTGAACCGTATGTGGACATAACATGCTGCTCTTTTGGTCCCTCCCATCATCGTTTTGTCTTGGTTCATTCCAGGGTTTGTCCCGGTTTCATCTAGCTTCAGTCCTGGTTTAGTCCCTGGTTCTGCTCCAAGGGTCAGCATGTGCCAAGTCCTTGCAGCAGCAGGCTGCTGGGCCTATATGTAAACAGATGTCGGCCTATAGTTTTGCAGTCATGTTTGACATCAGCTTTAAGATTATGCAGAAGCTTTAGAGCCAATATGGTGAATTCAGGGTCTTGTCTGCGATGCATATGAGAAAGATGTACTGTGGAATATCCAGTTCACTTTTGAATCATAAAAGTTATACAGTCCTGATATGTTTTGGAACTATACTTTGATTAAAAATGCTTGTTGAAGACTTATAAACCCTTCAGAGACAACTGAAAACAAATTATGAATTGACAAAGGAGAATTCTGTCTCTCCTGATTCAGAGCTGACCCCAAAACCATCACTTTAAGAGGAATACAACTTGTGCATTGTGAGCATGGATTCTGGACTTATTCTGGGTTTTTAGTCAAATCACTGCAAAATGCGACAGTTCTGAAGTCATAATGTAGTTTAGGTTCAATTGTTGCATTCATTTAGTCCGATTCCAGATATCAGACTTGATTTTCTCATTAAAATACAAAATGCAGCTCAACCACTCGATGTCATCTTATTTTCAGAGTAAATGTTTTATCATTATAAATGAGACTTTTACCCAGTCTTCTGTTTGACAGTAGAGGTGGGTATTCAATTGGGGGAAAAAAACAGTTGCAGAAGTTGCTTTGGCATCTTTTTGCTCTATTGTGGAGGATTGATAGTTCCAGGTTTAACAATTAAAATAGCCTGCGTGAATGTCTCCATTTTGTCTTCATTTTGTGTCTGCTGCAGTTGACAGCGCTATTATTACTGTCACTTCAGATTCTCACTATATTTTAATTAGGATACAGTTTCACTGGGTGTTCGACATCCGCATTTATATCATTTTCTGCAACTGAAAATACCAGATCAGTCATAAGTACTCTCCTTATGTGAAGTTTGTACAAGTGGACTTGGCATTTGTGCATGTTATTTGCCATAATGGTTATCAAAGACAACCATTAGATAACCTGAACTAGACCAGGATTAATGTGGACAGATAACATTAAACAATGGACATAACTGAATAACACTGCTGCAATCCGCTGTGAACCGCGATGACTGGAGAACAGTGGCATCCAACGGTACAGCACGGAACATGAACTTTGCATGTTTGATTAAGTAATCATCATGAGCAGTAAATACAGCTATAGTAGTAAAGCCAAGTACTGCCAGCAGCAGAAACACATTTGGCCATTTTTCAATTGCAGATATTACAATAATATGTTTTCTATAAACGTGGGGTCAAAGATGAAGAGAGTGATGTTAATATTGTGTTTGTTTGTCTGGATCACTGTGATTCTCTCTGACACTGACTTCAGCTCTCATCATCCTCAACATATGAGCTGGAGTCTAGTCCTGCTGCACTCTGGCTTTTCCAAACTAGGACTGTCTCCAGTTGTGAGTTGTCAAGAAACGCAATAAAAGCTTTTCCTCATCATGTTAGGCAAAATAATTGAAACATTTTCATTTAGAAATCGAATTGTTAACTGACGCACGCCCCTTTTGGGAATTTTTTTAATGGACATCAGCAAAAAAAGCTGTTTCTGTTTCTTAATGATTCTGGCTACAGCCTTTTCCAGATTGTGTATATTTGTCATTATTAAAACAACAGTTTTGTGGACCATGGTCCTGGGGAGGGGTCAGAGAAGAGAAAGAGAGAAAGGTCAACAGCCTGCCCTGTATGGACCTGTACATTCTCTCTGAGGACTGGGCGGCACTGGTCTCCTCTCCCTGACAGTGGTGTAGGTGGAGCTGATCTTGAGGAGAATGGTCCAGATGATTGCAGTTTTCACCCCCCACTGGAGGACCTGCTGGTTAGCCTTGGTGCAGCTGGAGAACCATGCAAGGAAACCATATGTCAGAATTCTGAAAATGGAACAGATATAGAAGTTCACTAAGAACGGCAATGAAAAACATCTCTTATGATCTTAACATTAAGATCATAAGTTTTGGAAAACAGGGTAGCTGACTTAAACAAACAGTCTGCACCATTTATGTCATTGCAAACCGCTGCTCTGACCTTCCTGACATTCCCACAACTTTTTGTTGTTAGTTTTGTTATTGACAAGAAGATTAAGCGAGATTACAGGGGGAATGGTGTCTGGAATCGTTAAACACATGAAACTTTGAGTGGGTAAATGAGATGTAATACACTTTACCAGTGACGTGTCAGTCGCCTGGTCTGAAACAAGAAAGAAGTTGTTTCTTTGCACAGAGTGGCAGTAAATTCTCCAATGAGATGTTAATGTTAGATCCATGAAGCGGCAACTGCTACAACAATGAGATGTTCCAAAATCTGTTTCATGCCAGGGATATTAACAGTTTCATGAAGACAAAGAGGGCGGACCTGTAGTTTGATTATTGTCCTTGGAGAAGGTTGTAAACAGATGTAAAAACAACGGACACGTGTTTTTGTAGTTTCTGGTTCACTCGCGGAGCTCTGTGTGTTTTATGAATGAACATCTCAGATTTCTCTCTTTTTCTTTTTCTTCTTGTTCTCACAGTCGTGCCTTGTTCCTTGTTAGAGATCAGAGCACATCTTCTGTGTCGAGGCACACAGATCTGACAGACTACATTTCCCATGAGGCCGTGGGAGTCGTTTTCACTTCACTCACATCCATAAACATTAGACTAACAGGTTGTGGCAGCCTCCAGGGGCAATTTCAACTGGTGCAACTGTTAACTCGGGAGCAAAATGGCAACATCATTGTACAAAATGAATTAAGGCGGTGATAATTAAAGATAAAAGATTAATCATGAGATATTTTATCAAAGACTGAGCAGCTGGATGGATTATGTTCAGTTTTCTTCACTAAAACAATCTTAAACCTGGCCTTTATTGTTTGGGACGGCAGCCATGTCTTTGTCATTTTGCCCTAGGGCTGCTATGTTGCAAAGTATGACTGAAAGAATGAAGTGATATATTATATTCTATAGTTTTTTCCAGTTGAATATATGTCCCATATTTTGCAGAAAGGCATGCTGAAGGAGCTGGAGCCTTGAGTTTGATGGCGCTCTCTTTCCGAGTCCGAGTTATTTTGGTCTTTTGTGTCAAAAAGTCACAGTTCAGCCTCATTACTTTCCACAGAGATACAGGCAGCGAGAGACAGCGACAGAGAACCCAAATACTACTGCGAAGAGAGAGAGTTCAGGCTCATTACATCCAGCAGAGATGCAGGCAAAGCGGGATCGGTATTGTTGCACAGAACTGTAAAAAGGCATGAGCGGCTTAGCAGAATTTCTACCCAATTTGTCATCCCCCTTCACAGTATGAATGTTACAAAAAGATAATTGCTAAAAGTATCTTGACCATTGCACATAAACTGTAAATGTGATAAATATGAAGTGTTCAAAAATAGTTTAGAACCTATTGAAGCTGGGATACCTAATTTTTTACAGTAAAAAAAAAAAATCCCTGTTCCTCAGGGCATATGATATTTTGATGATGTCATCAGTGTTTTTTCACTGCTGATCCTGAAGAACAACTGATGAAATTGTCCCACTGAAGCACTCAACATGCGGTCTTAATCCTATGAGAAACATGTTGTAAGAAAAAAGCCACGTGAGTCACTAATTAACACTTTAGGCCAAAAACTGAGGGTGGTCCTCTTCTCCTTCACTTTTCTGACTGAAATGCTTACCTAAAGATGTGACAGAGGCCAAATATACATGCACGTGTAAACTACCGATGAAGTGAAACTGTTCTGAGAGTGAGCAACTATGGCTCATTGAGAGTGGCTCAATTATTTTGTGGTTTAAAAATTAGGAACCCCAGCTTTACCTAAAGGCTAATACAGGGATTGATTTGACTGACCTACTCACATCTCAGTCCATCAAGTCCGTATCAGTAAGACTGTCCTTGTTTTGAACTTGACAATGTTAATTACAAAATGTTGATGTTCTGTGACAAAACTTTTATTGCTCCAAGATCATCTATGGTCTGTTGTATCTTCTCATTAGAAGATGGGGTTCCTCGCACAAACCAGTATAGTGTTGGAGAAGGAATGCACTCTGAGTTATGTATTAAAGAAAGAGTTTAATGGCATAATCAGAATAGCTTTAATTCAAATTCAGGCTTCAGCCTGGGTCCCTGACAAGATGGAATAGCAGAATGACATAGAACACAAAAAGCAGTAGACTGTTATAGTATTTAGGATGAGTCACAAGACACACTTTGACAAACCCTACATACATTGTATTGCAGTCTCATGCCATCCCATGACAGGCCTCTGTCTGAGATGCTATTGTCCTTCCACAGTCACATGAAATCTTATGATCTGAGAGAAGTGGTCAGCAGTCTTTAGCAATTGAATGCTGACATGTCCCATCACATTCTATACATCTGAAGACCCATACATTTATGTAGAATTAAAGAATATTAATAATAGCAGACACCACAGGTCGTTCAAGAGAAAGAACACATGACCATAATATTAGATA